AGAGGAGCCAGAGACAATCTTTGTGCCATCGGGCGAAAATGCGACGGACTGGACACTGCCACTGCGTCCTTCGAACGGCTTTGACACCTCCTCGCCATTCTCAACATCCCACATCCGGATCGTTTGGTCAAAGGAGCCAGAGACAATCTTTGTGCCATCGGGCGAAAATGCGACGGAGCTGACAGACTCGGTGTGTCCTTTGAAAGGCTTCGACACCTCCTCACCACTCTCAACATCCCACATCCGGATCGTGCGGTCAGAGGAGCCAGAGACAATCTTTGTGCCATCAGGCGAAAATGCAACGGACCAGACATTGTCGATGTGTCCTTCAAATGGCTTCGACACCTCCTTGCCGCTCTCGACATCCCACACCCGGATTGTGCGGTCAGTGGAGCCAGAGACAATCTTTGTGCCATCAGGCGAAAATGCAACAGAACAAATAGAGTCAGTGTGTCCTTCAAATGGCTTTGACACCTCCTCACCACTCTCAACATCCCACATCCGGAGTGTGTGCTCGATGGAGCCAGAGACAATCTTTGTGCCATCAGGCGAGAAAGCAACAGATAGCACAGGGTTTGGTATATGCAAGATCATATGCTTTCTCTTCCTACTCTCAAGTAGTTCAGCACAACATAGGAGTGTGTTTGGGAAGTGCTTCCGATACAGCTGTGTGATTTGGGAATGTGAGGGTGAGAAAGGCAGAGCAGAGATGTAAATGTGTGCAAGGCATCGGCTTATTGGCTCATTGAAGTCCATCAAAAAGGCCCTTGCATCCTCTAAGAATAGCAACAATGCTGGCATGGTCTGTGGTAAATTTCAAGATCAGAATGACCGTCTCAAACTGCATAATGAATATTGAGCTCACCTTCACCCGTAAGATTAGCTTTTGAATTCTAGCAGGACTACCAGCAACAAGGCCCAATGCACTCAGAACCTCGACCCAGTACAAGAACTTAGACTTCAGAACACTCTCCAAGCAAGGCCACAACTTTGAATCATATCCTTGCTCTGAGGCAATGGCATGCTCATTCCAAAAACGGCAAGCATAGGAAACATCATCTGGAATTGCCCTCAGTGTTTGATGTGTGTTTGGAGCCGATGAGGTCTGGACTCTGGCAACATCAAAATATAGTTGCGAGGACATTATGTCAAGACAGCCATGAGCAAGATCGAGGTGGGTCTCCACAACATTAACGAACCACGGATGTCTTCCTGATCTTTCCCGGTCGGTGAGGTAGTCTCCGAACGATGCGTGGTATGTTGTCAAGAAGCCGCGCTCATCGCGAGGAACGGACACCAAGGAGTGAATGTTTCCGACCGCTACACGGACCCGCCGTGGATTTATACGCAGCAAATTGGCCATTGAATGGACGGACAAGGTTTCAGCCACACAAATCACAGCCGAAAGACATCGCAAGAAATCCGAGCGCTCAGATGACTTAGGGGATGTATTGAGCACGGAGAGTGCACGTTCAAGGATGAATGTGTACATATTGTCTATCGGCCGAATCGCGAACGGGGAGCTGGGTAGGGCAGGATCTGTGAGTTCGTGAAGCCGTCCTTGGGGATCGTTGTCAGAGATATACTTGAGAGCAGTGGATGCAAAGATAAACAATCCGTCTGCGTGACGCGTGAGTATTTGGACCTGAGTGTCCGAGGGCCATTCGACAAGAGAGCCTCGCTCTAGATCGTTGTGAGCGGCGAGGGCGCTCAACTCGGTGCGGAGATAGAGCTCGATGTCCTTATGTATACTGTTCTCATCAACGTCTTGCAGACGAAGAGTTTTGGGGTACTCGATGGAAAGTGTATTTCGTATGTGGCGCTCGGGCCTGCTCGTGACAAGAAATTTTACTGGAAGATTAGGAGCATGCTGAAGGAGCAGACGTAGTATATTCTGTGTTGCTTTCGTGTCAGAGCACTCGTCCAAAGCGTCGACAACAAAGATCAGCATCGGTGCGGACACGCCATTGAGAGCAGCTTTGATCGGCTCCGATAGGAGTGTCATGAATTGATCGCGGATATCAAGTACGAGTTCTGCCTTAGCAGAGTTTCGTCTTTCCTGGGCATACGCAGGCCGCACAGATGCGAGATATCCCGCAAGTGAAGGGATAATCGACTTCACGTCCTCTCGCTTTTGGTCTCGTGAGCAGAAGAAGTGGCCGCCTAGAAGATCGTGACGGTGCAGCAGTCGCACAATAGATGCAGCGATGGTGCTCTTCCCAGTTCCGGCACCACCGCTGAGCCACAAGACGTGCGAGGCATCGCGTGACCTCGCCCAAGCGAGGAGATCCTGAAGAATTTCGACTCGGGTGCCAGGAAGGCACGCGTCGACATTAGGGATACCTTGGTATTTGCTGAAGTCGGCTGTGTATGCAAGTCAGTACGTACGTCGCAAAGCGTCCTGTTCGGAAATTTACCGTCATCAGCAAGCCCTTCCACACCCTAATCCATGAAGACAACAATCGGTCAGCTTCAAGATATAGACGACCGCGGAGCGGTCGGGTGCCCATCGGGCAGCGGCGAACTCACGCTTTGAATACTCTCTAGCACGCGTCTGTTGTTCATGACGACATCCAACTAAATAGCCACTCAGTGAGCGAGTCCGACAGTGACTGTAGGCACATCTGGCTCACTGTAAGTACGTCTATGGTGTTGGAGATCGTGCGAAGGGCCCGCGCGATTGTCTGAACATCGCTTTCAGCGTCAATGATACGCTTTGTAATGCCACGCTGGAGTAGACGGCGGATTTCGGCGTCCTGAGTCTCGATCGTGCTTCAAGAAGATATGTCAGAGAACGTATAGCATCAATACAGCCGACAGAGACTCACGCAGATATTTGGTCGATACGATGGTCCGGCGAGCTAAGCTTCTCATGCGAGCCCAAGCTCTTGCTCCTGTGGTCCTTGACGATCTTGAGCACTAAGTTGAGCATATCTGCGGCATCCTCAAGCTCCTCTTTCGCACCATGGACCTTCTGAAGAGGAAAGAGGAACATCAACGAGTCGCGCTCGGAACAACCGACGGTCTTGATACGCACATCAATGAGTTCAAGAACTGCCAGCAAGCCGCTGGTAGCCGTCTTCAATGGCGGGAACGCGTCTGAGAACTCCTTCACCGTACTCAAGATAGCCTTCAATGCCGAGAGCCCTTCATCGAGAGCCTTCGGGCGAGCGGGGATGTTTCGGGACTCAGAGCCCGAGTGAGGTCGTACGTCCGATGGCAGGAGTTGCAGATATGGGTTCGCAGAAGGTGCCGAGGGCGAAGGAGAGGCTGTGGGCGTGAGTCGACGGATGGTGGGGACGTGGAGTAAGGATTAGACCGTTTGTGGCGAGAGCAAAAGTTAGAGTGAGTTTATGCAACCTTGTAAGTGTGCGTTGACCCTTACCGCCATCATTGTGCTGGCCTATGCCCTATTACACCCGACAGCTCTAGTCAGCTTCCACTCAATGTCGAACTGTGAAACACGCAGCAAAAGAACAGTCTACTCACGATATGAAGCCTCTCGAGCACGTGCGTGCCGTCCATCGCCACATTCGACTATATACCCAATGAGCCAATGCGTTGGACGGACATCGCAAGCATATGCCGCTCACCGTGAGTACATCTAAGAGTTCCGAAAGGTGGCCAAGGGCCTGCGCAATCGTCTGAACATCGTTGTCAGCCTCAATGACAAGTCCTGTGACGCCATCATCCAGGAGGCGGCCGATTTCTTCACCCTGAGCCTTGATTGCACTTGTTGAAGAAACGAAGTCAGAGAGCAGGCGGGAAGGATACTATACTACCCAGGACGACGCACACAGAAAATTTCTCGTCAACCTGATCAATCAATCTACCGGTTTCATTCGAATGCGTGCTCTTGCTGTTGTGGGGCTCGAGGATCTGGATCAAACCGGCAAGCATATTGACGGCGACCTCCAACTCCTTCTTTGCACCTTTGACTTCCTAAAAACAGCAAAAAAACGAATCAGCGGGGGATTGGTAGTCTCCTACACAGACCTTTATAGTCATGACAATCGATCACTAGGGGATTGGCGAGATAGGCAGGAGATTGATAACGCACAGCGATGCGATTGAGAACGATCAGAAAGTCGGTGGCAGCCTTTTGTATGTCAGGACAGGCCTCAGAGATATTTTCCAAAGCACCAATAACTCTCTTCAATGCGGGGAGCTCCGTACTAAGAGCCAGCTCCGTACGATCTGCACTGGCAGTGGCCTGAGTTCCGAGGTTGGGAAGATGAATACCAGACTGTATGAGCTATTACGATTTGTTCGACACAGGTTGAAAATGAAAGAAAATATATGGTAGACGCAACTTGTGTGTTCGGCTCTGGGCTTGGATCACGTCCAACACAGCAGTTTAAGGAAAGAAAAAAATTTCTGGCTCTGCTAGGACCAGTGGGAGAAGGCCTGGGCACTTGGGGCATGACAGTTTGTGAAATGCAGTGAAGCGAGGTTCGTCGGGTGTTAGCAAGTTGTAGACAACAGCGACGGCTGGGTAGGAGGGCAGAGTCGATGGGTCTTATTCGATTGACGCCCAGTTGACAGATCGTGTCACACGGGTCGGCGTGGGGATGTTACTTTGGAGACAGATGATCCTCGCTTGCCCGGTTGAAATCTCGTCTACTCTGCCTTTGGGAGACTACTTAGGGGAGACTAGATAGGTGGTTCTTGGGCTCGAGGTACGCTCCTCTTTCTGTTCTTCGTCAGTGTGGCACCGGTTGTGGCCCACCGTTCTCTTCACTCACTCTCCCTCGCCCACACCAATTTCCCCACTTTTCATTCCCGATCCACAATCCAACGGCTCCCCAACCGCCCTCGACGCACTTGTCTTCGCCTACCTCCACACCCTACTGCACACGCACGACGACCTACGCATCGAAGTCGCCCGGCGCGTCAATCTTGTCACTTGGGAGCGGAGGGTGTATGAGGCTGTTAAGGGGGCTTTTGTGCGGGGGGGCGGGTCGTGAGGTATGCGGAGGGTCTGTCTATTCGTTAAGTATTGTGATACATGTTAGATGCGTCTTATGCACTCTCCTGCTTACCTCGACTCTTCATAAGTATCGGGCAAGGGGTCTGTATTTCTGATATTTCAGTTGAGCGAGAGTCTTTCTTGGTGCTTCACCGTCTCGGGCTCTCTTTTTTGTACTCGTGGAATTGGAATCTGCGAAGTGGTTTGAGCAGCACCAGACTTCTGAGAGCCTTCCTGTGCGGTAGACGACAGGGCTAACCTTCTGCCCAGGCCCCAGGCCTTCCAGAAGAAGCATTCATCATGTTTTTCCATCTCAAAGCTACGTATCCTCGTGCTTAAATGCAAATCGAATAATACAGAAAACACCATCATCTTCCCTTCCTCAGCCTGCAGTTCATATCAATCAGGATCATCGCCAGCGATAAGTTAAACCCTCGAGCTCGCCAGCATCTGAATCCGCATACTCACATCCCAAGGCCCAAGCAGTTTCTTTCGCTCCTGGGCCGCTTCTTCCAGCCTCTCTGACTGCACTAGTAGGCCACGTGTGCGACGTCTAGGTCATGCCAGATGCTCTTCCATAGGCGGCCGTGCTTTTCTAAGAGGAATCCTTCGTGGTACTCAGACGATGGGGTTTACCTTCCACGCGGGCCACACTGAAGTCCTCGAAGGCTTTTGTTAGTATAACGTTAATCAAGAATTCGAAGTGAGTACGATTTCCATCTAGATTGAAAGATACATATCCGCTCGTAGAACCCTTGTTAACATACAAATTGAGCAGTACGAAAGGGATGTCCGGATTTATCTGCGGCTAGAATCCTATCATTTCTCCTTCTTGTAGCTCAGTCTCAACAAGGATCGCATCGCCATGCAAAGCCAGTGTGCGATATACCCTCGCTAACATCCTCATACTCGAGTGCGTGTCCGCGTCCCAGATTCCAAGGAGTTTCTTCCGCTCCTGCACTACCTCTTCCAACAGGCCGCCGGCCTCTCTGAACTGCCTAAGGCTAATATGTGCGCCGGCGAGGTCGTGTATGCTCTTCCATAACGTATCGACGCTCTTGGAACCGGGAGGAGTCGTCCTCAGCCTGGCTTCTACCACCTGTGTGTATAGCAAGACGGCTTCTGCGTACACACCGTGCTGCTGATAAGTGCGTGCCAGGTCCTCCTTATTCGCTAACGTGTCCTTGTGGTCGCTACCGAGCATTCTCTCCCTCACACCTACTACTTCCGATAGGAGCCTCACGGAGTCGCCGTGCCTGCTTAAATGGACGTAGGCGGTGCCCAGGCCAGTCATACTCTCTTGGGTGTCGATGTCTTCGACACCGGGGTTCCGCTTTCTCTCCTCGACGACGTCCTCCCATAAAACTGCCGCCTCACCATAGCGATGAAGTTGGAACAACGCCCGTGCGAGACGATCCTTACTGGACAGCGTATCAACATGATCGAGGCCCAGCACCTCCATCCGCCTCGCCACGACTTCCCGTAATAATTCCACAGCCAACACACTCTGGCCGAGCTCCATATACACCGCCGCCAGGAAATGTGCGCTCCTGAGTGTGTCGACGTGGGAGATCCCGAGAACTGCCTCCCTGCCTTCAACGACCTCCTCCAGGAGCGCGGCCGCTTCTGTGTGTCGATGCAGATAGTTCGTGTATACCGCCGCCAGGGCGTGTTTTGTCCGCAGACTATCCTGATCCTTTGGGCCCAGGACCGTCACAATCTCCTCGTAGAACTTTGCCGCCAGTTCGTAGCGGTGGAGACGTCGCACGTACAGATCGGCGAGGTGTTGCTTCGTTTGGAGTGTCGCTGGATGATGCGCTCCCCATTGTTTCATGTTCGACGCGAGCACCTCCTCGTATAATTCCGCGGACTCGACGTGGCGGCCTAGCTTCGCGTATACGACCGCGAGGTGGGACGTGCTGTCCACGGTGTCGACATTATGCGGTCCTAAGGTCCTCCGTCGCAGCTGGACGACCTCCTCAAACGTGATCACAGCGTCCGTGTAGCGCCCGAGCGTCGCGTAGACGCCGGCGAGGACGTGTATAGACCGCAATGTCTCGCTATGTGTGTGACCAAGAACCCTCTTTCTCCCATCCACGACTTTGGTGATGAGCGCTAGCGCCTTGCTGCTCGCCTTGTGTTTTGCGTACGAGGTGGCGAGACGATGCATGCTGTCGAGAGTATCGATATGGTTCGCACCTAGGACTTTCTTTCTCCGTTCTACTATCCCCTCCAACAGCACTATATCCGTATCCAGACTGATGGCTGAGGACGATGGGATGTTGACAGAATTAAACCTGTCGCTGGCCGACGTCGACGCCACCTGGACCATGGTCGATATTTCGGGGTACCGCAGACCTTCAGATAACGAACCGTCAGGATAAGTCCCACAATTATTCACATAACACTTACTGAACGGTAGAGACAGAGGCCTTCCACAGAGTGTGCTCGAAGGGAGATCTCGAGTCCGGTGTCATGCTTCAGCACCTTATATTTAGCTCCCACACGGGATCGAGAACCTCAGGCCTCAAGGCTTCAAGGCTTGCGGGCCGCTTGAGGCGTATGCATGTCGCGCTTGACGGTCTGTGGAATGCTATATTCGGGAACTTGAATCTTCGTGACTGGATAAGACGGTAAAGCTAGCTTTTAATGACGAGCTTCCGAGGTCGAAAGAACAGACCAACTTCCTAGGCGGTGATCGCAAAGCGGTCAAGAATAGTGTATTGCAGGAGCAGCGGATCCGAGAGAACATGATACCAACACACCGTAGTAAAATCATAGCGACGAATGGAAGAGCAGTCTACGTAGAGGTATGAGCATCTTCGTCGCGAATAGGTAGCTATCAGTGTACACCAGTCTCACATCGCACGACTTCTAATAACAATGGTTGAGCGACACGCCACACGAATCTCATTACTCCAAGGGCGTTGACCTCGAGGCCCTCTAGTTGAGGTCATTGACTTTTTCTGCTCGATTTAGCGGATCGTTTGACCTGGTCTCCATTCGCCACCGCCACACAATCTGCTGTCTGGTTCGACTTCACCTGTGGCCCCGTCGACTCTTTGGGTTTCGAAGACCCAGCGAACCGTTTCTGCAGAGCAGCGATCATCTTCGTAAACCTGTAGAGTGGGGTGTTAGTATTCGGGCAAAACACCTGTGGCACAGGGCAAGCTGACCAGAACCAGTTGAGGAACTGGAGCACCACATTCCCTACGCCGTAGAAGAGCGCGATAAAGAATGGTATCTGGTGATGGATAGCTCTCAGGGTGTGGAAGAAGCGGTAAGACTATTCCACAGAATGCAAGTGTTAGCAGATATGACGTATAGCATGACCAAGGAGAGTGGCGAGGGAGCGAAGTGAGCGTAGCCCCAGGTCAGGCCGACGAGGAGACGTACCATTATTCCGCCGTAGACTAGTCGTGTGCCAGCAAATGTGCCGAGAAGGAATACGCCATTGATCATCTGTGCGAGGGAACCTGTATTTCCTGTCTTGTCTATGAACCTTTTCGACGTGGACATCAATGTTCAGTGTACGTGTACGTGCCCTAACATCGCGGCCTATAGCGAGCAGAAACGCCTACCAGTGGATGTTAAGGAACGGTGTACTTCTGCATAACCAAGAAGCAGGCTTGGTTAGAGATCTTTGTGTCATGGAATGAGCAAAATGAAGAATTAAACGGACATTTCCCACAAGAGGAACCGTGCGCCATAATATGCCAAGAAAGGTCTCTGTCGTAGGCTCGATTAGACTTTGAAGCTTGCCGAGAGTAAAGTTGACTTGCAAAGCTGAATAAATAGATGCCTAGACAAGCAAGAGCTATGCGGCCAAATGAGACGACGTCAGCACAGTTGCGACACCGCACGGATTGTGGCCTGACATCATCGTGCATCACTCACCGTGGACTGTGAACCCAATGTCCTCGTAGTGGATCAGGGATTCTACGCTGTCCCAGACGAAATATCTTGGCACATGGTCAACGTCAGGCCAAGATCATGTGGAGAAATTCAAGAGTGAGACGCACCCGCTAGAAATGGCGTATAACTTTGCGACGCTATCGTCCCATCCAAACGCGCGGTCATGGTCCAATGCCGGGACATCGAGAGATCTAAAGGCTATCGGGACAACAAGAAGAGAATGGAACATAGACACGACATGGGTAGTCCTGCGCCAGTCGAGAGGATATAATATTGTATTTTGCGAAATGTCCGGTACGACCATAGGCGTAGAAAGTCATGGAAAAATATAAAAAGATGAGCCACGAACTAGAGTGTTGGAGATGAGGACAAGCTGACCACCCATTCTTCGCCCTCCCATTCAGTTTCTCCCACTCGTCCTTCCCAACAATCTTTCGACAGAGGGCCGGTGCCAATCCATACTGGATAGCCGTCCAAGAAACATAGGACAGCAAAAGAGTGCCTATATGAGGTTGAAGCCGCGGCACTGCTAACCAGTGTACTATATCCATGGTCTAGACGAACCTTGGGCAGGGGATATAGCGAGACCTACAGCCGATGATGGAAGAAGGTGCGTAAGACGCGTTTATGCACGTCGGCCTCATGATGCAGCCGGTTCAAGGCGCGTGAGAACATATCCGACGCGTCGAGGTTTGTTGGATTGTGGCGTAAATGATATCTCTTTCCTTCCGACCACCACTACCATCGCCATACTCTGCCAGGAATATTCTTTCGGATGTTACGGAGATTGTCTTTGAATCCATTTTACATCAGTACTCTTGAGGCGAACTCTCGCTCAGTGCTTGGTCTAAGCCGTCGGGAGTACGATGTGGCTCGTCGGGGCCCTCAGTGGCCCTGGCCGCTACCGTCACGAAACTATGCAGTAGGTTGAACTATTTTTTATGCGTGGTGTTTGTGCGTTTGCAGGGTGTACAGCCAGAGTGTCGGGGTCAAATTCTATAGGGCATAACATCATAAGAGCCCTGGCTGTACCCTTGTACCCTCAGATCGGGCTTCGTGGCAACCACTCATGAGTATTGTTGACTTACCTGCCGATGACTTATCTTACTCTCCAACAGATGCAAAGTTTTGTGAAACCCACCGACTGTGTGGGGGAAACGAATGGACGTACTTCAAGGAAACCTAGAGGCCTGCGTATCATCCACACGCTGGATCCCACTCGCTTGGAGCAAGCTTGGAGTCTTCCGACTTCCATGACATCTCTGGCTTGTCGTGGCCAACTTACCGCGCCGGTTCACATGACCACTCCTCCGCCAAAGTCATGCGCTCGACAATTTTCTACACCCGCACGCCCTCTCACACCACCGTACCTTTTCCTGCTGGGACACACGGCTTTCTATACCACGGATCCAAGACGTCAGTTTCACGCGCTGATTCCACCGATGCTGACCACAACACAAAGCACGTCGGACAAGTCCGCTTTCGGATAACTCCTTCCAGCGATCCAACGACCTTCGCAAACGGAAAAGATCTTCAACTGCCCACTGGTCTTCCATGGCTTACTTACATCCAAGGGCACCGTCGTCGGTCTGCTTCACAAGGCTGTCTGTGGGAGCTCTTGGTCCGAGATGGTTACATTTTCGAAACCGGTGCTGGCAACTACCGTGATAGAAAGCGAACAAAAAGAGGAACCATCTTCCATCGGTTCGGCCAGCCCTTCCTTTACAATTTCTCCCATCACATGGTGGGGTGGACTGTTGCGTCGGAGAGCCAAGGAGGGAAGAGGGTCAGAGTGCACGCTAGAAATCCACTACGACCCGTCAAGATAGACGGTAGCCCGGTGGTTTACACAGGTACGCACATCTAGCCCTTAGCTCATGATCTTCTCGCGAACCGTCTACGACTTATCTGTTTGAAATCCTACTGACTCTTTTGATAAATCCTCTTATCATCTAGGCACTGCGCTTTGTTGTCTCGAAAAGGTCGGCAAAGGCACCGAACGTGTTGTCACAATTCGCATTCTGAAGATCGTAGATCCTGTAAAGCAAGTTTTGGCTGACGTACCCTTGATGAGAAGTTGGCTGCCAGACAGGCCAGTCGAAGGAGAATTTCTCCCATCGTCGAGACCGGGCCGCAAATGGCTATACAACGTGGACAAGCGATGTGGTGGGGTAGCGCAATCTTTGGCCTTGCTGTTCGAGAATGAAAGATTGAGGGCCGATAACCTAGACTCTGCCCCATGACTCCTGGGCCGTTTTAGTTGTAAGTCATCTCGACAGCCCACCTAGATATCGATCCTGACCGACAATATATAGTACTCTCAGATGAGCGTAAGCAGCACATCGAGGGTTCTCCACGGTGTTTCAGGTTTTGAAAGGTATGACTATATGTCGCTACACTTCCTTCCTCCTTTGGTGTCATTATCGAACTCAACGTCATATCTCAAAAAATTCTCAGACATTTGCTATTCCTTGTATTTGGTGGTACGCATACAAAAAAACCCTCCTTAAGCGCGTCGCCTCCTTTGACGGAGATTGTCTCGGGCAATGTCTCGGAGAGAGAAAAAATGAAAATATCGAGCCATCCGGTCTCAGACCAGCATACCCGAGACAGCACGACAATCTGCCCTGGATCTCTAGGCACATACCTTTGGTTCCCCGCCTATAGGCTCCAGTCTGCCGCATGCCCATTCGCCTTTTCCGATCTTATTAACTGAAATAACCATAAGCATTCACCAGCGGAAAAGCTTAGGGCAATGATGATATATCATAGCGTGACCGTGCTGGCGTCGCCATACGCATCGGGTGAGTAACCATCCTTCCTTGCCGAACTGGCCTGACCCGAGACACAGTTTGCGGAGGAAACGAAAAGAGCGGGCATGTTTCACGGCTTGTGTCACAACCATGTCCGTCTGCCGAACGAGCACTTCCCACTGTGTGTGTTCCACTGATTTCGGATGTGGTGACTGCCTTTTTTTCTGCCTTCACCTCGCTTCGGCCAATGTCTCATTTCATTGCGCCGTTCCGCCGAATAACTTGACTGCTCAATTTTTTTTCATGTAAGTCAACCACTTGAACACGGGGAGCGGCAGACTCGAACCTGTGCAGCGTGAACCTATATAAGGGGCTTCACTTCGAGTTAGAAACCCCCATCTAACTCTTTCACCAACGTCGTTCATCTTCCATAAAGACTCACACCACTGCTCGTCCACTTCAGCAGTTCCCCCCTCTTTCACACCCTCTCCACGCCCTCTACAACCTTTCGTCGCTTCTACTATGCCTCACCACTCCAAAGCTCCATCTTCCAGCGAGCTTCTCGGCTCAGTTGTAGGCGACACTTACATCCTGGTCGACCTCATCGGTCGCGGCTCCTTCGGCTCTGTCTTCCGCGCCATCGACACCTCCACTCCAGAGCGCACCGAAGTCGCCGTCAAAGCTCTTCACAGAGCCGAACCTGGTACTCCTCAATGGAACCGCCAAGTCCTCGAGTGCCACGCGCACTATAAATGCACAGATCACCCCAACGTCCTCCCCATGCGCAACATCGTCCTTGATGACAAGTATATCTTCGTCGTTCTCGAGTTGTGCGTCGGTGGCGACCTCGGAAATTTCATCGGCAACAGAAAGTTCGTGTGGCGGAACGATGAGTGGGTCAGGAGTGTATTCTTGCAGATGATCGATGCGGTGGAGTCGTGTCACGAGAAGAACGTCTATCATTGCGATTTGAAGCCGGCGAATGTTCTTTGTTCGGAGGACGGGAGTCAGGTGTTTATTTCCGACTTTGGGCTGGCGTTGTTGAGTGAAGAGTCGATGTCGGGCTCTGGAGGAGGAACGTATTCATATATGGCGCCGGGTTCGTAGATCTTCTCCCCTCCTTTCATCCAGACGCATGCTGACTTTCACTCCAGAGGCCATCGGTTCAGATAAAAAGTCCAGCCCCTACGCCAACTCGGGCAACGACATCTGGTCTTTAGGAATAATTTTAATCAACCTCTGTTAGTCTTGACTGTTATCCTCCTACGTCTCTTCGTGATTCTGAATAGTCTTGCGTTCGCCTCTATAGGTACCGCACACTGCCCCTGGACGTATGCTATCCCAGAAGACGCCGCCTACATCGACTTCGTAGACAATGCCACCTCGATTTATCGCAACCTCCCCATCTCCAAAGCCCTCGCCGCCTTTCTCCTCGACATCCTCGATCCAAACCCCGCCACCCGTCTCACACTCAACGACATGCGTCGCACGGTGAAGACCATCGACACTTTTTTCCCGACCGACGAGGAGCTCGCACTTGCACCACAGAAGATCAGGGACTTGGTCCTGCCGTACGTCGAGGGCAACGGGGATGCTTTACCAGCACCGCGGATCCCAAACGTATCGACGACGTGGGAGGAAGGGATCGCTCAGAAGATGCTCGCAGGGCCGGACCATCGGTTAGACAAGTACCACCCTCGCCACGGGTCATCCTCGAGATCTTCGCTCTGGTCGGACGAGATGGGCGACTCATCAGACGAAGGCGACAACGTTAGCCGCTCGATGTACTCGTCTTCATCCTCTCGTTACCAACCTCGTCGCGTCGTCAATCCCGACTCTCACCAATCTGGGTCCGATTCATCGGAACCGAGGCTCCAGCGCGAGCAGAGGTCGGTGTCGCCGGAGAGTGAGGGGGGGCCTAGGACGCCGGTTCCTCCTCCGATGAATCTTGCGGGACCGATACAGACGCAGAGTTCGCATAGGACGAAAGTGGATGGGGAGGATGAGGAGGGGGAGGATGAGAGCTGGGTACTCGATGTCACAGGTGGGTTGGAGGAGATGGCCCATGTTGTGAGGGCGTTCCCGGCTGTGGCGATCTCGCAGTCTAGTTGAGTGGCGTAGGATGATGACACTGTGCGCCTTGCTGTTGGACTTTGGTCGTGGATTTGCATTTGCCTATTATACCCCGTCTGGTTACTTGACCTGCATCGGAATGGACTATTGAATACGTCGGACAATGTGATCGATATTGCTATTGTTTTAGCTTGTATTTATACTAGCTTCTGGTCCTGGATTGACGCTTGCCTTATTTTACCCTTACATGCATCGCTCGCTCGTTCGTACTTAGCACACTCACACGTAGTCATTAGATGTTTAAAGAGATTTCAATTATTGCTGTACATGAAATATGTGCGTTCGAACCAGTCCTCCTTGCAAATAGATACTCGTACACCTTTACACCCCGCCGCGAAAATCCAGAGAATGAAATAAAACTTCGCTGTCTTCCTCATCAACCCACTGCCGCTTCCGCTTCAAAACCCGGTATCCGCAAAAGCATATCTCCAGCTCTCAAACGATGGCTGAGACGAAGAGATTGAGGAGATCCAGGCGAAACTCGGCGAAAACTTGGCGAGTCTCGAGGAGACAGACGACACAGCCTGTCCGAGCTTACCACGAGGCTGCATTCTTGGTCCCGTGGTGACTGCGTTACGAAGAACATTTGGGGTGCTTTAGATCAGTATTCAAGCGTTGATTAACCTCGAAGAGGTGGCAAGCGGAGGAAATGGTACGCACAGTTGGAAGAAGGCGACGAGCCATGGTGCGGTGAGACCGAGACCGAGGAAGGTCAGGGCCTTAACCTTGAGAGCAGTTTTTGAAGAACCGTTCTCGGGCATCTTGAATGGGACGGGCTAAAGGGAAGGAAGCATCGTCAATATTACTCCTTCGAAGAGAAAGTTGAAGAGCACGTACACCAGTGTGGATCGTCCGAAGAGTGGGTGATGCGAAGCGACTCGACCGGAGGATGGAAGAGCGCATGAGAGTACGTTGAGCACCGACGAAAGACATGATAGATGATGTGATGGGTGGGTGAGTTGAGTGCTTAAGTGAGGTAGTCGGTTGGGTAGATGATAATGTGAGTGCGAGTGGTAGAACGCTGTGAAGCTGATGTATGTGTTGTTGGTGGTGACATCCCCGAGCTGGATCCGCTCGCCTTTATACCGTCACGAGCCCTAGGAGACATAGCGCACAATGGGACGAAACGGACTCGCATAACAAGCGACGATAGCAGCACAGCAGCAACTGACACCAGCGAGCTCCGAGTCTTACCGTGAAATTCGTCGACAAAAGCAAGCAGAATGATGGACGAGACGACGAAAGAGGCTCAGCAGACGCAGATGGACTCCAGCTGGACTTGACGAGACGGGGCCCAGGATGGGTCTGTGGCGCCTTCGACCCGCCTGGAAGGAAGAACGTCTGGCCGCTAGAGTCTGGCCCACGCTTCCCTTCAGCACGGCTAACGGGCACTACAATTGATCTCTTAGATCACTACAAATTCCTCCTAATGAAACCCCACGTATTCGCTGAACTCGGCGAATCTCGGGGCCACGAGGCTACCGCTTTGGACGATATCGATTGTCCGTGGCGTTGAGTCTCACAATGTCCACGCAATTCTGCGCGGCCCGTGAGATCCGCCGAGTCAATTTGGTGTTCCGGGACAAGGTCCAGAGGGGCTCTGGTTCACCGTCCAGAACGTCGTCGGCGCGTCGAGACAAACGCCACAGCACCCATTGGCGCCCACATCAGTAGTGTCAATTGCAAATTGTATAGCACGTGCTTTCCCTCTCCTTACAATGCCTCCCCAGAGCGATAATATAATTCAGCGTCCTCGCTAAAGGGGGCGAATGCGCGACTCGCTATATACCCTACACGCTTCATGTCGTCGGCTACTCCCTAGCTGTCTTCGAGCTGGTGCCTCTTACTTCCATTCCTGACAGGAGTCTCTGCGCTTATGCGGCGCCGCCTTGCTTCCTCCTACAACAGACAGACGTCGTCAGCATCATCGCCCGAATGACCTTCAAGCAGAATACGTACAGCTGGTAGAAGGACATGCCCACGGGGATGGACATCCCAACGGTAAGAAAGACACCCGTCTTGACTGCCATTGAGCCCTTCGACGTCGCATCGGTCGCGGGGTGCTTGAACGGCATATGCTGTTCATGGATGGTGAGCAGAGTCATTCATAGATAGAATCAGCATCGTTGCTTGCATGTATAGTATGGGGCATCGGATTGAGAAATCGAACACGACGTACCCTGTATTCACCGTGGGCACCACGAGCAGGCGCCGCCACACGAGTCCGGGCGATGTTCTGGCGCAACACAGCGCGATGAGCTTGGATGAGAGACATGGTTCAACGTTCAAAGATGTTAGAGAGGGTGGAGGTGGGTAGTTCAGTGGGTGACGACGCAGACAGGGGGGTTAGGTTGACCGTGAGATGACGAAGGCGAGGGTTTGTATAGGCGGACTGCGTGAGAGCGCTGAGGTTGCTCAGCTGATGAGCAAAGGGAGGTCACTTGCTCGCGGTCGTAATTTCGTCTACGAACGAAGTCCTTCTTCGTGTGAGTGCGGAACTGTCCACAAGACCGCCTTGTCTCGCTGCAAGAGGTAATCGCGATGGTTGTTAAGGATGTTGCGATGCTCATGCCACACGCCACAGGAGAGCATTGCAGCTCAATCGCCGCGTGAATACCTCTGCACTTCTCTGCACTGTCGCAGCTGCTTGTAAAGTAGTCAAAAATCAACATCATTCAGTTGAATCATCCCACATAACCGTTTGAGGTTCACAACCTGGTCTCTGAACTGCGCTGTCCACTCTATGCGGAGTCAGAGGCGGCCCCTCCGTGCATACACAACGGATGACTGGAGAGAGCGGAGCGCGACTAACATCGAGATGTCATCTGAATACCGTAACATTATCCAAGAGAGAAAAAAGCATGCTATGAGTATGTATGTATGGAGCCGTACCATCACCACTCGTGAACGTCCGAATGTCATGCGAGCCAGCAGGGAGAGAAGCAATTGCACGTCTAGGAATGCTATCAACATATTTGAGCCTCGAAAGTTCAGCAGTCAGGACGGCGGTCGGGCTATTCAAGCAAGGGTATAGTGTGAGTCATGCCTATTCTTGTGATGATTCACTGCGTCTTGTCTGAGGTGGGTTCGACTGCTGCTAGAACTGTGAAGATGGTGATATATCTCTGTTCGACGATTTTGCTCGGCGAAGAACTCGAGAGAAACACAGACTTTTCTATAGGTCAGAGGATACCTCTGCAAGGAGCCCTTCACCAGTATATTTGGCACGAAATACTGCTGGTCACCGAGGAAGAAGGTCGATGACAAGGACGGTTATTAGTTGCCCTCTGAGTCCAAGTACAACAGGAGACAAGTAGGGTCAACTATAGCGAAGGTGATAGCACAGCGTTGCGATACGTAGTAAGAAGGGCTTCCTTTCCAAGCTGAACGTGAACGTTGAGCTCCAGACGTTTCGAGGAAGCAAGCACTGCAGAATCCAGATGGACGTTCGAAGAGAGAAAGAACGAACAAGTTTGGCGCCACAGTTTCCATCGCGAAATTCGAACGCCTCGGGCGCCCCGGAAGTCGGCCGGCCGCGTCTGGGTGACGACCCGCCGGGATTCTGTCCCCCTCTTTCTCTCCTGAGCGCCCCCACCACCAGCGAGCACGGCTCTCTTCCTCTCTCTATTCTCCATCCTCTCCCCCAACACGGACGTTCTGTTGCTCTTGGTTTCTTGAAGGTTTCTTTGAGAAGGAGTTTTTACTGGCTTCTTTCTGTGAGTGAATACCTACTTGCCTAGTTGTCGGCGGTGATGGTGCGGCGGGAAAGGACAGGAGTCGCGACGCGAGGATGGTTAATGGGGATGTTGTAGAGCGCGTTCTTACTGACGGCGTATGTTTCTATTATGCTTATTTTGTAGCAGAAACACGATTTCCTTCTTCCACCCCCCGTCGTTCCTTGACTCGCCTTTCCTTCCTTCGTCTTCTTTGAGCCGAGCGTCACCCGTCACCGACACCGCCCGCCCTCACCGCAAGTCGACTCACCTTTCCAACGCCACACCACCAATCACCTCGATTGAAAGACGTCAAAGATGAGCGCACGCCCGCATAAGCAGTCCATGTCTGAACTGAAGTTGAGGAGGTTGGCGGAGCACAACCAGAGGTTGAAGGATGACCTTTCGAGGCCGAGGATCAGGGTCAGTGAGGCCAGCGCGAGGTATGCACCCTATTCTTTGCCTTGAGAAGTGGAAAGGAGATGGTCTCACTCACGGGTGTGTTATGCGAATAGTTTGATTCGGTATTGCAAGACGACGAAGGACTTACTCGTGCGTATTCTTGGCATATCCTTCATTCAATCATCTCGTCGTCTTCGTCTGTTCCGGCACGGTTCCCCGTGCTAATTATGGTTGTTGATCCTGGAATAGGTTCCGTCTGTCTGGGGTCCAGTGGGCAAAGGCGAAGATCCTTACGCTCCTCCCGCCCAGGGCTGCGCATGCGTCGTGATGTGAAAGCGCCCCCGAGATTCACCGCCAACCCGCGGCCCGACCTATCGACATTCCCTCTCTCCAAGCTCGCACAAGTGACATATGAGACGTATAAGAGGAAAAGAACATAAAGCATTCCGTAATCTACTTCCTTCGACCCCGACATCCATATCTCGGACCAAGACAACAATAAATAAAACCAACAAACACGCACCACATTCATTATTCGCTTTCGCTCTTTGAAGTTTGCACTCGTCCGCTCCCGACCCCGCTTGTACCCCGTTATCCCGCTTTCGACGCGTTCCCCCTTCTTCATCTCCCCACTCTTCTCCACGCATTCTCGTCTTTCCAGCCTTGACCCCTTCCCCCGGTTTCGATGCGAGGTATCTGCTTCTCTGAGCCCATTTCCATATGTACAGAAACCTCCACCTCCATGCGCTATCTTTCGAGTATACCTTCTCATTCAGTTTCACTCATCTCGTTTCCATCCATCCTGGACCCCTTACCTCCGTTGCACGGACAGCGACCCGCCCGAGTCTACATACAGTGTCAGTTACAATGTATAGTGGTAGCTTGTCACTGACTCCGTCTCCTCGTACACATCACACCTTCGCGTCCGTTCGTTTTCTAACGTTTTGGCTTTCTCTGTGGCGTACCCCCTTTTCGTATTTCAGTATGTTATCGCACTCGTGGAATCGGAATTTCATCAGCTTTCGTTTGGTTGTTGAGTTCTCTCATTTCTGTGGCCTACTCGTCCTCTATAACTGTCATCGTCGAGTTCCCCGGCCTCGCAAAGCAGAGCAAATGCGGATGTTCCTGAATTTCGCCCAAGTCACGCCTCCGCCTCTCGGAGGCAGCCGACACCACGCCGCTCTCACGCAGGGCCCGGCCGGGTCGCCGCCGCCGTCGCCGTCGCATCAACCGGTCGACGGTCGCGCCAGCCATTTCGAGAGCTTCCATCGCACCCTTTCCCTCTTCCTTTCCCTCCGCTTCTCTCTTCGCCGTCGTCGCCGTCACCGTCGTTCGTCGTTCTATTCCTTCGTCGTTGTCATCGCCGTCGTTGGAAGAACTGTTTATTATTGGAGCTTAAATCCATACGTCGTTCTGTGGGTTGTAGAAAGTTTCGAGGTGGGTGAGCGTCCGTCCGTATCCATGTTGGCTCTCCTCTCGTGCGGGCTTTCGTTCGTCCCTGTTACGTCTTTTAGATGGGTTTGCTTGGATGGGTGCGGCTCTGTTTTGGGCCTCCAGGAGGTACCGCTGTGACCGAGGGTGGCTTGGATATCCTACACGACTCAGTTAGGAGTAGGAGAAGATAGCGAATCGCATGGGACAGACGAACGAGACGGGCGCTAGCTTGGTTTTTCTGAGCATCACTGACTAACATACTTTACTTTCTTCCATAACAGCACTCAACTTCACTCGCCTCTCCCTTACCCTCGTTCTCTCCGCTAGGCCGCCTTAAGCCCACCTACCTCGTACGTTTCCCGCCTCCTAATCCTAAGAACTGGAGCATGATTCTTACACATCCTCATTCTCGCAATCTGATCCGTCCTGATTCGTCTGACCTCCTCACCACCGCCTCCTTTTGACGAACGATCTCGATTATCCGTGCTCGCTCTCGATTTCGGCGCCGTCGGACCATGACTCAACAGCCACCAAAAACTCAAACCCTTCCTTCCTTCCAGGACCCACTCTACATATACCGCCATGTCTTCCCGTCCGAAACAATCCATGTCCGAGCTCAAGCTTCGTCGGCTTTTGGAGCATAACCAGCGTTTGAGGGAGGATCTGGGGAGGCCTCGTATACGTGTGAGCGAGGCAAGCGCTAGCTTGATTAGGTATTGCAAAACGACGAAGGACCATTTGGTGCGTCAATTTTCCATTTTCGTATTCTCCTGTCTTCTTGTTTTGCCTTTTGCCTTCCGCATCCTATTTTTCTATGGGATGACCTGCTTCCACCTAGTCCGTGTGTGGCTGTTCCGCCGATTGGTGTTTTTCGCCGGTGGCTGCGTCATGCACGGGTATGAATCGGCTGCGAGAAGGGGGAGGAGTGGCGCTGTGTGAAGAACGGAATGTAGTGGGAGGCGTGGTGATGGGCGCTCGCGCTCGCGCTGTGCTTGCGCTTTTCCGACTAATTATTTATGTCGATGGGACTGCTGATAGCGGCGACATCCGTCTTGTTTTACATATTCTTTCTAACTTCCATCCTTCCATCCTTGTCTTATTTCGACCTCTATGTCACATCATGTCTCGTTTCACATCGCCTTGAGTCTTCTCGGCTGACTATTCTCGGTTGTTACATGTATAGGTGCCATCTGTATGGGGTCCAGTCGGCAAGAACGAGGACCCGTACGCACCTCAACAGACCGGAGGATGCTGTCTCGTCCAATAAACTAGCAGCCCACCGTCCTTCTCGTCTTCTTCTTCTCTTGCACTCGGCCCACCACCCCACATACCTGTCTTACCCTGTGCATCTTTCTTCCTCGCTTCCTTTTTTATGGTCTCTTCCCGCGTCCGTCTTGCTGCTGCTCTGCCCGTTAACATGTCTGATTTTGGTTTCGTCGTCTTCCCTGTCTCATCCTGTCCTGTCCTGTCCTTATTGATTTTTTTCTCTATTTTCCCCTGTTCAAACTTTCAACCTTTATCTTCCTCTTTTTATGAGTTCCGTTAGGTTGTTCTTGAAGCATACATACATACGTCCGTTCCTTGCCTTTTCTTTTTTCTTTTTTCTCTTATCAAATATCATCCTTTTCACCGCACACTCACACCCGCGCTCGCCGCCTGGCCCATCCACCTCCATAACCGCCTACCTAGCCACGCCACGCCATTTCCCATCTCACCGCACCCGCACCCGTCGAACGATAGTCCCCGCACCATCTCCGTGTCCTATCTGACCCTACCTCGCAAGAAGGTGAAGGTGAAGGTCTCGCCGCTGCTTTTTTTCTATTTTTCTTTCCTTCTTTGTGTCTTTTTTGTGTTTCTAGGAATAAAATCTATCTATGTTTAGTGTTTTTCTTCCCTTTTCTTTTCCGCTTCTTTTTTATTCTCGTGACTTTTTATCTTTTTATCGTTTGCGCGTTTCTTCAACATCACCAACCAGTTCAAAGCGTTCGTCGGGCTGTTCCTGTTCCGTACATACGTGCGACCGGTCGCGAATTTCAGGTTGCTTTTTTGAACTTATCGGTTTATCGCATGGATGGATGGGTTGGCAAGTTGGCGGATTGATGGGGGTGTGCAGATGGACGGTTCACTTTTCTTCGGGCGGTTGGCGGTTAGCGCTTGTCCGTGTCCAGGTGTCGTTCAGATGTGGTGCGGTGTGCGCTGTGTGGCGTAGCGGTTGGGCTTGGGCTACAGTATGTTATGGTTATGGAACCCTTTATTTCTTTGGTGCTTCGTGCTCGTGGCTCAAATCTCAGACCTTCGAATTCGTGGGTAGGTCCAGGTATGGCGTGGTCCAAACAACAGCCGGCGACATGGGAGAGCGCTATTATGGTCCAGGGATGGGTACCGTTTCGGATCAGCGTGTCGACATCGTTCTGAGTTCTAACGTTCCACCTTCTGGCGCATGGGCAGCTGAGTTAGGAGGCAAGGGAAGCCAAGGATTCAGGCGTTCGACCGGGTCGGGGACGTCGGCTGTTGGTGTGATGTGGTTTTCGCAGGGGGAGGATCTTTGCTAGGTAAAAATAGAACGAGGATGAGGCAGAGGAGATAAGAATAGAATGGGAAGGACGATCGCCTGTTTGAGCAAACTGTGTACCCAGAGTAGGCACGGCGTTTCTTGAGAATCATGTTGGTTTTTGTGGGTCCAATGTGTATTCTGCTCAAATGTCAGGCGTATGAGTTGTACTAAGAGAGAGAAGACTGAGATATGGCAAGTACTGTAGCACTTGCGCCCGAAGTAGTTATGGTCGTGGGTAGTCAGGATGATCTCGAACACAAGTTCATCCAGGAACCCAAGTAGTGCAGGCGCGACTCGGATCTTGGTACGATGATCATTGATTCAGATCCATGCCATACGATGATAGACAGGGCACGTCGGCATTGAAGGTTGGGTCGTTCGGTGTTTGACGATCAGGACGCTAAGCGCCACAGACAACAGTGGCACTCGACAGTCAAAGCGATGGCGTCGGGCGCGGGATGTGGCTGACGTTGGATGTTGATGGACGGTACTAGATTGTAGTCTGGTCCGAAGGTGACGGCGATAGTTGTGGGTGAGCGTGTCGATGAACGAGTGGTGTGATGTAGGTTGTGGAAGGGATGAGAGACTTGTGGATCACCGGGATGTTCGGCCACGGCCCTTCAGCCAAGCCATGTAGGAAGGCCGATAATTTGAAAGGTTGCTCAAAGGGAGTATTTTCTGAGGTCCTCGCAAGGAACCTATTCTCAGATGCGAAGTTCAGTGGAGACTTCTGAAGTCAAAGTGCCCATGTCACAGCATCCTCAGAACAAGGCAAAAAAGAACAGACTCGTCCAATATGCATCCATAGTCATAGCTTGTAAACGTCACAGGTATACAGGGAAACCCAATAGCTAGAGCATCTCGAGGAACTGGCGTACGCCGGCCTCGTTCATCGCTCCGATGAATTGGTTGATTGGTTTTCCGTCTTTGAAGGCGACTACGGTGGGTAGGGAGCGGATCTGTGTAAAGAGAGATACGGGTGTTGGTGAGCGGGTCGAGTGGAAAGTTTGTTACAGGGGTAGATGAGATGAGAGGTGGCGGTGGCGCCACAATGGAGCATATGAGACGGAAGCAAACACAGAGGGGCAGACATAAATTGCAGAGGCGAATAATATATTGAAAGAATATGGATGATATGCAGTATAGGTATAGTGCAAAAACATTGATTACAATGCGAAGCAGGCCCATTCAAAACACGGACCGAACGACGAACCTGATACATCCCAGCCAATGAGGCCTCTTCGTCCGTGTTCACCGTGACCAGATCCAATGGAAGTCCAGTACCCGATTTTGTCGAAGCATCCGACGTGAGTTTCTCGAGGACAGGGGAAAGCATTTTGCACGGTGAGCACCAGCTGTGGCGCGAGGATGGGAGTGAGCATGACGTTCGTTCTTTCCGCTGCGGATTGTCAGAGCAGGAGATGGACAAACTCTGCGTAGAAGTCAACAAGGACGACACGGTCTTTGGTATGCGATGCAGAGGTGATTTTATCGAACACCTGAGGATTTATCAGTTCATTTCACCGAAGAGCAGAATTCAGTTGACAGCGCACCTCTTGGTTCGCGTTGAGGTAGTGCTCCTGCCTGCGCACAGAAGAGGAGAATGCTCGTGAGCTAGAGGACACAGCTCTACGAGATGTCGATGCTGCAAGTTGACGAAGGATAGACGAGGAAGACATGGTGGTGGTATAGGTTGAAGTCGTGTGGCACTCTGACTTCACTTTCTGGTTCGTGATGACGAAGAGCGGTGGACCGGGGGACGGACCAGGCAGGGTCCACGGCATCGGAGACCCTGGACGGTCTTGGCAATAATGCATAATTGGCGCGTCTCGAGGCAATTCGGCCGCTCTCCGTCCACCGTACCTTTCTTCCATCTTCTCGCGTTCCTGTTCTCGAAATGGTCGTTTCTGCGGCAGATGCGAACAAACAAGACAGCTCTGCCTTTCTGTCTTTGTGTTCTATCCAGACGACAACGATACATCTTTTTGGTCTTGTCAATGTCGGCGGCTAGTTTGCTCCACTGACCACAGCTTCGAGTTCTCTCAATTGTATCCTTGCGATAGAGAACACATCGCCAACTTCTCGTCTCCTTGACAAGTCTGACAACAAACACCAAAGGTTGTCGTACGCAGCAAATCAGCTGTCGTCGGAACAGGTCCACTTATGTACCATCTCCGTCAAATGTCTTTCCTTCTCGAGGAAAGATGAACGGGCATGATGGACGTTGTTGGGAAGAAACGCTAGCGCTTCCTGTCGTCAAGGTATCCGCCTTATCCCAGCCGTCTGCAAACAGTCGTGGAAAGTTTCTCCGTGGGTCTCCCCTGATTCGCTGGTGATGGCAGGCGGAAGCGAGGCAAGGGCTATATAAGCTTGCCGTGGGTGGTCAGTTACCCTTTGCTTCTGCCCCCTTCCCCACTCGAGCCCACTTCTTCCTTTGTTCACGAGCAGGGTGAGTATTTCTGTTCTCCTCCTCTCACCGTCGACCCTGTGCGCTGTGCAGTAGGTTGAACCTATCGAGATCTGTTCGCTAACGATGTTCTTTCCCTCTCTCGTCGCCCGTCTCTGTCCGTCCAGTCTCGCAAGCCCTAGTTACCTTCCTCTTACTACCACTTGAAGTTACACTCCTTGTTTTTCCTGCTCGTCCGATTTTGCAAGACCTTTCTTCGTCCTCAACCTTTTCACTCCACTTGAACGTTTTTGAACCTTTCTTTCGACGATCTTTTATATCAAAATGCGTTTCTCTATCACCGCCGCTGTTCTCTCTGCTCTCCCTCTCCTCGCCTCGGCCGCCAACCAGACCATCATGGTCGGTGCCAACAATGGCTTGACCTTCGACCCTCCTAGGTGCGTTTCTTTTTCTGCCTGCGATATTCTTGAGGCATTTTCGCTGACGGCGCTTCTTCTGTGTAGCGTCAACGCCAGCGTCGGCGACACCCTCACGTTCCAGTTCATGTCCAAGAACCACGTAAGCCTTTCCTCCATCTCTTCGCATCTACAGCACATCCCTCCTGTTCATTTGTTCTCCATGGCGCCCGTCGCTATTGCCATCTTTATCCTCCCGAGATCACCACCCCTTTGTGTTCCTTGACGCCTGATGCACGAGACATGATACTGATCATCATCATTCCACCATCTGATAATACAGACTCTCACACAATCCACCTTCGCTGCACCTTGCTCGAACATCTCCGCCTCCGGTATCGATTCCGGTTTCCAGGCCGTGGCCACCAACGCGACCTCCATCCCCTCGTTCTCGTTCACCGTGAACGACACCTCCGCGCCCATGTGGTTCTACTGTCGCCAGACTGGGTACGTACCACCACCACCACACTCTAAATCCATCCATCTCCCGCCACTTCCCTTCTTGACATCGACATCGGCGTGCTGACTGTGTGTTGTTTGTGACGTGAACAGCCACTGCGCAAAGGGAATGGTCTTCGCCGTTAACCCCACCGCCGCCAAATCCTTCGACGCCTTCCAACTCGCCGCGAACAGCACAGGCTCCACCGCCTCCACCTCCGCCTCCGCTTCTGGCTCGGCCGCATCCGCATCCAGCACGGCTGCCACGACCGCTGCCAACGGCGCGATGAGCCACGGCGTCCGGGCGGGCGCGGTACTGATGGGCTTGGGTGTCGTTGCTGGCTTGGTCCTCTAAGTTGTCTGTGGACTTTCTTGACTGGTGAACCTTCGCGAGGATTATGAGTTTTGTTTCGGTGATTCACACACACAACGCATTCTTTTTTGATATAACTTTCTTCGTCGTTTGATACGCTCTTCACGTTCATTTTCCCTGGTCGGACTGGTTATGGACATTGTTTTCAGGTCTTTCACTTTCACTCTCCTTTTTTTTCGAGCAGGGCAGGGTCCAGGGCGCGTGCGTCCGTTTTTGTGTTTCTTTGACTCTTTGGTAGTTTGTTTCCCCCGCGTACGGATACGGTAGCGACTGTGGCTTTGGTCCCCTTTGCAATGGAGGAATGTTGGGCTCGAATTTGGGGATTGTTGTGGATGTGTGAATGTGTGCGCGGATGGTAATTGGTGGTCATTCAGCCTGGGGGTTGAATGGACTTCACCCCATAAGTTATGGGCCTTTCACTGGGCCCTTGGATGCGGCACGGTCAAGTTCTCGCACTGTCGGAACAAACCTGTGGCAAACTCTACAACGAATGTCCCAGGTGGAGTAATCGAGCAAAGGTGCATCATGATTGTGCACACACACTGTGATGAACAGAGTAAGTACTGCAGTAGTTGTGGCTATGTTCATTGTCCGTTGTCAAACCGTATTACACGACGCCATCATCGCACCGACCTCCCGACCTAATACAGCATCGTCCGTCAGTCCATCCTTCCACCTTATTGCCCATTGTCCATTCTCACATGCCATACATATACCCTATGCTTTCCCGGAATGACCGCGACCATCCCTGACCTCAGCGACCACGAAATCTTCAGGCCAACCACGAATTTCCCCAACGATGGGATCCGGGAAGATTGTTTTGAAAAGATTCAAGGGAGGCCTCATGGTTCCTCACAGAAGCACTCTTCATCGCAATACGTCGCGATCCACCCCAACAAACTCACGGCGTCGCTGAACGCGTTCGTCCCGTCGGAGCAAGTGCAGTAGCCCATGATCGAGTCTAGTCATAAATCAGGTGAGCGCGAACGAATAACCATGGCGGGGAACGACGAAAAAATAGAATAGAAAGAGTTTGTGTGAGTGAGAGGAGGAAGTGAACGTACCATAACCACCAACAGTCAATCTTTCGGCTTCTGTACATGTTGAGTTGACGGTGATCGTTGATGCGACACTAGACGCTGAAGAGTATGTGGCGGTGGCGGATGATGTAGCGGCGGTGGACGTCGAGCTGGATGCTCCAGAGCATACTCTGTTTGTAGAAACAGGGGTTCAATTGGTTATAGCTTGGAGAAGGATACAGAGTGACTGTGCGATGAATAGATGGCAAACGCACGAAGTACACGCGTCGGTCCATTGCGCGCAAGATTCAGCGGTGGTCTCTGTGGCGTTGGGATAAACCTGAAGAAGGATAGTTCCCTTAGCAAGCGACTTGGACGCAAGGGCGATATACTGTATGTGTACATACCCCGACCCAGTGCGCGTCTGTACAATTCGTTTGTTGCGCAACGATGCGGGACACTGACACAGATAGGAGCACCAGAGAAGACAGCGAGGAACGAGTGGTGAGCATGACGACCAACAGATTCAGACACAGTTCGAACAAGCGAGCGAATTTCTTCAGAGTGAGCGGAGGCAAAATCAGGAGGGGGAAAATAGAGTGGGAAGTGCTTGCGGTGCGCAGGTCTTCTTATGTCGGAAAGCAGTAAGCGCAGTTGTTGGCGGTCGGGCACGGTTCAACTTTTGGGGTCGTGGTGGACAGCCTTTACTGCAATATGAACGTGTTAGAACAATGGAAAAGTCGGTTCATCCCTTGCCATCACCGTAAAGGCCTGGGCGGCAGTCGGGTGTTACCCATCGTGTAGACACGACAGCCTTCGACTTGTAGCGAGCAGTATTGCCGCTATGGTCTCTGGTGACTCCCAACCAGGACAACCTGTAGATGTTGCATAAAACAACAGATATTATTTAAGATCAGAGGACTCCGGGTTGAAGAGGCCATATCGCCACAGAAAGGATGAAAAGAACCAAGGATACGCGGCTGTATATAGGCTGTCGACTCGAGAGCAAAGCCGACCAGGATCAAAGGCGGCGCGAAGGCGGTTCAAAATAGGTTCAAACTCGTTCTGTGAAAGGGATCTGTGAGCATGGAGTGTCGATATCCCGAAACCTTTGCGGTCTTCTGAGGGCGCGTGGATGGGATGGTGAGTACAGGGCGCAGCGGGTGGTCCTGCCACTGCTCAACAGCTCATTCACGGTATACCTCCATGAAATTATCTTCTCTGCTCAGCTGATTGCAGAACAGCACCACAGTATGCGACGCGCTGAGTGTGAGCTCAAGGAGGTGAGGGTAGGAAATGGTGCCACCAAACGCCACGCACCCACGATCAGAATCAGCAATTTCCTAACATCTCGCGACCTGGTCCGTGCGCACACCTCGCCCAATAAATACCTCGCCCGCTACTTTCCTGATTCCTTACCACTCTGGCCTTTTGGCTTAGATCAAGTGTAGTATCTGTTCTTAATAGTTTAACCACTATTATGGGGGCACCGCCCCCATTATTGGTTATCTAATTTTTGCCGCCCTTGTTCGCCTGGGCTCTGCTTGCAACCCGGGTGGCGCGATGACCTTGCCGCTGCACTACTGGCTTGTGTCGTCGGGGGAATCCCTCTTTTTCTCTCTCTTTTGCTGTTCCTGGTGATCTTCGTCTATTGACGGAGACTTGGGAAAAGCAAATGATTGGAATTCGAGAGACTGGCTTGCGATTCTGTTTGTTTTGGGTCATTTTTTATGGAGTTGTCGAAGGGAAGGTCCTCCGGGTTCTCAGGGAGCTGGAGGGGGATGCACTCGAGTATGGTAGTCCTATGCTTGGTTGTCTTCTGGTCGAATTATTCATGTACGTGCCAGTGGTAATTTCAGTAAAATTGTGTTCATTTTTATGTCGGTACACAGCTGTGTGTTTTGATGCCATCTGCTCTGCGATTCAATAGTACTACAAAGGATCGAATACTTGAATCCAGGTCTGCCGTGTTTTCCGACCCGCAAGGTCCTCGAACTCCTGATTGTGTCTCGAAACCATTCGTATACCCAGTATGACTCGTTCATTGAGACGAAAAGACCAGAGCGGGAGCCCGTTTTGGGAACACCTCGGTGATCCGACGTCTAAAGGCAATCGTGGCGATGGGCGAGTTAGCTTTGAGGTATGAGCATCATTGTTGTTCGTCACAAGTCGACTTTACGGACTCAATATATGAACTCCACGTACAGTTTCGGACGGCACGGTGTACGGTAAGCTCCCCCACTCCGACAGCAGGTAAGGCGAGCTCACATACCTGTTCTCCAGTCGCTTATCCCACTTAGCATCCAGGGTTGAAGCCTTGTCTTATATTGCTGAACGCGCGAGGGACAGAGACCACTCGTCGGTCACTCTGGGACCTGTTCTCGACGAAGGTTGAACAGCCGTGTTCCGTCGTCCCTAATCCAGCTCAAGTTATCCCTTCATTTGAAACTTGCGTTGTTCCCCGTAGGATTCGCAGGCCTCAATAGCATGCTGCTCCAGTTCCACCCTTCGCCAACAGCTCTGACAAAAGGAAAAATACGACTACCAGCGATAAGAATACCAGCGGGAGTCGAACCTACTTTGGCCGGATGAAATGTGCAATACACAATAACCGTTCACGCGTATCCGACTACCTGACCCGTTCAGCCATAGTACCCTAACTCATGAACAGTGTCGAGCCTTGTATCCAGGTAGTAGTCACGGTAAGCTCATGATTTTTCATACGATGCAACTGATTACTTTTACGCGCAGGTTATTTTCCCACTCTAAAACTTGGACACGCACGGCACAACCTCGAGATTTTCCTTTATCTTGCCCCGCAGACTCATTTTGGGTTACGCGTATGTTTTCAATTTCGCGTGTCAAAAGTATGGAAGCTCCTACGCATCATAGGCAGCACTGGCGGGAGTCGAACCCGCCTGAACACCTTTGTTCTAAAGCAGTTCATGCTATATAAGTCACTCTAATGTGTCGCTTTGTCCGCTCAGCCACAGTGCCATGAGTACTAGTATAAGCGAATTCTTTCGTTCATACCGTGAGGCCTGAAAGCCTCACACATCCAGCTTGCAGCTCCGAGTTCGGGAGTAGCGCAGCGCTGAGCGGGCAGGAAAGAAGACGTCGGAGTTAGAAATAGTTCAACTTCCGATCTTGGTAGAACGTCGCCACATTCCCGCGTTTGCCAGCTTCCACTCTGCACACTGATCTCGGTTCAAATCGTTCGACGCTCATACATAGATATTTTTGCAGTCATAGTACACATCAAGTTCGGTAATCATGTCACGTCCGAGTACGTTCGTCCTCGACAAGAAGATTCAAGGCTTGCGGACTTCAGGGGCTACTGGTGGCGCTAAAGGGAAGAAATCTGGTAAGTGCCATCTACGCAACCATGACATGATTTCATTGTCAAATTACGACTGGCACTTTTACGCATTGTAGGACATATTTTGAAATCTCCGTTGAAGTCGACCCTTGGTCTCTTCACGAACGATGGGCCCAATCTTCGACGGAAGAAAGCGGCCGTTCTAAACGGCACGGTCAGCACTTCAACCGCTCACTCGAAACCTGGTCGTTTCAGTTTGCACGATGCGACTTTCTCTCGCTCGAGGGATGGCCACGCTGGTGGCGATGCTGCAAGAGATGCATTGGACGAGTTTCGCGGCTTGATGGAGGACCGCGACGAGCATCGTGATGCTGAGGTTCGCCTCAATGGAAACGAGGAGGATTCTGCCGAAGAAGAGGATTCTGAAGATTGGGATGTCGATACGACCTTTGCGAAGCTTCTAGAACAAGAGTACGCCCCATTTTCGACGGTTTCACAACGCATATATCCACCTTTCACTATACTGACATTATTGATCCTACCTATCCTACCGTCCAGGCAACCCACCGAAACCCCAGACCTTCATCTCACAGCTCTCACCGACATTGCGCTCCCTTCCGCTTTCGCCAACGCATCTTCGGCGTACCGTAAAGAGATCGTCGACACGCTCCTTCCTACTCTCCGGTCTATTAGCGATACACATGTGGCGTTTACTAAGGGTGGGAGGGACCTGAGACTGTCGGGTGTGGTGGTCGAGTTTGATGATGTGTGCAAGGAGTTTGAGGAGGGCGTTGGAGAGAGGGAGGAAATCATGGAGAGGGAGTTTGCGGAGGCTAAGGTGACTACTTACATATTTCTGAAAGCCGAGAGGTGGATATATGCGTAGGTCTGCGGGTCGCCGAGACGACGGGGTGCATATATGCGTTGTAAGGTGTAAAGAACGATTGAATTCGCCTTTTCTTTTTCCTCTTCGTTGTCGCCGTCGTCCTCGTCGTGCTGATTATCTGCTCCAGGTAAGAATGGACAGGTTATTCGAAGACCTCAGGAAGCGTTACAAACGCCGCGAGCAGATGGATAACGAATTTGCCGACTGGATATCCACCAAGGGTATGCCCTTCATTTCTTTCTCCGTATCCGGTGTCTTGTCCACCACTTCGTCTCACATCCACGGGCGTTTCTTCGCCCTCAATCCTTTCCTCCTAACGCGACTAACAATACTTCCTATTGTCTGATTGTTGTTCCTCAATCTGACTCAAAGCCGAGAACGCCCGTGCGCGAGTCAATTCACTCACGGAAGACCTGGAAGACCTGATCACCGTCATGAATAAGAAGAGCAACGCTTTGGACAAGAACGATGGGGGAGCGAAGAAAGCACAGGAGAAGATGTTGAAAGGGCTGTTGATGAAGATGTGAGGAGGCGACGTCTGCCTCAGTCTACGGTGACATGACTGGCTGTATCGACCGGTGTGCCGTCAATTCTCTTGAGCTTCTTGATACCTCGAAATTCTTTCTTGCACCCCTTTGCTCTTTTAGGCAACGAAGGATGGCATCGTTGCCCACATCTCTCCCTTTCCTGGTGTTCTCGCTATACCGCTATACTTTTCGTGCAGTGGCGGGTACTTACGAACATGAACACAACGTGACCTTGGCGTTATGCATAACGCACTGTTTTCAGGAGAAATATTTGACAGAACGGAGTGATCTAACTTCCAGCGCCATCTCGGATCCTGGGTCACACCGCAATGTGCCGAGAGGACGCAGGGGCACAGCTTCCGCTACGCATTGTAACTTCAACCTCTTCAAGTCTGCTAAATGTCCTCGCTTTTTTTCTCCTTTCAGGTCGCCATGCATAGTTGATTTGTGATCACGCTCATTTACAGGCTACTATGGACTCCCCATTCTCTACGAGATGTCCATCAGAACTATTGGTCGAATGCTTCTGCTTTTGCACGTCCTCAGAAGTCCTAGACTTAGATCCCGACTCAGCTCCCATTATTCTCACCCGCGTATGTCGTCGTTGGCGCGAAGTTTCCCTTGAGACGCCTCTGTTGTGGTCGCGTTTTGACTTGGGCAGATCGAATCTTGGACGAACGAAGGCACCAACAGAGTTGAATCCGCCCGCGTTACGTGTATTAGGACTGCACCTCGAGCGTTCAAGGAGCATGCCTCTTACGTTCTTTCTGCAAGATTCGACGCAAGCCTACGTTCCCTTATTATCTCGCCTTCTCAAAGAAAGGAACCGATGGTACGACATTTCTCCCCCTGGCCCATACAAACAATCCAACATCGTCGTCGGGACATCTGTGAACACCTTTCCCAAACTCCAGAGCCTTTAGATTCTTGACTGGCCGAACGATGCCAGCACCTCTCTGCGCTCTATCTTCAAGAACTCTCCAGACCTATTTTGTGTCGCTCTCAAGGTTCTTCTCATGTGCGATTGTCTCAAACTCATGCCTTCACTCTCGCGACTCGCAACACACAAAATCTGGAAAACGTCGAACATGACCGCCGCATGGAGACGAGAGACACACGACCCGCAACTATTCTCTCACATTGCACATCCTTCGAATCTCTCGTGATCTACTCAGTCACATACTCGAAAATCGTGTTCGAACCGGGCGCGTTGAAGGCCAGCAGGTCCAGCAGTTCGTACTGCATCCCCCCCGCTTCTTCTCCTTCCCCATCTCCGACCTCGATTTTCCTTCGATGTACGTCCGTACCCTCACCTTCCCCAACCTCACCGAACTTCAGATATCGCCCACAGACAGGCTCAAACTCCAACTCCCCGGACACCGTGAAGACATCATGGACTTCGTGCCAGTGCGGCGGCATGGGACGTTCGGAACCGTGCAGAGGTTGACGCTTGGATTACCTCCGTCTGCGGAGCTAGACTTCAGGTTGACAATAGCAGGACATTTCCAGAGCATCGTGGAGATTTACCTCGCGGATCTGGAGCCATATTTAACGCCTTGGCAAGGTTTCTGGGATGGTATCGTTCGCTATCCGTCTCAAAGGTGGTGCAAGAGGAACAGTAATGCATGGGCAGATTTCGTGGAAAGGCGGTGGGCAGGCTCTCAGGCTGCAGGTGTCGGTGATGTAGACCAGCTAGCTGGGGTAGGCTGTGATGATGGACGGCTGCAGTACCTTCGAATGGGGGTGGATGCGTACGGGTGCTTGAAGTTTGTCAACGAGACAGCGTTGGAAAGGATATAGCGATGTGTAGAGGAGGGCTTCGTCTTGGAGCCGGTTCATCCACGTATCTGGTTCCTTGGGGAGCGGTAGTTGGAGTTTGTATCAGCGCTGCCTAATTTGCTCTGTTTTCTTTTGGAATATCTTTCTTGAAACGCACGACCAAATGCCCTTCTGTTCGAGTGCCACCCGTCTTGCCACAACGCAAGATGCCGTGAGCACGACTTCGCGCTCGTCTGTGGCGCCATCGCGTCTAGCGAGTTCACAACGTTGACTGCAGAAATGACGAGTTTGTGCATTCCACCCTTGTTCACCGTCTCCCGTATACATCTCTTCGTCAACTTCTTCTCTGACCACGGGACGCACTAAGGAAGGTCTCTAAAAATACGTACAATATCGGCCGTCGTCGTAGGACGCGATGACGGAGGCCCGGGACGGTCTCACATTCCGAATTCCCTGAGGGCACGACGATAAGCCCGGTGCTGAACGTTATGTTTTCGACACCCACACTCTCACACGACCCCCACGGTTTTAAAGGCTAAAGCGTGTTTTAGCCTCGTGCTTCGCTCAGACCCGCCTCTTCGTCGTCTATCACAACATTGCAGTGAAATCTTGCAGGAGGTCTGAACGTGCTGGATAGTCGGACATGGCATCCGTAGGGTACCTCATCTATGCGGGCATTATGCCCTTGATCAAGATGTGAGTTGTTCAATTCGAATGGAATGCAGAGGGATTGGAGTTCAACATTGAAATTGCGTGCCAGGTTCTTCACGATTCTGTTTGGGTACATCCTGGCGAGGAAGGGCCTCTTTCCTCCAGCTGCGTCAAGAGGAGCATCGCAAGTGACGATGAATGTCGCCCTTCCGGCTCTGATCTTCTCGTCGATCGTACCAGCATTCACGCCTGTAAGTGGTTGACACTTTTGAACCGCGACGGACGAAATACTGAGCCTACTCCTTTCCAGTCGAACGTCTCCGCGATCGGACCTCTCGCCCTCGTAGCGGTCATTTACGTCCTCATCGGATTCACTTTTGGTATTCTCATCCGAGAGTTTTGTTACGTGCCGAGGAATTTCTGGCAGGGTTTAGTGGTGGCGACTGGTATGAGCAACTGGGGTAACTTGCGTGAGCATTCTTTCACTCGCATTCACATTGCACGAATATCAGTCTAATTCACATGGTATCACTGCATCAGCTACTGCTGTCGTTATCACCGTAACGGCTCAGGCGCCCTTCAACTCGTCAACTGACCCAGACCTTGGAGTGTCGTTTGTGGCCATTTTCATCATGGTATGTTCCTCTGCGTGGATGTCCGATAATCACCGCCTTAGCTTTGACATGTTCAGGTATACCACCTCGTATTTTGGGTTGCTGGAGCAGCAGCCTCGCTCGCTTGGGATTATGCTCCCGGAGTCCCGCAAGGCGAAGAGGCTGAAGTTCGACTTTGCTGGAAGCAGAAACCCATCGGTTCATGGATTTGTCGACGCATTCTACATCAACCTGTCCCACCTTTCGGTAAACCGCAACCTGAAGAGAAGACCAGTAAAAGTATTCGGTCGTATGATTACTCTGAGAAAGGAAAAGACCTGGAGAAAGCGACGCCTTCTTCCGCTGTAGAGGCACCGGTAGCTTCCACGAGCAACAATAACAAGAACGACATGATCCCCGAAAACCTCGATCAGGACCCGGATATCCAACTCGCGAGACGTACATCACATCTCTCCGCGGCGACGTCTTTCCGTTCACGTCGTCCATCCGCCGGCATCCTCCCACTTCCCAACCTCCACTCCGGTGCACCACCAAACGCGCCACCGCCTTCGCTCGCAGACACCTCGTCTTCTGTCGAGTCTCAATTAGATCGGCCATCACATTCACCATCGTTCTTGGAAAAGGTCAAGAGGGTCGTCAAACCGTTGACCACGGTGGTAACACCGATTACCCTCACATTAGCGATATCGCTGCCTATCGCGCTCGTTCCGGAGTTGAAAGCACTGTTCGTCGACGCCACAGCTTCAGGTGGCCCAGATTGGACAGGACCTGACGGACAACCGCCACTCGTCTTCGCCATCGAGACAGGTTAGTCTCTGACCCTCTGCTATCCTTCTCACTTTCCCTTTCCTCTGATAAAGGCAGGCGCCTTAATGACGGATTCGTTCTTCCACAGCGGAATTTGTCGGACAAATCACCGTACCCATGGCCCTGATCCTCCTCGGTGCCTCCTTTGCCCGCATGAAAATTCCACGACCTCTCTCTCGACTCCCAATCCCAGCCATGATCCTCTGTTCACTAGCGAAAATGGTGCTGCTGCCGGTCATCGGCGTGTTCATGGTGCAGGCGATGGTCAGGGGAGGGTTGATCCCCAAGAGCAGTATCGTTGAGATCTTTGTGGCGATGTTCTTGAGTGGGACGCCGAGTGCTGTCAAGTGAGTTCTTCTAGTCGTTTTTGGAATGATGGGTATGGTGGTGGGGGATAAGGATGCTGATGCTGCGGTCCTTTTTTGACAGTCAGTTGATTGTTTCGGCACTGTATTCACCAGACGGAGACACGGATACGTTGTCTGTATGTCGCCTCTTCAAAGTTGTATCTCCGTTCACCCTCATTGATCTATCGTACTCGTGGTTTTAGATGTTCCTTCTCGTCCAATGTAAGTTTTCCATCTGGGAAAACCGCAGGGAGTCGTAGTCCAATCTTCGTTCTGTGTGCCCTCAGAACTGGTGGATAATCAGCTGAGTGAGCGCAGGACGACGATGGGCTACGATTCCTTGACCAGCGATCATTTTCAATTCTTGTACTTGAAAGCTGACCCTCGATTCTCCATAGATGTCTTCATGTTTCTATCCTCTGCGTATGTGCCTTTGATCCTTAACCATCTCTACATGTTTCTCTTGCTTCCTCGCTAACATTGTTCATATATACAGTATCCTCACCGCTGTATCGCTATGGATCGTCGAGAAATAAACGAATCATGCCAGGCCAGACTGCCCGCCTGTTGGAGATATATATATTATAGACCGGGCACTCGACAAGTCCCCGACCGTGTGACGTGGCCAGATTAGAGGCCACGGTGCGGAATTGTGGGCTACATAGATGTCGCATGGGGTTACGCACCAAGGACGAGAGCGCTCCGCCACTTCCACGTCCTCGTTTCCTTCGAGTCGTACGAGCAACCTGTAGCTATAAACGAGCGCATTGCACTGCCGTATTGTTAGGACCGCGCTGCGAGCCGTCCCTTGTTGTCATCAATATGTATCGGACTTACAACTTGCATATAGCCCGGTTTGGGCTTCGAACTGCGGCTACACAGGAAGACGTGCCTTGAACAATGGGTGGTATAGGTTTGTGGCGTTACTCGTCGCCAATGCGCAGCTGTGGCCGGCACTCTAGAAAAGGTGATAATAATACCTCTACTAGCCTCGGGCTCGCAGCTGTCAGCTTCACCCGCTTATGCAAATATATCACCGTAAGTGGCTCGTTGGCTCGATTTGGGAGAGAGGATACTAGGCAAGTACACACTATACCCTGATATTCGTTCCGTATATCCTCGGCGTCATCAAAGTGTGTTAACCTCGCCTCGCTTCCGTGTCGTGGAGAGGAGATGGCACTGCCATTTGAGCTGTGGGGCTATATTTATGGTCCTGTTACGGTCGACAGCGTCTACTTACTTCACACTTCTGTCATCATAGGCCCCACCAACACCTTCACCAAGATCTCACCTTGTTTCAGACAAGTTACAACCCTCAGGAGTATCGACCGCGAGGCTGACTTGAACCCAGATTGACACCGAGACTTCTCGTTAACCTAATTTTCAACGACACGATGGAAGTCGTCGCCGCCATCGGTCTTTTCCAACCTACATTTTCCATGGCCTGGGGCACCTTGCGCACACTCTCCAGCATCTATAGCAACGTCAAGAACCGGCGATCGCAACTATGCTGCTTGCTGGAGCGTTGTAATAAGCTATTGAATGAGTTGGAAGGACTCTCGGCCAGGGAGAGTAGCAATGCGGTGCAGATTGAGCACAACCTCGACTTCGTTGTGAGGTAGGTACATCGAGAGAATGTATGCTGGTAGGCAATCGCTGACAATATTATTGAATCATTTTTATCATGATAGGGCCATCGAGAAGACGGGTGAAGTGCTCAAGATGATCCAGCAGAAGGGTTTCGTTTGGTGTTTGATGCACCCGTCTGATATTGATCGTCGCATAGAATCAGCTGGCGTGGCCATCGTTGATGCGTATCAGCATTTCAATGTGCGTGTAGTGCTACCATAACGATTGCTAATTGTTTGTATCCAACGCACTAACGGCCATTCTCGTAGATTGTGGCTCATTTGGACAGTTCGGAGTTTCAGGCGAAGATGGAAGTGGCTCGAAAAGAAGACCATTCTGAACTCGTTGCACGGCTGGAAGATATTTCGAAAACCGATCAGAAGATTTTGGACGCGTTAGAAGATCGAGATGGACAGCGTCGACGGATGGAGGAGTTGTATGTTGCACTATTGAAGGTGTGCTCCTATTCACCCACAAGTATATGCGTCTTTCTTACTTGGATATGGGGTGTGCAGTATGTCGAGGGACTTGGCGAGCAGCGTGCTACTGTAGCACCTGAGGAACGATTCCTGCGCAACGCTACGGCGACCTTGGAGAGAGTGTCGAAGTCTAAGCATCAACAATCGCCGCATGTGCGCCCATGGACTCTTACCAGTTTAGAGGTCACGATCCATCGCAAGGAAGTGATTGGTAGAGGTGCGTTTGGCATTCTCTATCGAGGCGAGTGGGCTGGAAAGGTAAAGCATGTCTCCGCGACGATTTTGTTTGTGCTCGCGCGCTGAATGCCAGTTGATGCCATAGACCGTGGCCGTCAAGCAAATGTACCAGGAGGATTCTCGCACCCTCGACGAGAAAGATAAAAAGGTGCGCATTTTTTGTGAACTCCAATTGGTCGAGGAAATTTCTGACAAAAATTGATACGTAGGCTTTCTTGAAGGAAGTTGAGATATGGTAAATACTTGTACTTTAGAGTGAAATTGATACTTGTACCATATTGACAACGTTTTGATTTTCTCTAGGTCGCTCCTGAACCATCATAATGTCCTGCGATTTTTTGGTGCTTGTCTGGAGTCCGTTAAGGTGCGCAACTATGGTTTCCCTGTCAAACGCTACTGAGTTTGAAGTAGCCCTTTATGGTTAGCGAGTATTGTAAGTACGGGAACGTATGCGAGTATCTGCGTGGTCCTTTCCCCGAAGCCGATCGTCTGTCTCTGGTACGCGTGATTTTTCTGCATATGTCGACTGTAGATTCTGATCCGTTTCCCCAGCTGAGTGGTATCGTCTCAGGCATGATATATCTACACGGGAATAGCATCGTCCATGGTGATCTCAAAGGCGTATGCACGCTTCCCGATGTTTATTCGGTTTCGAGCTGAGTGAATCCTCTCGCAGGTCAACGTTCTTGTGGACGATAATCATCAAGCTATTCTTGCCGACTTTGGTATCTCGCGGCTCCTGGATGACACTCTCACAATCCGTAGCCACGCGTCTCTCACTGGGTCATTAAACGGTACTTTTCGCTGGATGGCGCCCGAATGTCTCAGCGGTACCCGAGCTAAGAAGTCCTCGGACGTCTACAGCTTTGCCATCACGGCCTGGGAGGTTTGTCCTCCTCGCCACCCATGTTTCGAAGTTGTTATCACGGCCCTAACTTCGCTCTAGATATTTAGCGGCGAAGTTCCCTTTTTCGGCATATATGAGCCTTTATTGGCCAAAGCCGTTGTCGACAATGGAGAGCGTCCCAAGCGTCCGGGCAGGCTGGACAAGGAGGAGAACGACTCTCTATGGAAGTTGATGGAGTCGTGTTGGGATGGAGATCCTTCGGCCAGGCCATCCTTTGTCAGTATACAAGATACTATGAAATATGATCTTCCCAGACCTAAAGGTAAGAACACCTTCAGAAATCTACGAAGAGGTCATAGCAGTTAAGGACAGTGCATGACTTCTTCTCTCTCATTCAGGATCGCCTGAGCCCGAGCCCTCGACCCTGTACGAACCGGGCAAGATAAGCATTCTGAAGGCTCAGATCCTTGAACTATCGCAGAGTGCACGCTACGAGGAAGCGGCCACCCTTCTTGACGAGCACATCCAGAATAGCCAAACGACTTCAGGTCCAGAACACCTCGAAAGGCTGCAGATTATGCACATGCTTGCCGTCGTCTACGGCCATTTGCATCGATATACCGAAGCTATGGAGTTAATTACGAGCATCGTGGAGGCAAGGAGCAGTATTTTAGGCGTCAACCACCGCGAGACGCTGGAGAGCAGACACTACCTCGCAATCACCTTCTATCACCTAGGACGATTCAGCGCAGCCGCTGCTGAGTTGGAAGTCGTTGTTGATGTGAGGAAGAGGGTTCTTGGAACAGGACTTCCGGACACTCTGGCCAGCATTCATGCGTTGGCTTCGGCCTACCATTGTTTGGAGCGCCACAGCGACGCCGCTGGTTTACTGCAGGAAGCTGTGGACGGCAGGCGAAGCGCTCTCGCGCCTGGGCACCCAGACACGCTGAGAAGCATGCACTTACTGGCGCTTGTTCAGAATGCTCTGAATCGACCTCTCGATGCTGCCCAGTTACTGGAGCAAGTTGTCGAGGAGCGTAACAAGGTTTGCGGGACAGAAAACATCGACACCCTGGACAGCGTCCATTGGCTCGCGGTGATCTATAACGATCTACAGAGGCACACACAGGCTGTAGAGTTATTCGGGCGCGTATCTGAGGCCCGAGCCAGAGTTCTCGGGACGACCCATCCCGATACGCTGGAGTGCAACCACCATCTTGCCATCGCCAATATGGACTTGATGCGATTCGAGGACGCCGCTGCCGTACTTGAACGACTTGTCGCAGCCAGACAGGAAGCCTTCGCACTTGACGATGTCGACACAGTAGCAAACATGCATCTTTTGGCTGTCGCATACACCGAACTGGGCCGAAATGTCGAAGCTGCCGATATCCTCGAGCAGGTTGTCGAATCCAAACAGAGAATACTAGGTGCCACACATGAAGATACCCTCCAAAGTACGCACGCCCTTGCTACCACGTACAGCATCTCGGGACGATATCCGGAGGCTATTGGTCTCTTTGAGAGGTTAGCAGAGACTCCGACGGGAGACTCTGCCTTGGCCTTGGACAGTAGTCACGGCCTAGCTGTCGTATATATGGAGCAGCAGCGTTTCAAAGACGCTGCGAAGCTCTTGAGAACTGTTGTTGGAGGAAGGACGAGGGTACTAGGAGCCGACCACCCCGGTACCCTGGAGAGCATGGATCACCTAGCGAGCGCAATATCCTACACCCCGGAGTCGTCAGACGAGACCGTGTCCTTGTTTAAAGCTGTCTGGCTTGGGAGGAAGAAGGTCCTAGGGCCCGACCATGTAGCCACAATGGACACCGCACATCGCCTCGCCCTGGCGTTACACAACGACCCGGTACGGCGTACCAAACTTTTAGAGGCGACGCTGAAATCGAGGAAGAAGGTCCTTGGTGAGGAAGATATCAGCACCTTGAGCACTGCCCATCACCTCGCCGCAGACTGCTACGATCTGCAACAGCGACGCAAGATACTGGAGAACGTCGTGAGAGCCAGGGAGAGAGTTCTCGGTAAAGAGCACCCCGACACCCACCAAAGCGTCTACCTGCTAGCTGTGACTTACAACCATCTGCATCGGTTCGGCGACGCTTCTGTGCTATGCGAGCGTCTTTCGAAGGCAAGGAGGGCCATCCGCAGCGTTGAAGACGTCGACTATCGGGAGAGTCGCCATATACAATCCGTCGAGTATTGGGAGAGTCGCCATCTCCAAGCCGTCGTATACTACAACCTTCACCGGTACTCCGAGGCGATAGAGGTTGCGTGGGAAGTTTGGCGGGAAAGGATCAAGGGTTTGGGCAGCGAGGACATCGATACGCTGAATAGCGGGCACCTTCTAGCCATGGCACTCTACTGCATCGAGAAGAACATCCGGGCGTACCGCTTGTTGGAGATAATCGCGGGGAAGAGGGCTGACGTACTGGGTGCAGAGCACGTCAGCACGCTGGCGAGCAAGCATCTACTGGTTGCCACCTCCTACAAGTTGCAGAAGCATTTAACCAAGCCTCCAACGCTGATCCTGGAGCTCAGGACAGAGACGCTGATGAAGGAGGTGGTAGAAGCGAGAAAGGAGAAGTTTGGGATCGATCACCTCGATACGTTGGAGAGTATGCATCTTCTCGCCGCCATATACTTCGACGTCGAGCAATTCGCAGAGGCAGAAACATTATTGCAACCGGTCGTAGAGTCTAGGAAGACCGCCGTCACTCTCAACAAGGACCAGGAGTCGCCTAACAGCAAGAGTATTGATCTGCTGGTGCATAGCATGAGACTGCTGGCGGAGGTACTACGAGCTCAACATAAGAAGCCTGCGGCGAAGAAGGCGGAGAAAGAAGTTGAGGTACGCTTCATCTCGTCTATATAGCGCATACGAGGAACATGAAACTGATCTGGCGGTAACAGACCATGGAGAAAAAGCATCAGAACAACCGACCGAGGAGTTCTTCAGCCAATTTGTTTTTTGGTAAACGTATCAAGTCGGAAGTCGGACGATCAGATCTACAGCTAGCCAAGCAACATGCAATTTGAACTCTTGCTGTCCTTGGAAGCGCTATGGAGGTGCACAGTGCAGATGGGCGGCATGTAAACAACACGATCAAAAGCATGAAGGAAGCACACGACGCGGAGTAGATTTGTGCAAAGCCAAGCGAACAGAAACATAGAGACGCCACCATGTGATCGAATAATATATAGACCGTCCATAACAGATGTCCGAAGGTTTCGAGTAAATATGTACAAGCCAGAGTCCAGTGCATAGCCGTGAAACCTCACGGCTTTCGCCCCGCGCGTACAAATACCATGGCGAGTAGACAACTCACATCGGAAAGCGACGGAACCTGCTGGAAGGGAGCTCCAAATCAGGCAGGAGACGATAGTAAGCGCTGCAAACCTTGAGCGATGCGGACGATCGACAAATCTAAACGAGAGAAACGTGCCTCCATGAGCTAGGGCAAATCGAGTATCAACGGGGGAAAGGGTGATTTGCCTACCGTCCATCAGATACGGAACTCTATCCCGTCAAGGGAAAAGTCTCTCCTCGACCGTTGCGTCCATCCCCGTCTCCGACCTCTCCAAATCCATTCTCAGTTCCATTCTCAGCCAATCCTCCTTGACGTGTTGGAATACGACACCGTCCTTCTTCAACAACCTCAACGCCTCCACCGTCCAATTTTGACAGTCCCACATCCGGTCACCCTTGACCACCGGCACGCTCTTCAGCCTCTCCGTCAACCAGCTAAGGTCGTCCCAGCTCGAAATCCAGCCGACGTGCGCACCACCGCGAAGATCGCGAGCCCGCTCGAAGGCGGTGTGATGGCTCGTTGCGAAACAAAAAGAGTCGGAGTTGCCTTTCAGCTCGAATAGTTGGGCATGAAGACGCGACTTGAGGACGACGATGGCCCAATGTTCCGTCCGGCGAAAGTGGCCATTGATAACATACTGCGCTACGACGAGCGGATACTTTTCGGGCATGACAGTCATTAGGTACCTGTCGATTCAACAAAGAAGGGAGGACGGCCATATGCGTGCGTGTGATCGTCAGTCAGCGAGATGTTATTATGATAGGACAAAGAGAAACGCTGAATGAAATGGTATTGGAACTGGAAGACGCGTTTACTCACTTTGGGAAGTGGCGTCAAGCTTGGTACCGGTACAGGTAGGGTAGGGGGGGCCGCAGCGATACGCCTGAACAAAGGTGGGCGTGCAGTTCGTGGGGGAGAATTTGGAAGCTCAACCCTCGGACCGACGACTCTGTTCCTGTTTATATACACAGTACCCTCGTCAAGGGACATCCATGACGGGATCGGAACCGGCAATCGCACAAAGGGATCTGAGATGCGAGGGCAATAATCGACCTTTCCCCCGATTAGAAGAAAGGGAACCGCAGGTCATGGGCATTCTGCATGTTAGGTGCTTTCATGAGATAATGAGGAGTACATGATGGATCGTAGAAGCGCGGGGAGGAGGGGATGCGTGTGTGAGGGGAACGTGGGGAACACGCTTCCACGGAGCGGAGAACATTTGCCTGGGAATGAGCTGAACGAGGACAAAAGGATGCTTTAAAGCTTGAGGCGTGGGTGTTTCGTCATCCCGAGGTATAGGATCGTTGAGGGTGCACCTTATCGCACACAACTTGTCCATGCCTGGCTCGTGACGACTCGGAGAAGACAGCTAGGTTGAGAGACATGAGGTATGGTCATCGGTACATGTCCAAAAGGCGTCCGGGATAAATGACGAAATAATGACGAATAGAAAGAGGGAATTTGCCAAATTACCTTCTCTCCAGTCAGGAAACGGCAGGTAAACATGAGGAAAGACTGTTATTCCCCGTAGCCGCCGTATGTGTGGATGCTTCTAAGACTAAGTGCATCGCGAAATCCGGGAGAGTGTGTAGAAAAGAAAATCTAGAAGGGCGCGCTGAGGCACCGGTGCTGAATTCATCAAAACCGAGGAACGAGGGTGAGGACGTCCAGGAACTGAGGGTGGGCCGGCAGGTTCGCCCGCTGTGTACGGAGTTCTCTAGTCTCCGTATCAAACCTCACAAAGGAGTCGTTGTGTGAGGGCTTTTAATAATTGACACTGGCAAGAACTAGTGGCAGACAAAAGGCGTTGCTAGATGTTTATTGCCGGATAAGAAAAGTCTGGGTATCGTGGCGGAGAAGAGGAGACGGCGTAGAGAAGCTCGATTAGGAAAGGGTGGCGTAACACTTCGCTTGAAGGGACACAAACGCAAACAAAGGTGCTCTAGCGCCACCTGTCGCTGTCTTGCATGGTGAGCTCGGCCGTATTTACCACCATGGACGCCATACGGGTACCCAAGGTAGATCATTACGTTGTATATTTTGGTGCAAATGCTTACAATTTCATTCATAAGGTCTCCGACGTGCTTTGTAGCAAAGCCGGGAAGACCTCTTTCGGCACTCTCTACCTTACAGCCCACCACCTCATCTTCTCATTTAACGATGATGTTGAGCCGGAGATGTGGGCGAGTTATTCTGTGCTTGTATAGCCTACCAGTCCTACGTGCTGATGGTCAGACGATGGTTGGGGCGTGTTCTAGGTTCCGTATCCCTTGATCGCGCTCGTTACACGTTTGCCACAAACTCTTAGCGGGCAAGCACCCATCAGCATACGCTGTCGGACGTTCGAAACGTTTTCTCTATTCTTCGGGAAGGATTCGGATGCGGGAGATGTGTTTGACAGCGTCAAGGAGCTCACTGTGGCCCGTGCGTACAGTTCATCTTTAATATTGGCCCCTGCTCATACTCCCTTTATTGAACAATCCAGCATCGATCACGTCACTATACGCATTCTTCTACTCACCCAAACCACCACTGACCGTCACAAATGGTTGGACCATGTACGTCCCTCGAGAAGAATTTGGCCGCATGGGCGTCGGCACTAGGACGAAGGCGTGGAGATTTACGGACATCAACAAAGATTACTCAGTGCGTCTCCTTCTCTCCACTTGCCTGCCTCCACGGAACGTATTAGCGTTGATAACCCACAGTGATGCCACCGTTCTGTTGTCGCTTTAGTTTTCACCCACGTATCCCGCCCGGATGGTCGTGCCTACGCGTATCAGCGACACGACGCTCCAATATGCCGTGAAGTATCGCAGCAAGGGTCGGATACCTGCTCTGACCTACCTGCATTGGGCAAACTACGTTTGTTCTCCTCTGTTCATCCTGAATGCAATGATCGCTTGAATTGAACATGCTTTTCTAGGGCAGCATCACACGATCGAGTCAACCTATGGTCGGTCTCACGAATGCACGATCTGTCCAGGATGAGAAGCTCATCGAAGCCGTGTTTCAATCCCATTATTCTCCGGACTCCCGAGCTGGGGCGGTCACACCCGTGTTCGGCGCACAAACCACCAATCTTATCATCGATGCCCGTCCTACGACCAATGCTATGGCCAACACGGCCAAGGGCGCCGGAACGGAGAACATGGATCATTACAAGGACTGCAGGAAGGCATACCTCGGGATCGACAACATTCATACCATGCGCGATTCGCTAAATAAAGTCGTCGAAGCTCTTCGGGAGACTGAGCTTCTCGCTGCCAGTCTTACCGGAGGGGATCCAAACTCGAATGCACCGCTCGTTCCGGTCGATAGGTCTGCACTAAGACGATCTGGCTGGTTGCGCCACATCTCTGCCATCCTGGAGGGGACAATAATCATCATACGAAACGTCCATGTCAACAACTCCCACGTACTTATACACTGCTCGGACGGTTGGGACCGGACTTCACAGCTCTCTGCCGTCGCTCAACTATGTCTCGACCCATTCTACCGTACCATTCGCGGCTTCCAGATCCTCGTCGAGAAGGACTGGCTCAGCTTCGGCCACCGATTCTTGGATCGTTGCGGCCATCTTTCTTCAGAGAAGTTCTTCCTCACTCCTGTCGAAGGAGCTGGAGGTGCTGAAGGTGCAGGCGCCGCCCAGGCCTTCTTCGCGTCCGTGCAGAACCGTTTCGCCTCGAACCACCACGTCAAGGAGACGAGTCCTGTCTTTCATCAGTTCTTGGAAACCGTGCGCAATGTCCAGCGTCAGTTCCCGGACCGCTTCGAGTTCAACGAGCATTTCCTTCACGAACTCCATTACCACCTCTATTCATGTCAATTTGGCTCCTTCCTCTTCAATTCTGAGAAGGAGCGCCGTTTGGCATACGACCAGACGGTGTCCATCTGGGATTGGATGAACTCGCCACCACGACGAGACGAGTATCTCAACCCGACGTACGACCCCTCACTGGACGACCCAGCGAGCAGGCAGCCGAAGGCAGACCAAGGTGTTCTATTTCCGAATCCGAAGGACCTGCGGTTCTGGCACGAGCTCTATGGACGATCGGACGAGGAGATGAATGGTAAATATGTGGTGGCGCAGGCACAGGGTTCGGATATGGTGGGCCCGATTGAGAACGCCGAAGAAGACCCGCTCGTGGCATCGACGCCCGATTCCATCGAGACCACACCCTCGTCGCCAGTGATTTCTACGCCTACGCTTTCTACACCACCACTGCCCAACGCGACCCCCGAACCTGGTGCGACTACGCTTACACTGCTGAGCTCTGCCGCCCAGGAACGTATATCAACATCACCTCTCCGTTCTTCCGTTCCTCTTACTACCGGACCGCCAGATTCTCAACGAGCATCTTCTCCCCTCCCTCGATCGACGCGTTCCCCACAACCCTATACAACCATGCGTTCCACGCCTTCACCCGTGCCGAGTCTCGGCGGTCCTCCATCCCCATCGCGTTCCCGCCAACTCCCCGCCAGACCTCAATCCGACTTCCTATCCACAACAGGTGGCGGTCTTCGTTCGATGTGGGGTAAAATCTCCTCCAACGCCGGTGCGGCGCTCACAGCGGCCCAAACCGCCTACGACGGCGTAGCGAAGGACTTTGCCTCGTCGGGGCTCAGAGTCAATTCTTCCAGTGGAAGTGGCGCAGGTTCGGATGGCGAGTTGGCGGAGAAGTCGCCTGTTGTGCCGGGTGGGGGAGAGTTAAGAGGGAGGGATGAGTTGTCGGCTTGGGGCGCTGAGAGCTCTATGACGATATCGGAGAGGGAAAGAGCGAGGGAGCGGGAGAGGGAGAGAATCGTGGCGGTGAGGCCGAGTACGTTCGCTCAGGGGTCGTCGAATCCGTGGGCGAGCGTGAGGGAGAGACCGGGCGTGCCGTCGATGTTGTTGGATAATCCGTGGAGTACGACGGGCGGTGGGGCACCTGGGCTTGGTGGTGGTGGCTCGTCTGCCTCGAAAAGCACGCCGGTGCATGCGAGGGACGTGTTCGCTTCGTCGAATGTTGCCTCTGCGCCACCCATATCTGCGTCAAATTCATCATCGACGGATAACTCGACGTCGGGCTCGGGCGGAAATACGGACAATCCAGGAGGAGCATCGGGCCCACTTGGAGGGGCCAATGATGGCAGCAGCGATTACATCCTGGGCGAATTGGGCCTTCCTCTCGATCCCACCGTCGCCCAACCCATCCCAAGACGAGCGGATTCCTCCGCCACTTCGCGGTCAAGTATCATTGGTGCAAGTGCAGGCGTTTCGACGCCTAGTCTGATGAGGGCGGTGTCGAGAGGTGAGGTGCAGGAGATGAGGAATGGGTCGAGTTTGAGCCCGAGGTTAGCTTCGCCTGCGCCTGCGCCGCCGCCGCCACCACCACCACCGGCGAAGGAGGGACAAATGACAGATCCGTTGGGTGTTGGGCTTATTTAGCATGGGTGGGCAAGAGGGGTGGTGAGGATTGTTGTTTTGCTGATATTCATGTTATACCGGGTGGATCGAGAGGGTACAAATAGTCAAGTGTAGACGCTTGTGGATGTACGATGGTTTGTTGTCTTTCGAACCACGAGTTAACGGAAGGTCTGTGCCTCAGACTCGGACAGCGCCTCGCTAATACCTCCATGTAGTCCGCCGCTCGTGGGTATGTTTATCACAGAAGCAAACTAAGATGCGAGAAAGACACAGCATGATGTCCAAGTCTTGTTTGCCACTCAAGCTGATGCCACACTCGAATACTCTTTAGGTCTTTCTCTCTCACCCGATACACAGTCCTGAGCGAGATGACTGTTTGCGAAAGTGTAAGGTAAGGTAGGTAAGGTAAGGTAATTTATTCAGGGTACAAAACGGGCCCATGAGGACCAATACCCCTATCCGTAGGAATACATGTAAATTACACTACGGAAAACAGCACAGTATCCTTTACCGCTGTGATACCCACAATGCGCCGTGATCTGCACAGAAGCATCAGGCCTCTCACGGGATCCAGAACAGGCTGTAAGTACTATAAGTCATGTAACATGCCTTACCCAAAGAGAAAAAACAATGAAAAGTTTCGACCGTATAAAAACCCATTAGGGAAAAATTGGTACATCTCAAATGGGAGCATGATGCAGAGCTCGGAGTACTTGCAAGCGTACCTTGTACTCGGAGGACGCTGAGAATGATGATTTTCAGTGGTGTACACACCCATAATCAACTGTGTCGTTGGAGGTCGAGGACACAATTACGCCACCTTGGAAGAGCCGTGTGGCGCGTGCCGGTGAATCCGGTGAGGACCGGAGTGTCTCGGGAAACATCGGACGACGCCAACGACACTCGCAAGGATAGCAGATTTTCTGGAAATGAGCTATTAATTACCAAGAGCAATTCTAGCAATCTAGTTTGTTCCAGGGCCAAAGGCAACATTCTGTTGTGACACGGTACAAAGACCAATGTCTGAGAGTGTCGCAATTGGGTGGATGGATCGCAGCGCAGGCCCAACGGACGCTGGTCTGTGAGTGAAGTTTTCGACTGTGGCGAGCATCAGAGCACGACGATCTGTCGTCTCCGAGCACCGCGAGCCTTCGACAACGCTGAGAGTGAGAGATAAGAGACCGTCTGACTGTGGCATGCGTCTGAGCGAGGAATATTCCATCACTTCCGTGCAATGCGAGCCATGAAGAAGAATATCCGAAGATCAGGGAGTGTCATCCGAGCCCACAGTGATCCATCCATCCCATATTTTCGCGCAATCAGGCTCTGGACACTCCTCGAAGGTATGAATACCCTCTCGAGGGCCTCTGGCTCTTTACAGCCGTTCCTGTACGAGTCCGTTGCCGTAAGGAGCTCCTCGTCTGACAACGCTGACGCGTCTGTAAGCGACGGTTGTTTTATGTTTTTCCAGAGAGGTCTTATTAGCAACATGTACGGTTCGTAGTACCTCATGATCCCGCCTGGAGGAAAGAATGGCGCCATAGGTCTCACGTAAGCGGTCATCATTTTACATGCAGAGAACCCAGCCGTGCGGATATATATAAAAGTGGCCAACGTTCTTCGCTTTCCCCCCATCGCCCTTCTTCTCTCCCCCACCCTCTCTCGCGTCTTTCATCCCGTTTAGACTATCCCCCTCTTCCCCTCCGTCGTCCTCGTCGTCCTCTGTCCCCTTCCCCCCACCAAATTAGACACTTATCGCAGCCATGACTGTCAACGGTACCGTCCGCGCCGCGCTCGCGCCTGGCCACTTCCTCTTCACCTCTGAGTCGGTCGGAGAGGGTCACCCCGGTTAGTACCCAACAGTCCTCGAGTTCTGAGCCCTTTAAACCACGGTGCCCATAGCCCAGTAGCTTCTCTTGCTCGTTGGGGCAACGGGCCTGGTCTCTGTCCGATTAGTATGGGTGTGAAAAAACATGGTACTTACGACGGGATGTTCTGTTTTTGCTAGATAAGATCTGTGACCAGGTCTCAGACGCTATCGTGAGTTCTCCTTCCTCGTTCGCCATTCTTCGTCTTTTTCTCCCCGTGCCTTTTCCGTTTTGGGCCTGTATGTCTCATGATTGGATGGTTGGCTGACTAGGGCGCTTTTTCTTCCCTATCGACGACGACGTACAGCTCGATGCCTGCCTCGAACAAGACCCCTCCTCCAAAGTCGCCTGCGAGACCGCCTCGAAGACGGGCATGATCATGGTCTTCGGTGAAATCACGACGAAGGCCAGATTGGACTACCAAGCCGTCATCCGCAACGCGATCAAAGAAATCGGGTACGACGACTCCTCCAAGGGTTTCGACTACAAGACCTGCAACATCCTCGTCGCCATCGAGCAGCAATCGCCCGATATCGCGCAGGGACTCGACCACGGCTCGCTCGAGGACCACGGCGCGGGCGACCAGGGGATCATGTTCGGGTACGCGACGGACGAGACGGAGGAGTTGATGCCGTTGACGATCATGTTGGCGCATAAGTTGAACGCGGCGATGGCCGTTGCGAGGAGGAGCGGCGAGTTGGGGTGGTTGAGGCCGGATAGTAAGACGCAGGTGACGATTGAGTATAAGAAGGATGGGGGCGCGATGATCCCGCTTAGGGTGGACACCGTTGTTATTTCGACGCAGCATGCGGAGGAGATCTCGACGGAGGAGTTGAGGAAGCAGATTTTGGAGAAGATCGTGAAGCAGGTTATCCCTGCGAAGCTCCTCGACGACCAGACGATCTACCACGTACGTCGTTCTCTAGTCCCTTCGTCTTTCCGGATACTGATCGAGGTGCTCTCCTGCAGATTCAACCCTCCGGCCGCTTCGTCATCGGTGGTCCTCAGGGTGACGCCGGTCTGACAGGCCGTAAGATCATCGTCGACACCTACGGTGGCTGGGGTGCCCACGGTGGAGGTGCTTTCTCCGGAAAGGACTTCTCCAAGGTCGACCGTTCCGCGGCCTACACCGCCCGCTGGGTGGCCAAGTCGCTCGTCGCCGGTGGACTCGCGCGTCGTTGCCTCGTTCAGCTTTCGTACGCCATCGGTGTCGCTGAGCCGCTCTCGATTTACGTCGACACGTACGGGACGGGGAAGAAGACGGACGAGGAGCTCGTTGCTATCATCAGGAAGAACTGGGACTTGAGGCCTGGTGTCATTGGTGCGTTTTTGGCTGTGTGCTGCGTATGGTAGAGGGACGACGATGCTGATTGTGCGTGTGGTTTGGTGTTTGTAGTCAAGCAGCTCGACCTCCAAAAGCCGATCTACCGCAAGACGGCGTCTTACGGCCACTTCGGTACGTTTGCTCGCGTTCATGCAGTATCCCATTGACGCTCCTGCTGATCACGAACTACTCTACAGGTAACCCCGCCTACAACTGGGAGAAGCCCAAGCAGCTCTTGCTTTAATTTCCTCGCCCTCGCCCGCGCCCGTTGTCAGCATCATAATACCTATCCCCGTGTTTCCTAGTTCAACACTCCCTGCCCTTGACGGATTTCGATACGTTTTCCAACAAACGTATCCCTTGTTTGATTCGCACTCTGCTCACGATCGCACGCATTCATTGATTGCATTAGGAAGTTCATCCTTCCACCACTATACTTATTAGTCTTCATCTTTTCCTACGTCTGTTTTTTGGTTGCTCGCATGACATCTATCTCTACACCCATCCGCCTCGTAAATCAATTACCCACCCCGTGTTACCCTAGACATCCCCCGCCCCCGTCTTGTACCTACCTACCTCTCTCCATCCACCCACACACCTCCATCTCGTCCTGTATGATTTTCGTCTGTCGTCGTCGTCGTCGTTGTCGTTGGCGGTGGTGGTGGCAGCTGAATGCAATGCTAGGAAGGAATACGAACGCGCTCAACCGCGTAGTTATTCCTTCTGTATTACTCTTCATCTTGCTCTGTGTGTGTACGTCTGGTCCATTCAATACCGCGTCCGTGAGAGGTATCCATACTTTTCGAGGCATTCAACACGGAGGTCTTCTTCCCGTCCCGCTTTGAACTGGCCATGCACGGAAACACGGGAGAGGAGACGGGACGGAGATCTTGCTAAGGTACGTAAGGTAATCTAATCTGATCGTGATGGCCCGCAAGCTAGGCCCGGAGATGCCGGTCGTAAGCAACGCAAATTTGCTCGAGTCGACGTCCTATTCGTCCGATCCGTTTTTCTTCGGGATGGTGTTGGTGAATGAATTACAAACGAACGAACGAACCCAGAAACTTTTTCTGCTTTCAGGCAGCGCACGTTCGTCCGACGTTATCCCTTTCTTCTCCGTCGTCTCTTTCTCCAGCCTTCCAGAACTTGAATCTTGAATCTTGAAAGCGTCCCCGGAACGTTTGACGGTCGATCGTCTTGTTAGAAAGAGTCAAAGCTTTGAAGTTTTGAAAAGGAGTACTAGACTTGGACTTGGAGTAACGACCTGCTACATAGAAGTGTAGACTAGACATAGCATAGCACCAGTGAGCTCATCAACCCCTTCTTCGTTCTTTTGCTAGTGCTAGTTGAACTGACCGTCTCTCCCCCGTCCATCCCATCCCATCCTTCATCCACCTTCCTCCCCCTCCCCACCCTTCCCAACAACCCACCCACCCACCTACCCAGTGTGTGGCATCCTCGGTCTCCTCCTGCACGACCCCAACACCGACGCAGCCCCCGAAATCTGCGAAGGTCTCTCCCTCCTCCAACACCGCGGCCAAGACGCATGCGGCATCGTGACATGTGGACCTAAAGGCAGGTTCTACCAGTGTAAGGCGAATGGGATGGTCAGGGATGTGTTTGATGCGGGGGCGGTGGCGAGGTTGGTGGGTGGGATGGGGATCGGGCATGGTGAGTCGAGGTTTTCTTTGATTTGATTTTGTTGTCTTTTTTGGGGGGAGGTGTGGAGCGGTTTCTGGGATTGGATTGGATGGAGAGAGGTCGTTGCGTTGTCCTAGCCAGACGGTTGTATTTTTGTGCAAGTGTGGCGTGGATAGTCACCTTCCAGACATCGAGGATTTACCGTCGCTCGCCCAGTGGATCATTGATCCGCGGAATCTCGATGTATGCGATCCGCATCCCATCAGGTTTTTGGAGAGTTTCTGCCGGTCCGTATGAGTCTACGGACTTCATAATACCCTCAGGAGTCGTTATATGCGCTCTCCGTGCACTCAGCTGTCTCGTTTTGAACGCATATATCCGAGCAACAAAAGGCGAATCGGTGGCGACCAGTGCATCTCGGTCGTGGTATGATGCGATACTAAGATCCTATCATGATGATGTTGTTGTTGTTCGTGGATCATATCATTCGGATCACGGTGTTCTCGCGAAGGCGCAGATCGCATATATCGCATATATGCGTTTTCTGACATGGAGCGGCCCCGTCTCTGCATCAAACTGCAAACTGTCGACTGACGTATCTCTTCTGTCCAGTCCGGTACCCGACCGCTGGAAGCTCACATCATGCCGAAGCTCAACCGTTCTATGTCAACTCGCCCTACGGCATCGTCTTCGCACACGTATGTCCCGTTTCTCCTCCTCTTTTTCCGCCCATCCACCCAAACACCGTGCTCACAACACACACAACACCCCCACAGAACGGCAACCTAATCAACACTTCCTCCCTCCTACACTTCATGGACGCCGAAGCCCACCGGCACATCAACACCTCCTCCGACTCCGAACTCCTCCTCAACATCTTCGCCAACAACCTCCAACAAACAGGAAAGTTCAGGATCAACGAGGAGGACATCTTTACTGCTGTTGGGGGGCTCATGAAGGACGTTAAAGGAGCGTATGCGTGTGTGGCGATGTTGGCTGGGTTTGGGATTATTGCGTGGAGGGATCCGAATGGGATTAGGCCGTTGGGGATGGGGAGTCGGAAGGCGGGGAGTGGGGGGAAGGATTGGTTGTTTGCGAGTGAGAGTGTGGTGGCGGATGCGGGGGGATTCGGGGATTGGGAGGACGTTAAGCCCGGTATGTCCTGTTTTTCTTTCCTTTTCCCTCGCCTCGCAAATGCATCTGTCCACTTACGCATGAGCATAAAACACATCCAGGAGAAGCCGTCATCATCACCCGCACCTCCGTCTCACGCCGCCAAGTCTCCCCTCCCTCCACATTCGCCCCCGACATCTTCGAATACGTCTACTTCGCCCGGCCAGACTCCGTCCTCGACGGGATCAGCGTCTATCGCTCCCGCATGGCCATGGGCGACGCGCTCGCGCTCGAGGTACGCCGGCAGTTGGAGGAAAGGGGCGAGAAGGTGGATGTGGTGATTCCGGTGCCGGATACGAGTCGGGTTGCGGCGTTGGAGTTGGCGCAGAGGTTGGGGCTGCCGTATAGGGAGGGGTTTGTGAAGAATAGGTATGTGGGGAGGACGTTTATTATGCCGGGGCAGCAGATGAGGTGAGTCTCTCTCTTGCTTGGGAGTGTAAGTGTGAAGTGGGGAAGAAAGCTGATAAGTTGGCGCGTAGGAAGAAGAATGTGAGGAGAAAGTTGAACGCGATGGCGCTGGAGTTTGTGGACAAGAACGTGTTGTTGGTCGATGGTGCGTTCCTTCCTTCCCTCTTCACCTTCTGTGCAGCATGCTTATCATGAACTTTTTGGTTCATCAGACTCTATTGTCCGTGGAACGACATCAAAAGAGATCGTACAAATGGCGAAAGACGTAGGCGCAAAGAAAGTCTTCGTCGCATCCTGCGCCCCCCCAATCCGCTACTCAAACGTCTACGGCATCGACATGCCCTCCCGCTCCGAGCTCGTAGCGCACAACCGCACCACCCCCGAAATCGCCACCGCCATCGGCGCCGACCTCGTCATCTTCCAGACTTTACCCGATCTCGTGAATTCCGTGCGGAATTTGAACCCGGCGATACAGCAGTTCGATTGTTCGGTGTTTACGGGGGAGTATGTTACTGGTGGGGTGGATAGGGAGTATTTGGAGGGGTTGGAGAGGTTGAGGAGCGATAATATTAGGGTAAGGTTGGGGAAGAGCGGGGAGGGCGAGGGCGAGGCGCAGGGAGTGGTGGAAGGGCAGGGTGCGAGTGGTAAAGTTAATGGGACGGGGACGCCGAAGGAGGTTGTGGGTGGGGTGGGCGTGTTGGAGGGTAAGGGCGGAGGAGGGGTGAGGAGTGTGGGGGACGAGAGGGCGGAGGTGAATGGGGCGAATGGGATTAATGGGGATGTGAGGAGAGAAGAGGAGAGGGAGAGGGAGGCGGGGATGACGAGTAGTGAGTCGAGGGGGTATGATACGATTGGGTTGCATAACTCGTGGAAGGCGAGTTAGCGTGCCGGAGCGACGGTGGTGAAAGGCAGAGATCGAGGTCGGGATGGTTTATATAATATCACAGTAAGAGGTGGAGGCGGACAGGTATGCATAGCATAGCATAGAGAGATCGAACCGAAGAAATTATCTTGGTCTGTAGATAATGTATAGAATTCGCCGTCGTCTGCATACGTACTCGTACTCACTCATGCTTGAAGGTTTGAGGGTGTCAGTGGTCGGACGACGTTAAAGTAGTGTATGTTCGTGTAGTGTTTTCGTTTCTTGGTTTGCACAGTGTTGTCCGCAATGGCTCATGGGTTTCTTAGCGATAGTTATCACGTCGACTGGAAATGGGATGGAGACGTGCATCTATGTCATGAAGTACGCGGGAGTACTACATAGGAGCGAGAAATAAGGAACCGCCTGACGGACGTGGACGGGGAGCTTCTCCTTTACGCCACACTTTCCTAGTCTCGGTGCCACTGTGGTTCGATTTAGTCGGAGCTTGAACTCATATACCCATCCTTTGCCTTTACGATCATCTTCGTATATCAGCGACTTTCCGTTTCTGTTTCTCTCTCTCTCCCCCTCTCGGTACTTCCTGTATGCTCAAGGTGACACTCGGTCTTGAAGAAGCCACCGACCGAACCGCAGCGAGGGGCTACGCGAACCAACATGCGTAGCCCGTGTTCTGTAAGAATAAAGCCCAAGTTCATGAGCAAAACTGCTCATAGGATGAGTGTATATGCAAGTCATCTGTAAGAATCATGTAATTGAAACGAATCACGGTCCTAGGCATCTCCACCGCTCCCCACTTCATCACCTTTCTGGCTCACAGTCGCCGTTCGCTCACACTAACCGCCTGATTCCTACTTCCTGGAAAGCGTCAACTAGGCTCCGTCTTCAGTTCAGTACACTCTGCGTCGTAAAACATCCAACGAGCGATTATCTCTTATATCATCTCCGCTCGACTATGACCTCTGGCTCTCACTCTCGAATGCACCGCGCACTGTCGCCACACAACTCGACCGCCACCTCCGACCTCCACGAGCGCCTGCAACCTCCCACACTCTTCCTCCTCCTCAATTCCTCATCCTTCTTGTTTGTCGCTTCACTGGGTCGGCAGGGTGTTCACATCGACCGTCGGCTGCTGTCCAGTAGCAGGGCGGTTGAAGTTCTGGTTGAGTGGTACGTAGTCGGAGAAGAAACCGCCATTGCGGAGGTAGAAACGCCCGTTCTCCAGGCCACCCGCATAATCCATGCGCTGCGCGTTACTCGCGGTGGCATCACCGGTGAAGTGACCAGCGGTGATCTCGGACCAGGTGCCGTTCAGGTTGCGTGCCCACTGGTTACCGTATTGCACACGACGGCCCAAAAAGCCTTTGGTGTCGATGAAATTCTCTAGGAAGGAGTAGACGCCAGACTGGTACGTGTTGGTGGAAGGACGCTTCCAGGTAGCGAGGTAGCGCCAGGAGTTCGATTCGGGCGCGAAGAACCACGCGGAGTACAGAGTGCTGCCTGAACTGGCCTCGGGACGAATGCGCGTGATGATCTTGTAGGTGTTTCCAGCTACCCAGTTGAAGACGAGGTGCGCCTGTCCTCCGGTACCCTCGCCACCAAAGCTGTTGTCTACAACTCCTGCCCCCTTGCTCACGAGTGTGGTCTTCTGACCGTTGTCTGCGTCCCAGACAGAAAAGAGGATCCAGCGCTCGTTGTCTTTGACCTGGATGCCGCAGTAGCCAGCGGAAAAGCCTGCGACCATGAAGTACGAGCCGACGGGGTCCTGGCCCACGGGAACGGTGACCTCGTTGTAGAAGTACTCGCTGTTGACTGGCACGGTGTAGCCCATGTGGACCGAAGGGCCACGGCGCGACCAGTAGTAGTTCGCTGCGTCATTGGCGTAGGCGAGCGCAGAGGACGTGGTTACGCTCAAGCCCGACACATCACCGAAGTAACTGCCGTCCTTGGTCAGACCCTGCATGTCTACCTTCAGGTATCCAGGAGCGGACACAGTGACAGTGCCGACGGGATAGGTTTTGGCGGCCGTCCCAGCGAGCTGGACAGTGAATGCTGTTCCGTTGATGGTGACTCTGACGGAGCTGTGGTTACTCCCCGCGAGGTAGGCGTTCAGCCCGACCGTCACCGAGGCGGTGGAGGCCATGCGGAAGTACGCGCTGGTGATGGTGTTCGCGTTGGTCCAGTTGGCCAGGCCGTTGTCGTTGATGATCTCGGTGGCTCCCGCCGGGGCCGATGTGATGAAGGCATTGCCCGCCAAGGCTACAGTATTCGCTGACATGACTGAAAGTCAGACAGATATTGGTGTATTAGCAAACTTCGACGCCATAGGATCATGAACGAACAGGAAACTCACATATGTGAGAAGGCGAGTTCGACACAATAGGTACAATGATAGCAGGGGTTGGTGGAACCGTCTGAGTGGCAGAGGATGGACGCTATGAGGGAAGGAAGTCATCGAGAACAATGTAGCTTATAAGTCGCTCTGAGACGGCCTTCCATGAAAGACTCCATCCATACGAGAAGTCTCAAAGCTGATACTACTGGCCGGCAAGCTTGAATGTATTTCGTGGAGCGTCAAGAATGTATAGTCGGGCAACAAATTTGCCGAGGTAACGAGCATCGGGAGACCATTGCATGTCTGGGTGACAGTTGGAGGTGACCTCTGAAAACCATTACTTTGCTGTTACGTGTGTGCATGTTCAATGGAATATGAGCCCGGCATACCGATAGACAGGGAATGACCTCGAGCGGTCAACTGTTGTCCGGAGCCCAGATTCCATTCTTTTGCTCGCACTGCGTGATCTACGGCTCCATTCTTCCCATCCATAGATGATCTTCAGCCAGCCGTTCAATACAACATGCCATACGATTACCCACTTCCTCGGACTCTCGTCCATGCCAACATTGTCTCTGAAGTCTTGCGGCGCTTAATTAAGTATGTGAAATGCCGCTATGACAAAGTAGGTCCTGTCCAGCGAGCGCCACCTATTCTATGAAACATTGCGCTCAACTGCGGGCACATCGCGCGAAATCTGCGAAGGCATGTCTCTCTAACGCCGTGGTCAAGATGCGTGCGGGATCGTGGCAAGCGGGCCGAGGGCGTGATTCTACTGTTGCAGGGCAAATGAATGGTTAGGGATTCGTGTGGTGTGGGTGCAGTGGCAAGGTTGAGTAGAGTATAGTGATGTTGGGTATCGATGTGATGAAACGACCACCTAGGTGTATATTCCTCTGGGCTCGTGCACGTTATGTCGAAGAGCCTACTGTAGCAAGGTACGTATGCAATATCCCGGGAGAACACATGTATGATAATATCCAAGTGGTTTTATCAAGCCACATATCGCTCACTTCCCTATGTAGAACGTAATCAGTACAACCGTCAGAGTTTGAGAGTGAGAGGAGGTCGTACTTACCATGCAGCATGAACTCGAAGCACCTTCTGTAGAAGACTGAGACTCAGAAGCACCTCCGCTCGCTTCAAACATCTCATTCTCGAAAAGAGTGGCTAGAGCTCGCGTCACCGAGTTTCGGTTTGCGTCGTTTACGTCGTAGAACCACGGTGTCCCCCTCCGACCGGGCAACAATTCGCCTTCGACCGGCCTGTTTGGGAAGGGCTGCCCAGATTGTGGATGTTGGAGGAGGTTTTCGATAGGTTTGACGATCTTCAAGACTCGAATGACGACGAAACGTGTGTTCGGATCCCTGTGCTCGGGGAGCGGGGAGCGTTCGAAGCAATAGGTGGCAGTCCCTATATAATGGTGAGAATGGAACGAAGTAAAATGGGGAGAAATCAGCATACTAACCACTATATTCCGCTGATCCCCTCCTACTTGAATTTTCGACCCGGGGTCGTAGAGGATTATGAATGACAAAACATCTCCTCGTCTGCTCTTTGTGAGATAAGAGCAGACAACGGATCGTGGTTTTGTTGAATCTCACGCTGAAGGGTTGACCAAAAGTAGTGACCTCGGGCCCGCTGATGGGTCGCAAGAAGGTGGGATAAGTGATGCCTACGTCTGTAGATGCCATGCCGTCGCGGAGAATAAGCTTCCAGAAGAAGGTTTCCCTGGTGTTTGGGTCAGGCCGAGGGTACATGATCCATGGGACGCCGGACGGGAGCATCAGGTCCGTTCCTTTCGCGAAGGTCGCTGGGTCGCTCGATTCGGTCTTGCGGAAGCGAATTTGGCCGAGTTTCTCGATGTGTTTCTGTTGTTTGATGATTCCTTGTGAGTTTCCGTCTGCCGATGACACTGTAGATGACGGGGCTGAGTTCGGTGCGAGGGGCCATGAGTAGTAGAGGAAGCCTTGAGTGCCAGGGGGAAATGGGACGCCATTTGGGTCTGGTTCTTTGATAAAGTAACTAATCTTTTGCAGCGTGCGATATACGGTGCCCCGCACATCCTCACGGTCGGTACTGTACATGGGCTGTCGAATATGCGAGATGTCGTGGAAATCAGAGGCCTGTAGACGAGTTGGGTCGAGGGTCCGGATAGCGTATCCGGGCACGCGTTTCTGGGTTTTTGGTTTGTTTGGGGTAGATCTTGCTGTGCTCTTAGACTGTCGAAAGACACCTGTTTCAGTGGAACGGAGGGCAAACAGATATGTGACAGAAACATTTCGCCAACAGTGACAGTGGATATAACATACTGCATAATTTCTCGTCAAGGTGGCCAGAATGGTTCTTCGCGGACGCAAATTAACAAAGACCAGTTCAGAGTGGCTCATGGGAGAATGATGGACACTAAGGCCACAGAGTAACCGAATCCGTCTTATTTGTGCCATCAAGTACCCTAGGTTCCAGGAAAAGTCGAGAAGGTTTGATAATGAGAAATGAGCCAAAGAAATGTACGGACGAGAGGACAAGTGGGCACTGCTGCGATGGATAATGATCGTCACGGTGGTGGTTCAAGTCAACTCTTTCATCGGACGCACTCTACGGCTATGACTTATTGACTATCCGCTAACCATAATGTCTTCTTTGCATTCAAATTCTATGGCACTATAGCCAAGTGGTTACGGCGACAGATTAGAAATCTGTTTCCCTCTGGGAGCGCAGGTTCAAATCCTGCTGGTGTCGTTGCTCTTTTGATACGGAGTCATTTTTGACTTTGGGGTTTAAGGCAACATCATCGATTGATGGCCCTTGCAGGACATCCATTCGCTGTCCGCTTGCAGCGTTCGCACTTCTTTTCATCATGACTCCCATCCGCTCCCCTCTGGGAGCGCAGGTTCAAATCCTGCCGGTGTCATCCGAACGGTTCTTTTGAACTAACCCCTTGGTAGCACTTGGAATTCCCCCGATAGGCTCTTTGTGTACCTGCGGACATAGCTTCTCTTGCTGCAGGATATACACATTTGCACGAACAAGTGATATTCTCTAGCTTGCGATCTCGTGGCACTGGCTGACGAGGGGAAGTAGCTAAGCTTGGACCGCCGATCACAAGCCGATCGACTTGGATTTACGCCGATGTTGAACTTCCCAGAATTGCACATCTTCCTCACCCTCTTTTCTTGCTCTGCACACCACCCGTCGGTTCTGCAAGCACTGGTCTCTGCTCGCCGATGTTAGGTCTCTCTCGACTGACCTATGGTCTTCTTACGCTTGCTGCCCTTCTTTTACTCGTCTCTTCTAAGGAACTGGCTTGGAACGGGCATCTTACTCCAGGCTCTACTACCCCATCCCCTTTCACGCCATACTATGTCCCGCCTGGCGCAAAATCCTACGACTCGTCTTCCCCTCTTGTACACTACTCTGGTCAATGGACAGACTCCTATTCGCGCCGATATGTCGACAATACGCTTCGCTCGACGACTCAGGCAAAAGCGGCTGTTACGTTCACATTCACGGGTACTGGCATAGAGTGGTTCGGATGTATGGACAAGCATCATGGAGTGGCGAGCGTATGGCTCGATGGGAAGAAGGTGGAGAGCGTAGATGCGTTCAATGACGCCCGGGTCGGCCAGCAGAGGATGTTCTCTGTGTTTGGACTCAAGGAGGGAAAGCACACGATCAAGATCGTGAATGAAGGCATAAGTAAGAGCAGCGGGAATGCTGGCGGCACAGTCACCAGTATCGATGCATTCGTGGTCACCAAGGCGCCTGGCTTTCGTCTTCACTCTCGCACTTCTCACCGTAGAGACTTGGGCTCTGGCTTTCGTCTGGAGGATGAAGCGACTTCTAGGACGTCTCTCGTGTCTAGGTCCTCTTCTAGCTCTGGGTGGTCACTTGAACAGAAGGGGACTACGGGTGTGCATGCCATGCAGTTGGCGGTCATCTCTTCAACCCACGCTATCGTCATGGACAAAGTCGAACACAACCTCCTCACCATTGATAATCATCCCGCCTGGGGAGCACTCTACAATCTCAAAACCCATGTTGTCACGCCTCTCCACGTCCAGTCAAACTCATTCTGCGCTGGCGGTACCTTCCTCTCAAACGGCACCCTCATCAACGTCGGCGGCAATCCTGTCGTCACTGACAAGACCGCTGCAGCCGACTTCGGTGACGTGGACGGACTGCAGGCTGTTCGTATCCTTGAGCCCTGTGACGGAGATGACGTCGGCAGCTGCGACATCGTGGAGGACCACTCGAGGCTGCGCATGGCGAGTCCGAGGTGGTACAATACCGTTCTTAGGATTGATGACGGGAGCGCGATGATCATCGGAGGCTCGAAGAAGGGTGGATGGATGAACAACGCGAGCACCAACAACCCGACTATCGAGTTCTTCCCTCCCAAGAATGTCAATGGCTACAACGGGCTCCCCGTCCCTCTCCCCTTCCTCAGCGATACCCTCAACTCAAACCTGTTCCCTATCGCTTTCTCCCTCCCCGATGGGCGTGTATTTATGGCCGCGAACCGAGACGCCATGATCTACGACTGGAAGAACAACGTGGAGACTCGTTTACCCCAGATCCCGAACGGAGTGCGCGTCACTTACCCCATGACCGGAACCGCCCTGCTTCTCCCGCTCTCTCCCTCGAACAACTACACTCCGGAGATCCTCTTGTGCGGCGGCTCGACCGTAGACGACACGAAACCTTCTTGGGAGCTTGACTCTCAGGACCCTGCGTCCGCACAGTGTTCGCGTCTCGTTCTCAACGACGAAGGGATTCAGAAGGGATGGGAAGTCGATCAGATGCCAGAGCCAAGGACGATGCTGGACGCCGTTCTTCTCCCTACTGGTCAGATCGTCATCGCCAATGGTGCAAAGACCGGTATTTCGGGCTACGGCAACGTTAAGAACCAAGTCGGAGCCTCCAACGCCGACAATCCCGCCTTGACTCCTCTCCTATACGACCCATCCCTCCCACTTGGACAACGTTTCGTGTCTGCTACGCCTCTTCCCAGCAGCGATATCCCGAGGCTATATCATTCCGTAGCGACGCTTACGCCAGATGGATCAGTCATGATCGCGGGGAGTAATCCGAACTTGGATAGGAGTAGTGTGGTTTACGGGACGGAGTACAGGGTTGAGTGGTTGAGGCCTGCGTATATGCAGGACGGGGTGAAGAGGCCAGTTTGGACGGCCAATAGCAACTGGGATGGAAAGTTGAGGTTCGGGCAGGACGTGAGCTTTGGTGTGGATGGACTCGAAGGTGGCAAGGATATCAAAGGTCCGTGCATCTGCATACTCTTCTTATCTTCTTCATCGCTCTGATTTTCCTGTTACCATTACTCGGTCACAATTTTGTGCGGCCCTTTTAGTCGCGCTCATGGACCTAGGATACGTGACCCACGCCGTCCACGCCAACTCCCGCCTCGTCTATCTCAATTGTTCTCCCTCCGATGGTTCGTCGATGACAATCACCGCTCCTCCTAATGGTCAAGTCTACCCTCCGGGCCCTGGATGGCTCTTCATAGTTGTCGACGGCATACCTAGTGAAGCGATCAAGGTCATGGTCGGGGACGGAGCCAGCCCGCCCGTCGACGAAGGTGCTTTGCAGAAGTGAGCATATCTCCGCTGTGTCTCGATTATGAATACATGTACTGATACAATTGATGTCGTATCTAGCCTTCTGAGTAGTACGGATGTGGACCAGTACGATGAGGACAAAGGAGGGGACCGTGGCTCCGGATCCGGCGGCGAAGGGCAGGAATGAGCGTTTGACGGCTATTAACATCGTGGACTTGTTGCGCTCAGAATCGGACATCGTTCTGATACAGGACTGAAGCTGACCTTCCTCTCGTTTGTTATGTATTGTGTCTGATCTTTACTAGTCGTTCTGTACTCGCCAGCTTTCTACATCGCTATCCGACCCGCAGTTACCTCCTGTACACTCGTATCATAGCTTTCGCTCCTTGACTTATAGCTACCTATCGCTCCCGATTGACTGATACCATCGGCGATGCTCGAAGTTTCAGGATACAAATTCATCACGAGGCCATCGCTTGGACACGGCACCACAATTCAGAATTCTGCTAGCAGGGACGACATTACGGAAAGAATTGCTAACAAATATCACGGACGGAAAGTGTCGAAAGGTGAGGCTACAGAATGTTTATGTAGTATAAAGCGCGGTCTATTCTCCGTGGCCGGAATCACCCTTGCCAAGTTGGATCAGGAGTGTCTGGGAACGATCCATGAGATCAGAACGGTCCCCTCCCTGAACAATCAAACATACACTTGCCTTCACCTCCTTCTCTAGTTTCCTTGCCGAAGACTCTTTGTGTTGAAGTCGATGGACTGCGACTAGAAGGGCCAGGCTATGCAGAGTATCTGTGTTTGTATTACCGAGTATCGTCTTTCTACATTTGACGACGTGCTTGAGTGCCTTCTCCGCATCGAGAAACCGTTTGATATCGATGTATGCGGCGGCCATAAGATGCATACTCTCCAGAGTGTCGACATGATCGTTCCCCAGTATCTTCTTCCTTGAATTGACAACCTCCTCTATTAATGTCGGAGCCTCGGTCAAGTGCCTCTGCAACTTATAGGAGGTGGCAGCCAGCAGGTGCTTGGTTGCCAGTGTATTGAGGTGCTCGTCACCGAGTGCTGCAACCCTTGCTGCTAAGGTGACCTCCAGCACGAGCAATGCCTCTGCGTAATCGTGGATGCAGTAGAGAGCAGTGGCCAGCAGGTGACTGCTTTCCAAGGTATCAATATGCTCAGTGCCCAAAGTCGCTGACCTTGCTGTCGTGACCTCCTGCGCCAATGCGACGGTTTCAGAGTATCGATGGAGGTTGTAGTATACGACGGCTTGAAGATGGCGGCTCTCCAGGAAGTCGACATGTTCCACACCCTGCACATCCTTCCTAACCTCAGATATGCGCTCGCATAGCGTGGCGGCTTCATCGTACCGGTTCATGCGATTATACGTCGCCGCCAATAAATAGGCGCTCCCTAGCGTATCGACATCTCTGCTTCCTAAGGTACGTTGCCGGGATCTGACGACATCCTGCAATAAGTCGGCGGCGTCGTTGAGATGCTTCAGGTTGGCGTAGGCGGAAGCGAGACAATGAGAAGTCGCCAGCGTATCGATATGCTCGTCACCAAGCACTTTCTTCCTATACTCCAGAGTCTTCTTGAACAGATCGGCAGCTTCGGTATGACGCCCGAGATCGGAATACACGAGGGCGAGGCACTGTGCAGTAGCCGTAGTGTTCGTATGCTCGAACCCGAGAACCTTCTTCCTCCTCTCCAAAACTCGCTCAAACAACCTGACGGCCTCTGTAGACCGTTTTGAGCCATGATATGCGCTCGCCAGACGGTGCATGCTCTCCAAAGTGTCCCCGTGATCTATCCCCAAAGCCTTCTTCCTCACCTCCACAACCCTTTCAAAAAGAACAACGGCTTTCGGAGACCGCCCCAGGTCATTGTATGCACTCGCCAACGTCCGGGTGTCCTCATTCCCTAGAACCTGTGCCCGAGTCTTGACGACTCCTTCGAGGAGGTCCGCGGCCTCTGAATATCGCTTTGAGGCATTGTAAGCCGTGGAAAGAACGTGAGCGCTCTCGAGGAGATCTTCATGCTCGTTTCCGAGGGCCTTTCGTCTCGCGTCCACGACTGTCGCCAGTACTCGAATGGCATCTGCCTCCCTATGAAGACTGACATACACGACACCCAGGAGATGCATCGCGTCCAATCGTTTCTCGCTGTCGGCTCGAAGAACGACCTCCTCAGCTTCCACAGCTTCTTCCAACATGTGAGTAGCCTCATTGAACCGTCCTAGATTGTCATATACGATCGCAAGCTGGTACAAGCTCTCCAAGCAATGGACATGCTTTGCTCCGAGGACTCTCCTTCTGGCCTCAACAACGCCCTCCAACAGGTCAAGCGACTCCGTAAGTCTACCCATACCGGTGTGGACAACGCCGAGCCAATGCATACTCGCCAATGTGGCGGGGTGTTCGGTCCCAAGGATGCGTTTTCTTTCCTCCACGACAATTGCCAGCAGATGCATGGCTTCGACAGAGTGCTTGGCCGAGGCCTGGATGACAGCCAAAAGATGCATGGACGTTAAGGTATCGGCGTGTCCGATCCCTAAGGTCCTCTTCCGACCATCGACAACCGCTTCCAGCAAGTCGACGGCGTCTGAAGATCGTTTCAAGCGGGTGTACGTCCAGGCGAGAGAGTGAGTACTCGCTAAAGTGTCCAAGTGTCCGGTCCCAAGAACTCCTTTTTTTGCTTCAACAATCCCCTCGAACATGGTAGCGGCCACGGTGAACTGCCCGAGCTCGTTGTGAATCGAAGCGAGGATGTGTCTGCTTTGCAGTGTATCAGGATGATCAGGACCTGTGGCTCTCTTTCTCGCGTCTGCTACCTCGGACGCCAGCTTCAAGGCTTCATCGTAGCGATGCAGGTGGCTGTATACCTCAGCGAGGATCTGCCTGCTTTGTAGGGTATCGGGATGATCTGGGCCGGACGCGATCGTTCGCTTTTCGAGGAGGCTGGCCGCTTCATCGTACCGTCCGCTTTTTAACATGTCGGACACTCGGGTCTGCAGAACGCCCATCCTGGTGACCTCGTCGGTCGCGGAGAAGGATCGCAGGGTCGCAGAGCCGTCATTACTAGATGGGTTTGACAGTGAAGGTGAGGAGGCCTTCGAGACCCTCACGGTGGCTCTAGAGGCTAATCGAAGGACATGAGTTGAAGTCCGGCTGCCGAAGGAGTGACACATGAACATCACTTACCTTTCTCCTTCGGAAGCGCATTCCGGATGCTTGCTTGAATTTGAATGAAGGGAGGTGTCGTCTCAGGATCTGCGGCCCAGCAAGACTGCACGAGCTGCCATATTGGCTCGGTATCCTCAAGCCGGGAAGGGCACTTGGGACGGTCTCCTCGATCGGCCACAGCCCTTGCTATGACACGCTCGTTTATGCTGGCAAACGGAACCTCGCCGGTGAAAATCTATATGGACAACTGCTGTCAGTGCGGAATCCCAAAAACTTGATGTGCATACGAACCTCCCAGGCCGTCATCGCAAAACTATAGATATCCGAGGATTTTCCAGCACGGGCGCCGTCAAGGCATTCAGGAGCCATCCAGCGGAGGGTCCCTTGTACAGGACCTGAAAGAGATGCACGGCTCCTGTTCGTCAGACTGTCATCAAGTAGCTGTGAGATCCCGAAGTCGGCCAACAGGGCTTGATGGTTGTCTCCAACCAGAACGTTCACCTTGGTTCGAGTCAGTATAATAATAACAAGAGTCGAAGTGAAAAAAGATGACAACTCACGCCTTTTAAATCACCATGAATAATGTTTGACCGATGTAAGTACGTCATTCCCGAGACGATATCATCGAGCTGAAGAGAGACGTTGACATCATTCTTAAACGACGAGAATTCACCGCTACGCACCAGGACAAGGCGATTGGCATTAGGAGCATGAACACGCAAATATTCACATACATTTCCGAACTTGCAGTATTGGCTGACCATGAACGGCTATATCGAGAATGAGATGTGTTAAATTGCCAGGGAGGAAGACGTGCCCGTACCTGAACGGCATCGAGGCATGCCCCAAAGAATCGGAGCACGTTGGGATGGTATAGCCGTGCCCTACGAAAAGCTCACGAGTAAATACAAACACAGCATCATATGTAGAACCACAATCCGCGTACCATATCTGCACTTCCTTGAGGAACACCTGTGTCGTGTAACTATTAGACAACCAAGGCACTCACGGGCGAGAAGCGAACGAGAACATACATCTTTCTCTGCGTCCTCCAAGGCGCGAGAGTCTTCAAGATACATCTGCTTGACAGCAACAACCTATGACCATGGTTCATCAGCATCAATCCGCACAGAAAGAGGAGCAGCTGGGGCTCGCCTTCCCATCCCACTCGCCGCGATACAGCATACCGAATGACCCCTTTCCTATTTTTTCTTCATGATGAATCGCAACCTCTAGACTTGTCAGAGTCCACGGCTCTATCGAAGGGGACTGTCCATGCTTCGACTTTGACATCCTTTGCAAGGCTGCAGTTGCCACACGAATGAATTTCTCTTCGGGCGCAGGTGATTTCACACGCTGAACTCCAATCTCAGAGACATGCTAGTCACAGACCCTTAGAACTAAACGCCACTATCTTCAAATGAAAGCTCACTTTCGATAATCCAACCAGGAGCTCTTCCATTCGTCGATAGTGACCATTCCTATCCTCTAGTGCAGCTAGGATTTTATGGTCATTCTTCGATAATTCCTCTAGCCTCTCGGACAAGTCCAAATGGTCCTGTGTTTGCGCAGCTTCCATCCTAGCTTGAAACTCTGAGCTGTCCAAGTGTGCCGCAATCTAATTGTAAATCGTCAGCACGGTTTCTGGGAGGAGAAACGAGTTGATCCACCGACATTAAACCGATTGTACGAATCAATGATGGCGGCGCCGGCATTCTTTATTGCAAGGTCTATATCGGAGGCATGGAGCAAACACCAGACGAAACCCTTCCGCGAGATCATCGATAAAACATCGTCTGTCATCTCAATGGTCCTGTCAACATGAACATAACGACGCGTACAGTCGGTAAACCTATCCATATCGACGACATATGCATATTTCATGGACGTACTGCACAACATAATCCAAAGGGTTATCCACCTCGATAGTCGTCTCTGCGCAATAATCCGTCCAATTCCGTCAAGAGTTGGCATCGATCGAGTAAGCACCGTAGCTGGGAGCGCCTGCTCTGAATAGTATCATAGACGGTGTAAGAACTCTTGAGCGTAGCCCAGGCGATGGCAAGAATTTCAGCCATGATGGACGTCTTGGACGAAGGAGTCGGGAGGGTGATCAATTTCAGGGCGGAAAGGCATGGGTCTGTGTTGATGTTGATGTTGATGTTGATGCCAGGGCGGGACGACATAGACGCTGAGAACATTGTAGTGTCGTTCTGGCATCGACAGGTCTTTGATTTGGTTGGCCGTGGACTTCGATAATTGAATAGAAAGGCATTCTCCAAGCGCGTTCATCACGATGAAAATAAATATCATTCTGTATAAAAAAACAAATTGCCCGGAAAATGAGATGCGCGTAGCGCTCTGGATGCTGAGTCCCAATGTATCCAGGAAGCAGTTTCTTGTGAGCAATCCATTATTTCGACATGGTTTCGTGCCCCTAAAAGACGCAAATGCCGTTTGCGACTGCGGGTTGACAGAAAGTACCTACGGCTAGAGAGTCCACTGAGTTGATAAAGTGTAAAATTTGACTCACGGGCAAAAGTAGACATGGAGAAATGGATAAACAGTAGATGAAGCCGGTGGGTGGTCGATAGACTCGAGTGGCAGCAGGTCTTGTTTGGTTTCTGTCCGCAGAGGTCAGATCCGGCAGTTGCCGGTCTCCTCGCGTCAGTGCGGGTGTCTCCTGATTCATCCTCTCCGCCAGATTCTGACAGTGCACACTGAGTTCGCATTGTCCAGTTTTCCCAAGGTAGGTCTAGAGTAAGTAGGCGGAATATCTATTGGACCAGGAGTCTTTCGGAGACGCGTGTCAATGTGCTAGAGTTGCCGCTTTGGGCTTCTCAGCGACATTGAAGAGATCGCGAGAGAACAGCAAACAGTTGCTTTGTCTTCTCGTGTCCTGGCAGGATTTTGCATTTCCACAAAACGTGGCACGATCCTCAATGCATTGTTTCGCATTGTGTTTTGTCGGCGTCGTTTTGCAATTCTGGTACCGGTGCCGTGCAACGCCCACCTACGCCAACGACACTGAGTTGGCTTGTGTTCCGGTTAGGCTCGGCACTCGGACAATAGCAGAATTCAAATTGACGCTTTGTCCCCTCTGTCAGCCATGATATAAAACGCTGCCCGTCTCTTTCAGCCCACCAGTATACCTCCCCTTCAATTATATAGCTTCCAAGCGCCACCCTTAAGGCAAGTAATCGGCTACTTCTGCGTTACGTTGATGTGAAAGGTTCACGGCAGCGTTCAACACTGACTCCCTTCTCTGTTCACAGACCTTTCACCCCTTTGTATCGACCCGTTCTTTCGCCAATCTCTCCATGGTGCGTAGACCTCGGTATCCTTAGTTTGTTTCGCTCTCTCAACTACTACTAAACTCTAGGAGCCCATTGCGTCCGATACATACCGAACGGCCTCCAAGGATCAAATTTGCGAAGGATGTAACAAGCGTCCTGAGGAGGGACGCTCCCACCAACTTTGCAGCGGATGTCGCGCAGCGATGTTTTGTAGCAAAGAATGTCTAGCGCAGGTGTGGAAGTATCACAAGTAAGTGGACGCCTTCTTCATACCGAATTGCGCTTGGCAACCCGTCTCAGAAAATGACCGTGGCTGATCTTGTCCAAAATCTAGGACTTCGTGCCTGAAGTTTCAGGCGCAGAACGAGCTCGAGGAATTGGGCAAGCCGTCAGTTCGAGCCAAACAAAACCGCCGATTCTCGGAGTTCTGGACCACACATCGGGACACCTTTGTCGATGCTATCGACATGGCTATCCTCGGCGAAATTGTCGGGATTGAAGTCCCAAATGGTTCCTCTTTTCCCGAACACAACTTTAACATCATCGATGCTTCCAATTATGTGGCTTACTTCCAACTCTCCGATAGAGCACAAGGCGGTGACCCATCTAGGACATACGAAGTCAAGCAAGGCACTCTTACGACCTGGGCCGTTTTTGAGAAGGACCCTATACTCAGCGCGATTTACGATCTTGAAGATGTCGCTAGGTGGCGACAAGAGAGCCAGGCAAGGATCCAGCAACTCCGAGAGTCCGGTAAATATCTCGAGGACATCGGCATGGCTACCATAATGATAAGAGTCCTGAGTCCCAGCGGCGACCCGGATCTCAACCAGACTGTGCGTCTTGGGAAGATGGTGTACAAACGGGACGTTAAGGCGTTGCTGACTGAGTTGCAGGCGTTGAAAGTGTCTCCATCATCAGAGTGGTTGGACAACCTGTTGATGTACGTGGATTCGGGCGTTTCGCGCAGGTGGTTCGAGCGCGAGGGGATGAGGACATCGGTCTGTGGGCACATGGTCAAGGTTGTCGGTGAACCAGGCTCGAAGTCTCGATGGAAATGGTTAGAACTGTCACGGGAGGAAGCAGTAGCTCTTATCAAAAAGCGCTTTGGGCATCCGGTAACAAGGGGCAGCTCAAGGTCTTCTTGATTCCGCTAATTCCTGTCTTGTTCTCTCTCGCTCAACCCTACCTTGTTGCTATTCCCTTAGTAGTTAATGTGCATATACCATGTTGACTCGAATCGTTCCCATACTGTACATGATGCGTTGGGCTAACTTCAAGACGCAATATGAAAAATTAAAATGGAACCCCGACGGCATTGAGCTCAAAAATGGAACAAGGCGGCGGGAAACTTCCACTGTAGAAAAGGGCGAAGGTATACGGATCTATCTGAAGTGCATACGGTATGTTTATAAGATACACGCATAAGACGGAAGAAAACGTGACGCACCATGTCCGACTACCACTGCCCAAGCGACCATCGACGCGAGCGCACTGGTTCTAAATCGAAGCCTTCCTCCACGCATCGCTGAATCCTGTCGATAGCATCCTCATTAACTGCCCGTAGACACGCATATGCATCGACTCCCATCCGAAGGCATCTCAGCCGCCCAACCCCTTCCGATCCACTCATGCCAGTTGGCGCCAGGTCTTTATCGGAAGCTCGCGGATCAACAGGACCTCTCCACCGACTTTCTACAAACTGGGCCACTTGTGTGCTGTTCTCCGCGTTCCATCTTCTATGTGCGAGCCGGACCTCTCCCCCATCAAATCCCTCGCTCTCGGACAAATATGGTTCCGACTCTGCCAAATCGACCTCCACGACATTCGGGAAATGCTCCAATATCTCCATTCTGCATTCCATCTCCGCAGACGGCGGTAGTCCGAGCGTCAACTTGCGTACGGTTCCCAATGCTCCATGTCGCTGAACGAAGTTCATCAGGTCATCTCTATGTCTAGCGAGCTCGAAGTTGAGCCTATACGTGGGCGAGATTTCCAGCTCAGAGAGATTGGGGAAAGTGAGAGCGCGGAGGTATATGGAAGGAAAGTCGAGGTCGGAGATGGGGAACGAGAAGAAGCGTAGAGACGGGAGCGTAAGTGGGGCTTGAGTCTGCTGCTCGTCGAATCCACCAGGTTCGAACTCTATTTGCGAGTAGAGAAACGTGCCGATGGTGAGTGATTCGAGGGATGTGCATTGAGAGAGAATAGAGAAGAGATGAGGCTCATGTTCTTCTTGCCTCCATTCGATAGCAACGTTCGAGGTCTTCCAAATCTTGAGGGATGTGAGCTGCGACAGAGAAGGAACAAGTTTCAGGCAATCGCATATGTAGGGGACCTTGAGAGCGATGCGTTTGATTTCTGGAGAGCTCGTGAAGATGGAGCGCAGAGAGGTGCTGGCATCATTTGGCCAGTCTAGGATTTGAATGCTCTGGAGATTGGGGAAGGATGTTGGGTGTGCCGCAACATAAACGTCGGACTGCCTATATGGACCACCGAGAGCGATGTCGTACCATCTATCCGCCTCTTCGAGAAGACGAAGAAAGAAGGGATCATAGCGTCCGCCACCCGCTTGTGTCGAATCCCGGAGCGAGCATGTCAGCGGCATGCTCTTCGAGCGCTGGAGGTGGCGTCCAAAAGCGATCAGGGCGGGAGAGTGTACCTGACTTGACAGACCGATCTCGTTGGGCTGGTTCGTTACCTTTCGTAGCCGGAAACGTGACCATAGCAGTGGCGTCTCGAGGACGACTTCACGCCAACGACGACATATCCGGGCGAGAAGAATGGGTGCCGAGTCGGGGTCCATGTCTGGGACGTCTGCGTAGACACAGTAGAGAAAGCATTCAACCAGAAGTTCCGGCGGACATTTCGTGGAGAATGCGGAGCTCATGGTAATCTAAAAAATAATCGTGGTATTTCGAGTCAGTTCCACACTTCAAATGCAGAAATGATGTGACGAAAATTCGATGGTAACAAGCATAAGTATGAGAATCGAAAAGGACGGACCCTAGTATCTTGTATCGAGAAAGCACCGCTAGTTTATTGATGTCTCCGCGATGGCAGCGATTGAGCAAAGAAGAGAGGGACGGGACGTTCAGTGTACCGCAGACTCGTAGGCGATGATGATGGTCGAGTCAAAGGTTGACAACCCTCGTCAAGGACCAGCCTTCATCTTCACGTTCTCGGATTTAAATTCAGCGCTGGCAGTGTCTGCGCGCATGACATGGTTTTACACGGCAATACAGTAGTTGGCGCGGAATGGCACTCACCAGTGGGCTACACATCGAAAAAGGTTCAGAACGGGAGTAAAGTTCCAGTTCAGCCCAAGTTGAGACGTTCTCCACCCCGTTGGCGTCGTGTCACCTCGTGTCACCACGCGAGGGCCACAGTGGCGTAAATCCAACCTTACGGCCTCCCTCAACACTGTTGAAGTTGGGTCAGACGTCTTCAGAGACGCAAGTGTAAAGCTCGGTAATGGTTCTCAAGACCAGCTAAATTACAAAGAAATGTGCATCATTCGATGGTCACGAAAGGTCGTGACTGCAGTCGTGTAGTTGTAAAAACCTCGGATTGTGGATTGGCAAGCAGGGAATGTATGCAGATAGACAAAAGTGCATCAGTCAAGGCAGATTAAGACATTTACTGTCACTCATACCCAGTATACATAAACGGCACCCACTCAGAAATACTTGTCTTCTCACTTTCTCCCAAAACTATGCAACGGAAGCGATAGGTACAGCATATTTAGCTGACCTTTCCTCCAGCCTATGAGGCGCTCTCTCGAAATTATGTTGACCCAGAAGATGAGCAAAGGTTTCTGCAGCCACGAGTTTTTCACCTCGACCTTTGTGTGGGGCAAGGGACCGGACGACTGTCAGCCTGCTAAGAGACTCGGTGATGGGCTTTGACGCTTGTTTGCAACTTCATGAAAATCTCAGAGTGGGCGCGTATATCGATGCGGCGCGATTGAAGACTTGATGTGGGCGATGCAAGGTCGAAAATAAGACCTAGAAGGCATAGAGATTATGGAAAACAAACAACAGCGGAGGCATGCTCGTTGTATACACGTAGAAAGCCATACAAATCTATCCAAACCAGCCACCAGGAAAAGTGCGAAACAAAATACAAGGAATAACATGCCCTGCAACCGGGATTAGACTCGAGCTCAAAGGGCCCTCTGCCTCATCCGGGAGCTGACAGTCCTGAGCCCTGCGTAGACCTTCCCAGGGGGAGACCCGAGAATGAGCGATACGATGGCATCACGAGCGATTTTAATGTTTTGGAAGGAACCGAGGATGTGAATTTTACTATGCATGACGAACAAATCAAATGAAACACTCAGTAGTGGATTGAGGAAGAGAAAGGGAGAGAAGGAGAGGGTTTGGACGTACGTGTCGGCGAGGATGATTCGTGTGCGACTTGCGTTTTCAATGGTGAATTTTGTTTTGCCGTCTTGTCCGGCTATCCGACCTGTCAAGTTAGAGCATTGCGGATCAGTATACGATTGTTTGCATTCGCATGTTGTAAGAGTGATAGGAGAGGGATTGAAAGGATAATATGCTTACCGATAGCACGAGAAAGATGGTCGCCGTGGAGCGTCTTGACATCCTTGATCTCGAAAGAGTCAAGGTACAGGTCGTCTAGACGAAGTAGAGCAATCGCATCCTGAAAAGTGCGACCTGTTTAGACCTAGATCCAAGCAGAGGTGGATGGAAGCCGTACGTTGACATCGAAACCCAGAGCATACGCCTTCACAAAATCAGCACCCTTCTGAAGCGCACCGACTTCCTTTGTAAGCTTCGATGTCTACCCATCCGCAGATTACCTTGAGTTTGCGAAGATTATGTGAGAGAACATATAGAAGACGCACCCTGATCTCAACAGCCTTCCTCTGCACATTCATCCTAACCTGCAATCCCAAAATCTCCGTCAAAGGCCCAAAAATATTCACCCAATCCTTCTTCAGCGGTGACATGCGATGTGGTGGTATCGGCACTCTCCTCGTCTCACTCTTCAAACTTCCTCGTACGGCAGAAGCTGGAGCGGCATCGAAAGCTGGGGCAGAGGAGTTGGCGTTAGGAAAGAGGGCGGCTGAGGCGGAGTCGGGGTCGATCATGAGCTCGTCGTCGTCTTCTTCCTGCATAATGTCGTTTGATGGCACGTCTGCAGATGGGGATGAGGATGGTCCGCCCGTGGGATGCTCGTCGTCGTCCATGTCGACCTCATCGCCAGCTGTGCGAGGTGCTTTTTTCTTCGAGATCTTACGGCGGTTTTTACGGACAGGTGCAGGATTTGGAATCGCAGTGCTAGTCTGAACAACCATTATAGATACGCCAGTTCACAAATTATGCCAGAAGTTTTTGTACGGGGATAAAGGCTGGGTAAAGAGGATGAAGACTTGGAGGTGTGGGCGATGAGGGGAGGATGAGGACAGGGAAAAGTTACATGCACCTGTAGAGTGGCCTTCGGCATCTGCCGCCTCGACTTCGCCACAATTCTTTGCGCTCGATCGTTCTCTCGATTTGCACTCACTCTCCTCCAAGTACAAACATTTCTTGTGGCTTTCACTTTCTCAGCTTCTCTTTCTCGTCACCCAAAGGCTATACTGGAAATTATAGCGCGTTGTACTCATGGCCTCTGGATCTACTCAAAACCTTAGCCAAGGCCACAACGAAGGTAAGCGTCGGCTGAGGCGCCCCAGTACGTTCGATAGGTTCTGAGAGTTACGTCGTCTCGTACAGCCCTTCAGGCTCTTTTAAAATCCATTTCAACATCGCCAGCATCATCGGCCGTCGAGTCTGGCAACCAATTGTCCGCAGAACAGGCCGGCAAGATCTCTAGTAGATTAGATGAACTGCTGGGAACCGATGTGGCGGGGCAAGCGCTCGCAGAGGCCAGTCAAGTAAAGCGGAACGAAAAGGGAGAGGTATGCTTTCTAACCTGCTGTCGTAGTGTTTTTTGAACTGACCATGGTGACTGTATGGGTCATTCTTTTTTTCAATTTTACCGGACTTGCACGTCTTGATAGATCCTCAATGAAGAAGGCCTTCCCATCATCGAAATTACCGAACCTGTCGACCTCTCCTCAGAAACTGCAGCATCTACGCTCTTACCTACACACGACCTACCCCTCAATCCAACTCCACCACCACCCCTCACTGCAGAGCAAAAAGCTGAAATGGAACGCATCCTCGATATGCTTGAGGCCGAAGAATCAGCTGAAGAAGCCCGGGCATCACTGGAGGCTGAAAAAGCGCGCCAGAGGGAGATTGAGGCCCGTAAGGAGAATGCAAAGAAGGATTTGGAGAGGCTGAAGAAGGCGAAGGAGATGCAGAGAAAGATGGGCAAGGCGTTGATTCGGAACGTCGAGGAAGCGAGGGAGAGGGAGAGGAAAGAAAAGGAGGATCGGGAGAGGGAGGACGAGAGGGCTGAGAGAGAGAGGAAGGAGGGCAAACCACAGGGGCCGAAGAAGAAGGTGTCGTTCGCGGAAATGCCGACTGTACATATAAAGAGTCCCGACACACCGCAGGGAACGGAATCTAATGCGCCGCAGGACGGTTCAAGCGACATGTGGGGAGACGTTTATCCTGCTCGGTTGAAGCCTGCGCATGCAGTGGCCATCGGGAAGCAGACCATGAAATTACAGGTCGTTGAACGTTTCCCGTCCGCTACAGCATCCTCTTCACGCCCAAGGAGCGTCTCGCCACCGCCACCTTCACGATCCGTAACCGAAGCCGACTCAGACGACGAATCAGTGCCTTCCTCACCTGTCCCTGCAGACTCTGATGAAGGGGAACCCATTGTCCAAGATTCCGACCCAGATCATGACGCCCCTATTCAGCCACCATCATCAGGTGACGAGGACGACGATCTTCCTGAAGACGAGGTTCTCGACGACGAGTTCGACTTTGATTCAGCTCAGCATCAACGCGAGATTGCACTCGAATACTATAAGAAACGAAGCACGATAGGTGAAGACACTGCTAGGGCACTATCTGCACATACACATGAGGCAGTCGGACCGAACGGCGAACCTGATGATGAATGGAACCAGCCCGTACGTCTTCCATTCTACTATTCCTCATTTAAATCGTGTAATTTTTAATACTGGTACACAGGAGGTCCCACTTGAGGCAACTCTCTCGAGCAAACAAACACACTCTTCCTCCCGCTTCAAACGTTCCTACAACACCACTCTGCCCCGTAGTACGCCCTCACAATCCCTCGGCGCCTCTGTCCTTCCCTCTTCCACCTCGACCTCATCCACAAGCCTTCCACAAGTAGCCCGTGCCATCCGTACCGGGAAACTTGACGAGAACGACAAGCTCGTCGCACCCCCATGGGCTTCAGATGACGAAGACGTGGAGGATTTCGGTGACGAAGAGGAGAACGCGAATGCGAGGCGGTGGTTAGACGCAATGAGAAGAGGAGAAGTGGAAAATGTAGGGGCAACGATGGAGGAGAGGTCGGATGCGCTTGTGAAAGCATTGGAGGCCGCGTATGGGGCGCCGAAGAAGAGCAAAGACAATGCTGATGCTGACGGGGATCGAACGGCTGTGGCTACGCCTATCGTTGAAGGCACTGTCTCCGCTTCGGTTCCACCCCCGACGACCGTCGTTCCTCCATCTGTGGAGACGAAACCGAAGACTTCGAAATTCAAACTTGCGCGGATGCCACCCCGTACTGCCAGCAGTCTTGCTAGCGCCACAGACTCTGAAGCTGGGACACCGACAATGACGGAAGGGAGGTCGTCACCCAAGATGCCTACAGGTCCCAGCATCATCGAACGGAAAACTGCGGCTCCTTCAGCTCTGGCCTCGTCGGTTGTGGAAAGGAATGCGAAGTCTGCGACGGGTTCTACGATATCTTCGTCGGTCGTTGAACGAAATCCCAGCGTTTCGAACTCAAAGACGACAACGCCACCAACACAACCACACTTTTCCGTGGTCGTTGATTCACCTTCGTTCCAAGCACCAACAGGGTCGACTTCATCCACCATGATCGACTCGCCCTCTTTCTCTGCCCCAGCACCAACACCTTCTACCTCTCAAGCACCCACGTCGATGTCGATGGTCATCGATTCTCCATCATTCATGCCTCCTAATGGGTCGCGGCCATCGAAGCCGCCGGCCGTAATGCGGTCAACTGTGCGAGAGTCTTCTGGACCAAAAGACACGAATGCTGGCTCTTCTAACGTGGATGATGGCGGTGCGCCGAAGAAGGTATCGAGGTTCAGGGCCGAGAGATCATAGGCTGTCTCGCTGTATCTGAATGTATTTGCTCAACTATGTATTTCTGCGCGTCACAATTCTCTGAAGTAGCAACTGTAGCATACATATCATTGTCGATTCTCAAAAGTCCAAAATTAAATCCGCTGAACTCTGATTTAAAAAATAAAGAACAAAGCTATCAGCTGCTAGGAGAGTACTAGGGTGCGCAAGTGGTTTTATAAACCTCTCCGCTCAGCGCGAGTAATAACTCGAAGCAGCAGCCTGATCGCTAGTAGCCACCAGCGACGGATGGAGCATAGTCGTGCGCCACAGTGAATCGAAGTGACTTCCGTCACACAAAATACTTCTCCTCGACTTCGATAGCCGGTCTAGCAAAAGACAATCCACCCCATGTATATCCTGTCTACTCGTATTCTGAGTAAAAAAAAGACGGGTGCACACCGGAAACCGACGGTAGTTCCGCTCCGCGCGCCACCCCTCCTCCTCCTCCTCCTCCTCTGACTTTCCCACGCTTCCCCGCACTTGTCGACTTGAAACATCCTCAAATTTTATGGCCATAAGGGCGAACAAAAATATTACTAGCCCACCGTGGGGGTCGAACCCACAGCCTTCAGATTACACCTGCCTGTTTTACAGACCGTAAGAGTCTGACGCTCTATCCGATTGAGCTAGGCGGGCGATATTTATGATTAAACTTGGATGGTGACCATTGACGGCGTCCTTACTGACGCCATAGTGGCTCGAGGGATAGACACGGTTTATGGACTCTAGAGTCAGGTCCTCCTACACAGTGGATGTCTCTTGAGGCTGAGACCCAAATCCGGGGGGAATCCACACGCTGTGCTCGACTGTCTTTCCGCTGCAAACTCTCCGTCGAGTTATCAATACTACGTTATCTCTTAGGTATCCTCTGGCAGTGAACGACGCTGCCAGTGGCTTGTAGAGTTCTTGGACAGGTGTCTTGTACTAATACTGTCCAATTATGCATCTTGAAACGGTCAAATATCCATCCAAATCTTATCCAAACATCGAGGTTTATTTCAAGTACATATATGATAGGCACATATCGACGATAACGTTTCATGTTTCATAAACCCCATCCTCTTCGTTGCCTCTTCACCGGAGAACCGAGCCAGCTGCGAATAAACTCGGTGTAAGATCAATGGCGACTTCGGCCATAGTTATTGAGGCGTACGCACCTGCACGCAACTGCGGTGTTCCGCTTGAAGTCGTTACACTCTCACTGAGGAACGCAGGTCGAGTCGGTCGCATCTCCACATCCGCACCTGAACAAGCAGCAAGCTTCGACTCCCGGACATCCGCCAGAGCAGGGGCAAGACTGCCTAGCGTCGAGGAGGTTGAGGCCGGACTCTCTGTACAAAGAGAAAAAGAACCGGACAATCAGTATCTCTGCTGTGCGTCAGGGGAAGTGGTGTCGATGCTCACGGCGAAGGGACAGCTGTCGCGGAGACACTGGACACGAAGACGAGTCCAAGGCTGAGAAGGGAAGCAACGGAGAAGAAACGCATTGTGGTAGGATTGTTGGTGGTTGGAGTGAAGTACTGAAGGTAGCGGTTGACGAGGACTCGACTGTTGAAAACAAAAGCCCAGGACGTGCTGGTATATATACGTTTTGAAGACCGTGAAGACCGTCTCGACACGAGGAGGCTTGAACACTCATGGCACGGAGTAAGATTACGGCGCTCGCTGTTGATGTCTCCTGGCCAAGATTAGTTCGTCAACTAGTGTAGCAGTGAATAACAAAACATGTTTCGAGACAGAACTTAATGCCAGTGTGACCTTCATTCTCCGTCTGCGTGTCCAGAAAACGAGGGATTGCAGTGTGACTTAAGACAACAAGACGGTCGTCCGTATTCGCTGCGGCATAGCAGATGACGGTGCTCCGCGATTGTACGGCTTGGACGTCGAGAAGGTGGTAAATACCTTAAGAGCGACATACATAGCTAGAGTTACCAAAATTTCCCTAGACCACCAAGACGAGCCGGCCAACAGTATTGAATCTAAAAAGGCCTCCATGTCATCATAGCACTTGAGATGCAAGGAGCTATAATTGGGTGGCGCCTGCTGGCATACAGCTGAGCAGATCATGCTCGTAGAAGCCGTCGCTGATACACAACAAGAGCCTATAAAACACGTTTCGATACTCGTATTTTAGGCCTGTGACGATGATCTCCCAAAACTGCGTGAGGACCGAGCGACAGTCAAACGTCAATGTAGACGGAAAGGAGAAGACCAACGGAGTTTGGACAGTCGAAAGAAGCGATTCGATGAACTCTGTGGGCGGTAGAAACGCCGGCTGTAGGTTATCACATAGGTTCACAGCCAGCTTTCATTTCGAGTTTCGCAACGGCGCTAACGAAATAATCTTACCAAGGTCACAAGCACTTTCTAGTATCCTGTGCCACTCTCAGGTAGCCAGAATCATCGCCCTGATACCCGCAGACTTAAGTCAGTATACATTGAAAAAAATATCCCGAGAAGATGAACTCACGCATCAGAAGGATCCCCTCTAACCTGCTTTGCCATGCCTCCAACATCCGCATGCACCGGAGCCTGTTCTGGTTTCTACTACGTATTATTCGGAGACCGTATCAGGATTGTCCAAGTAGATAAGAGTAGTTCAAAGCAGAGCATGGACGCGCGACACTTTAATAAGACGAACTTCGCGCAGAGTCAACTGAGGTATACGACGCATCGTCGCCACCCCCGGGCCGCTCGTTGTTGACTGGCTTAAGGCTTCCATCGAGACGCAAGACGTGTGATATAGGATCCTGGTGACCGGAAGAACGGAAATACTGGTGAGAGACATTATGTTGTCGTTGATTACTAGACTGGTGATCTACTCTGCTACGGGGGAGAGGGTTAGGAAAGGAAAGAGCACTCTGCAGTTGTTGATGGATTGACGCAGAGGTTGCTCGGAGACAACCAACGTGAGCCAAGATGGTGGCCCGAAGCGCGTGATGGACGCGTGACATAACGTGCTTCGCATTTGAAATTGCTACGCGTCGAGCTTGTCCGTCACTCTTTGATCATGACTTTCTGACCTCTACAGATCATCACTGCCGCCACGTCGTCTACTCTCGTCTACTTTGCCAACTACCTTAGCTCGACTTACAGCATGAGCACTCAATCCTCCATTGGATCATATACAGGAGTTATCATAGTTCAATGCCCATCTCAAACGAATATATGCGCTATTTCGCTGTGCCACCGCGAATTCCAGCACCGGCAAGCCTGCTGGACAAAAGTTGACTTCCACACCATTTCTGGCCGTCTGGAACCTCTCCGTCCGCAAACCCCCTAATAAAGTTCTCAAGAACTGCAGTATCTGTCGTCGAACCTGCGTTGGTGTAATCCAGCACGTACGATGTCCAGGTCGCGACGTCGCGACCTGGACATCGACACGGGTGCAGATGAGTGCAGGTGTGTCCAGTCTGAGAGTCTCGCGGACGAAACGGATGATCTGTTCTCCTGCGTCGATGTTCCTATGATGGTGAGCGTTGCGGTTTATTTCCGCAGGGTCAGGTAGTATCCGGAGAAATGGATGCTCGAGACGAGCATTGTCGGAAACGAATCTAAGGGAGTTAGACCAGTCGAGTCCCCGAAGATAATCTGTAGCCACGGGGGAAATGGGCGGTGGAGGTGAACGTAACAACCCTCACGCCTACTCCTCCCGCAAAATTCACAAAACCTGTCCATTTCTCTGGTTCGTCGTCCACCCATATCATCAGCCTCTCGTCAGGAGAGGCCGCCGCGTTAGGTGTTGGCACCGACTGCAACTCACACCCAACCCACCGAGGCCAGCTGTCGATGGTATCTCCATACGCCAGGGAAGCGATAAATGCTTCGACGACCTCCTTAATCAGCGTGGACCCCGCGTTTTTGTACTCCAAAACAAACGCCGTTATATTGGCTGACCGCGTCCATATGAGTACGGGTGCTCGCAGACCACGTTCTCGGACGAAGCGTAGCTTTTGCTCTCCTGCATCTGGGACCCACTCTTTCTGAGGCTTGGTTCTGTTGCCATGCTCCCCGCGATTCAGAGTCGGATTTTCGAATCGTGCGTTGTCTGAGATGATTCGAAGACTTCCGCATTTATATGTTTGGCGAAGTAACGCTAGAGATCAACATGCATCAGTTCTCGTTGAAAATGCGGAGATACAGGCTGCTCACCGTCGTTCGATGTAATCCACTGTTTTGCGTGGGCGGTCGAGAGGAGTGTGACTACTCTGGTGTTCGCCGATTGCGCGTACGAGACGAGATCTTGGTTCTTATGGGGTTCGTCGTCTATCCACAACAGTATAGCGCCGGAATAGATCTCACCCCGTCCTAAAAGCCCGCAGAATCACTGACTTTCGCCATCATGTCATACCAACAGGGTAAAAAATCGGAGTACTTGCCTCTACTCATTTCATTATTAGTTGACGGGCTCTGGTTCTGGGCTTGAATCGAACCCGACTGTGAATTCGGCAGCTCATTTCCCATCGCATCATGACCAGTACCCTCCTGCCCATCCATAGCTAACGCTTTCTTCCACAACATGAAGCTGAACGCAAGCTGCAAGTCTTGGCACCTCTGCGCCAACCATTTCTGATCATCCTGCAACTCCCCTAACGCAATGGACGGCAGCAGCTTCGCCACGATTTCCTTCCTGAACCCTCCCTTCTCCGACCACTTTTGTAAATGACCCCTCGTGCATTCGAGCGCTTCTTGGAGGTCCGCAAGGCAGTCGAGTGTCGAGCGATTTGCTGAGTGGGTCGCAGTAGCCTTAGTGCTTAGTGATGGTGTGCTCAAGTTCTGGCAATGAGATGTCTTTGCGGGGGTAGATGATGCCGGATATGTTTCGAACCGTTATACGCAATTAACGGATGGTCTGCTCTTTAGATTGGTGCTGATCGCACCAAGTCTGAATGGTCGATACGGTGGATATGATAGCAGTAATGATAGAGAGTGGGTCCGCCATGGTTGGCAGATCAGGAGTAGACACTGTTCAAGTGGCTTAGCCTTGTGCTCCTCGATGGTATGACTCGGTACAGCAAGGGACGCAGAGCGATGCAGTACGTGGTCTTCCACGAGACATTGACGTTGGGAGCGCCGAAATTACAAGTATCGCACGGACCTTGACCATAACATGGCAGCGCTAGTCAGAGCTACGTGCAGGCCCATCAGGCCAATGCTACACCGTCATGTGGACTATACAGTGACTCTACTATAGGGAATTCAGGTTTCGGGCCATCTCCTCCCCCATGGGTCTCATATTTTACGCGCACCGCGTTGATTCCACAGCGACACAGACAGGCTCGTCTCCCTGACTCAGAAAACATCATGCAGTCCGCACTCTTCTACGACTAGGCCCTTCTGAATGCAATGCTGCAGACGCCCGAAACTGCCACTCTTCTCCACTCTTCGTAGATATGCCAGCGTCTGGTGTGGTAAAACTAGGCGCCGCAAGCCCTCAGTGACTCCCTGCCCATCTTCTCCTCGACGCGCCCGACCCTCCACGAATCCGATAAGATTGCTCATTTGGTCGAAGTTCACTCTCGACTGGTGAGGTGATGTAAGCCGAAGCGTCTCGATGTGAGGCAACAAGCTCAGAATTTCGAGTCGTTGATCGTTTCGTGAAGTATTTGGCAAACCGAGCGTGATGTTTCGTACCGTGTCCGCATGCCGTCCGACAAAATCCAGGACATTGTGGAGGTGATCATTGGACCTGAAGTCAAGTGTGTCTCGTGGTGAGATTCCAAGTTCGAGGAGGTGTGGAAATGTGATGGCTGAAAGCCAAATGGTAGGAAAGGCGGCATCAGAGATGGGGAAGGAGAACGTATGAATGTTGGGCAGGACGACCTTCTCGGTGGGATGATCGTTGTCCATGAATTCTCGTTTGAAGTACGCAAACGTTCCGATATACAAACTCGTCAGGGATGTGAATGTCGACAGGGCAGTGAAGAGTCGTCCGTCGTGTGCCGGCGCCGGTCGTCTCTGTATCGATGGTCGGAGCGGTGATAGGACCGCATACTTCTCAGTGTCGGAGAAATAGGATACCGACAAGGAAGTTAGCTGTGGTGCAATGACGAAGCAGTCAAAGGTGCGAGAAGATCGCAGTGCTAAGGATCGAAGGCTTGGGGCGTTTTCGAATATTGGTGCAAGCGCGCACTCTGAATCGTTGATCCAGTCAACATTTAGACTGTGCAGACAGGGGAATTCGGTGATCCGTGGAAGGGTTGGACGGGTGGACTGAGAGGCTAGGGATATGGTCTCCCAGCGACGAGCATGGCGGAGAAGTACCCCCAGATACTGGTCGAAGTGCGGACTTCCTGCCTTCGTTTGATCGAGTAAGGTGCAGGTGAGTGGAATGCCGAGCGACTTATCGAGAAAGTTTTCAAAAGGTTGTAAGCCCGAGGAGTGAAGGGACTCGGCCTCGTCGCTACTGAACCGCATCAATAGTCGTGACCACAATAACGATGTCGACAGTGCGACCTCACGCCATCGGCGACAAACGCGAGTGACAAGGATAGGGGCACAATTCGGGTGGATGGCAGGAAGGTCTGGGTAAACACAGAAGAGAAAGCATTCTATGAGAATTTCAGCTGGACAGTCGTCGAAGAAGTGGGATGGAGACATGGTAGCCTCCGAAAGAAACGTGGCGTCAGCGTGATGGAGGGAGATAACTTTAGATAGTGAACTCACCGGACTACGAAACGACTATTCACGTCGCTTTCGAGCTAGTAGTCTCTCCGAAAGTATGGCGACTGTATATGCACCAGCCGCAGTAGCACGCCGATGCCGAAGAAAAGAAGCCTACACGAAGTAGTATAGACGGTTCGTCACAGTACGAAGACGCTGGGCTCTGATTCTGCACTGCCAGTGATCATGATGCATTGATGCTTGTACATGTACGAGTCACTGGCGCCGCGGTCCGTATGCATATGGGTCAGCAGGCTGAACTTCACCAGAGTCCTGAATAAGTTTCGTTGATTGGCAAGATATTCGAGGTCATTCTGAGCCATTTTGTTGTTGTTGTTGTTGTTGTTGTTGTTGTTGTTGTTGTTGTTGTTGTTGTTGTTGTTGTTCGACGACATGAACTCACTCAATTGACTTCAACTTTCTAGATTCTGACTTTCAACTTCCACGTGTGTATTTCCACTCCGCACATCTTCAGCCACTCAGCCTCCTTCTCGGGTTTCGCCCATCCTCTCAACAACTACTAGAGCGTCTGACGGCTGCTCTTGAGATAAAGGCCTCCAAAGATCGGACAATACTCAGCCTTGAGGAGCGCACACCTCTGTTTTCGATACACAGGCAATCATAGGCTTGTACCACACTCAGACCCTTTACTGCCCTATCGCGCCTTCCGGCAGTTGCTTCTGGACGAGCTTCTGCTGTCCAACTATCTTACCACATTCAAAGGCACTAGTATTCCCTCGCCATGACAATAACAACCACAAGGAAAGTGATGTCGCATTTCTGGCTCAGGGCTGTCTCTTGTGGCGTCTCTAGCTCTAAAGGTCTCAGTTGGGTCTAAACCGTTGACTCCGCCACTCCAAGTCATAGGCTAGGCAAAGATAGAATGGGTCCGTTTGCGCAAGATCTGGGACGCCTCAAGGCATAAATCGAGGGAGAGAGGGCCGTCTCCATTTCGGGTATGTGGCAGAACTTGAATCGCCTAGACTCGTGTAAGCGACCTCAAGTGAGTAGCTTCATAGCGAGACAAAGGGGGGAATATGAGCACCACGGTCAGTTTTTGAGTCCCTCTCGTGTTCTATTCCTAGTGATGTTGACTTGTCGTATTTACATCTCGAAGTCATGCTCTCGGAGACACGGCTGACAATGCATCGCTTCAAGGGAGCTGCTCTATGCGACTTTGCTTCAGAAGGATCATAAGCGAGCGTGAACATCGTTTTCTGTACCATGACTGGAGAGGTCAGTACGTAACTTCGTACTGACGTGCTTCACGGGCATCATATGCATATCACATAGCTCGCAAGACGACCCAACGCTGATGTGATGCCTCCAAGCAGCTGCAGTACTCTGCGTATCGTCCATGGTGATGTCTTGTGTTGAGCTGCAGCAGGAAGACCGCAATCAGCTTAGGTACTCGAAGCACTCCGTATCTCCCCATCTCGTGCATGCCAAGCCTGATGCCGCGATATTTTTTGATGGGCTGTGTCCAGCGCTGGACTTGCTTCTAAGGCGTCTAAACGATTATGTACCATGCATTGAGTTCGCGTGCTTGTCAGCATATCCGAAACTCGTTCTACGCCTGACAACATATATAAGGAGAGGCTATGATATGTGGGCTTGCAACCATCCATCTTCTCTTGGAGTACCGAACTGCGGCACTTAGGCGACGTATTCGTCGTCCTCTGATCTACTGGGGCTGGCATGTCGGACGGCAATGAAACGCAGTATGGTCTGCCCGATGAAGACCTGCTTGTTATGAAGCTATATCTCCTAGACAGTTCTATCGAGGGGGCATTCTATGGTAAGCAAACTTCTAGAATGGTCAGTATCTTTGTGACTCTGCTTAAAGTTATTCCTTCATAGGGTTTTATCTACTCCTTGCCCTGCTCGCATTGTACAACCTCATGTAGGTCCTTTTCTTTGCTTTCAATTCGTATTACGCATCTAAGGTATACCTTCCTAGCCCTTGGAACGGCCGTTCGATCTCTCGATCCAAAGTCATTTTGCTTTTCTCGACTTTGGTCATGCTAGGCAGCACGACAGGAATCGTCATGATCAGAGCTGCATTGTGGATCATCCAATTACCACTCTTCGGCTTCGATCCGCCAGACAATTCTCGAGTAGTCGCGCGACTTTTCGTCTCGGGCTGGTGGCTTACCAGGATCAACGTGAGTTCCTTTATTTCATACCATCAACGTCGAGACAGATCAGGGCATCCGGAATGTTTCGACTCTTAGTGCATCATCGGGGACGCGATTGTGGTATGGAGAGCCTGGATCTTGTGGGACCGGCACCTTGTCGCCCGTGTATTACTGGCTTTCTGCATGTTTTGCACCTTCGGTATGTCCCTGTTTTGTGTCCAATCACAACCAGACTGATATAGTTCACGATGCTTCGATAGCTGGGGCGATCTCGGATGGGGTCTTCAACACGTTGGGCATGTACGACGAAGATGCCTACACCTGGGCTGAGTCACCTGGCCTCAAAACGGGTGTTCTCCTTTCTGTTCCTCTCCTTACAACCAATATTTGTGCGACTTCTCTCGTCGGTATGAGAGCATGGTAAATATACTCCTAATAGGTCCAGCCCTCCGTTGTGTTGTATTGACCGGCGGCCTGTAGGAAGTATCGGAAGTCCATTGCCCGAAACCTCGGCAATGAAGATCGGAAAACTCAAGCGGAGAGCGTCCTTCTCGTTCTTGTGGAGACCGGGGTGTTCTACATCTTCATCTGGGTTCGTCAAGTTACCCATCGGACCTCCTATTGAGCTCTACACTGATCTATTTATTCTCCAGATCATTATTATGATAGACGATATGGCAGTGATACCTGTGCTCGCAGGACCGGTGTTGGTGGCCATGCAGAACCTCATAGTGGTACGAATCCCGGAATGTGCCCCCAATCAGAATGCTAACGTCTCTTCATCGACTACTGTACCCATCGAATAGCCTATGTACCCCACCATAGTCATCCTCCTTTCCACCCTCGACAGAGCTCCAGCAGAGACAAGATTCGGGACTCGCGGCATCGGCGGATCCATGAAATTCGCTCCACCACCGCCCACGTTATCGCGTGCTATGCCGGAACCTCGGTCAAGATCGTATGACCGGACGACACCCAGCCAACTATATTCGTCGGGAGTGAGAGTACCGATGGATACCTTGGACTCTACGTTGAGACATAGCAGGGAGTCATATCAGTGTGGACTTGAATCTGATAGTGGGAGTGCAGCTGTAGCAAGCGATGGGATCAAGGATGTGACGACTGATAGGCAGGAGATGTATGACAGGTCTTCGTCGCGCCTCGACGAGGTTGTTCCATAGGTTACAGCTGTCTTCACCGTAATTTCATCTTATCTTCGCGTTCAGATGATTTCCCTCGCCGTCTATGTCATACAGAGCCGCAAGGACCGCTCCAAAGGCTTCCAAACATCCACGGGATTCACAAACGAGATGATGGTTATAAGGATTACGGTACGTGCCCTGTTGCGCAACATCGGGAGCCAAGACAAAGATAGAAGACAGAATGAGCAAGACACAAGGTCGAAAGTGAACCGTATGCCACAGAACCGGAATCAGAAGACGAGACTCGGACACGAACGAATATATAGAAAAACGTCTGGACGGAAACACGAAAAGGGACCGTAGAGCCGCAAGAAACCAGAGAAAGCGGAATATTGCTTTGCAGAGAGAGCGGGACGATGCGCCGATAATGCTATTGCTGAGATCGTCAGGTGTATGCGTTGCACGAAGTATGCAGAGGGAACAAAGCGGCTGTATTGAGACGTGCTGTGGTGCGAGTGCGATCGATGTTGCGTGTGTTGTGTAAATAAGTATCCGAATATAATGTATTTACTCTGCGTAGGGAGAAGGGAAGAAAAAGAAGGTCAGCCAATGACGAGAGACGCGGTCAAAACCCCATACGAACCTATGAAAGTCTATTCCTCCCCCCTTCGTTCTAAATCCCCAACGCCTCCTTCTTCGCCCTAATCTCATCCCTCAGCATCACGATCCTACTATCCAACCTCGTACTCAAATCAATCTCGCTTCCCGCCAGCCCCATCGCCGCATCCAACATTTTCCCCGCCTCCTCGATCCTCCTCCTCCACACCTTCTTCCCCTCCTCGCTCTCCGTAACCCCACTAGCCACACTCGCCTCTCTCACCCTCTTCGCCCTCGCCTCCTTCACTCCCGTCGTAAGTCCCAATCCCATTCCCAACCCTGATGCCTCACTACTCCTACTACTAACACTAATACTATCCGGCTCCGCAGTCTCCACAATATCAGGCTGCCCCAGCGCATTCTCCGCGACCCACCCCGCCGGATCCAATACCCTCTCCCCACTCTCCACCTCCGCCTCCTTCAACTCCAACACCGCCATCTCAAACATCGCGACGCCCCCGATCCACGTGCTCGTCCCGATCTGTCCCTGCCTCTTATGCGCATCGAGGAGGAACTGACGGGCGGGGCCATAGGCACCCGCGGTGCGGTGCGCGATACCGAGCAGGAGCGAACGCAGCGCGAGTTCGTCTGGCGTGTCGAGTTTGGCGGTCTTGTGAGACGGTGCTGGAGCAGATGAGGTCGTTCTCGTGGAGGTGGCGGATGAGGAAGTGGCTGTGATTGTAGATGGTTCGGCGGAGGGGAGCGTGGGTGTCGTGGAGGTGAGCGTGGGCGTCGTGGAGGTGAGCGTGGGTGTCGTGGCGGTGGGCGTGGTCGGTGACGATGGTTCAGCTTCGGACGATGATGATGGTTCCGACGCTGTCGAGATTGATTCAGGTATTGACGGCGAGGCGGAGAGGAATGCCGGATCGGAGTAAGGTGTCGAGATCTCGACCGGGGGTTCGAGCATCATCCATTCCCGGATGTGGGCCTCCACGATAGGCTTGCTGATTCGTGCGTGAGAGTTCCAGACTAGACAGATGCGCAAGAGTAAAACGAATAAACGAAAAGCTCTGGAGTCCAAGACCAGTAACTGATGAATGATGCTTACAGATTCCCAATTCTACACCACCCAAACAAAAAAACAGACGTGTATGGTTGCTTTATCAGACTATACCGTCCAATGAGGGAAGAGCTTGAGACAGACCTTCAGCAGGACTGATCGTGATCGCCTCCACATAGCCCTTCTCACTCCCTGTCAACCGCACCTGCTTTGCCTTATAAAACGCCACTAAAAACCCCAAACATGACGCGCCACAACCCACAAAAACATCAGCCAGCTATACGTATGTCGAAATCGTGAAGGAAAAAAGGAATGGCGACTCACACTTCTTCTTGATGAGCACTTCCGTCGGCAGATCCTTCCCTCCAATCTTCTTCTTGTCGAGTAGTCCCGTGATCGCGTCCAGCAACTTTTGGGCTTCGTCGTACTGGCCGAGCGACCATTGACATCCAGCGGCAATGAAGTAGTACGTTCCGTGACTCCTGTAGATGCCATAAACATTGAGAGATCAACAACCAAAAGAATGAACCATGATCAGTCGGAATGAACCCAGAAGGCATAATTAGGAGAAGTGGGCAGGAAACAATAATGAAGAGGGAAGGAACAGATGGGACGCACCAAGAATTCAACTCCGTCATCTTCAAGAACATCGGCGCCGCCTCCCCGTACTCCCTCTGCGCTAGTAATGTCCACGCAAGCTCGAATACCAACTAGATAGCACACCACACCAGCGAGCGTCAGCATCTGTCGCTTCAGTGGATGAGAATTACAGCACGGGGAAGGAGAACGCACCAACGCATCAGCCTGCACGAACGTGTGCGGTCTCTCGGGGCTCAAGCCATCTCTGAGAACCTTGATAGCGCCAAGAGCGTCGTAACCCATCCGCAGGATCTTAGCCTGCAAGGCAAAAGTAAAATGATGGCAGTCAGTCAAGTACAGTCCGATGATCAAAACTGTTGCTGGAACAAGACAAGAAAGACACTCACCCGGTTCAGAATCCACAACGTTCCAGTAGGATATCTCCTCTCGAGCCTATGTTCGCGAAACAAATGAGCCATTGAGAAAAAAAATCAATAAACGCCTTGTACGCCACACAATCCGCGCCACAGCGCGGAAACGCCGATCTCCCGGGTTGACCGTTGACAGGTGATCAACAGCGTCCGCAAACGAACACAAACGCAAACATGGACACGACATGGACGGTGAATAAACAAAAAAGGCGGAACTGCGTGCCACGAGGTACGTCCAAAGAAGGCGAGGAAGGACGGGCGGGGAAAAAGGCTCAAAGAGAGGAGCAAACACGCACTTATCCACGATAATCTCGTATTGTTCCATGATCCACTTCTCGTTCGCCTGATAACCAGACATAAGGAGCACAACGCCATAGTACGACATGAGCGTCAGCCTATTTCCATCGAGATCATGTATGTGGTCAGTACGTAGATATCTTGGTCGACGAAGAGGAAAATGGGTAATGGAGCAAATGTGTCCGGTGGAGGTGGAATAACAGATGGGAGGACGCACCCAGAGAAAACAGCAGTGACATCCTTCTTCGCCGCGCTGACCGACAAACAACGAAGCGCGAGCTTACGGTCATGGTTGAAGCCGAAGAAACCGACAACGCTCCTACGTTCGCCGATAAAGACCGTATGAAACAAAGAGGTCAGTTTCAGCTTTTTCCACCGTGTATCAGGCCTAGAAATGTACGCACTTGACCTTCGCAGGCAACAGTGATAACACAAGGTTAAACACTCCGTAACCTGATCCGCATCAACCGCAGCAATCCACATCCAAAATTCCCAAAATAGCCGCCCATCAGCCAGCGTTAAGACATCAGGCCAAACGGTCCAAACAGCCACACATACCAAACGCAGTCCCACTAACAATCAATTCTTCCACAGGACCCTCTTCCAGCCCATCCAATGCATTCCCGTTCCCCGTCGGCGTCGCTGACCCACTCACAGGCGCAGAAGCCGCGACGGGCGTAGTCGATCTGCTCAAACCCCATCGTCCAAGGAAACCCTTCGCTGTCGGCGTGCTCGGAGTCGTCACGGCATGTCCGTGTTTCTTTGCGGAATTGACGGAAAGGGAAGAGTTGTTCGTGTTTTCGTAGTTTGGGAGGGAGAGTTGCGAGTTGTTGGAAGATGGGGAGGCGGATGGAGAAGGTGCGAGAGAGGAGATGGAGGATGAGGGAGTGGGAAACTGCGAGGGCGAGTAGGCGTCTATTCCGTGTGGGAATACTATTTTGTAGAGCCTGGTGGTAATTTCAAGAGACGTGTTAGGTGAGACAAGGAGTATAGAGAGGGTTAGGTAGAGGGTGCTTGCTTCGCGAATTTTCCGTGGGCACTGAAAGGATGCAGATATCAGTGAGACAGAGTTGAAGTACAAGCGGTATGAGATCGGGTAACCTGTTTATTGCATATCTGTACGGGACAGGCGAGTAAAGTATAAGCGGCGTGATACACTGAAGGCTGCCGACGGAGGACCTACAAGCACTGAAGATAACCCATGTACGACTCGCTGTGGCCGTGGACGAAGTATAGATATTCTGAGTCAACATCCTCATGATCCAAGATATATCTGAGTAGAGGACGAACCTCAAGGCGTTCGTCAATCCGAGCAGGATGGTAGCACAGGCGGTAACGAGCTCGTACTCGGTCCCAGGTGGATATCTGCCGGTCTGCTTTAGCGATTTGCTAGATTTTGCCTGTTTCCTTGCGCCCGCTTCCGCCAGAGTCAACAATCTTGTGGCCTCCGCCATGAGGTTAGACTAAGTATAGCATGCCAGCGTAACAGACCGTCAGCATCGCACAAGTACGCCGATAGCCTGTAGAGACAGACCTCCATGCCGAGAGCTGCCTCTAAAAAGGCGCACACACCAAGACCGAGAGCATGGAATGGGGAGTCTCTAGCCTCAAAGAGTTCTCGTGCGCCGACGAGGTCATTGGAGAATATCTTGTCGAAGCCGGCTGTGGCCTCGACGAGGTCGGCGGCGGTCTGCTCGCTCGGGGTGGGCATGGTGGGCGTTCAGAAACAAGGAAAGCGGTGGGTCGTCGTCGATGTCGTCGTTGGGGATGAAGAGAGAGTGTTGGGGGTGTCTGGGATGGAGGTATGTGGGTCTATATTGGGAGGTGGTGATGCGGCGCCTGTTCTGGCGGCGTCCGCGCGTCCGCGATGTTCGACGCGAGCGCGTCATCAATCCTCTCCTCGGCATCCCTCGCACCGCGCCACTGCGCCACCGCCACACGGCTTCATCAATTCTCCGCCGTTGCGCCGGTATCGGGCCATCCTTGTCACGCCTCCCGCGCTGAGTCACAACGTGACGCTCGCTCTTCAGCCGGGTATCGACCTCTTCGACGCGGAGCTCGAGCCAGCAGGCACCCAGCAGGCGGTCGACATCGACGGCGCTCTCGACGAGCGACCCTTTCGACGGCCATGACCATCTTCCCCAGACTCCTGCGTCCTATACAGCTCCGTACCGCGCAACGCGCATCCACCACCGTCGCCGCCAACAGCAGCAGATCCTACTCTTTCTTCTCTTCCAAGTCCGGCTCGCGGTCAATCGGAGCATCTACGAAACCTCCCAGATCCGTCGCTGCCTCGAAAGGCAGCAGCTCTACCGCATCTTCTAATCCCAATTCTAACACCACCTCGAACGATGAGGATGGCTCAGCTTCGTCGTTAACATCGGACGACGCGTCTTCCGCTAGTTCGACGACAGCAGCTTCATCGGTATCGCCTGTGGATCCTATCGCACAATCATCACCCTTCCAACCGCCCTTCCAGCCACATCATCTCGCACTTTCGCCGAACGACCTCAAACTGCATCAATTCTTTTCCCTCCACCGACCACTCTTCCTTTCCCAACCTTCTTCCTCCCTCTTCGAGTCATCATCTACTCTTCGTCTTCCTAACTCTGCTTCTGCTGCTCTATCCTCCGGCTATTCTGCTGCCCAGGCCGGAGCTGAGCAGGCGAGCACGAGCTCGGATGCTTTCGAAGATCCACCGGAGGCTTCAGCCGAAGCGGATGCGGACGCTGCACGTCTGCTCGCGCGTGCTCTTGTCATTAACCGCGTAGGGGGTACCATTCGATGGGACGAGACGATGCGCAGGCTTGGGTGGAAGGGAGAGGACAGTAAGGAGGTCTTGACCATGTCTGTGGAGATGGTCGGAGGTACCTCGAGCGGAGCAGAGATGGAGGGCGAGAATGTGGTGGATATGGATAGTGTGAAGAGGAAGAGGCGTAAGAAGATGAAGAAGCATAAGCTGAAGAAGAGGCGAAAGGTGTGTCCTTTGTTCTATCTAGTGGTGTTCTCTATTTCGGTCTGGTAAATATGCGAAGGTAACTGATGACTATCGTTTTTTGTTATAGCTCTCCCGTGCATCACGACTCAGGTTGGGCAAGTAATTGAGTCGCATCGTATCACGCGCTGTTTCGACAACTCATGTACATATACACACGCCCCAACTCGCTTTTTTTTCTTGACTTCTTCTCTATCCGCTACTTATGCCAAATCTCACCTCGACTGAGGTGGCGTTCGATGCCATACTTCACAGTCCTTTCCGTCCTTGAATACAGGCGGCATCCGCCACTACTTATGGACGTTAGTTCCGTATTACTCGTTATCAATTGACAAGTCATTTTTCAATCACGGTAAGACTGTGCGGCCTGTATTGCATCGTCTCGTCTCGTCACGGTGAGTGAGTGCGTTCCCAACGTGTATGCACGCTATGCCTCCCGAGCATCGAATCTCCCAGTCTGCGCCACTCTTATTCATCGAATGGCGACTCGTGTCAGCTAACTCTGGCTCTGGACGAACACTAAACAATCCACTGGCAGACAAGTAGATTATGGATACATTTGGCACATGCATTCACGAATGATACAGCGGCTCCTACTGATACATTTTCAGGCATGCAAAATGCCCGTACATATAATTAATTGTTCATACACGGCCTTGAAGCTTGAGCTCGACGCCTGAGTCCTTCAACGCACCGCGGCGGGAGCGAACATACAAAACTCCTCCCCGCTATCGGCGGTATCGAGCTCGTCCCAACCCATGGGCATCTCCCAGGCCGGGTACTCGTACACACGTTGACCTTCGGGACAAACGAGACAATACGCGACTCGGACTTGGACCTCGAGTTCAGCCCCCCATCTGTGCCTCTCCGATTCCGATGCTAACAACGCGCGCACGCGGGCGACGATTTTACGGATGAAATGGTAGCCCTCGCTTGACTCGGATGATGTACAGTGCCTCCCTGACATCGATATCCCAAAGACAGAGATCACGACTCCAATGTGTTGAGGTCCGTCGAAATCGACGCTGAAGGAGTGAAAGAAGGGATCAGGGGATGCGCAGCTTGGAGTTGGGATGTAGTAGTTCCGACCACGGTTACGGTCGACCTGAACGGTAGTCTCGATACCGTTCAGGTCGACCAGTATCATAGAATCGCTCGCTCCGTCGTGTGGAGGAGGTGACCGCCATGCGTTCGAGGTGGTGAAATTCGTGGAATAAACACCTGGCGTTTCAGTACGATCCATGCGGATCTGCCACAGCTCCCTTTCCTCGAACGAGGTGCTGTAGAGCATACGATGGACCATCGCTTCGAACACGCATCCCGCCAACGTAGAGCCCCGCGGATAACGGTAGAGAAGGTCGTACGTCTTCTGAAGGTCTTCGTGCGTTTCCTCCGAGTCTATCAGCGCGAAAACGACCTTTTTAGCGATCTGGATGGATTTGAAGTCGATCGCCCAGTCATCATAGACTTCACTGGTAGAGGATGACAGCTGATTTTGAAGAGGGAGCATGGCGAAGATGCGGTAGGATGTGTCGGAGGGGAAGGTGCGGTTAATGGCGAATGCTCGAACTGAAGCCAGGATCTCCGAGCACCCAAAGCCTACTAGCGCGGCGTCGTGCTCGGTTTGAGTCAGAGGGAGCTCGAAGACGGCCTGGTAGACGTCATGAGGGGCGAACCCGAATTCTTCGGTTGCGTTACGGACTAAGATTTTGAGCGCATCGTCAACCTCGTCTTTGGATGCGGTCGATAGTAGGGCCTTGTCATCCTTGATGTTTGAACCGGCCTCTTCCTCCCTCGAGTCCCCTTCCGTCCGCCTTCTCCTCTCCCTCTTTAGAACTTCGATGACGGCGTCCGTCATTTTCGGTAGTGAGTGCGCAGTCCGGTTGAAGAAGGACGTATCCTCGTCCAGGAATGGAAGGATCCTTTCTAGGTCGGTTCTAAGCCTATCATATCCAGGCTGGACAGGTAAACTGTGGCGAATGCGAAGACTCATTAGCAACGAGCCACTGCCAGGAAAGTAACCACAGTGAACGGAACAAAGGGGGGAACAACGCAAGTACATACCCCGCCAGTAGCTCTTCCATACTCCAAAGTGGCATACCCCACAACGCAGCATTCGCCTGTTTACGCCAATCCTTATATCTCGAAGGATCCGGTGGAGACACCTGTATTGGTCAGATGTGCGGTCCAATGGGGACAGATGGCCCGGAGGATCGGATCGTACATCTAAGTCGACCAACGTCCACAGGTCGTATTTCTCTCGATGTTTGGGAAGGTTGAGGAAGGAAGTGGCCTGTTTTTGATAGGTAGACCCGGCCATCGAAGAAGAGGTAGAGAAGGGATGAGGACGAGAAGAGCACGACTTGTTTTGTTGAGAGTAGTCGTGCAAGCATGTATTTCTGAAAGGTCGTCTTGCCTGATGAGCACAGGTGAGTTTATAAATCGCAGATAACGCGGTTGACTGAGCCTAGATACTTACCACTGCCTGGCTGCCCGGTGATCACCACGCCATGGTGCCTCTCCCCAGTCGCACGAAAACGCAGTATGCGGTGGAACATGTCGTCGTAGGACTTCGTGACGAGGATTCTGTTCCCCGTTGTGTCCTTGCCATGGAAAGGCAGGAGAGGCTCGCCGTCGTCGTCCACTCCAAGATGTAGCACGTAGGGAAAAGTCTGAGAGGTAGGGAAGATGCGGTCGCGCCAGTGGTCGTAGAACTGCTGGTACTCGCCCTCTTCAGCTTCCCACTTTGACTTCTTAGACCAAGTCCAGTTGCTCTTGTCTGGGAAGGCCCGTTAACGCTTACATATCGTATACGTGCAAGAAGAATAATCTCACTTGTGTCCGCACCCAGTTCGAGGAAGGACTCTTCAGCAGTAGAATCGAAGGGTGGAGATTCGGGCATGACTCTAGCGGTGTCGGATGACCTTGCGGCTCGCTCGTGGATGTTTCTTGACCGATTTCCCGAGTGAGTATTACCGGAAGAGGTAGCGGGCAGCGCGAAGGGGCGCAAATAATGCAAGAAGAATGATGTCACTCCTCTGATTCCGTTTTCGGTGCAGGTAGCGCCGTTTCAGGAAAGGTTGTTCGCCCAGAAAATCTTCACTGACGAGTCGGGTGACGTCGCAAAATCACCGTAGCTATGTAATTGTCGATGAAAGGTGAAGATAAGTTATATGGGGAAAGCAGCGAATATAGCAAACAGATGGTCTTGGTCCAAGTAACTGACAGTGACATGGACACCAATCGGAGGGCGGCCAACTTCAAGCCAGCTTGGATTGTAGGCCAAGAATGAGCCATGTTCTCGGCTCCCGGCGCTCAACGCGCGTGATGACGCGCAAAACTTTTCGCGTTTTCTCGACGCGTCTTCGCTCCGTATTCACTCTCGGTGACCGTTTCCCTCGGTTTTGCTACTAGTACTAGAACAACTGCCCATGATGCTTCATACTACTACCTCACGCCAAATCGCCAGGCTCGCTCGAAGCAAGCCAGGCCAGTCTTGGAATAATCGTGCTACCCCTTCCGCGACTTCACTCCCATCCAGTCTCCCACTTTGTCGACATGCTAGTTTTGGCCTACGAGATCCCCCTCCCTCGACTTCAAAACCTAGATACCGCGACGATGCCCCTTCGTATAGAGGCCGCGACGATGTCTCTTCGTACAGAGGTCGCGACGATACCGCTTCGTATTCGAGAGGTCCGAGGACGTCACGAGCGATGTTTCCCTCTGATCCTAAGCAAATGAAATGTTTCAATTGCGGGAAGCATGGGCATATTGCGAAGGAGTGCACGGAGGAGACGATGTGTTTGAATTGTGGACAGTCGGGGCATAAAGCGGGCCAGTGTACGAATAACACGAAGTGTTGGGTCTGTGGGCAGGAGGTGAGTTGCTGGTTTCACGTTCTGTCATTTTTTCTACATATCCGTTCGACAGTGTAATATCGTTCTGACATGTGTGATCTGCGTTTGTGTTGTGATATCTCTAGGGTCATGAAAGTCGGGATTGTAAGATGCGCGGCGCAGAGACATTAGAACGCATATCTGAAGAACGTCCGCCTAAAAAATGCTTCAACTGTGGCTCGACAGAGTACGCTCCCTTCGCTTCATGCCTCCCAAACCTAATTTGACGAACGCCATTTTTTTTTTTTTGCCCTCGATCGTACCCAGCCATCTGTTCTCCCATTGTCCACGACCACGTACGAATGAGCGTTCGCAATTGTTTGCGTCTCAAAAATGCTTCAACTGTGGAGAGGAGGCATGTCTGGCATCCCACTTTCTCTCAATATCGTAACTGACCGGCTTCTTGCAGGGACATAAAAGTGCAGAATGTCCAGAACCGAAAAAACCACCCATCTGCTATCATTGCGGTTCAAAAGAGTACGTTCTGCCCTTCCTGATGCTTTTTGCATCCTTCCTGGGGGAGGCCGCTCATGCTTCACGTTGAATCTTGTTGTAGGCATCGCTCGCATGCGTGTACAAAGAATCCTAATCCGCCAAAGTGCTTTCATTGTGGAGGGACTGTGAGTATTCTCTTGACTTCTCTTTCTTTTCCCGTATTCGCATTTATATCGATGACGCTCTTTCTAGGGACACATTAGCAGAGAATGCACAGAACCTTACAATCCCAATGCCGAACGTCCAACTAACCCCGAGCGCTGAAAGCAAAAAATTGGGGTGCTCTAGTACCGGCCTCGCCACAATCGCAGAATATTGACTGACACTATCCGAGCGGATATGGTATAGTCTTGATTGTGACAGTGCTTCGGAGCTGATAGCCATGATCATGTGGGGGAACGGTGGGAGAAGAGGTGGGGACGCTGATATCTTACATCCAATATAATTGTCTGCTCAGAGCTCTGTTCGCTCCTGAGGGAACCCAGCACGGTACTTATACCTCCATACTAACCTGCGCACCTATGTACATATATATATATTTGCTCTGAAATCGAGTTTTGTGGCCCCGTCGACGGTGGTGGCTCTGCGGTGCTGCTCACCGCCATCAACAATGTCTACAAATTCGCAAGCGACGGCGGGCGTTTGGGGACAGTCGAGGCAGGTCGAGGTTCGCCTCCGCACGCCCGCGCCGGTCCGTTCCGACTTGGGTTCGCACGAGGGGCGTCGCGCGTTGTCGCTGCCGCTCTGCACCGAATCACAGACGACCCATTTCTTCCGCTCAACGTCTTCCCGGTTTCTTCGCCGTCGTCTCTCTCTTCCTCCCCACTCTCAACATAATATCCATCTAAAACCTGCAAAAAACAATGTCTGCTGCTGCATTCCGCCGAGCGGCCTGCAGACTTCCCTCGGCCGCCGCTTCCGTCCCCCGCCGCGCCCTCGCGACTGAGGCGGGCGCACGTCCAGGCTTGGGCCATGGCGCACCGGTGTACGAGAGCTCGGAGGGGGTAAACGATGTCAGTGGGCCGGCTATCCCGCTCTCGAACGTGGAGGCGCAATGGGAGAACCTGGATAAGGCAGAGAAGTACAAGGTCCGCAGGCAGCTCGAGAAACTGCAGGAGAAGGACTGGAAAGAGTTGAGCTTCGACGAGAAGAAGGCCGGTCAGTACATAGTCTGGCCTTTCATTTCTCTTCAACCATTTCTGTTGCTATGTTGGATTATGGCGCGTTGGGCGATCATGCTGTAGTGTGCAGTCGCGTCATGAACCACATACGTTGAATTTCTATATATACCTGTTTTTCCTTTCCTGTAAATCGTATTGCTGACCTCTCTTGACCTTGACGTGTGCAGCGTACTACGTCGCCTTCGGTCCCCACGGCCCTCGCAAGCCTATCAACCCTCCTGGTACCTCCATCAAGGTTGCATTCGGCGTTGCTACCCTCATCGGTCTCAGCGGTGCCACCTACTTTGCCGTCCGTGCTAGTGGTGCGTTTTTTTTCTTGCTGCCTTTCAGTTACACTCTCCTATCCGCATGTCGCATTCGTTTTCTTCACCGGTTTCTCTGTTGGTCGTGGGCATCGTGTGCACTGCTTTCGATTCCCGTGTTGGACGGATACCTCTTCGTCACACCTTTATCCAAGTGCTGGCGACTGTGGGTGCGAGTATATTCGCAACTGTTAGCGCGTTGACTTGCATACTCCTTTCGTCATGTTCGCGAAACGGCCTCACCCGGCCATCCGACTTCCAACTCGGGAGGTGCCACCACCGCATCATTTTCCTGTTTTTCCGATCCGTTGCCCCGCCGAACTGCTGGCCCAGTCCGGACCCGTGGCTTCAATTGCACGTCACACACACATTCACATTCCCTCTTATCTGGCCCGGTCTTTCACTGTACACTCCATCATGTTTTTTTATTATTATCTTGCCTACTGGGTTGCTGTTCTTGTACTCTCTTGGTGGTGCCGCTGACTACTTGATACTGACTGCGTCATAACGTTCTTTTTTGCAGCTCCTCCTCCGCCGAGGACGATCACCAAGGAGTGGGAGGATGCCGCTCTGGAGCGTGCCCGCGAGATGAAGATCAACCCCATCCATGGTACGTCCACTCTACCATCCACTTCTTCCCTCAACATCCCTCAAAACACTAATACCACCTTCTCTTCCTCACCCTCACAGGTGTCTCATCGGAAGGCTACAAGGGCAACGGCTTCAGCACCCACAAATAGTGGACGGACGGATGGATACTAGATGGACTCGTTCTTCTCCCTCTCTCACTCCCTCTGGCCTTACCCGTATTCTTCAACTATATTCGCTTCCACGCTGCATACTGCGGAGGTTCCAATATATTCTTCTTTCCGTCTGCGTCTTCAAGCTTCAAGCCTTTGTCGTAGGTACCGTTTCGGATGCATGTTGCATGGTCGCTCGCCTGTTGGTGTGAACACTGGACCGTACGTCAATCTGCTCGGCGCTCACAGACTCCTTGCGTTCGCTTTGGTCACCACCCTTCACTACCCCCACCACCACCTTTCGGTAATGCTCTCCGCAGCTGACGGCCGGACATCGCAATGAAGCACATCCGTCCAGAAAAGTCCCGAGATACATTGGACATCAAAATGAAAAGCAATCGGTCCGCTGCGAAGTCAACGTTTAACCTTCGAATTGCGAGCTGCGAGCTTCAAGGCTCTAGACCAAGTTCGGAAAGGCGTTTGAGAGGCAATTTATCTCCATGCTTCCCATCCTATAAGTCCGACCGTGGGAGACTACTGGCAATCACACGATACAATGCTGAGGCATGCGGATGGGGATTTATTCGTTGGGTTTGGAGCCTGAAGCTTGAAGATCCTCCGACAGCACCGACGGAAGCTGTACACTATGATGATCCCACTATGAGGATTATTATACTTAGACCAACGCTGTCGTATATGGTACCATGCGGAGACAAGGTAGACTTCGATGATGCAAGAAGACGCACTGGCCATGTAGATAGCCGGATCTGCACACCACCAGGGGAACCGAGTTGCACACTGTGCTATATCGTGCACAGAACTCAGAGTCCGATGGGGCGGATGGTACGACACAGGAGCTCCGTGTCTGGCTGGATCGGTTGATCGAAGGCTGATTTGCGCATTGAGGCCTGGGAGACTATATGGAGTTAATGTTCACCGTTGGGTACTTCAGCGGGCAAGGCTAGTCACAGAGGTAGGTTCACTCGGTGATCGTCGACCCATGTAAAGGGACACGAGGTTGAAAATTATTGCAAGACCTCAGTATCAGATAGATGTTCGTCATTGCAGAAGCGAGCCGGCCAGTCTGAGTCTCCAAGCGTACAACAAAACGTCTATCCTCCCTGCACCCTCAGAAAGAGACAACGGTATCCTACAAAAAACAGAACAAAACATCCCGCGGAAGATCGGAACCCAATATGTATCGGTATCGTTCAAGGGCATAAGCGGTCGTGAAGAGAGTCCTCAAAATAGGTCTGAACATCGTGGTCACTCGTGGTTAGCGGCAGGCCGACCCCCTATGATCCAGAAAAGAACGAACACGAACCGAAATACATCCGTCTCGTGCCCATGCTCATGGTATGTACTGTTCAGGAAGAAGCAGGACTGGCACCGGCACTGGGCTTCGGGGATTTGTCGTCCGGAAATTGTGTCCATACCACGGTCACCGTCGTCGAGGTGATGTAGGGTGAGTATGGAACAATGGTTTGTAGGACGCGAGTCGCGGTGATGACGACGCCTCCACCTGAGACGGTTTCGGTTGGGCTCTGTCGTGCCGCGTCATATGGTCAGCATAAATAGACAGGAGAAGAAGATACCACGAGGTCGAAGAACCAGAGGAGTGACTTACAGCGGCAGCATCGGCGGCCAGTTGTACTGGTGCAGGTGCAGGTGCAGCGAAGGCAGGTGCGATGACGAGTGCAACAGCAGCGACCAAAGTCGAGAGAGTTCGGATGGAGGAGAACATTGTTAGGATGAGGGAGAAGAAGATGAGATGGATATGTGCAGAGGCGAGAAGGGAGATGAAGGCGGTGGAGGGGTTGTCCTGCACCCAACTCGCATTATAAGGAAAACGCGAAGGAAGAAGACGAAAGACACATGATTATGCAGGGCAAGCATGTCATTGGGTGTCATCATGATGAGACGCGGTTTTCTTCGTGCGGTAAGCCAGAGTAAGCCTAGCCTGGTCGGGTAGTGGGTAACGGGACGCGGAGTGCCTGACTTTATACCAGATGAAACTGGACGGGGAGGAGGGAGGGGCTGCAGGTGAAGGAAAAAATATTATGGCGGAGGGGCTGCGGGCGCCTCTTTCCCCCTAAGGCCAGAGGTTGAGTGAGATCGAAATGGACATGATCCTGGATCTTACGACTTTCAGACCTCGAGTTTGTGAAGTTTCGAACTCGTGCGAGGGGTGACGCTGCAAAAATACGGTCCGTCCAGGTTCTGCCTCTCCTGAAACTTGCAGTCTGGGCGGCCGCATACTCAAGAGAAACCATGAGACGTGAAAAAAAGCGTTAATGGAGAATATATGCGTACCTGTCGGCGTTTATACCAACAGAACAAGCACAGCAACCTATAACAACTACTATAGATCGTCGCGAGCTCGAGGCTGCCGCATGATACGCTGATGTGCTCATCGGAAATACCCTCCCAGAAATCAAACCACGGGTTCGAAAGGACTCGACCATACCGAAGCATGCGAAGGCCGGTATAAGCATGCATCATGACCTTTTAGGTACTAATTCAACAACTAGAGTTTGCCCGGTCGGATGCGAGGCGGGGCCCTGCGGAAGATCATCTAGCCTGAGCGTCCACGATACAGAATCTGCCTCTGCGTACCGGATTTCCTGCGTTGTTTTAGCCGCTCGAGTCGTAGGACGCTTTGAAGGAACAACCATGGATATCTGTCGGCCTTCGGATTTCTATGAATAACGCCGTGGACCGTGGCCTACTTGTTCTATCCTGGCTCATTTCCAGGTATAACGATCGATATCGCATTTGAATCGAGAAAGCGTCCTGCATATATCGCGATTCACGGAAGAATCGTTGGTAGGACTACTATGCTGGGATAAGGAAAACGTTCTCAGGCTCTGCGGTAAGTACGATGGTAAGGCGCCTCGAGCATCGGGATTGAGCACGCATCACGATCAGGGCCAGACATCAATTTGAAGGATCTTCGTCTCCTGGCACATCGCGAAAGGCAAGATCTTGGCGACGACGCTGGTGAAGAGGTCGAAGAGAAGCGAGCATAGCAATGAGCTGAGTAAAAAAGAAGCATAGGCCGTCAGCGCGTTGACGAAGTGCTGACCAGCAATTGTCTTTGCAGCAAGCAAAAACGAGGAACAACGACAAATCGCTATTGCGAAGTCCAGAGGCAATATCGCGAAATGGATTGAGGATGGAACAGGAAGGAACTCAAACCAGTTCGGAGAGACCAGGAAAGACGAGTTTCCTTTTCGACCTGCCCAGCGCCCACGATCTTGCAGCACATTGACACACCCCGGCTCCATCCGTAAGGTGGCGGTGGCGGCGACCATACTGTAAGGTATGCCTCAAGTTCAACATTGGGTGACTTTCCGTAGGGGGTTTGTGCACGTTCTAGAGACCTAGAACACAGAAAAGAGGCTCAGATCGATTTCTGATTGGCTGAGAGCCTCGTATTTGTGCTTCTGTGCGTCAAGAAACACTCCTAGACTGCTACGGAAAGTCACCCATTGCGGCTTCAAGAAAGAGGCGACGTGACCCCACCACCCTGGTGATCCTTTGCAAGCGGCACGAGATCCGACGAGATGGATTAGATCCACAGGCTACAGACAAAGGCCTGGAGGAACCTGCAGGAGAAACCTGGCAGTCTCCTACAGACCTGCGACAGTCGATTGCTATGATAAGATATCGACGCTTACATGCATGGGAAGAAGAAGACGAAAGCGGGGAAAGAATAATCAGATAAGATCACACAACCTTGTTTCCACAGGACGGCGTTCAAGGGGAAAGACGGGCCTCGCACCGACGAGAAAGAAAGGAACAAGTCACCAACATGAACATCGATACAGCACCGCCTCAGAACTTGAACTCCTTCCCCTGTCCCTTCTTCCCCCTGTCCCTCTCCGCCTCCATCTTCTGCCTCTTCTTTGCCATCTCCCTCGCCACCATGTCCGAAAAGTCCTCCGAATTTCCGGCACCAGGAACGCCTGCCCTCCCACCTCTCGAGCTCTCGTCGTACCGTCTCCTGAGGTCCTCCTCTGACATACCTTCCAGCTCTGCAGCATCGATCGACACGTCCACACCATTGGCCTTCCGCTGAGCCAAAGGAAGAAAAGGGAAACCGAATGAGCCACATAATCTGACATATTGCGCCCTGAAAGAGGACAAAAATAACATACCTTCGTCCCCCTCTCATCTCCCAACACCGGCACCGCCGCACCCGCGGCCGAAACCCCACTAACATCATACCCCCTCTCACTCCCCATCAACCCCCTCACATTCGTCTGCTTCTCCGGCAACACCTGATACAGACTCCTCGGTCCCGTAGGCTCTTCCCTCGTCGAACCGCTCGTCTTCCGAAGTTCGAGGAAGTCAGGCGTTTCGAGGCCACCGGCGACGGTGGACACGACGGAGGTGAGGCCCGAGGGAGTTTCGAGGCCTGAGGGTGTCTGGAGGCCGTCTGCTTGGGAGGGTTGGGCTTCCGAGGCGTCTTCCTCGTCTGAGTCTTCTTCGGATTCTTCGGATTCGGATTCTTCCTCTGAGGGAGGGAGAGGGGGAGAGACGGTGTGAGATGAAGCAGGCAAGCAAGGGTTGGAATATGACAAAGAGACGGACCTTCTTCTGGCTCAAGCTCGCCCCACAGATTTCGGTCGACTGGCTCTCCAGACTGTGGTGTTTGATTTTTGTTAGTCAATCACAGTGCTGTTTGCGGCGAAAATATACCAAATACGCACGTCTGCATCACCGGTTTTGGGGAGAACACCGAAGACATCACCATACAGAGGACGGTTGTACTCATCCAATGGTGGTTTACCCCATCCTCCCGGATGGAATCCCCACTGTGCACTGTACAACCGCTCGTTCGTTAATCTCGAAAGTAAACAGTAGATACGTATAGTCGCTCACCCTTCGGGAATAGGGGCGTTAAGGCCAGGTATCCGTAGCGTTGGGTAGCTAGGCGGAGGTCCGAAGCGCTGCATGCTGATCAACCACGGTGGCGGAGCGAGTGGCGGGATGGACAGCGCCTCGACGAGTTCCGGCGACAGATCACCCGGCCGCTTCTCCTTCAACGACGTCTCGAATTCTTTGCCCTCATAGTACCTGTAAGCCGAACATGGTAAAAAATGGACCACCACAAACAAAAAGAAGAGGGAATACGCACATCTCCCCATACGTCGTGACGGGCGGCTTCGTCTGGAACTTAAAGAACGCGTCGTGCAGCTTCTGGTAGTCAATATCGATCTTCCCCATCTTCGGCTGCACCCTCTCCCTCGTCTTCTGCTTCAGACTCATATTCGCCTCCTTCTCCTTCACCGCGTCCCTCTGCGTTGCAATCCCCGTATCCGCGATATACGCCGGCAACTGAAACGGTGGCTTCTCGATACCCCTCTTGCCCTGCAGATAATCCCGCTTCGCGCTCCAGTGGACCGGGATCGGGACGGTATTGCGGTACGATTTGAGGTGGAGGAGTAAGCGCGGGTCGGCGGCGGAGACGTCCGTCCATTCGACGACTTCGGGCTTTTTGACGAGCTGTTTGAGTTCGGCGACGGTGAGCCGGTTCATCTTGCGTTGTTTCTTTTTGGAAAGAGGCTTTTTGGCGGTTTCGGCATCGGAGGCTTGAGAGTCGGTCTCGGAGGCCATGTCGTCGTCGGAGTAGATCACTTCGCCTTTGGTGGGCTGGTCTTCCGATTTGACCTATGAAACGGAGACGGAGAGATGTCGTGTGAGGTGGGATAGGAATGATGAGAGAGCGGAAGAGATGGGGAAGACGAGACGTACTGTGTTCGAGTCGAGAGAGAACTGGAAGCGAGCAAAGACGTCGGAGAAAGCTTCGAGGGCAGGGCCAACATCCAACTGCTCAGATACGTACTCGACATTGTCATTCCTCGTATCTGGCTCCTCCTTCACAACCTCCTCCTTTCCTTCGGGCGCGTCTCCATTCGTCTTCAAAACGGCGACAACAGATACATGAAGACATGGGTGGACGGTATGATGCAATAGAGTACATGTCAGTTGTTGGTTGAATTTCAAGGGCAAGGAATAACACGCACCTGAGCGGCCGGCGCAGCCTTCTTCGCCTTCGCTTTCTGTCTCCTCAACTGGTTCTTCGACTTCACCTTGCCCGCCTTAGTAGAAAGCGCGTCGTCGTGCAAGCTATTCGTACTGATCTCATTGACGCCGTTGGACAAGGGAGCTGCCTGTACTGCACTGGCCATGCCTAAACCTCCTTGGATAGTGATTTTTAGTCCTGTCGCGAGCTGCGTACCGTTTCTGGCCCTGGACCGGGTGTAACGTGGGTTCAGGTGGCGGAGAGCGCGAGAGGGGTGCGACGTCGTGCGCGGCGGTGGAGGGAAGGGAGGGTTTGATGAGGTAATTTGGATCGGATGGATGTTGGAGAGGGCGAGAAAGTAAATAAATAAATAATAAACGTGACGCGTCGAGGACGCGCGTCGGAGGCGCAAGCGTGCTGCAACTACTCATTTGTGCTCATCTTCCCCGTTCCAGTCTTTCTTCTCACTTCTGTACGCCATGGTCGCAACGACAACAGAACAAGTGAGATTGCTGCTTACTTTGGTGGATATATCATATTCATAAAATCTTGTAATAGCTGACAGCACTCGCTGGAACAACCGTCGGTGCGCTCGCCACCATGGTATCCCCCATTCATGCACTTCACTAACTTCTATATCCTGCACAAATAACAGTCGTCCACCCACTCGTACTCCTATCAGTAGCAGACCACCATGCACGCTCCGTCTCTCGTGGCTCGTCGAAGCGCGTCGTAGGCGTTCTCCTGGGCCAGGACAACGGCAAGACGATCAATGTGGCGAACTCGTTCGGGATCCCGTTCGAGGAGGACGAGAAGGACTCGAAGACGTGGTTTTTGGACCATAATTATATCGATGGGATGTTCGAGATGTTTAAGAAGGTGAATGGTCCGTGAGTTTCTCTGCTTGGTCTTCGTCGAGCGTGGTCGGGGCGGAGTTATGGCCGGAGGTTGTGTGTTGTATATCGATAGCTAACTGCTTTACTCCCTTCTACCACTATCTCCATATCATATCACTCTACCGACGCAACACCTCTCAATCACTTTCCACTTGCTCGACTATGAACAGCACGGGAACGCATGATCGGCTGGTACCACACAGGACCGAAACTTCGCGCCTCTGACCTCGAAATCAACGACCTTTTCAAAAAGTTCATCGCACGGCCGGTGATGGTCATCGTCGACGTGAGACCACAAACGGTCGGGATCCCCACGGACGCGTACTTTGCGGTCGAGGAAATCAAAGATGTACGTCGGTCCATCTTTTAGAATTGTGGCGGGTATGAGTTTCAGCAGTGGCTGCGATTGGTGAAGAGACTGGCGCATGATATAGACGTCGAGTTATGAGTAGCACCGGCGCTCCTTCCCGGATTGGCTTGTGTCCCACTTCAGGGTGCGGTGGACATGTACAATACACTCAAGCCCATCACGGTGTATATTGACATATCAGTGATATCCGTCCACCTTTCGATCTCCCTTTTCATCTCCCTTTCAATTCTCCCGCTCTCCCCGCCCCTCATACTTCATCCTTGCAATTCACTGACATACCCATCACCCCCATCACGCCACATTCCGCTCTGTGCAAATAGGACGGCACCGAAACGCGGAAAACGTTCCTCCACGCCCCGTCCGCAATCGAAGCCGAAGAAGCCGAAGAAATCGGCGTCGAGCACCTCCTCCGCGACATCAAAGACTCTACGACGACGACGCTCTCCACCCGTGTCAGCACGCAGCTTGCCTCGCTCCGCGGCCTCGAATCGCGCATCTCCGACATCCAACGTTACCTCGCCGACGTCGCGGCGGGGACGATGCCGGTGAACCACTCGATCGTGTATAGTTTGCAGGACGCGTTGAATTTGCTGCCGGATCTGGGGCAGGAGAGTCTGACGAGGGCGTTTGCGAGCGAGACGAACGACGAGCTGTTGGTGGTTTATGTGAGTAGTTTGGTTAGGGCGGTTATTGCGTTGCATGCGTTGGTGGATAATAAGGCGACAATTGGGAGGGCGGAGATGGAGGAAGGAGAGAAGGAGAAGGAGAGAGAGAAGGAGAAGGATAAGAAGGGTGAGAAGAAAGAGAAGGGGGACGGGGAGAAGGAGAAGGAGGCAAGTAAGGAGAAGGGGTTGTAGGTTGTAGCTCGTTGCAGCTCTGTAGGCTATTGTGATGCATTATTTCTTCAGCTTTCTTTCTTTCTTTCTTGTGGGTGTGTGTACTCATCCATGATCCTCGGTCCTCCGTAACTGAGATGTGATTCACTCGCCAAGTGGCCCTTAGGCTGTGCGCTGCTTGGCATGCTCTCATGGCCATGGAGAGGTTATGCTCCCGGTGCGTAGTTAGTGACTATGCTCGCCACACTGCGTAGTGCACCCTGGGACGAACGCACACTCGAGAGAGAATGCTCGTGAAATGAGCAGAATCTTCCAGCAAAGCTGTTAGTGGATGAGTGTGGCGCGTCCTTGAAGTAATTGTCTCCTCTCCATCAATGCAATTGACGACTGCTTGCCAATTGGCCGTCGTTGTCGACGAATAAACGAGAAGAGAATGATCCGAGACGACCCTCAGATCAAGGAAATAACGAATATTTGAGCGTTAGCGCTGCTCGAGCCGAATGATGCGTGGGGCTGTGCGGCACCACTGCACCCAGACGCGGCGCGGCGGCCATCGCATCCTGCACTTCATGACCTCCTCCCGCCTCCTTTCCTCCTGAACGCCTTCCCCCTCCTCATCCATCGTACCTACATCTCAGGCGCCACCTCAGCCTTAGTGCTCCCTTGCTTGCTTTGCTTTCTTACTTTCCTTTTCGATTCCACAAACTTTCAAGCTTTCAGAACCTTCGATTTCTACATCTTCCGTAATCTAGGCTAGGCACCGACACCCATGAACTCGGGGAAACAGCTGTAAGTGAACTTGTGATTCGTCCTTGAGCTTGAGATTGCTTGCGGCCCACGCTTTCCTTTGCGGGGGACGGTCTATATGTTCAGCATGCTGACTTCCGCCTTTGCATGTGGGTCTGGATATCGAATATTGGATCGGGATGTTGAAGCTTCCTTCGGCCACCTCCAAATGTCGAGTTCGTACAAGGTGCGTACAATACAGTGTATACGTACAATACATAAGTTGAGCTCAAACATATAATGTGGCATAGGCTACCCTGGCATTCCTCCAGGTGCGCCTGACAGACCTCAGGCCGCAATAAAAGGGGTACGTCCGACCGTCTACCGTTGACAAGCTCCCCCATTCACCCCATACACCGCCTTCGTTATTTGCCTTGGATATGGTACACGACAGATGTTCGAGGTCCGCTTGGGCGCGCAGGGCGTCAAGGCGAAGTACGTCCGCATCGAGCTCCGCAAGATCGAGACGTTGCCCGGTGGGGGAACGCAGAGCACGTTCTTCGATTATGTCGGGCAGAGTCCTATCAATTTGTGGCAATCGAGCGAGGAGTTTAGTACGCTGCATTCGGTGAGTGCTTTATCGCTTCTTTTCTACGTTGGCTTTGTGGTCTCGGTCGGTCTATGGAGGACGAAGTAAGACTGGCTCGGATGGTCATGGTGGCGACGAGGCCAGTGAAAGCTTTTGCGGTTATTTGGGGCAGATACTGACCAGGAATGCCTGTCCATGCCTTGACGCTGCCACTTGCGCCAGAGAGCCCGCTCCACAACCTTGTCTCGTTGCCCTCTGGACTCGGTTAGCCATGGTGACCCGACCCCATCGAAGCTCGACGTCGCTTGACCCGGGCGCTCATCATAATACAAATCGATGCGGCACCGACTGCAGGCCACCGTCGGTCCTGGTCTAATCCCGATCGACGTTGTCCCTAGCGGAGGCCTGCGTTTCACGTCCATCCTCTGCACTCTGCAGTGTGGTCGACGACTTAGACGCCCCGGTCCGATGTGGCCCAACTGTACCTGTGGAGCAGTGCTAACCTGTTCGTTTTTCTCCTTGCACAGGGCGATATCCCATTCTATATTCGGATACCGGAAAGTATCGCGCCTAGTCTAGCTCTCGAGAAAGGAGGTGAGTTCACCATTCTCTTCGTGTGTACATCCGTATCGCTCGGTGAACTGAATAGATGCCTGAATCGCAGCCGGCGTCAAGTATGAACTAGTAGGACAGGTCTGCGTCCAGGGCAAGACGTGCGTCCTCTCCTCTATTCTCCTTCACAATTACTCACGCACGCGAACCATATCCAGGAGCTTCCTCCGACGGAGCAAGTCCATCGTCCACTCCACCTCTACAGCCATCATAATCGACAAACACGAACTGCACTCCACCTGGCCCGTCTACCAACAACCCGAATCGCGTCACCTCACACAAGACGCTGTATCGCTCACGGTCGACCGTTCCCAGAACTGTTACGGACCCGGCGACCGCGTCTCCGTCATGGCCACTATCAAATCCGACTCCCTCCACACCGTCATCCTCCGCGGGTTCGAGTTCACGCTGAAAGAGACGACGATCTTCCGCGCGGGGCCGCACTCGCACGGTGTCGGCGGCGGGAATAAGAAGGGTGCGCCGCAGGTGAAGATCAATATCATTGGGGAGCAGAAGGTGCCGGTGAATAAGACGCTTTATGGGGGATCGACGCATAAGAGCGAGTTGAGCTGCACGATCCCGCAGAGTCATACGACGACGACGTTGACGAGCGCGAGACATATTGATATTACGTATGTGCTTGGGGTGAAGGCGTTGATGGGGACGGGGAAGCCGCTGATTATGGAGTTGCCGGTCATTGTGTCGAATTGGCCGAGGTGAGTTTGAAACGTTTGAGTGGAACGACGGGTTCATGCGCTGATATCACTATTTGTGCAGATATGTCTCTGTCGAGGCGATCAGGTAAAGTCATGATCATCAAAAAAAAAATCACCATCCGTGATATACATCCTCTGACTAACTCCTTCCCTCCCTCTCCAACTCAACAGACGAATCGGCCACGCCCCCAACCTCTGCCTCTCCCCCGTCCTCTCCATCTCTCCCCAACCCGGCTCCGGCCCCTCTCACAACCGTCAATCCCAAATCGCACCCCACACCATCAGCACCTCCCGAATCCCCAACTCGACCGACCCAGTAGACTACACCTCCGGCTTCGCGAACCGCCAATCACACACGATGCCGAACGGGCACAACCAGATCGCCTTCGGGACCGCGGCGTCCCATGCGCATGGGGGAGGATTCGGATCGATGGGTCGGGCGGACGAGTTTGGGTTCGTTGGGAATGGGAGCGCGAATGGAGGAGGAGGGAGCGGGAGGCCGGGAAGTGCAGGGAATGGGAATGGAGCTGGGGGAGGCGGACAGTTTAGGCCTGGGACGGCGGGGAGTATTAACGTCAATAATGCGCGACCTGGCACGACGGGGTCTTTGGGCGTCGGTGCGAGTGGACTCGGACAACCGATCACGAACGACCCGAACGATTATGGGTTCGGGAACGGGTTTGGGTCTGGTGGTGGTGTGGGAGGCTCGGCGGGTGGTGCGGGAGGATCGAGGGCGAGGCCGAGAGCGGGGACGTTGCCTGGGTCGCAGAATAGGCTTACGATCGTGAATGCGGTGGATAATGAGATTGCGGAGGAGGAGGATTCGCCGAGGGGCGCGGGGAGGTCTAATTCTGGTGCTACTGGTTCCGGTGCTGCTACTGGCGCTGCATCCGGTCAGAGTCAGAGTCAGAATCGGACGCAGGCCGGGAGAGCGGCGGGGTCGAGGCCTTGGATGTCGGCGGAGGAGGAAAAGGCGAAGTTGTATCAGCAGGCGAAGGCGGAGGTGGAGAGGGTACAAGGTGGCGGGGCGGTGGAGAGGGCAGATACACCCCCAGCGGTACGTTTCTAAACTTTTCGTTCTTTCTGGCTCATGTGTAACAGTTCCGATGTACATCGCTGACTTGGTTCCTCTTAACATCGCAGCCCGAGCCCAAACAACCCGTCACGCCTCCAGCTGCGAAACCCGCGAAACCAAAATCACGCTGGCTCACCGCGGAAGAGGAGAAAATCCGGCTGTACAACGAAGCGCAGAAGAACGCGCGGATCATGCAAGGTCTCGAATCCGGCGAAGCACCAACGAGCCCCCCACCGCCCACCAGCGGCTCTCGATCCTCTCACGGCCGAGGCGACTCGAAGGACTCGTCGAAGAATTATTCGTCCACTGCTGCTGGATCCAAGTCTGGCGCGACACCGCCAGCAGCCGTCTCTGCTGGTGCGGCGCTCTACTCTGCCGCCATGTCTTCTATGCCTTCAGCGAACAAGAGCCAAGGCCAAGGCCCGACCACACCTCCCGCCACGAAGACGGTGTACAGTCCGATTCCAAAACCTGCTCCGTCGAAGTTGCCTACGGCGGAAGAAGAAAAGGAGATGTTGAGGCGGTATCACCAGGCGAAGAACGCCGTTCAGCGCCATCACGAAGAGTATGGCGAAGCGGTGGACGAACCTTCGCCCGCGACCGGGTCAGGAGGGGACGTTGGTCCTGGTGCCGATGAGATGCCGCCGCCTTGGGTCGCTAGCTCTCAGTTCCCGCAGCAGGAGGAGGTTTCGGAGAAGGAGAGGTATAGGAGGGCGTTGGAGGCGGTGGAGAGGAACGCTGTTAGTGGTGGTGGGGGCGGTTCGAGTTTCGGTGGTGGGTTTGAAATGGGAGGAGGAGGGAGTACGCCCCCGCCGCCGATCGATTCGGGCCTTCCGCCTGCGTTCTCGGCTGCGACGGCAGGTGTGATGTCAGCGGCGAACGAGAAAGAGATGCTGAGGCAGCAGTATGCCGCTCAGGACGCTCTGGCTCAGAACGGTAACGGCCACGGGTCACCCCCTCCACCGCCTATCACGCCTCCACAGAACTACTCGCCACCACCGCTCTCGTCTGAGTTACCGGCACATCTCAGGGGAAGGACACAGCCTGCGCTTCCCGTCCCTCAGGGCGCGAGCAGGCCTTTGACGGCGGCGGAAGAAAAGGCGATGCTGAGAGCGAAGTTCGAGGCGGAGGAACGGGGCGGCGGTGCGGGGGTGGGTATGCCTGTACCGGAGCCTGCGCCTGCGCCTGCCAATGGGATTGGACATGGTCCAGGCAACGTGAATGGCGTTTTTGCGGCGGGAGGATCGTCGATGCGGTCGGGTTCGTCGGGTGGTACGCATCATACTCTGTCGACTCGATCGAGTGACCTCAATATCCCGCTCACGCCAGCCTTGCATCATAACCAACCAGCTCCTGCGCCACCGCCACTTGCCCCTCGGCCCCCGGTGGAATATATCGAGGAGACGAAGGCGGAGGACGCGAAGCTCAAGAGGGCTCTTTCTGCGCATGAACATGATCTTGGTCCTGGATTGGGGACGTTCGGGTTGGGGATGGGAGCGGGGAGGAATGGGGTGATGTTGCCGGGGGATGAGGACGACACGTTTGGATTGAAGATCAGGCCTACTTCACCGTTCTCCTTGGGGATGGACGATCTCATGATGGGCGTGGGTGCGAATGTCGGTGTGGGGCCCGGGTCGAGGTCGAGGCAGTCGTCGTATGGGAGTCCGGGGCATATGAATGGGATGGGAAGCCCGCCGCCGTTGCCGCCGAAGGTTCCTATACGTGACCATTGATCGTCGGTCGTGGAGCTTTCTCGTTTTTTTTTCTCACTAGGGGTGATTCCTCTTTGCTGCTGTTTGGTGTCGTTATCTTTTTGTGGATGTGTTTTCTTGTGGATCTATTCATTCGATTTTCGATACCCCCACTCGTTGTTTTTTTTTTGCTCCTGTTTCAACGATGCTTTGCCCACTCTCTTGCTGGCCCTCCTTCATCTTTATTTATCAATCTTCTCATCTCTTTAGTTTCTCTGGCGAGGTCGCCTAACACACACTCGTTCTTCTTGTCTGTTTTTTTCTGTCTTCTCTACCCTACACAATAACACTTTGTGTTCCTGTCTCCTGCATCGTGCATCGTCACCGCTGTAGCTATTTGCTTATTCTCTCACCTACCTTCTCTCGTTCTTCCGCCACATCCCCATCTCTTGCTCTCGCTCACTCGTCTCACTCGTCTCACTCATCTCTCCACCTATGCGTATCTTATCCTGACTTGATCTCTATTTATCTCTTCGTCTTTCAATGTCTTCTTTCTTTCAGCGCCACACAAACGCGCGAGCCGCCGCTCGCTATTAGGCCAGAACCTCCGGTACTAATAGACTAAGATATGTTGTTCTCCTTTTTATAGTATGGTCGTGTGTCGCCGTGGCCTGCCGATTAGTCGAAGGGTTCGTTGGCGGGATAATTGTTTGCGTGATTGTGGGATAGGTGTTTATTCCTTGATCACCACGTTCTGCATATCAAGATGAGGAATATATACGTATCCAGAGTTAGCTATCTTGTGACCTAAATTCTGGTCTCGGGTTTGGGCTCAGTGTGCCGTCGATGAGACGTCAGAAGATATGCGGCATTACAGTATGAGTAAGGAAGGGTCTAGTAGTAAGATAGCCTCGTATTATTGTGAGTGTGGGTATAGCTCACAGTCTGAGCATCTAGACGAACCCATCACAATAACTTAAATGGTGCACCGACCTGCCTTCGCGTCTCTCTGGCTCTCGGGACCCTGTCTGAATGTGGCTCCTGTCCGAGAGCACTCATCAACGACCCGAAGCAATACAGCAGCAAGAGGACAGCGTACGAACCATCACCAATCAAGAGCAGGATACTCGCTAAAGAGCACCTGCCTCGGATTCCGCTCATGATACTTTTTCAACCTATAACGATCAACGATCCCAGTCCACCGCACAATATCAGTGCCTCCCTCCCTCCATCCGAGACGCCGAAAAACATGAACATGTCCCGTCTCGTAATACTCCAAAATCCGAAGCGATGGAAACAGCGCAAACAGCGCGTCCGCGTTCTGAGCCCCGCAAGACGAAAGACCAGCCCCGCAATATTCGAGCGCGTCGCCGCTGACCCATTTTATCGACTCCAGACGGGCGAAATCAGCGGGTTGGATACGTTCGGAGGGAAAGATTACGCGGTGGGAGTAAGGAGATCGTGATATTGATGCGATGGGGTGTCGGAGCTGGAGCTGACGGAGGTTCTGCGTGCGAGGGAGGACGTTCATCAGAATCCAGGTGAAAGGGCGGTCTTGTAGTCCATGAAGACTGAAGTAGCTCGTAGGGATACCGCACATGGATAGACGGGTGATGTTAGCGCCACATGCGTCGAAAGCGGCCAGTTGTTCATTCATGCCTGCGGCTTCGCCGAGTAGCGCAGGTGTGTGTACGGAATAATCGATGGTCAAGTCCGTCAGGTTGACCATTCGGCGTAGAAGACTGGCGACGAGCTCTGGACAGTGACATTCGATTTCGCAGGCCTTGAGATTGGGCAGAGGGAGATGGTTGGGAGAGGGGCAGTAGGTCTGCCAATGGTCTGCGCCACTTTTCCATTGACGCCACACGGTAAGATTGGGATGTATGTTCAGGAAGGAGTGAATCCCGGGACCAACGCCGACAGAGTCGCATTCGAACTCCGTAAGAGAGGGAGAGACAGCAGAGAAAACGTCGGAAAATAGGGAAGAGGATAAATAACCGTCTGATTTTCGCAAGACAAGCCTTCGAAGGCTAGACATGGCACGAAACAGCTCGGCTGTACGTGGTTCATCCCATGGAATATTGTTGTGAAAATCAGATATTTGAAGCGAGTGGACCAGTGGACCAAGCTCGTCTGGGCGTGCGAGGATTGCAGTGCGGAAGATCTCGTAATGTGTGCGTGGTTTGCCAAGATCCGAGACGTCAACGTGAGCGTAGAGAATGGGTTCGACGCGGTGACGAAGCCGCGACGAAACACGCGCGAGGACGACGAGGTCGGCCTCAGACAGGCCCCGGAAGATGTCGTAGTGCAATTCGGTAGGGAGGTTCTCCATTTCCTCAATCAGTATGATAATGCAGATGCTCTCGAGTTGGTGAGGGTTTCTGCGACTTCTGTACAAATATGGTTGTGGTTGATTAGTATAACTATTTCGCGGGAAGCACGGAAAGGATAGAAAATCGTGAGTGAAAGCCCTACCTGGTGCGATGGTGATGGAGCAGACGAAGATGAGTACGTGTCTTTATGAGGGTCAAGACTAAATCGAAAGACACCCGAGCCTGATGAAACAATGAGGCAGCAGTGTGACGCCAAGCACAATGTCGAGCGCTCATGAACTACCTCAGGGGGGTAGCTTGGCTACCTCCTTTGTTTCTCATAAGAGACTCCGTCGATCGAACGAAAAGTCACGGTTGAATCATAGGAGGGTATTGATACACAGTGATAATATAGCGCACGAAATCAAGTATAATCATACTGAGGAAACAGGAAGGAAAGCGTATGTCCATAATTACTCGGAAATATAGTGTCGGGCGAAAAGATCGTTCTGTATCCAGATGACCTGAAAGCGCAGGGCGTCACGGCACAAATGAGTTTCCGTACACAAGAATATCAAGAGTGCATAAAAAGGACTGACCTTGTTGATAGCAGCAAGAGACTCGACCTTGTCAGAAGCTGAAAGTTGATCTTCTGAGAGTTGTAGGATGGAGGTTTGCAGCACGGTCAACACCCAGCCCAAAGTGAGAGCAATGTCCCGATCTACAAATATACCGCATCACGAAGAAAATCAGATTCAGCATATTATAACCCATGAACGTAGTTGGATTTGAGGGAAAGGAAAGCGACGTACATGGAACATGAAGAGGCTTGGTGTGGTCGCGGTGCTTGAAGGACTTGACACCAGTGTGCATGATGCCAACCTTGTCAAGGTAAGCGTAAGACTTGAGGGCAGTATAGTCCATTGTCATGATCCGCCGAGCCCATGTCTTCATAAAGATCTAAAGAACGTGATGTGGCGAACAGTAAGACGCTAGTTACGGTGAGGGAGTGGGTCAATGGAACAAACCTTCCGATAGATGAGTTGAGCGCTGTCGAGCGTCAGGTCTTCTAACCGCGTCGGAAGGGGACCATCAAACCCCTGAACAATCATGGAATGAATCAGCACTGATGTTTTCTCTCACGAGAAGAAGATGAACATGCATACTTCATTCCGTTGCATAAACACTTGCTTGGTGATGTCGAACTCGAATAACTTCGCGTACAAGTCATCGACGATCTTGGGGATGAGTCCGTACACCAATGGCCCCACCTTCTTGATCAATTCTGCGTCGTGGGCGTGGAAGTTAAGGAAGTCGCGAAGATACCGCACTCGGTCTTCGAGAGATGTGCGGAGTAGTTCCGGGTCGATTTCTTGGGTCATATCTACGAGAGCTGGCGCCGCTCGGGGCGGTGAAGAATGTGCGACGGGACATGTGGCAGTTTCTGGCGCTGGAACTGGGGTCTTGTTCGCCTCTGAGCGTTGCTCCGATTCAGTGGATTCGACCACGGTGGATAGTTGTGCTGAAGGAGCCGCAAAAGGACAAGTAGCTGGCGACGCCGATGTATCAGAATCCTGAGTAAGAGGCTCCTCTTTGAGCTGGAGATTGTCGAGCTGTTGAGTAGTCGCGTCCATGATAATTCAAAGCGTCTGGTAAACGTCCGTCAAAGCAAAGTGTCTAAGGCGTCACTGGGGCCAGGGAGTAAGTGGGTGCGAATTGGATACGGTCATGGTGCCTTCTCTCTGAATTTATGGAGATCAGGACTGGAATGCCGGAAGAGATGTCGGCGGGAGCAGGCGAGACATCTATGTTGAAAGCGGGGCGACCGCGCAAGACATCGCAGAGGTCGAGGTTGGTCGAATATGATGGATGCCATTGGAGAGGTCGAGTTGTGGCCCAGGACGTTCCAAAGTGCTCGAGACACGGCTCGGCTTTCGAATTTGTAGTGTGTGGCGCTGAGGGCGTAACGATCTTATCTAATCTCCAAATTATCCCCAGACGTTCTTGCTGTGGTAAGTTAATTCGACTCGGACGGGCTTAGCAAATGCGTTTTAAAGGACAGTGACCGTTCGATATCCAGACGGGAGGTACTGTAAGTATCGATGTCACGGTTCTAGGTTGGCTTTGAATGATCGAACGGTATTCACGCCGCAGAACGACAGTTTTGGACTCCTAACCCAAAATCAAGAGTCCTTTGTACATACGCCGCCACTCCGAATCGTACCAGTCCTAAACTCAAGGTATTCGCGCAGCCGTCGCCTCCCCCTGAGTGTAACCTAGGCTCGGTCACCAGTCTAACGATTAACGATTTCCGTCCGGAACACCTGCCACGGAATCGAATCGCTTGGTTTCACAACGATAGACACCCCTCAACATCTTACTGCAACACCTGTATCTCGAATCTTCAAGCAGATCATGGTGAGCCAGCTTCTGTCATCACTGCTACCGCTCCTGGTGACGTTGATTTCCGATTCTCACCCGCAGGCCCAGCCGTCTGCTTTGAACGACGACGAGGCGATTCGGATCCGTCTTATTCAGTCGATTCGTATCCTGACCTCTTTCCTCCATGGCTATAACAGCGGAGAAGAACGTCCCGTGAAACAGACTCGTCCAGGCGACATCCATTCTTTCATCCAGCTCGCAAACTTGCTCACCCTTGATGCCCCGATTCTCGCGGTTACGGGCACCGTGTCTGCTGACGCTTGGATTACAGGTATCGTCATCGCCTCAAACTCTGGAGGGAAAGGTGCCGTCGTCTCCGATAGCTCGCAAGTGGATTCAAGGACGAGCGCTCAGGCCAGACAGACTATACCTTACCACCGACCAGGCTTCCTTTCCGGTTTGGAAGCTAGTCGAAGAACTAACTTCTGCTCCTCGTTCAGATTCCGTTCGTGCCATACCTGTGCTTCTATGATCTCTCTCTCTCTCTCTCTCTCTCTCTCTCTGTTCCGCTCATGAACCATAATGACCTACATGTGTGGTCTCGACAAACAGATCACTTCTCTTGGACACACATGCTATGCTCTCCCTTTCACATGCCAATCAATAAACATACGGATTTCCTCAAATACATAGTGCTTTATATATTGAGTATCCGTTGTACACCCCTCCTCATACACACATACGCTTTCGGAGATCAGTCTGTTCGACGAGTGTATTACGATCAGCTTACGAATTGTAGTTGTTAGCAAAACATGCGTACCGGTTAAACGCAGGTAGTGTCGGTCGCGTCACCACAGCCGCACCTCAACGAGCAGCAAACGCCGCCGTTGCATCCGCCGGAGCAAGCGCACTGCCTGGCTTCGAGAGGGCTCAAGTCCATCGCACTGTGAGAATATCACCGCGCCAGTCAGTAAGGGTACTGTCCAAAGGCGAAGGCGGGGAGGAATGTGATATTTACCGAGGAGCCATCACGGTAGCAGAGACGGAAGAGGCGAAGACGAGGCCAAGGCCAAGGAGAGAGGCAACGGAGAAGAAACGCATTATGTAGTGACTTTGAAAAGGCTTTGGGTGAGTTGCGACGATGCTTTGGTGCGGTGGCGAGTGAAGACTGGATGAGGAGGATTGTGCTGTGATTGAACCACATTTTATACCTACTCATACTTGTGAGTATCCCATGGAGATATATCAAAGCGTAAGATATTCGGTATCCCGAGGATTCAATGCGATGCTCTTCATGTACTGCCGATTCTGAGAGCGACCGACTCGTCTCATCAGTTACTTAGAGGTGGTCGCAAACCCACGACCTATGCGCTGGTGGAGCTCGGAAGTGTTTTGAATTATGAAGGACGGTCACAAGCGGTGACAGTGCTCCGAAAAGAGCATGAGCGTGGCGAGTAAAGACTTCGCCCCTACCCACACGTCTACTGACTGTTTCTCTGACTCGCATTCAAGATGATGATGCTAGCAGTGCTTCGGCATACCGAATGGCATAGCCGCTGGAATTTGGTTCTTCAAGTCCGAGTCGTCGTGTGGTGAGCTACTACCAAGTACCAGATAGCATGAATTAGTGTCTGTTTGAGAAAGCGGTGGTGGACTAGTAAGACCATGGATCGCGTACATGATCACAGAACTCCGTTAGTTTCCCTTTCGAGTTCAATCAAGCGAGTGACACGGGAACGAAAACTCGGCGGAAGTTTGAGCTCCGCCATAAATTTGTCCAGTGACAAGGACACTGACCGCCACCGTCGAAGGAAGGAATCTTTTATGATATCTATACCTCTGAATTCAGGCTTTCCAGCATGTTCGTAGCGATATAAAGAAGTCAAGCCTTCGCAGATGATGAAGAGGTTCCAGAGGCCCAACGACTACTGACATGCCATATTGTACAAGACACATCCACAACGATATCACCCATGCAAGAGGGAGAACAAACGAGCAATCGAACTCGACTATGAATTTTGTCTGCTATGTAAATAATTAAGAGGAACACTACAATCCAGAGAGTCTGAGAGTCCTTCCGAATGACATGTCATATATACTATATATTTGTGAGTACTTACTGGAGTTGGGTTAGGACGCACGCACAGAAACTGGCAGAAGAGGAAACGCGGAAACGCAAGCGGATGGAGGAAATGGTAATAAAGGAAGGTGATTATCGACAGCATACCTCTCCTCCGAACAAAGCACAAAGCACATCACATCGAACACGACACTGATCGTCAACGCATCAACGGTAACCACTCACAGCCCAACTCGTTCATTCAATCAAAACCCACCACGACGCGCTCAGCACCTCAATGATGCTCATAGATATTCCACGACTAGGATCAAGCATCGCATCGTCAGCAACGTACCCCACCAAGTGAACTAAATACGATGAAAACGTACCTCTCGCCACTGCAGCCCCCAATGGTTATTGATGGGCCCATCAATCCCGAACGCCACGCCCTTGAACCACCAGAACGAGAACACGATCGAGCTGGTGCAGACTCCAAAGACGATCCATTTCGTTCTTTCGCTCAGTCGGCGGGAGGAGAACACGAAGTGGTCGATCAGGTGGGCGAGCATGAGGACAGAGAAGTAGAGTGTCGGGAGCTGATTGCAAGTGAGGACGAGAGGAAGTCAGGTTGATTGCCAAGAAGCGTGAATAGGAAAGTAGGAACGTACGTAGTGGTGGACGTAGGTGACACGGCCCATGACAAGGAAAGGAGCTGAAGTAGAAAGCATCCTGATGTCAGCGAGGTGCAGAAGCGTCGTATCAAGATTACGAAAACCGACCATAGTGCAAAATCCAACCAAACAGCGCGATCTTCCCGACATACAAGAAGTGTTCCCACTCCCCTACACGAATACCATAAGCATCATCTTAGCCTTAAAGCTCGACCGTTCAAAGAGACTTACTAGCATCCATATCGACAAACCGCCTCTGCATCCTCAACACATAAATCCCAGTCGCCGCAACACTGACAATCAAGCTCAAAGTCCCGCCCCACCAAATGATCGGCGTCCCGAGCAGATAATACTTCGTCTGCGAATCGCCCCAACCACACATGCGCAATCCGAGACGCAACCAAGGCCAGTCCGTGGGCTTTGACGCGAGGATGTCTTCCTTGTCCGGGTCAGGGATGAGTGCGTTGTTGGAGGTCATCATGGCTACGTTGAGGTGCCAAAAGTCACGGAGGAAGGGCGAGCGGTAGAATTTGGCGTTTCCGGCGGGGACTAGGAGTCAAAGTCAACAACGTCGAAGGAATCAGTGACTCGTTTACCAAAAAAAAAAAGGGGGGGGGACTCACGTCGTTCATTCCAGTGGCTCTCCACATTCCAATACGTATGTATATCCTTCGGATTATTCTCCTTATCACAACTGACCTCGATCTGCTTGAACCCCCACTCCGGCAACGGATTATTCGCCGCCCTCAAATAACACCCCGACGCCTCATGCCTAAACCTCAACCTCGTCGTCAACGAATGGATCTTCTCGAAATGCCCCTTCGCTCCCCTCTTCACATCGTCCACGACCTCCACGACCCAATAATCGTGAAAATCGCCGATCGTAGCATTTCCGTACGCGGACACTTCGTTATTGAGCTTCGAGATGGGCGCGACGATGTTATGCGAGTGCAGGTTGCGGGTGGTGGAGGCATGGACGAGACGGATGACGTCGCCATCTTCGAGGAAGCGGATCTCGCCTTGGGGGTCGACGGGGGGTTCGTCCCATTTCGGGGAGATGACCCAGTCGTTGTTGCTGTCCTTGTAGTGGTAGCAGGTCACTTGCTGTTGGTTCGAACCGACGGGATAAGTCTGGACGTGCGAGTGCAGGAGGCCGCCTCCCCAGCCCATGTTCTTGAGCGTCAACCGAGAGCCGAAGGCCACGTCTATACATAGAGACTGTGAGCAAGCGGAAACGAGTGACAGGGGAGTATGCGGACGCCGTACCGAGTGGGTTGCTGGCAAAGTCATTTCCGACGAGGTTGGCCTGGAAGAGAGAGCTCATTTGTGCGTCTCCGGGACCGGAATGGTTCAAGACTAAGAAATGCAGCTTGAAGGACGCCATGTAGACGAGGATGGGTAGGACGATAAGACACCCCACTCGTGCGCCCCAGTGCCACAGTTGTGTTCGCTAGACGGAAAGTGTGAACAGGGGTCGAAAAACACCGTAGTGTAGTCGAGGTGGGACTTACGACAGTCATTCGAAGGTCACCGAATTTCTCCCATAGATCCTCAATGGTGTACAGACCAACCAAGGCCGTGACAAAGAGGCCGATAAGTTTAATACTAAGAGCGGGATGAGCCACAGCCGTCATGTCAATCGCGAGCATCAACTCACCTTGAGACGCATCCAATGGACAGCCCTGTCAAGCCGAGCCATAACCACCAATCTACCGAGAATGGCCTACAACTCCTTCAGCACGGCAATGGGAGCAAGGAGAGGTAATAACTCACTGATATTGTTGGTTGTGGAATTTCGTGAGGAAAAAGACCGTGGTGAAGGTGAAGAAGAGAAGCATTGAATCCAAAAGAATGAATCGAGATATACACAGCCAGGCGACATCTAGAGCTGAAGTTAGCGCTGCCCGAGTGGCGGGAGGACAAACGAATGTGGCCCATCGTGAAATTGAGCTCTTTGCTTCCACACATTCTGTTGGATGCCAGTCTCATCGATCCATAGGATAGGTGCGACACATCGAGCAGCATCTCAACGTAAATGATCCAATAAAGCACTCGCAGGCAATATCGCCACAACACGATGGGCCACACAATATGAAGCCAGAAGTGCGAACGACGTACCACATAGAACCATCAGAGCAACCAAATGACACGCCCTCCTCGTCATTCCCAACTCGACTGCCGTATACCACCCCAGCGGGACCATCAACACGCCAAACATGGCCATCATGACACGCATCGCGACATACGGCACCTCCGCCGGATAAACACCTCCACTCTTGAAGTCGAAATGGCCATCATAACCCGCGAGCAGGCCGACGAATCCGACGATCATCTTCCCCAGAGGAGGATGCACGTCGAAGTAGAACTCGCGCTTGAGGTAGTGCGAGCCGAACTTTCCAAAGTGAGCCTCGTCCCAGACGACGACGCCGGAATGTCCGATTTTGTGGAAGCGTGTCCAGCATGAAAGGAGGGTGTAGATGATAGGAGGGACATGTTCGAGATTTTGTTCGAAGAATTCGCGCTGAATGACGCACGTTAGGTGAAACGTCGGCGAGTCTAAGAACGACACGTACGATTGTTGTTGGAGGCGGCGGCGGCCCTCGCCTTGCAGGACGACCACTGCTCATACGAGCAGCAGCGGGGCCAGCCTTAGCGTACACGTCCTTCCCCTCATCGTCGTACTCCCAATTCTTTTCCTGACCATCGTACGCGCCGTCCTTCGCGAGTGCGCTAGGCCCGCGCGGTACCCTGCGTCGAGCAGCGGTGTCCTCCGTCATGTAGCTCAGCGGCAATTCTTCCTCGTTCCTAGGCTGGGTCCAAGTCGAGTAAGACGTATGTGGTTGTGGGTAGTCGATCTCCTCGAAGGAGTCTGAGGTGCGGGGGGGAGTGGCGGGAGGGGAGTCGGTGTCTATGATGGATACTTGATGATGTGGTTTCATTCGACTAAGTCCAGTATCTGGGCGCACTCGGATTTCTGGGGCCCTTGCGAACGCCTGCTCTTTCGCCGTCGAGGCGCTCTGCTGCTGCCAGCGACTGGTGTTGATGAAGATGAAGATGGTGGATATAGCTAAAGCTCAGGTACGGTGACACGTCGGCCCTCTTTTTCTGTTGTCCATCTACCGCAGCCATCACGCACTCACGCACTCTGTGCCGAAAATAGCAACTCTCATAGCCCCCGGCGGTTAGGGAGAAAAAAAATGGCCATAATTGCAGTATGTAGCATATAGTACGGCCGACATGGAGAAGAAACGATAGCAAGAAAAAAGTAGAGATACACCAAGGAGAACCGCATAAACAACCCATCACACACTTCACTGGACATGACGTTCGTACCGAGCTAGAGATTGGCTTGAGCACGGGCGCGAACAGAGCGAATTGACAATGAAGTAGCTTACCAGTCACCATGGCGTGGTCACGCTCGTAAGGCTCGAGAGTGATCTGTTCAAGAGGCTTGAACTTTTCTTTCCGCAGGGCAGCGACTTCACTGATGAAGACGGCTTCGGCGGGCACGGTCGAATCGATACAGTTTGCCTTGATAGAGATCACGACATGGCCGCCCTCCTTCAGGAAATTGTGGGCGTTGATTGCGACGATACGTGCTTGATCTGGCTGAGCGACGTCGGCAAAGATGACATCGACAGATGAAAGAAGCATGCGGTATTTTTGTGGGAGACGTGCATCCTCGACGATAGCTAATATAGGAGGTAAGTCAACGGCGATCAGCAGAATGAGAAAGAAAATGGCATACGAATGACGTTTGTCCGCTTCTTAGCCATGTTGATCAGGTCACGACCTGACCGAGGAGAGAACTCGACGGCATAAACAACACCTTCCTGAATACGAAGACGGTTGTCAGCGATGTGATACTGTTAACAAGGATGAAGAAAAAAGAACATACCGGTCCAACGATGTCCGCAACATGGCTGACACTAGTTCCGCTCGCAGCACCAAGATAAAGCACCTTCTTTCCGGGCGCGATGAAGATCTCGCTCATCCCACCCAACACGCCCGCCGCGAGCTTACTCCTGAACGGATTCCAGACCCTGTACTCGACCTTCGTGCCCTCCTCAGCTCCGTCAATCGAGATGCGCTTCTCGCCGTAAACCGACTCTCCGGGGACGAGATTTTTGGTGACGAGCATCGAGTCCTTGCCTTTTGCGATGAAGATCCCGGCATGTCTGTGCGGCTCGAGGATAACGTTCGCGCCTCCTCTGCCTCCGGGCTTGCCGCCACGGGCACCACCACGGCCGCCCCTGGGTGCCCCACGACCTCCACGACCGCCACCACGGTCTCCACCTCGTCCACGGCCCATGACTCCGCCACCACGAACACCACCACCTTAGAGAGTGAAAAGAGCGGGAATGCTTAGTTCTTCTTCGTCTTTTGTGAGAAATGAGTAAGACACGCACCACGGCCACCGAATCCTCCACGACCACCGCCTCTGTCGCCTCCTCCACGGCCACCAAATCCTCCACGACCACCACCTCTGTCACCTCCTCCACCTCTTCCACCTCCACGACCTCCGAATCCTCCACGGCCACCAGGTGCTCCTAGTAGCCAAGAAAAGGAAAGAAAATTTCAGCGTTGGTCTCTAGATTCAGTAGGAAGAATGCACGCACCGAATGCCATTTTTTGGGTTGTCCGACTATATAAGGTAGGGCTTGAAGTGATCTACAAGGCCGAGACGGACGGTAATTTTGTAGGTAGGTGGGGACGACGGACGGGGTGCGGAGAGAGGGTAAAGAAAACAGAACGAATTTCAATTTGTCATCTGTTTATGAGTCCGGAAGATGCCGGTGTGGCACTGTGTGGCCCAAGTTCATTCAAGCAGTGCTTATTCGGTGGTGAGGTCTCTCGGGACTTGCTCAGCCTTGCTCAGTCGAACCACTATACACAGGTGGTAAAACATGAGTTGTTTACAATCAAGGGTTTCGGTATTCATATAACAATAAACATCAGAGCTTCGCGGTCTCTGTCTGTGTCTCCCCCATATTGATGACAATCTTCCCGAACTGACCCCCACGCTTCATCAGCTCGAAACCCTGTTCGGCGTTCTGCAATCCATCTATAACATGTGAGACGATTGGAGTAATTCGCTTCTCCGGAAGGAAGCGTGTAGCGTCCTGAAGGTCCTTCACGGAACCCATCGTTGATCCTAAGTTCGTTATCATTAGCCAGCGGTCAGCATCAGGAACAGAGATCCAGGATCATCGCAATACTTGCCGATAATCTGCTGATTCTTCATGACTTCGGCCATTGTCATTGTAACTTTTTGATCTGCAGTCATACCGTAGATGACGATTCGTCCACCGAGTTTCAAATGCTTGCTTGTCTGCCGAATGATGTTTCCTCCTCCAGAGTCAATCACGGCATCCAATGCTTTTACTCCATTCTCCTTGAGCACTTCTCCGAGAGCCTGGGACCACTTCTCTGGGTAACGACGGTGGAGTCAGCCCGCAAATGTCTACAGCATGTCGGAGAGAGTGCACTTACGGTCTTTATACAGTGTAGGCCCACTCCTTGATCCAACCCCGGTCCTTGATCCACTGCATAACTGCCGCCTACAGCTCCCCCAGCTTGAAGAACACTCTTGAAAATTGTAGATACAGGACGCTTAAGGTTATATTGAATATCTGAATGAGCATGCACTATTGTTATGCGGGGGAACCGTGCAGTGCGGGGTTGGATCAAGGACCCATATTTTGTGGCGCTCGGGTGCCACACCACCTTTTGGTCTCCCAAGAATGCACACTCACCTTGGGCACCGTGTGTATTTTATTCTGAAATCCTTTATGGATGATATCAACCTCAGAGTTAACCGTTTAAACGAATATGGGAAGGGGCGTGAGAAAACAAATTGATTCAAAGTGGCGGATCAAGGAGTGGGCCTACACTGTAGTTCACTCCTCCCTTTGCTCCTAGCTTGACGGCCTTGGCGATCTTCTCTTCGTCTCCGCTCGTCACATATACATTCGCACCTTTGGCGACGCAAAGCTGGAGCGCTGTGATGGCGACACCGCCGCCAATGCCTAAGGGGAAGTTTCGATACAACTTATCAATACGACCGTTAGGAATCGACGACGTACCAGTGATCAGAATGTTGTGGTCTGCTTCGACCCTCGCATTGACCATGGTAGCTCTGTAGTAATTGTCACCTTATGAATCAAATTTGAGTACCACCAACAAGCGTACTCGCCTCCAAGCGGTAACACCAGCTAACGGCCATGCAGCCATATGCACATCGTCAAGGTGGCTCGGGCTTTCGATGACTTGATCACGTTCGACCACGAGGTATTCAGTGAAAGTCCCGAAGGGCGAGAACCTTCCTCCTCCAAGTAGAGCCATACCACGACTGTGAACTCGTTCAGCAGATACTTATATAGGAAGCAGTTACATCTGGCCTACGGGTCTTCTGGTGCGTCTGGATCACTTTGCCAGCCTCGCATGGGAACCAAAAGCACTCTCTGGTTGAGCAGGGGATCATCAGCCTGGCCGGAGGCTATCGCGGTACCTACATTGATTCTTTGAGATTTAGGACAGGAACTGCCGGGAGTTTGTGGGACGATCACCTGCTGCATCTGCGCCGAGGACTGTGCCGAATTGAATGCCTGGATACATTCCTTTCCGAATCCATAGCTTCGAGAAAACGGATTAGACAAGCATTGCACATCGCTCGACCACGATTAAAAAAAAACAAACATCTCTGTGATTGAATGCTGCAGCGCCCACTTTGACTAGGATCTCATTCGACTTCAGTGGTTGTAGCCGCCGATGCTCAAGTTTAGCATCGTGATAGACTTTCCCCGGGGGTGCAGCGACCGACGACTTGTACAGAACAAGAGACCTGGTGCTGACGGGCAATTGCGAAGTCATGAAGGTTGATCGTCCTGTGTGGTAACAGAAGAAAAAGCACGAGTTAGGATTGCTCGTCCCTCTCATGAACGAGAACTCGAGGTGACCCGTGATTGTTCCCAACGGATGACGGTAAACCCTGGTAAACCGGCGTCGCGGTCACGAACGGGCTTCAACTTAAAACCCAAAAGCTCGCCAGTCCGAGAATAGACAGAGAAACACCGATACCATAGGAAAAGTGTCTCAATAAATTAGCCCTTGAGCTCACCAGGAAATAGAGCTTTTCTACCCATATACCATCCAGGTGGAAGCCGATTCGGAGAGAGGTCCAAGAACATCCGAGTATCCGGCGCGTCGTTTTAAACGGCCGTCCGGAGTTTTCCGTAATCCATTCTCAGCCACAATGAGTGGCACCGATCTGGGTTGTCGATTGTGTGGCACTTTCCTGTGTTCTCCAGGCTCCTCCAACATTGACGGCTGCACAGTCTCTCTCAAGCTTCAGTAGCATATAATTCTCAAGATATACCAACGATCACTTTCACAGCTCGCCAGACTCATGCAGGCATAGCAAAATTACTTTCTCATGGAGATTGCTGTCTTGCTCGCCATCGCCCTGCGCTCATTTCTTGCCGTCACCACGCGTACCTTCTTTCAGCCCGACGAATACTTTCAATCCCTCGAGCCCGCTCATCACATTGTGTTCTCGTATGGCCAGCTTACTTGGGAATGGACCTCTGCACGACCAATCAGGAGCATTGTATACCCTATATTGAACGTGCCGATATATTGGATGCTGAAAGTGTTTGGATGGGATGAGAGCCGTATGTTGGTGGGTACGTGTTTACCTATGATATCATCCATAGGAAGTCATTTTGAAGGCGTTTCCGTGCGTGGATGTATGTTTGCAGGTCTGGGCGCCTAAGCTCTTGCATGGTCTCCTTGCCGCAGGGACGGATATTTGGGTCAGGAAGCTCACCAAAAATGTAGTGGGCAGACAATATGTTTCTACCGCGGTAAGTCTTCCTAGCTATCACAGAACCTGGTCTCCGTAACGAAACGTTTTGGCGCACAGTTCTTCTTGTCTTTGATGTCACCATTTCATGCCCTTTCACTCTCGCGATCGCTTTCAAACTCTCTGGAAACAACGTTAACTACAATCGCATTAAGCCATTTCCCATGGAATGCATCTGTATCTTGCTCGAGGTAGGCATATTTATTTGGCTTGTCGATGCACATGGACTTGAAAGTAGTTTTGCGTATATCTGACTTCGATACTCATGTGCGAATAGGACGCAGCTCAGAAAGCTTCTCGTGTTTGCGGCATTAGCGTGCTCAATTCGAATCACCAATCTCGTGGTTTGGGCCTTCGTCATACCCCTTCTTCTATATCGCCTACGAAAAGATGAAGTTCGTTTTCGCGCGTTCGTCCTCGACGGGTTCGGTATAGGGTGAGCAGCTATCATACCTCCTACGTCGTCCTGCGTCTTGGCCTCTCATTGATATATGTATCCCAGCATAATCGCCCTCTCCTCCATGTTTGTCATTGACAGCGCGTACTATGGCCAACCAACATTCACGCCTCTGTCCTTTCTCCGAACAAACGCATCCTCTATATCTCTCTTCTACGGACGCTCTCCGTGGCATTACTATCTATCGCAAGGCTTGGCTATTCTACTCGGACCTGCTCTGCCTTATGCTCTGCACGGAATCTGGACAAATTTTCGGCCAAGTCAAGACAGTCCAGGCTCATCTCCTGACAAGGACGACGATAATAAGGCTGAGCGCGAATCCAAATCAGCTATAAGAACAGCACTGGCCCTTCTTGGATGGACAACCACGATATATTCATGCGCTGGGCATAAGGAGTGGCGGTTCTTACATCCGATGCTTCCACTTCTGCATGTATTGGCCGCGAAGTCGCTCGCGGACCTATCATCTGCCTCTAGGTTACGACCTGAAAAAACTTCAAGCACAAAGTCGGCCGGCGCGATTGATGTCAAAAGATCGTCCGCTCTGGAGACTGCCACCACCACCGTCACAAACCGCCATCTCTCCGACTCTCCTTCAACCGGTGCACTGTCCGTATTTACCCAGCTCGGTCAATCTCATGATGACGGTCCTGCCCCACTGTCAATACGATCCTTCCATATGATATTCCTAGTTCTTTTATCTCTTCCTGTGATTATCTGGGTCACTCGTTATCACGGACACGCACAAGTCGAGGTCGTCCGGTACCTTCATGACCTCAGCCTCCAGCAGAAGACGAGCGGAGAGATATCATCGCCACCGATGCGTAGCGTAGGGTTCTTAATGCCCTGCCATTCCACCCCCGGACAGGCATATCTTCATACCAATCTAGGAGACGGAAATATTTGGAGTTTGAGCTGTGAACCGCCTTTGGGGTGAGTCTTGTTCCCCTCATCAGTATCCTTGATAATCTTCGCAACTGATGACTGACACGGTGGTGGGTTAGACTCGTCGGTGAAGCGTTATCGAGCTATAAGGACCAGACGGACGTGTTTTACGAGTCTCCTGTCGAGTATCTCAATACTCGCTTTCCGCCTGTGGTCGACCCTACCTTTCCAGCTAGTCAAAACGTCTCGCTAGCCACCGAAGTGGATCAGCGATACCCTTGGTCCCATGTGTGGCCCTCACATCTGGCGTTCTTTGGATCCCTCCTATCGGTCGAGTTGGATCAGGCCTCCATAGACAATTTGAACGATAGTAGAGGAAATACAGGAAGAGATCAGACGACCGTGGAGGGCGTGCTGCGGGAGAAGGGGTATGTGGAGGTGTGGTCTCAAGAGGGTGGGTGGCGTGGATGGGAGATTGAGGACGATGGGAGACGGCGGGGTGGTGTCAGAGTGTGGGCATGGAGTCCATCACTTACGTCGAAACCGCCATAAATCAGAAGCAGGGAGCGCACAGTCAGGTTCCCTCTTGTGGCTTATGCATTTCAATACATCGCAGCGATAGCGCATGTTATTATGTTTCACGGTGTGTATATTGCAAGCAAAATGTCTATAGTAATAACAGTCTATAATCTATGAGGAGATCTAATATCCACGCTACCGGATCAACCTGAAAATCTCTGCGTTCTCGTTGACGAAGCTCTCCCACTGCGTAGGCTGCTGCTTCTCCCACCCTCCGAACTCCCCCTGCTTAGGCGTGGCCATGTCGAACATGACAGGTTCACCAAGTTCCATATCAGCCATCATCTCCACAACCTCCAGTTCCGGTTCCGTAGGGTTCATGATGGGTGTGACCGCCTCCTGTATGGACGCCGATGAAGACGAAGATGATATACTTTCGTCAGATTCGGACGCGGGGAGTGATTCCGACTCGCTGCCGTCCACGGAAGGGAAAGGCGCCGAAGGACACGCGCAGACACTGTATTCGCTCTGCACCTCTTCCTCCACTGAGAGTGTTACGGACGAGGTGGTTTCGGAGGTTGAAGGCGCGGGATCGCGAAGCCTCTGGATGTCTGCTACCACCTCCCGCACATGGTCCGTCGCACCAGCGATGTCGTCCTCCGACATGAAGAAAGTCTCGATCGATATAATTTTCTCCCTCAATCTCTTGAGTGTGATGCGTTGTTCCGGGTCGGGGTGGAGGATCTGACGGAGGAGTGTTTGGCATTCGTGTGAGATGGGGGTGGTGCGGCGGAGGAAGCTGCGGACGTTGAGGTATGCTCCGAACGATGCATCGGAGCGGATGGCAAGCGCCCAAGGGAAATGGCCACTGCACATGTTTATAAGGATGATGCCTGCAATTTGGTTAGCCAGTAATCGTTATTGTATGCTGAAGAGGAACATACCTAATGACCAGATGTCGCTGGGTGCGCTGGCATAGGGGTTGTCGAGGGTGTCTTCGCCAATGCATTCTGAAGAGGCAGGTCTCGGTCAGTGAAGAACGTAGGTTAATGAGGAGACCGTAACTGACCAGGCGACATATACGAAGGGCTCCCGACGAAGTTCTTTTTGTTGGTCTTGTGCGTGGTAGCAAGACCAAAATCAGCAAGACGGATTTGGCAGGATGCGCTATCCTCGGACGAGATGAGGATGTTCTCCGGTTTCAAGTCCACTGTGACCATCAACTAATCGTCAGTCTAATTTCTCAAGAGAAGACAGGACAAGGAAATACGTACTGTGGTAAACACCCTTCGAGTGGCATTTCATCAAGGCATCGATAATCTGCAAGAACACATTCTTCACCAGCGCATCATTGCGCCAGAATATGCCCCTCTTCACGATTGCGTCGCACAAGTCCCCTTTCTCACAAAGCTCCAAGACGATGAAGATCAGGCCCTCCGCGCCGTCCACTTCCTGCAAGATGGCGTTGTGAATCGTCGCGATATTGGGATGGGAGGAGACCTTGCGGTGAACGGAGACTTCGCGGATTTGTCGACGCTGCCTGCTCGAGCCGCGAGCGCCCTGTATCATACACTTGATGGCGTATTGTGTGCGCTGTTTGCAGTGCGTGTCGACACCGCGGTAGACTGTGGCAAAGGCGCCGGAGCCGAGAGTCTCGACGAGTAGGTATCGGTCACAGACCAGAGTGTTGACAAGGTTGGCGGTGGGGTGGGGGGCCTTGGTATACGATTGAGATGTCATAGTGATGAATGTGTTAAAGCAGGAAGGTGTTGTGGTAATGCAAGAGGGCGATCAACGCAGAAGAGAATTCGATGGTTTGGTGATGTGACTTGAAGTCGAGATGGTGGTGGAGTTGCAAGTTGAGTTGTGCAGAGTTCTGTGCGAGTTGAGCCATGTTATATAGCCTAGGAGGTATGGCCCTCGGCAGTTTCGAAACATGCGGGACAAAAAATGAGAAAACAAAAGCGGAGGAGAGGGTGAACACGAAAAAAAAAACGGAAAGCGGACGGCGGAACATAGAATTCGGCCATGCGAGACTTCCGTTGCCCCAACTCCGAGACACTGTTCAAGTGCGGCGGTGCCACAGTGGCCCAGTGTGCCTCAGCGAGAAGATGAGGACTTGTTTTATAGAACCTAGTCAGTTGAGATCCGAAAAGAGCCAGAGAGAGCAGTCGACCACGGTCGCCATGGTGAGTTGTACTTAAGCACGGTGCGGCCTTCAAGTTGTGATGCTACTTGAGTGCTTCAATACATCAATATGACGGACCTCCTGGTCAACGGCTGCAAGGCGGTACGGAGAATCATATTCCACAAGCTGAGCACCAGAGAAATTATCAAAACTATCAGTACTGTGAGACTGAGGGATGCAAGGTGATAGGACTGGAAACAAGGAAACAAAAATCACGGATAATCGCGACGTTCAACCTTGGTCGGAACTTCCCGAGCATTCCATCACGTCGACCGCTGTCAGTGGCGTAGCACGACAACGTCGACCTGCGCGACAACCACGCTGTTCGTACTTACACCCACCTCGCCACTCGAAGCTATCGCAATATCAACAAATCTCCGTTATGGGCTGGATTCCAGCTTTGTTTGCCTCGTGGCGAAACAAAAATCACCAGTTGCCAAAAGCGGCTGCCTCGTGTTGTCTTGGGCTCGCTTTGTTTTGCCCTCTTCGTACCGCTGCGTACGCTTTGTCGCGGTGCCCTAGCTCAGCGCGCCCTTGCTTCTGAAATCCCTCGGAGTATAAATTGGCTCTTACAACCATGCCAGACATCATCTCCCACCAGGCAGCGCGACCGAAGTACTCGAAGATACTAGCTGAGCTTATTGCAACGAATCCACGCCACTCAAGATGAACTCGCTCCGCCTGTCTCTCGGGACTATGCTCGTACGCGTTTCATACCATGGTCTTTCAACATTTGCGGTATTGATGTAGTGTAACTGAATACTAGTACGATCGTCTCATAAACTCAACCCTTGCATACCTCATCGTCGGATTCGTCGTGAACTGGGCTTTGGAGCTCTACTATGGTGCACGGACGGCCTCGGTTGTCGGTGATATATGTAGCCTTCAGCTCATCATATACATTCTTCGCCGTTGTGGATCTCCCTGCCATGACCGCGAACATGAATCGTCTCGTTCTTTACCTTCGGAAGATGGTGCGTAACAGTGGTTTTGTCTGGACAACCTTCACTGACCTCCTATCGACAGATTTTGTCTTGCTCGAGCAGATTTATATGCCGGGAACGGTCAGTCATACACGATGGGCTTCTCCTGTCGTGTACTGAGCTCCGGCTTATTCTTTTAGCTTTGCATGAAGGCTTTCGCACTAAATGATGGCGAGGACATATCAAGCCCTTCACTGCTTCGTGACCCTGTCGACCTCAAAACTACGGCACATTTGGCTTCCACGATATCGGACGTTTCTTCATCCGAACTTCAGTCTGCTTCATCGTCTGAATCCGGATCCCTCATCACGCCCACCGATTCCTACACTTCATGCGCCTCTTCTACTACGGACAACTGGGACGAGTTTTATAAGCGACGCTCACTCTTCGACATTCTTACATCCGATCCCGTTCGTAGCGACTCCTCTTTCGAGCTTCCTGTCAAATCTCCCGAATACCTCCCTACTAGATCTCCTTCCCACCTTCCCCAAAGCGACATTCCCCTTCATCAGCAGCTTCCGCCGGCAACACCTCGCCTTTCCCCCGTTCGTCTTCCATCTGATACAATCAGTCTTCAGTCCACATACAACAGTACTTTCGCGCAGGGCTCTATCACTGCTGGCCCTTCTGTGGCGTCTGTGCACACCATCCGCGCCACCGTACCGCCCGGCCTTACCTTTCGCGACTTCTTTGCCTCTCGCACGTCTGTCGCCAATCCAGACACGCCGCCTCCATCATCGCCATGGCTTACGGCCCCACAAGGGCGAGGACAATTCTTTGTTCAAGGCTTGATCGGCAAAGGCAGCTACGGGAGGGTAGCTCGTGCGGAGGCATACATAGATTATCGGTACGCGAACGATGTCGCAGTCAAGATCATTCCCAAGAAGGATATCACGGAGGAGATCGAGATCCATATGTGTGTGGACAGGGAGAAGAAGGTCGCTGCGAGAATGGCGAAGGAGGATCCGTACGGGAAGCTGTCGAAGTTCTTGTGCAGGACTGAGATGGTCTTTTCGGACGTACGGAATTTCTATGTTGTTTCGGTGAGTGCTACGTCTCATTTGCTTGTACTTTGGATCGGGCACTCACGGCTGCCATATGATCAGAAACTGAAGGCGACGGATTTCGGGAGCATCATTCACAAGCCCAGGCGACGCTGGACCACTCAAGACGTCAAGTTCTGGATCCAAGACCTCGTAAGCCCTCATCTTCCTCACCCATCCTCTGGGCCCATGAGTCTGACTATTTTCTCCGTCCCTGCTATACAGGTCTTTGGCATACACGAGCTCCATACACTCGGCATGATTCACCGTGACCTGAAATCCGACAACATCCTTATCGACGAACACGGGCGACTCCTCCTCACCGACTTCGGCTGCTCCTTCGTCGCTCCTGGTCGTACTCTCGCTGAATCACAGGAAAGCTTGCGGGTCGGATGTTGCGTGGAGGGAGTTGGTGCTCCGGAGTATTGGGCTCCGGAGGTCGTGGCTGCGCACAAGAGTTTCGAAGGACAGGGGGAGGATGGGACGGTGAAGATGTATGGTCGGAAGGCGGATATGTGGGCGCTTGGACTGGTGCTATTGGAGATTTATTTGGGGCAGGTGTGTTTTCTTGTCTCTAGGTGCTATCAATTCTTTCTTTTGGTTCTGATCAGCTGTGTTCACCATAGCTTTATTTCCTGCCACGAATGCAAAAGGTGTACACCTGGGAGGAACGAGTCAATCCTGTTTCGTTCGAATATCTTGATGCGATGGTGGATGTATTCGTTGATAAGGATGCGCAGGGTCTGCTTCGTCGTGTAAGTCAAGTTCTCTGTCCTGTCACCTTCCGCGCGTCTTTTGACTTACAATTGCCTACATCAGCTTCTCTGCGAGGATCCAATGTACCGATATGACAGCTCAGAGATCTTCAGTGATCCATACTTCGCAGACACGTTAGTCCACTCTTGTCGATGAGTCTAAAACCCGTCTAATATCTTTTCATTGAATGTCGATTAGCGATTGGTCTGTAGTTGCTAGTCGCATGTTGACTGGTGAGTTCAACAGTCTCATCTGTTCTGCTAGATGAAACTGTTGCTGACCCTCACCTCTTGATTTTAGGCCCTGTGATGCCAACGCCCAGACAACCTTCTACAGACTGGAGAGAAGCCCTCATGTTTTGACTCGTTAATGTGGATGTAACTAGTGTTAGCGATTTTGAGAGACCCTCATAATACGGGGTGTTATATGTATATGTTGATTTATAAAAACTACTATTATGAGCATGAGACCCAATTTATATGAATTTACATGATAGCATCTACCTTGCATGAGTTGCCAGACAGTCGATTTCGTGTTTTCATCCGCCGCTAAATTCGAAGAAAGTAAAAGGTAAATTTTCGCATTTCTTTCTTTGTGTAAGGACATCAAACAAAAAAAGAGAAAAAAAGGGTACCCACGTAAAAGAGCTTGACCACCGCAGGGGTCGAACCTGCAATCTCCTGATTACATGCGATTGGGTAAGATCCGCTCGCCTCTCGTAGTCAGACGCGATGCCATTTCGCCAGGCGGCCTTAATATCACAAGCTCGATTAATATTTATATCGAAACCTTTCACACAGACACCGAACCGTACTATTAGTATTAACCGTATACCCTCTACCCCGTCTAAGTATCACAACCTCGTAGTCTTCATATCGAGGTTTACGAGTTGACGGTGACTGCTGTGGCGGGTCCCGCAAAAAATATTTCGAAGATTCTTGACCTATGCCGAAATAAATCGTGCCTCTGGAGCAAGGATCCACGATCGCCACATTCACATCCCATGCAGGATATCCGGACAATGGTCTTTCACCTGATCTGGATCAAATATTGCATGATGTCCGAGCGCAATACTCGTAGCCTCCCGAAAAAGTAACCACATACATATCTATATTCTACAACGTATAACGGAACTTTTAAAGAAGTCATATTAGCCGTCTGCACCACTCAACTAGAGCAAACAAAACAGACAGCACTCACATAAGGATTCTCAAAGTCTGTCGTGTCCGACTCGCCGTACTCCTTCCCCTTTGCGATCCTCTCTTCCTCTGTCAGTCCGTCCTTCGCGAGCGCTGCATCTTTGAGGCGGTTGCGGCGCATGTATACAAGCCGCCAACAAACACAGAGGACGAACTCGGCAGCGAAGCAGACAGCACATACGGTCGTCGCGGCAGTGTATTTCGGCTATCCATATAATACACCGCGTAAGAGGAGAAAAGGTAAGTTCCAAAGCGCATGCAGATCCGGTAAGAGAGTGGTAGCAAGTGAAATGGGGAGGCAAGAAATGAAGTGGGGTAAGACGTACAGCGTCCTTGGCGAGGAAGATCTGAGTGCCGACCATGTTTCCGACACAGTAGCCGACGAAGGTGAACGAGGACGTGATAGTCCGCTTCGTTCGTCCTGCGACGTTGGACGGGATGAGAGTCCACGACATGAACAAGCCGACCACGAAGGGGACGGTCATGAAGTAACAGCCTGTTTGGAGCACAACGACGGATATGATCGTATTCACAGTCAGTACACCAATAACGTATAAAAATCGAGCTATGTGTAAATGGCAAGAGACTACGTACCCCACTTGGACCATTTATACGCTGGCTCATTTGGCAGGAGCGAGATTCCGAGGAAGCCAGCCATAGAAGGAAGAGTGCAGAAGGCCATGAAGATCAGTCGGAGGTTGGGTATCCTGGTTGTAATGATGCCGATGAAAATGAACCAGAGCACGCTGAAGACACTGCGAGGGATTCCGTATAGAATGACCTCGAGGGAAGCTAAACGAAGCAATATGCTCAGTATAAGAACCAATATTATCATGGACGAAGATATAGAGAGAAACGCACTGAATCCAAAACTCTTGTTGAGAATACTGCCAAACGTCGTCAGACCTCCATTCGGCACTGAACTCAAGAACGCATTTAGTCCGGTGAACCAGAACTAGAATGAAAAACAAATCCGAAATGATGAGGCGTTAGTGCTCATTAGTAGCCGAGTGCGTGGCCAGGAGAGAAAACATACAGTAGCATCCGTCAATGCCTCACGGACTTGTGCCCACTTCCAATTCTTCACACCCGTCCGATCATGACCGGTCTGGTTGGAAACGATCCGGGCGTTGGCCATCCGCCTCTCCTCTTCGGTCAGCCATGGGACTTCTGAAGGTGTACCGAGAAGGAAGAGACAGAGTGTCCCGACAACGATGGTCAGGCCGCCCAAGAACTTGATAAACCGTCAGTTGAAACACATTGGGTATATGTATAGGAAACGCACGTAGGACATTGCACGCCAGGATTTATCACCAGAGGTTCTCGATCCGATCCCATACAAGATGAGGTCGGCAATGACACCGAATCCGGCATTGGCACTCTACGATGATAGACGTCAACGCACTGAAACAACGAGGAAGAACAATCATACCTGGAAGAAGAGGGCACGAGAGGGATGTTCCCTCGTCTTGTACCACGAACCAATGACGAGGATGAACCTGAGAAACGTGTCTCAGCTTAATATGTGGAGTAGAGGTTCAAGGTAAAAGGCGGCGTACCCCGGAGAGATGCAGCACTCTGCGAGACCTTGCAATGCTCGAAGCGCCATCAACTGGGCCCAGTTCTGAGCTGTAGCATTCCAGTCAGCAACAACGTAGATATTGAAGACCCGAATTCAACGCGTACCAAAACCGATACACAAGACGATCACGCCCCAGCACAACATGTAAATCGACAACGTCTTGCCCATTTTCCAGCGTTGCAGGATGAGGTTAGATGGGAACTAAAATGATCACAGAAGTTGTCATGGCTGTTCGTGAAAGGGGTCAATCCCTGAAATGTTGACTTACCTCGAAAAACAAGTACATAAGGTCTAGATATGTTGATAATCAGCAAATAGTCATCGGAGGTGGTCAGGGAAGGATAGCTCACAGAAGATGGTCGAAAGCCATGAATACTGGTTCCCCACAAGACCAGTATCCTCTCGCAGACCGAAGTTAGCTTGTGTTCCGAGCGAGGTCTTGTCTGTCTGCTGGATACCTTTTCACCACGAAACGCGTCAGATGAAATGTCGACACTGGAGAGTCATCTGCCTCACCGTAACAGAGCCACATCAAAGGAAGAAGGTAGCGATCAATCTTCCTCTTGAGTTTCGCGTACTGTTCCTCAGTATACTGGCTCTCCGCCAGAACTGCTCAAGAGGGTTATTAAGTTCGAGATCATCAACATGAGAAGGAAGGTAGTATTGCATCTACGTACCGATATCCATATCATCTGCGCCGGCCTGGAAGACTTGAACATCCACGCCTGCTTTCTCAACATCCTCGGCATTCTTCTCGTCGAGGGACGGCGTCTTCGAAGCAACCGCTGGTGACGACATGATGAGAACGTGAAATACGGCAGCGGACGCTCTGCTATGAGGAAAGCAGATGACGAGCGAGACGGCTGATCGTGAGACTATTTCGCTCAGCCTTCTCCAACCTTTTGTATCTTCGAGTCCCCCTGTGTACTAAAGATGAGATCACGCAGGATTCAGGTCAGCCAGGTCGGTGATAAGTCGTGGGACAGAGTAGGCCCAACTAGAAACACATACAGAGATTCCTATCCTTTCCTATCTCACGGCATTTGATAAGTCCCTTGAACGATAAGTCGACTCCCTCAGCCACAAAGCATCACGTAGGAAGGAAGGAAGGGGTCCTTCGCCGTCTTGGCCGTTAGATATAGCAGTAGATAAGAGCGGCGGTGTGCGTGAAGGTCTTGGCTGTATGTTGGGGTGCGATAGCTGGCCACAACGAAGTAAGGCTGCGGTCAGCTCCGAATCTCGCCTAGGCCGGTTGAAACATTTATGAGTAGAGATTTAATTAGACACAGAGCACACTCTTGAGTCGTACGGTGGACCCATAACGAAGGCTGTTACTGGTTATTCGCAAATTGCTGTTAGCTGTACCTTGATTGACACAGATCGTTGACTTGATTCCGTCCTGGCACGAAGATATGAAGGTGTCATATATAGAAGTTATGAAGAGGATGCGTAGCAAGTTACACAAAATACTGAGAATGCCACTCATAACCACGTGTCCCTATAAACGCTAGCCGACAATTCAGCGAAACGCACTGTGCACAACGTATTGGAAAGACGCACCCACCAAACTGACACCAACCTTGACCTACGCCCCTGCCATCCTCCTCAAAATCTTCCCTTCTTTCCACCCCACCTCGACTTACCCCTTGCTCCACCTCTCCTCGAACCACCAGCACCAGCACCACTACCACCAGCACCTCCCCATCCCTCCCTCCCTTCTCTCCCTTCTCTCCCTTCTCTTCCGTCCCTTTCATCATACCCTCCATGTCCAAAGCTACCATCTCCACCTCCACTGAAGATCGCCTCCTGTGGAGGTAAAGGTCCACTCTGTCTCTTCCTCACTGAGTCGCCACCGCCACCCGCTGCTCCAAACCCAGGGATAAAGTCATCGTCCCCTTCATCTCCCTGTGTACGTCCATCCGGATTCGCACCCGGACCAGAAGCATAACCGAATCCAGCACCAGGTCCGCCTCCAATTGGTCCTGGTCCGAATCTTGAGCCTGCAGCATAGCCCGAAGGAGGCGGGCCGCCATTCGAATGCATGTTTCCACTGCCGCCGCCATTGCCATACCCATCCATCCGTCCAGCCACACGATCGACCCCACTCCCTTCCTCCTCCTTCCCCCACCAGCCTCCTCCTCCACCTCCGCCTCCACCTCCGCCTCCTCCAATCCCAGGCAAGCTTTCTCCACCCGCACCACCTCCAATCCCCGGCACGAACGCCTCCTCCGTATCGAACCCATCGAACCCATCCAGCATCCCATCTCCATCCCAACCCGCATCCTGCCCACTCAGATCCACCACATTCGGCGGCTTCTCGCCTCCGCCGCTAAACACGCTACTCGAGTCTCCCGGCCTCTCTCGCGACCAGAAACGGGTCGTGTGGTCGTTCGAGGCGGAGACGAGGAGGTGGCCGAGCGGGTGGAAGGCGAGGGACCAGACGTTGGAGTCGTGTGCTTGGGAGAGGGTCGCACGGGGGGTGGTGATCGTGCTGGGGAGGAGGGCGGAGGGGGTTGGGTGGGAGGCGGGAGAGTTGGAGTGGGGTGTGTGGGCGGAGGGGAGGGAGGGGGAGGTTGATAGGAGAGGGGCGGGGCTGGGGATGGAGAGGTCCCAGTGGAGGAGGGAGCCTTCGGAGCCGCCAGAGACGAGGAGAGGGTGGACGGGATGCCATGCAACGGCTATATATGAATGAAAAGCAGGTCTCATGAGCATAATGTATTCTAGCAGCAGAATGCAGAGATGAGCGTACAGCAAACTTCCTTCTTGTGCCCTCTTAGGATGCAAAACTCCTTCATCGCACGGATGTCGAATACCCGCACGGTCTGGTCTCGTGAGGCGCTGGCTACCATATTGCCATTTGGTGACCAGGCAAGAGCCTGTATCGTGTTCTTATGCTGATGGCTAGGGCGTGAGCGAGTATAGTCAGCTACTGGGCTGGTATGTGAGTTGAGAAAGACTGTGACCTACAGTGTGGTTAATGCTGTCCCTGTCCGTGGATCCCAGAATTTGATGAGGTTGTCCTTACTGCCCGATACGAGCAAACCTTTAGTCGGATGCCACTCTACACATTTAACATCCCAGCCATGACCTGCAAAAGAAAGACCCCATCACATCAATAACCTTCCCCACAAACCCCGATAGCCGTCCAAACTCACCAGTCAACGTCCTCTCCTTCCTACTCTCCTCAAAGCTCCAGATACAAACCGTCGAATCATCACTCGCCGTCGCGAACCGATCATCATCCGGACTGAAGCTCAAGCCCCTGATAGCCTCCCTATGCCCCTGCCACGCCGTCAAATTGTTCATATTCGGCTGGAAATACTTGATGATGCCGGACTGGTCGGCGGAGGCGAGGTAGGTCCCGGAGTGTGTGAACTTCATGGCGCGGATGGCGGAGTCGTGCGCTTGAAGGATGGTCTCGAAGTTGAAGGTGAGGCCGTTCCAGAGGGTGAATTCACCGGAGGTGGAGCCGGTGAGGACGCGTCGGGCTTCGGGGGTCCACTAGAATGTCATGGAAGGAGCTGGTGAGATGAGATGGTTTTATGAAAGACAGTGAAATGCACAGGAAGAGGGGCATAATCATGTTTAATAGATTCGGAAGGAACCATTAATGACAGCTAGTCGCGACGACGAGGGAAAGACTCGCTAATTATACCCAGGACAAGGCGAATATAAATGAAGCAAGGCCTATACATTGCGCGTTATACATTGGCATTGGCTAGAGCGAACAGCAGAACCGAATACAGGTCAAGAGGAAATAATCACACCCTCAAGACAAGGGTGCAAGATATGCGAACGCGCCACAAAGGAAGGTAGGAATGTGGCAAGAGGACCGGGTCGATCTGCTGGATGCATTGCGTTCACTAAAACTGACATGCGCGACGTCCAGAGCGATACTCACTGACGACAGAACTCCCCAAGTTGAATGAGGGCTTAGAATTGAAAACTCACCACTACAACATTGACCGGACACCGGACTTTGTTTGTTGATGTATGGACAAACTTGGTGCACAGCGAGGTAGACGGGTTATCTGGGTATGCTTTCGGAGGCAGCAGCTATATTCACAACTTAGTATACAAATCGTACACACTATACAGCATTGGACGCGTACATCAATGATGTACGGAGGACTTGGTCTCAAATATGGCACATATCGTGGATTTGGTTGGAGTTTGCGCAACTATTCGTACACCGTAGTCCCGTCAATATCCGAACATTGTGTAGTATTTTGAACTGGACAGACGCACCAATGCCCATCTCCCCATAGGCCCTCCATAGTCGACTGTCCGCCGTGGTCTGGTCTTCTTCATTGCCTTTCCATCCATCATCTGTCTTGCGGCTGCCATTTCCAGGTCTTGTATCTTCGCGTCGTCCGCTGGAGGAGGTTGGGGCGCTTGCAGATATTTTGAAGGTTCCCATTCTTGCACTTTTGACGATGATTTTTGGGTGGGAATTGCTTGAGGTGGTAGGAGCAGTGGGAGAGATGGCATGTTGGGCCACACGGATGTCACGGTGGATACAGCTCAGCTTTCGTGTAAAGGCTGCACACTGGCTCAGGATTACAAGACAGAGAGTTGACTGTCTGGGCTCGGACTCAACCCGGCAAGACTATTCAGATTAAACAAGTAGAATTGCGGGAGAAAAGAGGGATGGTCGAGAGCGAGATGGTGGTAAACAGGCGCGTGGGGAATATTTTCGAGTTATTTTCGAGGTCAATTATCCGCGCCCAGCAAGCCGCGCCAGACGACCGGAACGAGGATCGCTCGCAGTTGGCCTCAACGTTCTCACCATGATCACTCTTCCCAAGTAAATTCGCCGTGCGGTTTGCAGCATGGAACTACTGAATCCGCATTCCACGACCAGCGCACACGCAGTCAGTGGTTGTTATACTTTCTCAGACTCTGCTGGAATATTACAAGTTCACCTCTATCCGAAAGTGCGCTTGGATGGCTAATTTTGGGTCCGTAGCCTACCGGTTTGACTCGACTCGACTCGACTCAGGCTGATATCTCTGTCTGAAAGTCTCACTTCGCTTGTGCTCAGAGACCGTGCGGAGGCATACACACAATCTGCGCACTGAATCGTGCACAAGCACAACGTCCGACTCCACTGATGCCATCGTCAGAACCCCAGTCCCTATGCGAGCTCTCATCGAAGATACCCCAAACCGGCCGGCCAATGATCATCATGACGGGGCCACCAAATATTGTGGGGAATCATCGCAAAGCACGCCCCGTTCATTAGAGCATTCTGTTCGAAGCAACGAGGAACGTCTTTTGAGGTTGATCGCAGCTGCCCGGTCACTCAGATCTCCGCCCCACAATCTGCAACATCCATCCCGTCGCGCGACCTCCGCGCGTTGCATCCGCTCGCTCCTGTCTCACATCCTTTCTTGTTCTGACCTCTCTTGTCCCATTTTTCCTGCTGGTGGAACCAGTCATCTTACCCACCTCTCTCACCGTCGCGCCCCTGCTGTCTGCTCGCTTTCGTTGGCTTCTTCTACGCTTTCTGTAATCCTGCTTTCCTTATGGCCTATCGAGCGTGCGTCCTTTTTTCCGTTCTATCTCTTTCTTACCAGACTAGAAAAGATCTGAATGTCTTTCCCACAGCCGAACCTTCCTCCGCACATTCTACTTTTTCGCAGCACTCTCCGGTCTCTGGACATGTTACGAATTCTGGGACGCTCCCCCGAGTATCATCCAACCCGGTCTTCGCATCCTTCGCACCAGTCCATACGGCCCCCACCCGTACTTACACAGCGACAACTTCTCAGCAGCGCCGGATCATCCTGCAGATGCAGCGCAGAACCACCATCGCGGAGCAGGAGCGAACGGGCCTTCACCGATGAACATACATCCTCCGAAGCATAAGAGACCACAAGTGGCGCTGAGCGAGACCCTCTTCCCTTCTTACAACAAGACGGATAGCTCGTGGCTCGACTCGAATAATGAGAACATCAAGAATCTGTTCAGGTGTATCGAGCTTGGGAATTGTCCGCCAAATCAATATAAAGGTACGTGGATGATGTTTGTTGTCGAGCAGCCACTGTGGCGTATCACAGGACGACGCTGATGAGGGCTGGACTTGACAGTCATCATACTTGGATCACATTATTTCCGTTGGGTTTTGAATGGTTGGACAGCTGGCGAAGTTATCTGGTGCGTCATCTTTCATTTCTGGCCTGTCATCATTTTGACTTACGCCACACTTTGTTCAGGTCCCGTTCTACAGTTCGTCGACTCGTTTCGTCCGCACACTAGTCTTCCTAATCATCTAACCTATACGCGCCAGATTCAAGCCCTCCACAACCTGAACTACACCATCCTTTACTCCCTGAATAACGATCGCGCCGTCCAACTCTACCAAATGTTCCCCCGTCTCGTCAAAGCCATACTGCTCACTCCAGAAGACATCCGTGCTTGTAACGCAGATATCGAGAATTGTATACAATCCGACATGAATCCAAATGGAATCCCGCTATATAAGACATTTACCTGGGTGAGCTAGCTTTTCTGTCTTCACTTCTGTCATACCGTTGCGTTGCGTATGGGCTTCGCTGACCAAAGTTCAACGATTCAGGAATTCTGGGACGCGCCAAATCACCCATTGGGAGCGAAGTGGACACTCAACCCCGAACCGTATGCGGTCGAAGAAGCAAATACCTATATCGGATATTCCGTCGAGCCCGCTTGTTTCTCGCATCCCTTCGTCCCGCCATCGGAACGCAAACATCAAGCTTATGGTTTGTCTCTTCCCTCTTCTCTCACGTCTCGCATATCTCCTTTATTCCACTGTTGGTTGTTGTACTGTCTACTTACCATGCCCCGTACATTTCGTTCTACACCACAGCTATGACCAAACGTCTCCGCTACTTCCTCCCCTCGCCCGAGCAAGCCTGGCCATCGTCTTTTTACACCACCGCCGCGGCAGAAACAGGCCTCGATATCCTCGTGGGAGCAGCGAATGATCCGACGATGGACGTAGGTATCGAAGTTGAGCTACCGGAGGGAGTACGGAACGTTGGGTTGTTAGAGCAGAAAGATTTCGTGAGTACGGTTGGGGAGAGTAAGGTGTTGATCGGGGTGGGTGCGCCTGCGACGTGAGTCTCTACTTTCCTATGAATTGTCTTTATCCCTTCCTCAGCACTGATGTCCGTTCTTTTCCCTCTTCTTTCAATCCGTAATTGGATCCCCAAACCACAGTTCCCCAACACCCTACGAAGCCCTCTGCCTCGGAACCCCCTTCATCAACCCCATCCACTCCTGGGATCCCTTAGACCCCTCCAACCGCCTCTCCTGGTCCGCGCAACACGAGGTCCTCAAATTCGAAGACCCGCCATACGTCTATAACGTGAAAAAAGGAGACTTGGAAGGGTTCGTGGATGCGGTGAGGAGGGCGGTGGAGAATCCGTTGGGGGATAGGTGGGTGCCGGAGAGGATGAGGATGGAGAGTGTGGAGGGACGGTTGGAGGAGTTTGTGGGGAGGGATTGGGAGGGGGAGTGGAGGAGGTTGATGCTGGAGAGGGATGAGGCGAGGGGTGTGTTGTGAGGTTTTTTGGATGAGGGTGATGTGATGTGTTGTCGTGTGCGGTGTCGTTCACGATTGAGGGGGACGTATATCTATGTTATAATTTATTCTCACCTGCATCTCTGTTATTTCGAGGATTCAAACATCCTCTCCATTAACCTTCCCAGATCACCATCTTTGGCATATTACTTTGACCGGCACTTGCAGTGCACCATTCTTAACGATTTTCCTATTCATCTTACTCGACCTTGACGGCCAACTAGACCGTAGAGCATTACACTCACCCTCATTCATTTATCTACTTGCCTTCGATCATAGATCTTTGCACCATGTTTGTAATCTACACACAAGCTCAGTCGCCTTCGATAAACATACACGCAAAGCTGTGAACCCGCCTTACTTGCACATAACTTGTGATGTGAGTAGCTTCACTCCCAAGTAGCGAGTGATATAATAAATTGCACAAAAAAAGCGATACAAGTACACGTCATGAGCGCACCAACCAGAGAGGACTACTGTGAATCTGATGTACCACAAGATACGGAATACGTACGACGACTACTTATGCTGACTCGAATACATACGGACCGTTCTTTCGGTTCATGTTTCAGTAAGAGTGCGAAGGGCTTTGTCGATGAATGTCGTTGGGGTCAATGTTGTGCGGAAAGAGTGTCAAGGGGGTGCGAGTGTGAGAAGAGAGGTGAGGAGACGGTGTCTGCTTGCCTGAGTATCTATTCACATCAGGTAAGCTGAGGGTATGTATGGAGGTGGATGGGAGTAAGGGATGAATAGTATAGCGAATGGCCCTGGGGTGGAGGGGACCAACGAATGAAGTGTGTGTGAAAGACAGAGGTTATACAGTTGTGGGGGTGTGGTGTGGAATATAGATGGAATGGATGGAATGAATGACAGTCAGAAAGCAGGTAGATATTACGCGATGAGAAGAGATGTGAAAGAAAGCAACAAGATGTGACAGGATAGTGGTACCTAAAAAACCACGCAACACGAAAGAGATTCGAGTCAGTACGCTACTAAAGACGAATGAATAACAAGAGGGGTGATGGGACTCACAAGGACCGAAACGCCAGCGAAAAGCCCAAATCCCAAAAACAACAAAAGCTACAAGAACGAAATGACTTTACTTCCTCGCCCTTTTCAGCCTCCCGGCTCCGTTCGTCGTCGCGACCTTGGGACTCGAACTTACGCCTCTAACTACCTCCGAATCCTCAACGCTCAACGGCAACTCACTCGCCAAATCCGCAACTTCTGACTTCCTCTTCTTCCCCAACCCAACCAACGGTGACGGCAAAGGTGACCTCCCCGCGCGCGGCGAATCTTGCTGAGCTCTCAAGATAGGCGAAGCCCCCGAGCTGGCAGAGGCCACTTCGTCCAAAAATGCATGTAGCTCTTCCATCTGCGGATCCTGCTCCTCTTCTTCCACCTTACCAATATGTCCATGTCCGTCCCCGCCCACTCCAGTGATGAACCCGCCGGGACCAACACCAGCACCGTTCACAGGACGTAATGAAGCAGAACCATCGCCGAACTGACTCTGGGTCTGTGCATGCGAACCCGTGATGTCGTCCAACTCTGCGATATTCGCCGCATTGACTACGGTATCGTTCGGGTCTTCGTCGTTCGGATAGCCTAGGTTCATGCCCATTCCCATGCCCATACCGCCAAGATCGTTAAACCCAAGTCCGTTCTCGCCATTCTGCTGTGCCGCGAATTGGCGCAGAAAGGCCTCGAAGTCTATATCGGCGACGTTGATAGACGGGTCTTGATCCTGCTCGTTATGCGACATGGAGACGTCTTGACCTTGTGGTAATGGTAATGACTGTGACGGTGGTAACGGGAACGATTGTGGCGGTTTCGCGGACTGTGAGATCGATGCGGATGTGCTGGGCAGAGTTGGAGGAAGTGGTTCTGGAGGTTGCATTTGTTGTTGGGGATCCGACTGGGTCTGCGTGGCGAGCAGACTAGGGTTCAGCCCCATGTTCTCCAGTAACGAATGGATACTCGCATGCAACGTATCCATGTCCTTCTCTATCTCGGTCGTCTCCCTGTACGTCTTCTGCAGATTCGCCGTATTGTCCAAGAGGGGTTCTAAGGAAGGAAGGTCTTCCTTCGGTAGTAAGGCGCCTGCTCCTGGATCATGGACAGACGATGAACTGCCCGCTTTGAGATGTGATGATGAAGGGACTGGAGAGGGAGGCGGCATGGATATGAAGGAGGAGAAGTCGAATGGGGGTTCGTACGGTGCGAGTTGAGTATTTGGCTGGCTCTGTTGTTGTTGAGGTTGTGGCGGAGGCGAAGACGGATAGGGGACAGAAGGACCAGCCGTCGGTGGCATAGATTGTGTCTGCAGAGCTTGCAGGAACATCTGCATCTGGTTCGGTGATTTCAGAAGCTGTTGGAACGCAGCTTGGAGCACCGCGTCTTGAGAAGTCGAATTCGTGTTCGTAGGCAAGAGGGCGGTGCTGTAGTTATTGGAGTCCGAGGGGAGGTCGGGGATGGGTGCAGGAAGCGAGACGGATGGATAGGTCGGTTCAGGGGCAGAAATTAGGGAAGATGTGGTGCTTATGTGACTTGGTGCGCGGGATGGGCCGGGCGCTAGTCTTGAGTTAGACGTAGTACGAGAGACCGAGGGACGAGGTGGCAGAGGAGTTAGCCGAGAGGAAAAGGCTTCAGAGGCTGCTGGTGAACTGGGTTCCTCTGAAAATATGCGAGGCGATGCGTCAGTTGACGGAGTCTCTATCGAGGCAAAGACATCTGAAGAAAAAGTTATGATAAACCAATATAAAAGTACTTTTAGTACAAGCGTTCGCAATGATGAAAGTAAAGAAGGCGTACTTGGTGAGACACCACGAGGAGTATCGAACCGGGGTGACTCCGCGTTACTCATTTGTTCGTCATCCACGATCTCGAAACCTGATCCGTCGTCGTCCTTGTTCTCTGACCCATCACCGATCATCAACCTTTGCCTCTTCCTTGGAATAATCTGCTGTCCCGGACTGTGGCCGCCCCTCCCCCTTCCATCGTGTCCACCCTTATTCCCAAAAACGCTCGCTAAGAACTTCAGAATCCGGTTGATCGTGTCCTGGTGGGCCTTGTGGCGCTCACGAGCTGTGATAGCCTCTTGCCACAAATGTTGGTTCGACGACTTGAGCTCGTTCAGATCAGCAGAGATGGTTTGCTGATGACGTTTGACGGCCGCAATACCATTCATGATCGAGTTTATGTCGAGTATCTGCGTATTGCTGGGTATTCCGAGGGGCCCCTGTGGAACGCCACCGCCTCCAAGCTGATTGACGCTGGGTTCTATGGGATGACCTGGGTGTTGAATCTCCTCTCCTTGTGACGGCGCGTTTGCTCCTTGGTTCGCCTGCTTCTTACGTTGTATGAGACAGAGAAGGTCGGGTTGGCCGCGAAGGAAGTTTGGGTGTTCGAAATTCCAGAGTTCGGTCTCGGAGTCGCTCTTGAGAGTTCCGTGCTGGAGATGCGGGATTTTATGGAAGCCGTACATGTTGAGTTGACGGACGAACGACGGGAATTTCTGGTGTTTGAACCATCGTCCGAGTACGTCCCGAAAGCGTTCATTGTCTAGTACTGCAGCCTCACGGAGAACGAGAGAGGGTTAGGGGAGGTATAAGAGGGTGGCAGAAAGCGGTACGCACCGAAAAAGGAGTCCCCGTTATCTGACCACCGTATAAGATCGTTATTCGTCGGATCATTGACTATCCTGGACCAAAACTTCATGAGCACATTATGGCCAAAGCACAAAAGAGCAAGACAGATGATGATCGAGTAGAATGTCGACGCAACTCGTATAATTTCTGCAAAAATTGTGGGACGACCTGGCGTGCTGTCTTGTTCAGGTTGGGTGCACTGCCTCTGTATGCTCTTGTGAGCGCGAGCTGGTTGTCGGTCGCCATGGACGACTATGGAGGAGAGAGACGAGCAGCGGTGTCCTTGTAGCTTAACTTCGTGACGTTATCAGACATCGAGTTGCCTCATGCGGCAATGATAACGTGGCTGGCATCTCGGCTCGGGCGTTAACGCTAAGCCGTCGTGGCGAAGTCGACTCTGTGGCCCACTGCCACCACCATGCTTGGTTTGTCTTTCTTCACCTCTACTCAGTGGGAGTCACGTATAATGACCTGTCTATGCAGTTATAGGTCTCACTGGTGGTATTGCCACAGGGAAATCGTCCGTTTCGAAACTCTTTAAGGACCGCGAGATACCCGTTGTCGACGCAGACATCATCGCTCGACAAGTCGTCCTCCCCGGGACACGGGCCTACAACCAAATCGTCAGCACATTCGGCAAAGACATTATCTTGCCTGATGGCTACCTAGACCGGCCCAAGCTTGGAGCCATAGTCTTCAATGACGAGCAGAAGAGGAAGAAGTTGAATGATATCGTGCATCCGGCGGTGCGACGGGAGATGTTATGGCAGGTCGTGAAATGCTGGATGAGAGGAGAGAGGGTTTGCGTACTCGACGTACCTTTACTGATCGAGTCGGGTATATGGAACTGGGTGGGGAAGGTTGTGGTCGTCTATTGGTATGTTCTCGCACTTTCTTTCGCCATGTGGCCCCCATTCGATCGCCCATTTCTTCTACCGCAAAACAGCTCAGCAGAAATTCAACTCCAACGCCTCATGAAGCGCGATAACTCATCACGAGAAGCTGCTTCTTCAAGACTCAATTCCCAACTGCCCATAACCGACAAACTGGAGTACGCAGACTACGTAATCGACAACTCAGGTGGTCCAAAGGAGTTAGAGGACCAGGTCTCGACATTCGTCCGAAGACTGCAGAACGAGGTTGGGTGGACATGGCGACTAAGCTTATTCCCGCCAATTGGGTTGCTCTCGGCTTTATTCAAACTGTTGTGGCGTAGGGTGAGGAGAGCGAGGAAGGCCTCGCGGACTAGGGGTGAACGGGAGCGGTCGTGATAGTAGTCGGCTTGATTCGCACTTTTATTTTATCTCTTTGTACTCTATGGTATACACACTTTGGACCAGATTGGCGTCGTTATTATGGAAACTTGTCCCACTTGTAACCGGTGTGGCCCGACGAGACCAGCATGCAAATCCGTTTGCACAACCCGAGGCTCTATAGTTGTCTCGTGGACGGACGCACAAGGTATAAATGTATTGGGACACTTATTGGAAGTATAAGCTCATCATAAAATCGACACAAGTCTAGGAGAGGTAGGAGCAGTCGAACTGCGGTCATCTACCACTGCAGTGTATAACAGCAGCACGCACCGACTTCGAACGATGGTCGACTCCATGCTGCTACTTTACCAACCATGAATGAACATGATACCCGAGCTGGTGATGCGCCTAAGAAACATCGTACCTTAGTTCTCGAACGGTCGTCGTGAAAGATAAATGCCATGGTGCCGCATGATCGTTAGACTGCGCCTGAATGCTATCCAGACAAACGCTCGCATGCCAGGATTTCGCTGCGAGGAACTGAGATCGTAAGCTATCTGGTATTGTGCCATGTTGCGAAGCGGTGGTAGTAGTCGGCGCATTGGTGATGAAAAAAATGACATGCAAGGCTCGTTCTAGAAACACATAAGATCCATCATAACGTGCTGGAGTTGCCATCGCTGGTGCTTGGGACAGCGTTGACGGTGGTAGCAGAATGGAGGCCTTTAGCATGTCTCGAAGGAGGCCAACCATCTCGAGTTACACTAGGCCGAAATGACCAGGAGATCGAGGTGAAAGGCGTTCCTGTGGCGGGAGGTAAGTAATAAGATATCCTGACGGCGACCGCGGTCCCGAAGCCTATGCTGCGCGCAAGGTCAACTACTGGCATCAATCCTGTAACGTGAACTGGCATGGTCAACTCACTAGCGGTTCATATTCATCGGATGGCCCTGATAAGCCTCCGCGACGTCCAGTACAGAGACGCGGGGCACTGACTAGTGACCTTGATGTTTTAGCGCTTCCTGAGCATGCGACAAGTCAATGTACACAAATAACATAATAATCGACTTACTGCCTCAGAGCAACTGAGATGACTGAGGTGATGCGCCGTACGGTGTCCCGGCGTCGACGGAGAGAACTGTTGTTCCTGTCCATAATTGCGTAAAAACCTGCCGTGAACTTGTTCCTGCCCGTTCCACCGTTGGAATCCTGCATTCGTTCATAAATCAGTTGCCTTGACCATCGACGGCAATGCCGAGAGATTACGGACTCGCGAGGAGTATGATATATCACAGATGTCACGGTGGAGGCGGCTGCTCCTGCACGGCATCACTCCAGGGATGGCGAGCGAGTAGAACAGAGGTTGCGTGATTCCTTACGCTATGTGCGTCACCAGAGCCAGAGCCAGAGGCTAAGATGAGTTTGGACTGCCAGTGTATCCCGACATCCTGAAGCGCACTGAAGCTGTAAGAACGCTCAGCGAGTGTATGGTATGTAGTATCGAGCCGGGATAGCAGGCACGAACCGAGGTCAAAGCTCAGAATGTTAGACCTCAGGGCTGTGAAGCCGAAGGCCGCACCGGTAACTTGTAAAATGCCGTTGTAGTATGCACACTCCGGGCCCGGCGTTCACTGACGCTCAGTTCACGGATGGGCTCAAGAATGTTCACCGTTGTTGTGAGCCTGGGGCACCGAACGATGACTTCGAGAGCAGGGTCCAGCCGGCTGTTCCTGCGATCGAATATTTGGTTGTCAACATACAATCAGGTACTTACTTACTATGGTCACGTCCCGCTGGAGAAAGTCGTTCTTATGAGACGGTGAATGATGGTGAATTTAGCAGAGGGTGACCCCTAGATCCGACGAAAAACATACCAATGAACCATCCGGAAACACAAGTTCTCCGAGCTCAGGATCCTCCATCCTGCTGATGTGCCTTTACGGTCAAACAGAGTCGGTGAAACCGAGCTCGGCTGAAAAGACTCCCGTGCATTCACAGAATGATGGCAGCACCCAAAAATAGATCCATAACAGGCAGCGTTGGCGGAAAGGAGAGGCCGGCGTCGTCAACGCCTCTGAGTCTTCGGGAAAAGCGAATCGGTTCCGGTCATTCGCAGGCGGGATGTCATAGCGTACCGTCCTACCAGCCCGTATCGGTGAAGAGAAAGTTCGAATGGCCGTGCAATATGATCCGGCCATTGTCGTCAGTGAGCAAACACAGCTACTCTGGAGGACTTTCGACGAAAAAAAGAGGTAAGTGTCTCGGACTCAGTTTGATTCCTGTAGGAACCGAGTTGAACGCGACATAATTGGTAGTTGTGGGCGATGTAGCACGATTGAGTTGATCGTAAAACATTACTAGGTCCAATCTGTCTTGGCCGTCGAGCAAGTTCACTAGCAGCAACGGCCTCCGAGCAATCGAGATGGTCAGGCCCACAGGGTACGGTCTCTTGTTCTGCATAGTCCTGGCGGCATGAGAAGGCTCGAGTGGCGTGATTTTGTTCGTTCTATTTGAGGACCAGTGTTAACCATGAATCAGCTAGCTTCACCATCGACATCAACGCGATGCCGAGAATGGACCGCAACGATGATGATGTTGATGGTGGTGCTAAGAGCTTACTAGGACGACTAGCATCGTACAGGCATGCGAAATATTAATTGAGCGTGCCACAGGTAGGAGTCTCAACAACTTTTTAGTCGTTCAACTTGTTGCACTGAGGTCCGAGTCGCCGACTGCTCGCATAGTAGGAAAGATTAGCCAACAGGATACTTGTATAATAATAATAACTTATCTTCATTCCAGTAGCAATTGATCACCCAACTCCAAGATCGCATTGGTCTTCTTGGTTGTCGTCGTCGTCGAACTTGTTCAAGTTGGTGGTGGCCGGACCACACAGACGGCTCCGAGTCCGAACGTCGCATCCGTACTTCTCCGTGGCTTAGTCAGCACCTAAGAATCCAAGTTCGTCGAATTCTCCGTCTTCTGTGAAAGAACCATCTTCATCGAGCTCGGGCTTTCTTTTTCCCAGCAGTAGGACGACACGACTTCATTGCCTTTACGGCTACCGTAGTGATCGCGAAAACACTCGGTGGGTCGTGATGCCAGCCAGAATGTCAGTTCAAACGGCACAGACTCCACCTTAGAGTCAAAAACCAAAACTCGAAACGTACGCATGCGTCAGGTTGATATAAAGGTGAAAGCGATACCCGGTATGCAGTTATTTAAATCACCATCGTCATAGGATTGAAGTTAGAAAGATCGAGATCAAAACACTGGGCATCCTGGAAAGTGTTGGCATCAGCATCAATTTGACAGAGCCTCCGAGTCGTCGATGGAACAGAATCACCATACTGACTTGAATCGCCGCGTCGGCGACTTAGAGGTGACCGTACACACTGTACTTACTACCCACGCAAACTTGGAACCTCTCCATGACACCGACACTGCCAGTGCCCCTACTTGATACATACATAACTCAGGGAGCCTGAGTCGGGCCGCGTACCCAACTTGAGCTTCATCAATTTTACGCTGCCTCCAACAATCAGTTCCCCGATCTCACCGTTTCACTACCTTGAAATCACGGGGAATCGGAAGAGTGTGATGCTAAATTAAAGGTGGGCCAATTAGATCGATTGAGGTCGATCGGCACGCATTTACTTGGCTGTGACTGGCGGTAAGTCAAGTCTGACACGAAGAAATAGTATGGTATTCGTGCCAACGCTACGCCGACACCGCAACACTGGCGATCGAAACGAAAGGAACGTCTCAGAAGTGAACGGTAACAGAACCGCGTCCTGACACAAGAGCCTATAGAGCTAAGTGACAGCCTTCGGTCGCGTCTAAGTAAGCTCGAACACAAGCACCAGAGCCGCGGCCAGAGCCTCCATCACTCGGATAGTCGCAACGGTGACCAACCGACATGGCACAGAGATCGAACATTCTCGTTTCGCTTCAGCCCGCATAAGCGCCCGTGACGCTGCAGGTAAGTTAATGGCGGACTCGGACCCGGGGCGCCTCGGCACTTCAAGTTGACACTCAGGGCGGGATTTCAGCTTGCAGAGTCGAAGGCGGTGCGGATACGTTGATGATACAGTTCCATACTAGGCAGTGTTGGATGAGTGCCAGTGAACGATGTGTGCCGGTGAGTGTGAATCTGATGGAAGAGTGGAATAAGTAAGTCGGATGCGGCTCGCGTGTGGCCTGGGCCGACGGGTGCGAAATGAGATCTTATGATAATTGAAGTTATACTTAGAGCCCGAAAATGAGTGTGATGATCTTACGGTAGGTCCACTCGGCACTCACAGTCGAACCAATAATAATGCAGCCAGAGGAATCAGAATCTTCGAGTTGGTGGTGGAGTTCGCCGTCCCGCCTAACGTCCAACGTCCAAGCCCTATTCAGGGTCGGGCCTACAGTACCTGCCTTGAGTACTTATTTGATATAAATACGTGTCCAAGCATGTCGCGATGGAATGGGTGTCACGACTCCAGATCGAACCTATTGCTGCATAATGATGCGCATCAAAAATCATCAGTAGGTATTGGTCCACTGGCAGAGATACTGATTTTGATCGGCCCTCTAAGGACTGAGCGGATCAGACTATAACGATATGGAGGGGTGGAGGATACAACGACAAGACGGAGCGATTTGGTAGTGAGCAGAAAAAGATACGATTCAGATTCACGACTCGACTCGACTCGACTCAGCACGACGCACCCATAGCATGATTGCGTGACAAGACGAGAGCCTGATGTAGCGACGCGACCGTCAACGGATCAGCCCAAGCTTGAAGAAATGGAAATTCAAATTGACTTACAACGCCACGGAAGGATAAATCCAAGAGTGGACGAACGAACGCAAATATTCATATTGCTTTTTGCGTATGTGGCGTGGGCACGGTCGCGATTGTTGATGGCATACAATTATTAATACAGATCCCAAGCCAAGCACGTCCGAACGATCTAGTGCCGTCGCTGTTTTCTACAGCTCGACCGCCACGACTCGGAGACGGAGTGAGACGCTGTCCTGGTGGTGAACGCCGGCGGGGAGAATGACAAAAACGCGCAACAATACAATAAGGTAAGAGCAACAGAGAACTCGCCGAGTGACAAAAAATGACCTGGTCCTGGTATTGATGCAGCCTGAGATGCAGAGGGCCCGATCGCACGTCTCGTCTCGACTTGATTTGATAGGATTTGATTTTTGATTTTGATTTGTTTGATACGGTTTTCACATACATACATAACTTACATGCGTCTTTGAATCTGATGTTGATCGTAACTTGAACGGACCTGACGGCTGACGGCTGACGGTTGACGGTTGACGCGTTGACGGTTGACTTGGCCAGTCTGGTACTGTAAGGTAAGGTTGTGAGTGTGAGTGCGAGATAACGGATCAGAACTCAGAACTCGGTGTCAGCGTCAGCGTCAAGAAAAAAAATGAAAGAGAAGAAGAGACGAGGACGAGCGTTGAAAATGTTGAAAGGGAACTGACTGACCTTTGCGAACTCGGATGGTGTGCTCTATCTGATATCGACAGCGCCAGCGCCACTTCCTCCTCTCCCTTCCAACCTACTGTAAGCATCCCAGGAAGAGCCTAGAGCACGAAAAAGATGGCGCCCACACGATATAAACCGAGACAAATGATCCCAATTAGGGTCCGTCTGGCTCGGTTCGGTGGGCGGTGAACGGTGGGCGGTGAACGGTGAACGCCACCAAAACGAAAACGAAAAAAACTTGTAACTTACCAACTCTAACGGCGTCTGATCCGTAGAACGGCTGGGACGTGAGTGTGGCCGCGGCACGACAAATATCTGACGTGACGTGACGGATCAGGAGCTTGAGGTTCGTTGGTGTCAGCTTCAAGAAGAGAGAGAAGAGAGAGAAGAAGAGAGAAGAAGAGAGGAACTTACAGCAGGGAAACGTTTACGCCTTGCACTTTGGCTTTCGGACGTGTGCGCCTGTGCGAGTGGACGGGACGATGGCCTAAGCACCTAAGTATGGGAGAGCCTAGAGCGCGAAAAAGATGATAATGTAATGTAAATCGAGAGAAAACAATCTCGGTGAGTGGTGAACGCCACCAACACCGAACGCCACCGAAAACTTAATCTTATTCTTAAACCAACTCAAACGGTGTCTGATCCGTCGAATGGCAGGGTTGTGGATCGAGGCCTTTGTTTTCGTCTTCCGTGATATCTGAATGTTGTGTCAATAGGAATAGGAATAGGGAACGGAAATGAGCTCGAACGATGGCAGATTCAAGTTTGTTTGATAGAGATAATATTGGTGGCGCCGTCGGTCGAGCGGTCGCGGTCAGAGCGGAAGAAGGGGGAAAAGTCAAGCGATTTGATAGACGGTCCCAACGCGGTATTTAGACAGCCAGCCAGCCATCATTCTATTGTAACTGAGCCAGACCTCTCGCACTTCGGTGTGGATGTGGATATGTAGAATGTAAGTTATGACGAACGAACGGCGGCTAAGTCGAGCTTAGGATTATGGAATCCATAAGTTACTCCATAGCGCCGCATCAAAGGCCAGCGGCCGAATGACACTGTTTGTGTAATCGATGTGATAAAGGGCCGCATTGCAAGGAATTACAGTATAGTGAGATGGGCGAGGCAGCGGGATAATAAATGCGTCATGATCACCGCGAAATTCGAAGCGAGCCGAACAAAGAAGCGCGTTCTGGCATCCACTCGAACGATGCACACGTCTCCGCAGACATACGAACGGTGGACACATATGGCTTCTCCACGGCCAGCCGAGTCGCGTACGTGGAGGACGAGGAACGAGGTGATGGGGCTGCGACGGACGTGTGCGCTGGAGAGGAGACACGAGCTGTAAATGATGGACGTCAGGTTCGAGGGAGAATTGGACCTCGAGGACGTCGAGGGGCGGGGGTGACCACAGCTCGGGCACAGCCACGGTGATGGGAGGAGCCGAGCGGGCGGCGAGGGTCAGTAAAGCGAATCTTACGACACGATAATTGACGGTGCGAGGCGAGGTTGTATGTACGGAGGCTGGAGAGAGCGGAGGGATAGGGGGACACAGCCCGTTGCAGTCGAGTGAAGCGTGGAATGAGGAGGGCAGGCGCCGGGTAGGATCAGACCGGCTGGGCCGGAGGGCGCAGAGGTTGAGGATGGCGCTGCGATCAACATTTGTGCACCGCTCTGATGGCTGCCCATATTCTGATGATATATATCCCTCTCCCATCAATCCCGCCTTCTGTCCTCCCCCTTCGCTCCCGCCTGCTGCCTGCCTGCTCCTTTCCTCAACCCTCCGTCCAAACGAGCAGCCCAAAAGAGGACAAAGACCTCATCAGACCCATCATCCCACGCCCACACACGCCCACATCTTTGTCCCCAACAAGGAACACACACCCCTCGGACGTGTATTCGCATTGACCAAGCCGAGTCGAGCAGTCGTCCTCTTTGCGAGCTTCATTAAGCCGATCCTTCATCGACGACGTGTGTCCGATCGCCATCCCCTCCTAGCAGCCTTATAAACCGCTCCCTGGCCTGCCCCACCCCGGCGTCCCCACTCCCAGTCTCGCACAGCCCCGCTTGTCAGCCCGCGCCCGCCCGGTTTACTATGGCCCTTGTCGAGCTCAGTGTCAACACTGTCCAGCCACACAAGCACTGTCCCTTCTCGCCGACTGTCTCCGTCGTCGACACCGGCATGGCCTATAAATACGCCCCGCCCCCGTCCTCCGTGAGTCTTGCCTCTCCTCCTGCCCCCCCGCGCGCTTTCTCATTCGTTTCGTTTCGCACCCCTTGAACACGCCTTTTCATTCGCTTCTGCTCCACCGTTGATCGTTCGCCACCTTTCCTCTCGCTCCACTCATGTCTTCCACTCTCCCACACTCACATCTTCTCGCCCGGCGTACGCACAAACAGACACTGCCCCCCCTCTCCGTCCCAGTGCTCTCCAAGCCCAAGGCACTCTCGATCTCCACCTCTCTCGTACAGCCTTCGATTCCTTCCAATCCCCATCCACCAATACCTCCCCTGTCCATCCCCCAGCGCAGCGATCCACAAAGCTATGGACACGACTACGCACGGACACAACAGCAGCAGCATCACACGCGTCCCTTCTCTCCCGCGCCACCGCCACTCTCCATGTCACTATCTCTTTCCCAATCGCAGTCTTCCCAACCACCAAAACCAACCCCGGGCCCTTCACGTCCGAGTCTCTCCCTCCAGCTCGGCTTCCAGCCCCCACAGCCATCCTCACACCCATTCTCCCACCCCTCCCCACTATCGATATCGACATCATCATCATCCGCATCGACCTCACGCGTCGCCTCGCCCGCACCCATGTCTTCCCTATCCGCCATCTCGACCTCCACTTCCTCATCTATGTCCTACTACGGCTGCACATCCCCACTGAGTCCTTCCTCGGATTATCTCACGCCTACGTCCGCGTCTACGTCATATTACACCCCCACCTCCGCCTTTCCGTCCTCTTCCTCACATTCCCACTCGCGCACTAAATCGACACAGCTCTTCAGTCCGAGCTCAGCGAATTCTCTAGGTCCAGTCCCTGCAGCTACAGCACTGTCAACACGCTGGGAACTCTCCCCGCATGGCAATGTCTCCGAAATCATCCCTGGCTTGCTCATCTCCGATCTATCCATCGCAGAGGACGAAGAGAGCTTGGAAGAGCTGGGGGTGACGCATGTGTTGAGTGTCATGCCGGGGAAGGTGAATGTGCCGAGGGAGTGTAGGAGGTATAAGAGGAGGACGATCGAACATTTGCAGGTGGCGATATATGATAATCCGTTTGAGGAACTCGTTGCGCATTTGCCGAAGACGACGGATTGGATCTGTGAGGCTTTACATCCCGCTGCTTCGTCACATTCTTCGCGTCCGGCGCATCAACGCCATTCGTCGTCTTCTTCGTCTATGTTATCTTCTGGCACGAATACGCCGACGCCTTCCCGACCCTCTTCACGCGCGCAACATCATCCCCACTCCCACTCTCAATCCTACTCTTCACCCTCGCACCTCCACCCTTCTCAATTCCAACCTCACCCACAATCCCAAACGACCCAAAACAAAGTCCTAGTCCACTGCGCCCTCGGCCGCTCCCGCTCCGTCTCCGTCGTCTGCGCCTACCTGATACATACACATGGATATAGTACCGACGAGGCGCTCGAGCTGGTGAAGAGGACGAGGAGCGTGGCGCAGCCGAATTCGGGGTTTGTGGGGCAGTTGGGGGAGTGGGCGAGGGGGGTTGGGAGGTGAGGGGTGGTGGCGAGTGGGCAAGGTGTGGGGATGGGGATTAGAGACGCGTGGGCGGAAGTGTGTCTTGGGACGCGGCGCTAGCGAAGAGCAGAGGAGAGGAGCGAGCAGGAGAGGATCGGAGATGAGGTGAATTGGGCGTTGGTTGGGATTCGGATTCGGGGCCGACGTCGTTCTCGTTTCGTTTCGCCTCACCCTCCTCCTCCGCCGCCGCCTCCTTCGCCGCTGCCGTTGATGTCATCCTACGGTCTACTACCTCCGCGCCGAGGATGCGTTGGGTTGGGATGGGGTGTTTGCAGATTGTGATACCACCGAGCGGCGATGCGACGGCTTGGTCTTCCGTTTCTTTTTGACGTTCTGACGTTCTGATGCGGATGGGTGTTGTTGCGTGTTCTACTTCCTTCTATTTTCTGGGTGGGCGTTCGCGCGCTGAGGACGGAGGACGGAGGGTTGATGATGGCATCATCATGCATTATGCTGATGGCATGGGTGGGTGGGTGAATCAGCTACTAAGTTGGCGCTCGTCTGTTTTTTCTTTCTATTCACGGCGTTCTGTTTTTTTCCTTCCGTTTTGATCTACTTCACGCATAACTTATTCGAGCTTCGTCTCCTGGCTCCTGGGCCTCGGGCTCAGGCAGGCAGGCGAGGGTCTCATTCCTCTTCCTCTCTTCCTCTTTCCTTTTCTCATCATCATTATCCTCTTTCTCATTCTCATTCTCATCCTCCCTCTGAACTCCGCTCGTTTATCGACATCGTGTCTACCGAGATGTTCACGTTTCCACTAGTACTGTTGATGGGTTTTTTTATGTGTTCTCTTTATTTGTGATTGTGATGGGTTCGGTTATGGCGGTTGTACGTATAACTCTTCTAAGTATTCATGAACTCTTCCTTTTTTGAACATTATTTCTCTTTTTGTGTTCCCGCCGTTCAAGTTCAAGTTCGAGTCGACATCGACACCGCTAGTTTTATTCTCCTCCTTCGCGGGTACATACAACCCTACATACAACCGTACATACGTGCATATATGGCCCGCCCCCACATACCGCCCGCCCATACCAGTCACGGTACCCATCATACCACATCCTACCCCATTGACACGACAGATACATAGTATTATGGCACGTACATACCACCACTGTCACTGTCACATTCATACTTCATACCATACCATACCAACGCAATGCGCCCTAAGTCCGTGTGCGGTGTGCGACGGTGTGCGATCTGTGGTCACTGGATAGTGTAAACGAAGGAAGGAACGAGGAAGGATAAGAGGAAGAGATGGAAGGGAAAGGGAAAGGGACGAAGAGAAGGGAAAGGCGTAGCAGCATTGACATGATATATTATTAGAGATTATTTATTGGGATAATTTATTTGTTTGGTTTGATGCATCGATATCATTTTTGTTGGCTCCGGGCTGTCTGGTTTGGGTTTGGGTTTGGTCTGATGGGGGGAGGAGGCGGCGGAGATTGGTGGTGGTGGTGGTGGTGGTGGTGGTGGACGGATTGGGATGTCGGATTTTTACTTACAGGTGGAAGTGGGAATAAAAGGTGACGGCAATTTAAGCTTGCGATGGCTTCAACAGCTGCCTGACTGCCTTAACTCGGAAGTGACTTATGAATATGATGCGGCTTGTGAATCGTGATAGCTTGAGAATTGTGGCCGCCATATCGAGTCTGAATCCGAGGCCGGTGCGCCGGTGCGTCCACTTCGGCGGTTACAGTGACGCCATCGTCGGATTCTGACGAGTTCTTGTCATGCACGCTTTTTGAAGTCTCCCCACCATGGACCAGCTTAGGCTAGACTCTGGCTCGTTTGTTTTGGTCTACGAGGCGGTACTTATTCGACGCGGCAGCTCAGTCTATGATCTGCTTTGTTAGTTGGACGAGGTAGGCTGGAGCTTGATCTTTCGGAGATGTTCAAGTTGTTGACGGCGGCCAGTGGACTCGGACTCGGACCCACCACTGGCAGGGTCAGCGCAGCTCTGACTCTTTCTTGGGAGACTTTCCCACCACCTTCACTCGAGCGGACTTCCCCATCACCTCATCTCGTTCCCCTTACTCGCCTTCTGCGTACCCATGCGCACATGCGCACATGTCCTGACCATCATGAATATATATATATATAAATCAGTATAGGGCCAACTTTACCGACCGCCTCACGTCCTCGCAGTACAGGCGCATGTGTCGAGAAGTACTGCAAGTGCTCGACGTCCGCAGAGCATTTCGCTGCCCGGAATCCCAAATCTACGCGGTCTAAAGTCCTTCCTTGACGTACATCGACGTCCAACACTCCCTCCTTTCCTCGACTGGACCAACCCTCGATCGAGACACTGGCAGGTTCTGAATGGACTTGTTCTCGTACCTCCTCAGGAATCAGCATGGACAAAACGGTGCGAAGTTCATCTCGGCCTTAGGCTACTCGACTGGACGTCAACATACGTGCCTCTCAGCACTTGCTTGTAGGACCGTTCTAGCCCTCTCGTATGACTGCCGCCTGGTATACTGCCACACGATCTATTATAATAATCGTTCATGATGCTCTCTTGAACGCGTATCAAGCCGCACTTTTACCGCCCGTCAGCGCGCCAAAGGTGCTATGATACTCTACAGGTATATTCAATGGGATCATCATTGACAGCCCGTGTCCTATTTGTTGACTGATTAACTGCACCTAGGCCCTCGACCTCCAGTTTAGTTGGCTTCTGTTCTCTAGCTGTTTCTCCTGGCGCATTACTTTCGCGAAGCGATGTATGAAGTCTATTATCGCGCATCATACAGATGAGCGGATCTGGGGACATTCGCTACGCACTGCGACATTCTCCTACAGGATTCTGAACAGTGGTGAGGATCTCGCTTTCCGTGGAGATTTACCTACCTTGTACCGTGATGCAGGTGCGTTAGTCTATTCGTTTATCAGTAAGTGTTCGTGACCTTGACCTCACCGTATATCTCAAAAAGCTGAAGGGACACGAGATCGTGTTCTACCGTCCCGACCTTTTCTGTGACCTTTTCAGGCGCTCAACGTTATGCTCTCTGTCCAAGTCTTCCTACAAAAACCTTCGGGTCCCCGCGCCCGGATCCTTATGAAAGTACTTACCTTCGCGAAGGAGCCTTTCTTGATACGGTCCACGAATTCTGCCAAACTGCCTCGATTATCAGAACTTTGGATTAAATTCATAGCCCTGGACCCATCCTGATAGTAGCGCTGTTGGCCTCTTCCTGCCTGCATATCCGTATGTCCTTTAAGAATCTATCCCTTCCTACTTTATTGCTATGTCAGAGACCCTCGCCGGCCCGCGAGCCACGCCCATAAATATCCGCAAATTTTTATTGTCTTTCATCTCATTAAACTGTGTACTGTCCGACACTGTACAAATGCGCCAGCCTTGCCCCTCCAGGACCAGACTCGCCTGCCAGTCTCAGCCAGTACTTAAGAACATATCTCGATGTGCTGGCTAAAGTGTCATCGTGGCAGCCCGTCATCCACACTACTTAGAGCTACGGTCACTCCTTCGAAAAATATTGGTTAGAAAACGTATAGCTGCATCTTTCGAACGGCCATGACCTCGGATGTTAGTGTGGCGACGAATCACCTCTCGTGGGAAAGTAGATAAGATCGTTTGATCCTTCAAAGCGGAATTATCACAGTCAGTCTTTCCGGCTCCGAAGTGCTTGTCATCGACATCAAAGCCGACCTGTTCAGTCACAACTTTGCATCGCTCTCTGCTCTGCTCAAAACTCAACGCATCCATCGAACCATAACTCGCGAAACATAATGTCTGGAACTACTACTGCTCCTGCTCAGACTCGGACCAACAACCAGAACGGTGCGCCACGTGGAAGGAGGATGAACCGTCGAGGGGGAGGCAGGGGAGGTGCTGCTGGAGGTGGCGGAGGACGCGGAAACAACTCTACTTCGAAGAAGGATGCCCCCGGGTCTGCAGCTGATGCTGAAGCGAAGGAGAAGGATGTTGCTAAGGAGGAAGAGACCAAGGCGGCTGCAGCAGCCGAAGAGGTGGACGATAGTAAGATCTGCTGGATCTGCGCCGAACCCGTCAAGTATTTCTCGGTCTCGGAGTGCAACCATCGCACTTGTCATGTCTGTGCTCTACGACTCAGAGCGTTATACAAGAAGCTAGACTGCACATTTTGCAAGGTATGTTCTCACTATACCTCCCGAATGCGTATCGGAGTTCATGTGGCGGCTCGATTCACATAGGAACCTCAACCGACTGTGATATTCACAGTATCAGCGGATGCTCCATTTTCGTCCTACTCTCCCAATGACATACCCTACAAAGACTCCAAGCTCTCCATCTCGTTTGAGACTCAGGAGATGATGGAGGAGACCCTCATTCTTCTCCGGTTTAATTGCCCGGACCTGACTTGTGATTATATTGCGACTGGTTGGAACGACCTGAAGCTTCACGGCCGTGGAGTGCATGGACGACTTATGTGGTATGTGTGCTGCATCTGGAGGTCCGAAAAGTTGTACTTACGCCGCAATACAACACTTACTAGTGACATCTGTCTCCGCCAAAAGAAAGTCTTCTCGCACGAGCACGTCCTTTACCCGCCAAATCTGCTTCCCATACATCTGCCCTCCGTACCTCATCGGGGCCTAAAGCAGGCCCCACCAACTCAGCAAATAGAAGGAGGGATACATCCTCTGTGTGAGTTCTGCCGGGAGTGTTTCTTCGGGGACGACGAGCTGTATTCGCACATGCGAGAGCGACACGAAGAGTGCTTCATTTGCAAGCGTAATGAAGTCAGAGACCAATAGTACGTGCGCATCATAGGCTCAGATGCTCATCGCTCATTTGTTGCTCAGTTTCAAGAACTACGAAGCCTTAGTGCGCCTCAATTCTTCTACGTTCCGTGCCCTTGACTCACCGTCTTCAACTCATATATATAGGAGAAACATTTCAACAACGCCCATCATCCATGCCTTAATTCCTCTTGTCAAGCCCGAAAATTCGTCGTCTTCAATTCATTACTGGACCTGCAAGCCCACATGGTCGAAGAGCACGGCGCCGAGATGTCGTCTCGTCAACAAAAAGATGCCCGTCGCATCAACGCAGGTTTCGAATTCCAGGACCACAATGTTCCAGGATCGGGCGGTAGACGAAGGCCTCCGCGAGATCGGGAGCCGCCACCGGACTCACAACAGCCTGGACCTGGACCTGGCTCTGGAAGACAGGGCGGCGGAGGAGGTGGGAATAGCAGGAGGGATAGGTTTGGAGGGCAGTTGACGGTAGAAGGCGATTCGAGTGCGAATCATTCTGCAGCTCCCAGTCGACGGCAGACGCCTTCGCCTCCGCCAGCTGATATGGATCCCGTCACCGCTGAGTATGACATGTCTCATGTTCCCTTTGCAACGCATCTGCTTTTGGAGCTAACACTTGTGCTTTGTAGACGGTACACGGGGCTCCTTGCCAGGCTCAGAAGTGTCGCTCCTAATCCTACGAATGCCGTGGCGGCAGTCAAGCTGTCTCTACGTTCCTTCCGTGCCTCCGAATCTGCACCACGAGACCTCATCTCGACTGTGTGGAATATCCTAGACCGTGACTTGGACAACACCGCTAGTATCGTCAATATTCTTGTCGACATTCTAGACGACGAGGAAAAGAAATCGGCTTTACTGAGCGCCTGGAATGGGTTCAAACTCGAGGTATGATTTAGTGTGTTCAACTAAAAAAAACAGCTGATTGTTGAGCATCTCATCATAATTTAGCAACGACGCCAGTTCCCTGACCTCGTCCCGACCTCAGTAGGTACGGATTGGGCGGGAATAACAGGTGGCCGAGTCCTCAGTGCCAAGACCGTCACCTCGACCCGCTCATCGAACCAAACATCACGCTCCGTCCTCGACCGTGTCGCTCAAGCCGCCGGCTCCTCCTCATCCTCTACTGGTCCTCGTGCGGGTCCTTCATCCGCTGGTCCCTCGAACGGACGTGCCTCAGCCTTCCCCGCCCTTCCATCCTCTTCCATCACCTCAACACCTATCCGTCCTACTCCTACTCCTCCAGTCGTGCCAGGTTCAGGATTTAGACAAGCGCAGCGTAACACAGCATGGAGCGCTACGGCATCGGGAAACGCACCACCACCGCCCGCACCGACCCAAACCCAACGCCCTGTGAGTATCCCCGCTGGACCTTCGGCACAATCGTTGAGGAACAATGGGAGACAGGCAGGTCCACAGGCCCCTCCGCCGAAGTTGAACACTTCTGTGTTCCCGGAATTGCCGAGTGCGGGACAGCAGAAGGTGAAGGTGACGGGGAATAATGGGAGTCTGAGCAGAATATTGGGAAGTACGGCGCCGACGACGTCGGCTTGGGAAAGGAGTGGTGGGGGCGGTGAGACTAGTAGTGGCCGCGTTGGGAACGCGGAGACGAATGGACAGGAGAGTGCAGGATCTGCGGCTGCGGCTGGTGGGAAGAAGAAGGGGAAGGGGAAACAGAAGCAGACGTTGTTTACGCTTGGGTCGTTCCCGAGTTAGACCGAAGGTTGGATAGGTAGTTGATGGTCGAATTGGATGGTTGGATGGTTGCAGAGGTCCATATTCTGCTGTATGTCTTGCGCCTGAGTGGATTGTAGAAGTTTAACTTAGGACATCGGCCGACCGCTCTCGGTTGCTTCCTGTCAACTGACCACCACATCGACCCCTTCCAGTCAACTTATCAGAAACGTCCTTGCGTAGACCTCTGTAGACCTTCATCGTGATTCTTCGTCGAGCGTGCGATCCGGCCTCCGCTGGAGAAACGTTCTTCACAATCTATGATACGTTCGCTTTGAGACAGGAAGAACGGACGACTGACCTCCGTACCATCGCACTGTCCCCCGCAGTCGTCACCTGTTCCCAAGAGTCAGTCAGCGGAGCATGACGATCTCGACTTCGAGGACTTCGTATGTGGCTATATATAAAGACGATGGTAGCAAAGAACGAGAGGGGTGAACAACCGAGCTCGACGGGATTTTCTGTGGCCCGAAGCTTTCGAAATTCGCCGTATATATCAAAGTTGGCGAGCCCAAATTTATAGATGTCTGATACCACCATGTCGTCTGTCGCCTCTTTCGCTCGTACCGGCAAGAAGGTGAGTTTCGCTCGATCTTAGGCTCAGCGCTCATCATTCTGATATCTACATTCGTCAACCCGACCGCGTTCGTGCGTCCTGTGAACTCAATTCCCTGGTCTGATTACAGATTGTGGCCATCGGCCGCAACTACGTTGACCACGTCAAGGAGCTGAACAACACTGTGCCCAAGGAGCCTTTCTTCTTCCTCAAGCCTACTACGTCTTATCTTGCGAATGGAGGCAAGATTGAGATTCCGAAGGGTGTTATTGCCCACCATGAAAGTGCGTCCACCAGTCTCCTCCAGATTTAACGGGAGCTGAGGATGCGATTCTGCTTGTTGAATGTTGGTGTTGATGTATAGTCGAATTGGGGCTCGTGATTGGCAAGACTGGTAGGGATATCTCACAGGAAGAGGCGGATTCGTATATTGCGGGATATGGTGCGTCTGCTAGCTCCGCTTCGCTTCATTATTGCTGATGTTGAATGTTGAATTTCCACCCTCTATGGGGTTCGGTATGGACTGTGGTCTGATCTTGGGCTCGAATCGGGTGTGACTGCAAATAGCGTTGACGATTGACATGACGGCGAGGAACATCCAGGAGGAAGTCAAGAAGAAGGGATTGCCCTGGACCACGAACAAGGGTTTCGACACCTTTACCCCTGTCGGGTACGTTCACCTCGTCCACTCACGTGTTTTCGTTCGGGTTCTCCTGTCATAGCGTATGTGGTATGATTGCTGATACTTCACGGTTTCATGGTGTTATAGCGATTTTATTCCGAAGTCTGAAGTCGCGGATCCACACAACCTCAGCATCTGGATCAAGGTGCGTCCTTCATTTCTGACCTGTGTGCCCCAAGACGTAGTGTTGACATCTTTCGTTTTTGGCTGTTGGTCAGGTCAATGGCGAGATGAGGCAGAACGCCGTTACTAGCGAAATGATCTTCCGCATCCCTCGTCTTATTGAACACGTCTCGTCCATCATGACTCTTGAGGTAATTTCCAATCCTCCAAGGTTCCTGACTTCACAGATTGAGTTCATATGGTCACTCTTTATAGGAAGGAGACCTCATCATCACTGGCACACCTTCCGGTGTTAACCTCGTCGCTCCCGGAGACAAGATCGAGGCTGGGTTGGAGGACGCTGGAACAAAGAAAGAGTTGGCGAAGTTGAACTTTGAGGCTGTATCGAGGGAGAAGGGGTATCATTATCAGGCGCTCTGAACGTGTTCTAGTGGGTACTCGCCCTTTTACTTTCTCATTGTGAGTTCAGCTCGTGTTGACGAATCTTGTTAGAACGTAGATGAAAGGATCCTTTATAGATGTATTTGATCAGAAGAACAATAAAACAGGTGCTGCATATGAATCTAATGATGTCCATTCCCGAACCCGTGGCATGCACAAGACTAAGCAGAAGAAAAACGAAGACGTCTATGCACTATAACTCGCTCTCCCGTATGCTCCGTCCGTCACCAAACCCTCATTCAAGCAGGCAGACCAATGAAAACCCTGAGGGCCTGCCTCCTCGCATCGACCAAAGGCCCAGGCGCCTTCAGAAGAGGCTGCCCATACGCCTTCAACAATGCCTCGTATCGTTCTCCTATATAATCGACACGTTGGAAAAGGTCAACAGCCGTCTATATCATGCTGAGGGACGTTGCCGAGGCAAGGAAGCGAAAATGAAACGTCACGCAACTGGTAAGATGTTCAAACTCTCCTTTCGTCGCAGGGAAATTAGGTAACGGCTTGCCGTTCGCCGTTGGAGGAGCCATGATCGGCATCTTGGACACCGAGGCGGTCGCGTTGTGTAGACGGGCGTACAAGCGATCTTGTCTGTGTATATCACAGTAAGCAGATGCCAAGTTGTGATGGCGTAAGTGAATCAGTGACGCAGAGTGCGAGAGTTTACTCCAACGAGTTGGAGATAGGACTAACTCAAGTTTAATAGTATCTGCCATCTCTTTCATCTTCTTCTCCAGTTCTTCGATTTTCTCGCTCGACGCAGCCACGGCCGGGGGTAGGGCAGCCGTGCTGGCACCGTTACTAGTAGAAGGCATAGGCGTCGACACCCTCGTATGTTCGGATTCGATCTGCGCCTTGATGCTCTCTACATCATTCGACAACACCGACTGCGTTCGCTCAATCGCGTCCAACCTCGCATGCAAGCTCTCCAACTCCGGCGTCAACCTGCCCTCCTGTACTCCATCATGCGCCTGTGATTGTCCATTATCCTTTCCACCAATGAGGTTCTGAGCAGAGGATGACGCGGATTGGTAACCTGCGAAGATGTCGGAGGCTTGGGCGAGTTGCTCGGAGATGGAGGCGAAGGCGGCAGAAAGTTGGGAGGCGCGGATGGCAGGAAGGTCTTGTGAGAAAGGGTGAATGGCGGCTCCGTTGCTGTCAGTGCCGTTGGTAGGAGCAGGAGAGGGCGAGGAGTTCCCGGGAGTGGCAGAGATAGACATGGTATCACTCGATGCGCGCGGAGAAAGTTCTGCGGGTATACCCATGCACTGTCAGGGCAGCAGAGGAAGGGCAGAGAAGCAAGGTCTCGCGGGATAGCGACATGAGCGGGACTTTATAAACCTCATAAATAGATTCTAGACAGGGCGAAGAGACATCTCTAGGTACCGAGTGGGAATGATGGTGTTTTGTTTTGGGAAATTAGGGCACAACCGGACAGCAGCGTACGCCTGTCGGTGGAGGTAACTGGGATCATCGTGGCGTCCAGTACAGCCTTTTTCTCGCCGGCATGGACGACATGCAATGATTGTCCGGTATGGTGTACATCTTGCGCAAATGGGTGGTCGTAAGTGGTCGGCATGTGGGAATATCCTCGATGGAACATGGGAGACAGGCCGAAAGCTTGAGAAAGTGTCGGACCGTGAGTGGAAATACGAGGGTATCGATGAGCAGAATGAAGATATGTCGCGTTTCTGGGCAAGATTACCTTGCGGTAACAAGTTTAGGCAGGACAAGGACGTGGTTTCCCCAAACCGTGCGGGGAACTTCAATGTCAAGACGGCGGACAGGAATGTGGCTCGCCACGAAGGAGAAAGAACCTCGAACGTGGTTACGACCGTGTTGCGATCGGCAGCCAGGATGACTCGAAAGCACGTTCAACAGTGTCGCGACATTCAATGTCCGACGTTCAAGGCCCAACCTAGTTTTGACCATCTTGCCAAAGACCGTGACCATGATTTTTTCGAGAGTGAGTAGTCCAAGGTAGGCCAAAGGTAGGATTGATGTCAGATTCTTGTGGAAGTGATAAGGGATACTGATTACTACTGACGTGGCACTCACGGCGCTCGTCTCCGGGTCTCTTCTTCCGAGCTATCATCGACAGCACTTTGCGAGTACACAAGCTCAGCCAAGTACCCTGCTGATGTTGGAGCTCTACTCTGGATCATTTGAGAAAACGAGGACTTCGATAATTTAGCCCAACGGAGGCCACTTGGCCGCTCCCTGTCTCTTACCCCGCTCTGGTAAAGGACTTATCCCCACTTCGCGAGTAAAGCGCTTTTTGTTTTCAACCCTTACTGATCACAGGACTACCCAATACGACGAGCGCAGCATATCATAATGGCTCAAACGAGCTCAAATACATTGGAAAGAACATATGCTCGTCTTCGTTTTCGATCCCGCAGCAGTGCTTGCTATCTATGCCACTGTTCCGTACCCGGCATCACACTCGGCTTGACCGTCAACTTGGGGCTCATCGCATGGATCATATATTTCCACAGGGTCTCAGTATAAAGACCGAACACTAGTGTTCGCCTGTGTGTACTCTCGCGCTTGCCTTTTTTTTTCGACGGGTCTGTTCGTTTGATCCTGTTAGCGCCTGGTTATACCTCCCCCACAGAAAGCCTGGTTTGACGGTTTCTTCTGGACGTCGTTTCTATGCTCACGATGTATGCGGGGAAGTATTTATCTGCTCCTCTGAGCTTGTTCATCTCCTCGGTCTTGTTCTCGGAAGGAGTCGCGTCTCAGAGTACCGTCACGGTTTCCGTATCCTCATCGCTGCCCACCGGACATGCCAACGTCGTGCAAGATAACTTCCTGGGGATCAGTTGGGAATTGAGCTCGTTCGACACATTATGTGAGTCCAGTCCATCCATCCATACATGCCATTTTTCGTCCCTCGGGGTTTAGTCTCCCCCATGTTTCTCCCTGTATCTCCACACACGGGCGTTTACAGCCCACGTCGCCACGGCCTGTTGTATCGCGCATCATGCATACTGACTTGGCATCACCGAAAATATCCCGCTTTATTCGTTCACCTTCACAGGGGGAAAGACAAACTCCACCATCCCAAACGCGATGCAAAACTATCTCTCTAACTTCCGAGCCCGGATCAGTCAACCCCTCCGTATCCGCGTCGGTGGCAACTCCATGGACTCCTCCACCTATGATCCAGACAAAACCGATACCATGCTGACCATCACGGATTCGTCGTACTACAACGACGAGCCCGTCACGTTTGGGCCCGTGTTCTTCGAGGTGCTGAACGAGATGGCGGACAAGGTCGGAGAGATGCAGTTCTTGGTGGGGTTGAGTATGCAGCAGGCGCCGGAGGATGGAGGTGATGATAACGCGTTGCTGTTGGCTAATGCGAGCGAGGCTCTGCTTGGGAGCAGGTTGGACGCGATGTTGCTTGGCAATGTGAGTTTTGCGGTTCTTCTTGTTCTGAAGCGCTACTTGGCATCGAGTGGTATGGTGGAGTGGATTTGAAACTGACGAGCTTGTGTGATTGTGGCGGGTGGGTTTGTAGGAGCCGGACTTGTATGCGAATCATGGAAAACGGGTGACATATGAGATTTCCGACTACGTAGGTTTCTTTCGCTCCAGTTCGATGACCGACTCCTGCTGACTTGCTTGCAGCTTCCGGAAATCGATTATGTGGTGGACAACCTCACTACCGGAACGTACGGCGACCTCAGATCATCAGGATCCATTGGTGGACCGACCATCTGTTGCAACTGGTACAGTTCTTTCTCCTTTCTCCTACACTTCACCTCAATTGACTGACAGATCGTTCGGATCACAGGGAACTGACTGACGTCATAGATGCAGGTCTTGGCAGCTTAGATTATAAATATTATACGTGCGTTTCTCCATTTTTACAGACGTTTGCCGCTCGAGTACATCTTTTCCGCAGCGCTAGTCTATCCGGTTTTCTGACATTTATTGGTCTATAATAGGCTACAACAGTACGTCCACCTCCACGCCTCTCCCTTAAAGACCCTGGCGTGACGTCTTTATCAGCTATCCCGACAATTTCTGCTCAGGCGCCACAGACACTAATACCAATATATCAGCATATCTTACACATACCACTGGTCAGCATAGTCTTCCTTGACCTTCAGTTGTAACTTACTGAACCTTTGTGGTGAACGGCGATTAGTACCTTCATATACCTCCTGGAATTCCGATGGAGTTCTCGCAGCAGCGGAAGCAAATGTCCCCATCCTCATGACCGAGTTCAATACCTGTTCTTGTGGAGGCTCACCGACCATCTCACCAACGGTACGTCCCCTGCGTTCGTTTCCCACATATCTTGCTTCTTAGACATCTTTGTCCAACCTCCAACAGTTCACCGCAACACTCTGGGCAGTCGACGCAGCGCTCTCCTTCGTCTCCTCCAACCTCACCGCAGTCTACCTTCACACCCGCGAAGCCGGCGTGACCTATAACCTCTTCGACCCTCCCACCTCCGGCGACTCCACCGAAACAGGGTGGTACACCTACTCGACCTACTACGCCGCCCTCATGCTCACCGAAGTCGCGTCTCTCAACGGAAGCGTCATCCAGGACCTGAATGTAGAAAACTCAAAAACGAACGCGAGCAGCACGATCGCGGCGTATGCGATTTGGGATTTTAGCGTCGCGACGGACGGATTGGCGAGGAGCGAGATCGATAGCTCGAAAGCGGGGCTGAGTAAGTTCGTGTTTATTAATTATTCGAATACGACGGCGAAGACGTTCGTTATTCCTTCGAACCTTACGGAGACGTCGACGGTCGCGACGAGGTCGTTGGTCGCGCCGCATGTTAATGAGGAGACGGATATTTCGTGGGCGGGACAGACGGTGGGGGATAATGGAGATTTGACGGGAGATCAGACGACGGAGTATCTGGATTGTGGGAACAGTGGGGAGGATGGGTGTGTGATTACTGTGCCTGGGCCGGGCATTGTGCTTGCGCTTTTGGATCCGAATGCGAGTTCGACGGCAGGGTTTTATGTGGGGAATTCGACGATTGCGGGCCTGGAGGGTTATGAATCTTCTGGAGCATTGACTTCTCGGGTGTCGCAGAGTGGTTTGCTGTGGAGTGGGGTGGGAGTTGGTCTTGGTCTTGCGGGGTGGTTTGTTGAGGTGTTGTGAGAGGTTTGGTTGCATGGTTTCTTGTGCATTGCTCTGTACATGGACTAGACATGTTCTCGAAGAATATTCACTGTGTAGCATAATTTATTACATGGGCCGTTATTCAGGAATCTGCTCTTGAACATTCCCCTCGTGCACTTATGTGATTTTTTCGATGGGCCACAGGGGCTATAGCATTCGACGTTAAACGACATGCCCCGTAGAACAAGCCGTTATATCTCGTTGACCTACAGAATACACACCTAAAATCTGTCGGATCACTTGATTGGCCTTCCACCGGATCAGTATAATCACGCGATACAAGTCCCTTTTACTGGGACGCGTTACCTTGCACTTACGCGTTCGTTTCCATATAGTGGTATATAAGATCAGTGGTCAACGAGACTTTCTACTCACCATACCCCACACCAGACAAACATGACTATCACCGAATTCGCTACGCTCAAACTTACCCAATCACCACCCCACACCTTCTCCTCGCCCACCCTCCTCCCACTCTTCACCCGTCTCGCACAGCTGCAAGGAGCTTACTCTTCCCACCCTCTCCTATACTTCCAGCACATCGCTTCTACCTCCGAGTCCGAGAACTCAGATAATACGAAGGATGGAAAGAATGAAAATACGATGTATCTGATCTCAGGTTGGGAAAGCGTGAAGAAGCACGAGGAATGGATAGCCAGCGAGGAGAATCAGGGGTTCTTGAGGGAGTTAGCGAGTTTTGTGGGGATTGAGGGGTTGGTGCATGTTGGGGTTGACTTTGGAGGATTGGAAGAGGATATGGAGGATGTGTTTGGGATCGAGATCGTTGTTAGGGATGCTCAGGCTGGCACGGATGCAGCGTTGAAAGACGGAACCGGGGATGTGAAGGCGATCTGGGAAGGTAGCGGTGGGGATGTGGAGGGGAAGAGCGGAGGAAGGTTGTTTGAGTTTAGAGCATATAATGAGAATGGGTGGAAGGTGGTCACGAGTAAGGGTTTGGAGGAAGAAAATGGGAGGGATAGGACACAGGTTGGCGCCACTGGCATTGAGCGTGCTATGCGGTTGCATGTAGGGCCTTCCAACTAATAAGAGCCGCTCGAATCTACGCAGTATATCATGGAACATGATCCTGCGGGTGAAGCTGAAAACAGCATCGAATCTAAGTATCAGGAAGATTCGCGATGGTGATGGTGGTAGTGCAGGAGGCAAAGGGCCACAACTGACACACGCCACAGTTCAACGGGGAAGGCCGCGGCAGCCGCGGCCTGCACCCACGCGCCGCGCCCTGTCCCTTGACTTCTTTCATTGTCCTACCACATAACACTACTAGACTGCCAACACCGCGATCTGCTTCTGTTTCTACATCGATGTCGAATGCTCCTCTGAATGGCTCGAATGATGTTCCTGCTCCAGCTTCGGATCCCTCCACCTCAACTTTTGTTTCCACCTCCAATATTAACCTGAAAGCACAACCGACGCACAGGTCGAACTCTGACAGAAGAAGGAAAGCCTATTCCGCACCAAGGCCTGGATATCCTGTTGCTCCTGCAGATCTGGCAGCTCTAGAAAAGAAGAAAGAGAGGAACCAAGCGAAGAAGGCTAAGAGGGAGGAGAATAGGAAACGGAAGAAAGCAGCGAGGAAGGCCGCCAAGGTGGCGGCTAAGACGACTAAATCGTCAGCTATTAAGGATGGGATCGCTGCCGAGAAAGAGGGAGAAATGATGGTGGAGGAGTTGGGAGGAGAGATGAAGAGAATGGGCATTTAGGTAATAATAGGAAGGAGAGGGACAAACTTGAAGAATGAGGACGGGACGCCGTGCGGCTGGACATAGGGCCTTTGAGTTAATCCTTTAGCACTTATATAGTAGGTTGTATCATAGAGCTAGTAAGACGGTTGTAACAATTAGTCTTCTAACGGGAAGACCTCTTCATGATTTGGGCCACAACCCGACAATTGAGACACACGCCACGCCACAATCAACGGAAGACAGCCACGTGCTGCCCCGAACGAGATATTTCCTTCTCCCATTCCCGCCACCGATTTACCTTCCGACCACGCACTCCTTCCTCAGCTTGCACTCAGACTCAGAGCTAGTCTCTTTCCTCGAGCATATAGATTTGAGGCACAGGATGGCTCGCTCGACTCCGGTAACGCTCAACGCGTCCCCATCCAACTCAAAACCCACAACTCCCAAAACCTCACGTCCGCCCACTCCCAAACAAGCCGCCAACTTGAGCTCGAGCTCGAACTCGAATATAAAACCCTCACGACCTCCTACACCTAAAAACCCGAGACCACCAACACCTCAATCTGCTTCTGTTACTGCCTCGACGTCAAATGCTGCTCTGAATGGCTCGAACAGCGCTTCTGCTTCTGCTTTGAATTTCTCCGCTTCTACCTCTACCTCTGCTCCTACCTCTACTTCCAATATGAATGCACAACAGACCTCCAATTCATCTTCGAGCCGAAAGCGTAAGGCTTCGGGAAACTCTTCCACTTCATCCCCTCCTACACCCGGACCTGCTACTACTACTGCAGATACAGAGGCTCTGGATAAAGAGACAGAGAGGACGCGCGCGAAGAAGGCGAGGAGGGCAGAGCGGAAACAAGAGAGAGCGGAGGCGAAGAAGGTTGAGGCGGCTGCGAAGTTGGCAGAGGGAGAGGCTGAGATTAAACGATCAAGAGGTGAGAGGAAGAGACGGAGGAAGGAGAAGGAGGAGAGGAAGAGGAATGGGAAGGAGGGTGGGAGAGTAGAAGGGGAAGAGGAGGAAGGCGAGGTTGTGGAGATTGATAGAGATGGAAATGAGATCCAGGTTGTTAGTGCGCCACTTGGGAACGCGAACGGCGAGGGTTCGGGGAGGAATAAGGGGATGGCAAAGACACTGGAGGAGGCGCAGCTGGGAGATGATTTCATTCCATTAACATTTGGAAGCGAGGATGAGCAGGATGCGCAGGATGGGAAGAATAGGAAGGATGAGAAGGTGAACGAGGATCCTTCAAGGTCAAATGGCACACGGTACGATCAGAGCCTGTTGGGTATTGGGGATCTGAAGAAATATACGGAGCGGGATACAGAACGGGAACGGGGTAAAGATAGAGACAAGAATAAAGACAGAGGCAGAGGGCAGGGCAAGGAGAGAGATTGGGACGCGGGTAAAAAGGCGTCTTGGGATCGTGATCAGGATAGGGACACGGGTAAAAAGGCGTCTTGGGATCGCGATGACGACAGGGATAGGGATAGGGATAGAAACAGGAGGGCGAGGTTCGATCCAAACGATGGGTATATGACCAAGAAGGAGCGAATGGATGCTGCGAGCAGGAAGGCGCCTTGGCTTGCGGACGTGGATTGGGAAGGGTGCACAAATGTGGCCCAGCTGTACGTCCATCTATGTTTCATCTCCCTGTTTTTTGTTGCCTGTCTTACATTGAGATGCTGATACGAGTGGGTTGATATTGTAGGTTGCATAGAGAAGTTGATGCATTCGTGAGATATATTTCTCCAACCCCGGTGGAGGATGAGATCCGGTCGCTGGTCGTGCTGCAGATCCAACGATGCATATCGAGTAAATTCCCCGATGCAAAAGTCAGGTCGTTCGGTAGCTACGAGACCAAACTATATCTTCCTCTCGGGTTCGTCCTTTTACTTCCCTCCGTCGCGCAGCAGCGTCTTCTCATCCCAGATCTGACTCTATGTAACCGTGTGCCCTGTAGTGACATCGACCTAGTGATCATTTCGAAATCTATGGCCTACTCCGACCGTGTCACGGTCCTCCACGCCGTCGCAAACACCCTTCGGACAGCAGGTATAACGGACCGCGTGAGCGTGATCGCGAAGGCGAAAGTCCCCATCGTCAAGTTCGTAACGACCTTCGGCCGATTTGCGGTCGATATCTCAATCAATATGTCCAATGGTGTCGAGGCCATCAATATCGTGAACAACTTCCTCAACTCTGCCTCCCTCTCCGGTATCTCAAACCCTACAGCCACCACAACCACCACAACCTCAGGCCCCGACTCCAACGCCCCCACTAACTCGATTACCGCCGCGAGCAACCCAAGCTCGGCCCTCCGCGCCCTCGTCATGATCACCAAAGCCTTCCTCTCTCAACGGTCCATGAACGAAGTCTTCACAGGCGGACTTGGCTCCTACGCCATCATCTGCCTCTGCGTCTCCTTCCTCCAACTGCACCCCAAGATCCGGCGGGGCGAGATCGACCCGTCGAAGAACTTGGGCGTGTTGTGTATGGAGTTCTTCGAGCTTTATGGGATGTATTTTAATTATGAGGAGGTTGGGATCTCGGTTAGGGATGGGGGGACTTATTATTCGAAGAGGGAGAGGGGGTGGGCGGATTGGGGGAATAAGGCGGGGTTGTTGAGTATTGAGGATCCGGCGGACCCGAGTGAGTGTTCTTGATCTGTGTGGAAATTGCGACATGCTGACTGTTAGATGGTGGTGGCCCTTTTTTCCTCATTTGTTGTTGGATTTACTAGGTAACGATATATCGAAGGGATCATTCAATATCGGACGGGTGAGGCAGACGTTTGCGGGCGCACTGAGTATCATGACGGCGGCTGCGCATCAGCATGCTACCGTCCTTTCTGCACGAAGGTCGGGGCGGGCTGTCAACTTGAGGGGATACGAAGATCCAGCGGATATGAGTATCTTGTCGAGCGTGTTGGGCGTCACTCAGGAGGTATGTCTTTCTCCTCCCCACCCCTTTGTTTGCCTTCTGTCTCTCGTGTTTTCGTGTCATGTGGGTGCGTGACTGATGGCTGATGGCGTGGCACAGACGATCAACCGACGCAAGTTGGTGCAAGAGCTATATGAGAAGAGAACGCTGCATAGGCTTCTTAACGTCCAGCCACGAGCGGGCGTCGTCCTACATGATCTCTCGGACGAACCGGAATCCAGCAGGACACCTCTGGCGTCGTCTTCACAGACCGTCGAGCCTGCACCGAAGGACAAAGGCGATACGCACGGGAAGAAAAGAAAACGAGAAGACGAGCCGGGCCCTACAAGGAGGCAGAGTGTGGCAAAAAAGCAAGAAGTGATGGTGGTGGAGGAGGAGGAGGATGAGATGGAGGAGAAGGGTGATGCAGAGGACGAGGAGGAAGAGGAGAGTAGGTATGGGATTCCGCCGAAGAAGAGGAGAAGGACGGCCATTAGTCAGGACGTGCACGATGTGTTCACGTCTGACGAGGACGGTTCAGACGACGAGGACGAAGACGAGAGCTCGGAAGACGAGGCGATGTTGGTTGTGCACACGGGAGAGGACGAGCGCCGTGGGGAAGCTGAGAGCGACAGTGGAAGCACGAGCGATAGTCTGGCTGATGAAGAGATGCAGTATGAAAAGAAAACGGCTGAGGCTGGGAAGGGCCCGGTGAAGATCAACAGGAAGAGAGCATATTGGGCATCGAAGGGGGTTGCTGAGGCAGGGAAGGATAGTCCATGATTTGATGGCCTACTCTTTTCTTTTTTTAATCTCTTTCCCCTTGGGTCAGTCTGTGCCTGTATGGAATCTTTGCTTTGGCGATCTAGTTCATGATATGAACAAAACTGATGAAAGTTGCGTGTTCATCATCGTCCTGAAGCTTGAAGGGGGCGGAAAAGATGAACGTAGTCGAGGCCGGATATGGTGATCCCGTCATGTAATTCGCCACGTGCGGGCACGCGAAACGAGATAGCTTCCGCGTCGAGTTGGCCGTCGTCGACGTCGCTCGCTCATCCCCTTCACCAGGCCCCCCAGCCACCACCGAACTTATCTCCCACACCACCACCACTTTCTTCGTCGTCGCACACGACTAGCTGCACATTGACTTCCACGGCGCTCTTCGCGACAGTCTCACCCTCGTTTTTGAACACCCTACGCTCTCTATTGTTTTCGATTTTCTTGGTCGGCACGAGACGCAGCCAAGTCGCGCCCGAGTCGCGGTTACTTTTGTTAGGAAGGACGTCATTACCGTCGAAGTTTGCCCGCACCATTTGTTTTAGAGGGAGGGTATAAGACAACGAGACGCTGGTCGCTCTTTTTCTGTTTCGTCAACCTTAATTTTGAAGTAGGCTCTCAATGTGCGTTCCCTCTCCTGTTTCGTTTTCTATCCTTGGAGTATACGGGGCAGGGATAGCCTGAGGTCATGGGAGACGCGGTCAGTTTCCCTGGACCACGAACGAGGATCATGAGCGTGTGAGCTCCGTGTACTCTGTGGAGGCTGAGCTTATTACTCTGTCTGGTCAGTCACACACGAAGTGAGGCATGAGACAGTTGGCGAATCCTCTGCTGCCCTCCGACCAAAGTCAATGATCTTCACTACTCGCTGGGTGGAGTACGACTCGCGACGAGTATTCGTACCCATTTTACGTGGCATGTCGAGACTGCGGGCTTTGTACTCCATAAGACCGACGTAGCCGGGGATGAACGACCAATTCATTACTTCCCGTGCCAAGACCTACATTCCACTCACCATATCATATTCCAATTCATTAAAAATCATTGGAAGCGTTTCTAACACTTTCTCTACCACAGGTCTACTTCTCGGGGCCAACCACAGGTTGCCCTCAAAGACCGCATAGCAGCTCTCCAACAACGCAAAGATGGAACCTCAACCTCCACCTCCGCATCCTCCTCCACCATCGCCCCTCTGAAGCCCCAACTAACTGGCCCCGCCGGCTCTGGTCCTCCACGAAATAACCTCCGCGATAAGATCGCTAAATTCGAGGAGAAGGGCGGTACACCCATTCCGCGTGGTTCGTTCGGCATCGGCGCGCCTCCACCTGAAGAAGGCGGGAGAGCGACGAGAAATAGGGAGTTGTATGGGAATAGGGTGTCTGCGCTAGGGAAAGGCCATCTTGGCTTCGTACCGCAAAATCTAGCCACGCAGAACAGGGCCGTTACCGCTCCTACCTCGAATTCCGAAGAGGGTGCGGGTGCGGGTGCGGGTGGAAGACCACAGGCCCGGAAACGATACTCCTCGAGTCTTTCACTAGCTGGAATACCGGACGGAGCTGTTACTAGTCACAGCACCGGTAATATTCCGGAACTGGGAAGCGGGTTGGGACTAGGGTCGGGAGGGGACGATCTCGCGCCTCTGACGCCGGATTATACGGGGGCTTCGACAAAGTCTGCGCCGGCGTGGAGAAGCAATAATAGGAGGAGCGTGATTGATATCATAGGGCAGTATGATGTGATGGATTTCATGACGCAGATCCCGCCGACGCCAACGAGGGGGAGGACGATGTCGATGTCGGACGGAGGATTCTCTTCGCCAGACGGGCCTCGTTCTCCTATCAGTGCTAGTGGAGGGATGGATAATTTGGTCATTGGGCAGGATTTGCCGTTGCATACCCTTATGGAAGACACGCCAACTTCGGCTGGGAGGGGTGTAGCGGAAGAGTTGGAGAAAGCGATAGCGATGGGATCTGAAACTGGGAACTTTGACCCGTCGCCGGTGGTCGTTACGTCGCCCGAAGGCGAAGATGGCTATGCGCAGGAGTCCGTCGTCAAATCGTCTCCTTCGCAGACTTCGTCACTCCCGACACCTCCACCGGATGAAAACTCTGTTTCATTCCCTTCCAATGCATCACCTGAGGTCGTACAGCCCGTTTCACCTCTGTCGCCACCACCACCGTCATCCCCATCGAAATCTTCGTCGCCGTCATTGTCGTCTTCGCCTGAGCCCGTGAAGGACGAACGGTCTGGCTCGAGCTCGACGCTTCGGCTGTCGTCGCCCACTGCCGCTGCCGCATCTCCTGACGAGATCAATCAGAAGTCGACAGACGGGATCGACCTTCCCACGGAGGGCGTGAAGCCTTCAGGACAGGATCTGTCCGTCCAGTCCACAACCTCTCAACCCGAACTATCATCCACACCCGCTAGCGTTTCCACTCTCGCAACGCCCGACATGGCTATTCCACCTCCCGCTCGCGATTCTCAAGACGACGAATCTGAGGCTCAGTTCATCACCATTTCTTCTTCCTCGTCGGTTGCTCAATCACAAGGTCAATTACCGGACACGCCTACCACGGCGACTGCAGCTACATTCAGGCTCCGCTCTGCTCCAACTGCGGCTGCATCTGTCTCAGAGCCCGAAAGATCGAAGACGACGGCTACTCGTACCATCATCCCGCCTCCTCGCACTTCTTCTATGTCGTCGAGCTCCTCCTCTGCCGGCGTCGATTCCCAGTACAACTTCCATTCTCGGGAGACCTCGACTTCGACGTCTTCCTCGGACGCAATCACATCCCCATCGACACCCATAGCGAAGTCTCGTTCGGCCAAGCAAGTTATGGAGGACATGCCGTTCACGCCAACTACAGGCCCCAAGAGTTTCTCCGCCGTCGTTCATCGTAAGACTACGGAGCCCTCTACGACGACGACCACTGCCGCCGCAGCTAAGTCAAGCAGTGCTCCCAACCGCACTAAGAGCACGTCCGACAACGGTCACGCCATCCGCTCCAAACGCAACTTCAAGCATCTCAACAACACCACCGCCGCCACCACGAACGCTAATACCGTTCCCACCGTCGTCGAACCCCCGGCCACGCCGAACGCGAGCGAGCTGCAGGCGTTGTTGAGGGAGTCGGCCATCCTGGAGCAAAGGTTGATGCAAGGCGACTTTTTCGAGCCCGACTTTGGTGGCAGCGACGATTTCGCGTCCGGGCTGGTTTATGGCGGTAGTGGGACGAGCAAGTCCGCGATTGAGCTCTCGAGGTTCAGCTCCGATAGCCAAGCACCCAGGCGTGGACGTGGAGATTCCAACGGGACGCTTGGACAGAAACAAAGGCTCTCCAGCACGCCCGCGCTCTCGTTGCAATACAGTAACGGTGGTGCGAGCGACGAGAGCGCCGTTCCGCCTACTCCTCCGCCCAAGGGCGGGGCGACTCGGAGGTTCCAGAGCTTGAGGAGCGCGCTGAAGACCGGTACATATCCGAGGAATAGCGTCGCGAGCATGAGCGAGGATATGTCTTCGGAGGATTCGATCGTCGTGGCCACGCCGCCTTCGCCGACTTTTGAGTTGGGCATGGGTGGTGGGCCGTCGAGTTTTACGTTCTCGAGGGACCGGTCGCAGAGTCAGAGTCAGGGGTCGATTTCCAGTCATAGTCATGGGAGACCGGCGACAGGTAGTAGTACGAAATCGATCAGGAGCGTGAAGAGTGGGAAGAGTACGAATGGGTTGAGTTTGGGGATGGCTTCGCTCGGTGGGAGTTTCAAGTCGGGTCCTAGGAAAGGAGTGCAGAGGGCAGCGACGTTTGCGGACAGGTTGTTGGGTAAGGGCGGGAGAGGGAAGCGTGGTCAGGATAATGGTATGCGCCCCCATCTTCTTCTTGTCATCTTATCATTCTGATGCTGACCGTCCCTGGTTTCCTGTAGCAGAACAGACCTCTGCCAATACTCTCGAAGTGTCACATGGCACTCCTGTTCGCCACTCCGCCGCCGTTGCCAACGACCGCAACTATTCGCATAGCCCAGGGTCTATCAAGACCTCGGGTGCCACCGCCTCTCTTGCACCTTCTTCACCATCTCGCTCTATGTCGATGATGTCCCTCTCCGCCTCTTCAGCCGCCTCCTCGCCCAACAATACCGCTTCCTTCGAATTCGACCGGGACATCTTCAACGAATTCCCATCTGTGCCGCAGGAGTTACCCACGAGACCCTCTTTGTCTTACGAGGTCCCTGCCTCTGCTCCCGCAACTGGTGTTTTCAGGTCAACCACAATGCCTACAGGGAGGGGTGCTCACCACAAGGCTTCCACGGATCTGGGGTATGTGGACGAGGAGGTGTCCGGAAGGACTAGTCAGTCGACGTCGGTGCCGTGGTTGAAGCTATCGCAGCCGGACAAGGGGCCCACGGATCTCTTGTGAGGTCTGCCTTAAAGTAGAATTGCTGAATCTTGGTTTTCTTTCGTGTTTCATCAGCTTTGTTCTTGTATCTGCAGACTAATGCTGTCAAGCTAGTCATCGTTCTGAATCTTTCCCGTCTACCGTGCGCTCTTTCATTTTCATCTCATGACTACTCGATTTTGTTCCTCTTTTACCGGCTTTTTTCTGGTTGGTCTCACTCACGTCTTGATGCTTGATCTTTGTTTTGTTCCTCTCTATCTTCTGATACGCTACAGTTGGCGTGTTGGCCTCTCTTACAACCTCACCCATCCCTCTCCTTACCAATTTTCCCGTTGCTCGTCTTGCTCTCTCTCTAACTCTACCCCTAGCTATATCTATCCTCACTCCTAACCGATATACCTCCCTTCCTCCCTCTTCCAGACAGACTTACATTTACAACCAAGTACTCATTCAGCTACCTACCTATCGGGGATAACGTACAGTATACTTGCTGTCTTGCACTACTGAATACTGACATGGCGTCGTTGATTCGCATCGCACTCACTACTTACAGTAACATATCTATTGGATCGGACACGATAAACATCTTTCTGATTGCTTCTCCGTGAATCAGTCGTCAGGCCCGGCCTTCTCAATCCCCCAGAAGAAAAGAACAAGAAAGAGACCTTCAAAAACAAACACCCAGTGTATTTCCCTCGTTGCTCCCCACAGAGCTCGCCACCGCGCCCATGATCCACCGGTTCAGCAACACGAGGTGCAGCATATTCGCGTCCGCCGCAAATATCCTCCCATTTTCCAACATCCCCAATGGCACGCCCGAGAGGAACGTCAACGCATCGAGGACCGGCCAGAACCTCGTTATCTTGCACCTCATGAAAAACACGGCCAGACCGGACATCACGCACGAAACTGGTAACGTCGAATAGATCATCCATCTCGTCGGCATCTCGCTACCATCGTTCCAGGTTTGTTCGGAGGTCTGCTGTAGGACGATCGTCGTGAGGATGAGCAAAGAGGTGCCGACGGCGAGTGCGGCGGAGGTGTAGACCACCCAGTCTGGCGTGGCCGTGAAGGAACTGAAGTCGAGCGCGGTGCGGGTTTGGGACTGGAATATCGCACCGAAGACGGCTGCGACGAGTCCGAAGGCGTTGAGGAGCACACCAGGACGGAGGGTGCCCTGACGTGGGGTGGATCGGTTGAAGGTGGCTATGACCATGAGTTCTTTGGATGGCGAACCTGGGAGGTACATTTTCAAGCCTGGCTCTTCAGTATCTGCGGTCTTGCCGTTGAAGACGCTATGTAGGTCGGTGAGACGGCCGACGTAGAGAGAGTTGGCGAGTGCGACGCTGGTCCATACGCCGGCTGAGGTACCGACGGAGAGGAAGTAGCAGATGATGACCTGCCCGACCAGGCCAGCGATGAGGAAGGGGTACGAGGCTCGTCTGTTCGACCCGCCACTAAATACAAGGTCGAAGAATTCGGGTTTGTTCGCGTATGGTTCAATGGCTTGCAGTACTGCCTCTATACGATTCAGGTACCCTTCGTCCGCCGACACGTTTCTCATCCCCCGTCGTCCTGGTAAGTTCTGGATTGTGAGTCGCCCATGATCGAGGAGAGCGCCACCAAGGAATGAAATCCAGAGCGTTTGCCCGACGCTTATGGTGGCAAGTTCGCCTGTGATGGGCCATTCCGGCGTACCGGTAGAGCGTCTGATGTATTGCACGACCCGGTAGTATGCGCCAGCGAGCTCACGTAGTGACGCGGAGGCTTTGGATGCCTCGGGCGAGTACGAATGAAAGTCGATGGAGCAAGCCGGAGCTTCCATGTCGACGTTGTCAAGAGAAAGGGTCCATGGGTCCAGCTCTTCATCTCCATGATGTTGAGCGAGCGCACGAATGGGGCTCTGTGAGTGCGGTCGTCGAACCATGTGAGCGGCTACAACATATAACGCCACTTCCTCGGTGTCCACGTCAACGATGGAGCTCGCGGGCATAGATTTCGTTGAGAACACGACGATATTGTGGGACATGATTCGGACCTCCCAATTACGAAAGACGTGGTAGTCAGCGGCGGCGAAGAGGAGGAAGTCCCTAGCGGAGGGAGACTGATGAGTTACAGGTTTGATCGATGGGGAGAGGGGGACGATGGGCGCAGGGGTGACAAGTCCAATTGAGGTCACTCTCCAGAGGGTATCGTCAATTGGGTCTTCTGACGGGCCGTGTACGACGGGATGAACAACGGCCAGCGTTTTTCGAAGTGCTTCAGCACGAGCCAAATCGGACACTTCCTCAGCACGGATCCAGAAATTGGATTTGCCATACGCAGTGCGTATGCCTGGGACGAAGTGACAGGCTTTGGAGACCCAGTTTACGCGTTGCATGGTCGGAATGGATATTTTTGGAAGACCTGACCAGAGGAACCATCCTATCGATGGATCCATCTCCCATAGCCGCTCTGGAACCGTGCCCAGAGCAGCATAAAGCACGCTCGCGAGGAGCAGGACACCAGATGGCCAAGAGACGATGTCGTTCACAGGTGCTTGTGCTTGAACGGGTCGGAGTACGATCGCGATAACCAGGGTCAATGTTACGGTCATTGAGATGCGCGTCGCCATCCTTGGCTTGCCCCATGTCTGTATCATAGGGGAAAGATGCAAGGTAAGTACAGAGAAACGCAGGAAATGAGGAAGAACGTACCAACTGAAAAGTGGAAGGCATAGCGATTCCTGACCCCAAGCACGCTCTTGCACTTGATAGAGCAGAAGGTCAAGGGTTGGAAATGCGAGAGCAGTGACTGTAGAAGAGAAAGAAGCAGTATCAAAGCGCCCACAGCCTCCTAGCATGGAGCATGTTGTACTTTCCACACAGCAACTTCTTTATGGATATTTGTTGGCAGTGACCGTCAGTGGTCAGGTGTTTGATGGCTTGATGTTGCCCGGGACTCCCTGCGAGTCTGAGGCGATGAAGAGGGGGTTCCATGGCCCAGAAACATCGATATAGATAAGAAGGGTGTGCGAACCAACGGTGGATTTACAATGCACGAGGACATTTGGTAAGTAATACTTTCGGCGTCTATTCGTCAGGGCGCCACACTCGCTTTAAAGGACCACCACCTCACACATCATACATGTAGACGTTGGAAAAATAGATATGGCCATATGATACAAACCAACAAGAAAAAGACTTGTCGTTTCTGCAGAGCGTGAGCAATTCAGGAAGCCGAGCAAAGCATTTCGAGCTCTAACGGCGCCACAACGACAGCATGCTGTGGCACTGTGGCCCATGGGATGCAGGCGAACACCTACGGGATGTTAGCGGCAATGAGGAGCACAAGTCCTCCATGTAATGTTCTCATGGCGAGCTAAAAAGGCCCACCAAACTGCCCAACTTGAGCGAGCCATCCGCAGTGTCCATGAGAAGGTCCATGTCGCCGCTCCCCGAGATACTCTTGACGGCCGACTTCGTGCTCATAAACCCTTACGCTACGTTCACGCTAACCACCTGCTGCTCATTCCTGCCGCGGAATGGCTCCTGTTATAGTGGATCATAAGTATTCCTCCGCGAGCGTGGCCAACCGGCCTCCAAGATTTAGGTTCGAGCACTGGCGCTGGCGGAGGAGTTTTGTGGCGGGCGACCATCGAAACTGAAGGACTAGGCAAGACGATTCCGCAGACGTCGCCAAACAGCCACCAAGATGGACAAAAAGCGCAGAGCTCTATCCCAAGCGCACCAGACATAGGTCATTGTGTACTTATCGAGCTTCTCGAGCTTTTCGAAAAGGTTGATATTTTTTTCGGTGGACGTTCTATAACATGGATGGGAAGACATGTCAGTAAAGGTGGAGCAGGGAAGTTACACAACTGCATTGACATAACAATAGACTGGAATTAGTACGAATTAAATCGACAGGGCCCTACGCCTTACTCTGCTGATATGATAGTCTCCACACAACTCTCATGCCTCGGGATTGTGTAGTTCACCCGTCTACACCTACACGCTTGTCAACGCGAACACGTATGCATCCGTATCATAGACATGTTCTGCTCGTCCGTGTCCTCCATTTGTACATATGACACTACGACCATTTTCGCCAGTTCAAGGCCGAAGGCGGGGAGGATTCGGATGTCGGAGGCTGAGTGCATGCAGACGCTACATGTCTGTATGGATTGAGGACATCAAAGATACAATTTCCATATTGCATGGATCGAGCCAAACAAGACAGATAGAGATAAAAACATCTGTCAGCCGGACTGTGACGAGAGAGGAGCAGGAGAAGGGAGGACGCACCCTGTCGAGCCACAGTGCCAGCATCTTTTGGGTTCTGGACAATCACTCTTGACGTGCTAAGTATATGAAAAAGATCAGTCAACACATAACTTAGGTGACCTCCTGTCCACCACACGAAAACAAAGATTCCAACAAAAAGACACTCACCCCCTTCTGCCCGCAATTAAAACACACTTCCGGCACCTCAGCCACCTCCTTCCCTTCCCCTGCCCCTTCCCCTTGCCCTTCTACTTCGCCCCCAGCAGTAGCGGCAACGACCTCAGCAGCAGTCGGACAGAACTTCGCGACGTGGCCCCTCTGATTACACAAGAAACACTTGACGCGTTTCGGGCGGAATACTTTCTCTCTCCGTGTTCCTCGTCCCTTCGAGTCGGAGTCGGTAGCATTGAGAGATGATGTTACGGTGCCTGTAACTGGGTTCGCGCTTGAGCTTGGATCGAAGGGAGGGGTGCTAGTGCTGGTGCTGGTGGCACTTGGGTATATTTCGTTCGAGGGTGCGGTTGCGTGTGTGGATACGAGCCTGGTGCCAGTGAGGAAGAAAGACGAGGACCATGAAGCGGATGCGGGGACGGTTTGGCGGGTTGGGAGGAGAATAAATCGGGATACTGCGTTGCGAAGCATTTCGGGAGGAAGTGTTAATTATGTGGTCTCTTTTGTAGAAAGCTTAAGGCTTTAACGACCAGATGCTGAGAAGACTGGGTGTAAAAGCCAGAAATCGAACAGCAGACGCACGAGACGGAAGCGCGTCGAGCCATCTCCTTGGCTCTTTCGTGAGCCGATAGACTGGCTCCCGGATTGACACACTTTCCTTGTCCTCTCCGTTTTGGCCTTTCAAACGGGCGTACCAACACTCACGACTGTTCACTACTACAACGGCGAACCTTTATCGTCAGTTGACTACTCACACGAGATTCCTGCCAGAGTAAAAGTGGAGCGAGCAAAGAAGACTTTGATCATATTGTTGAGTCGCGACACTGACACTGGCACAGGCAATGACAAGAAAAGGAGAGCAGGCAAAAAACAGAGAAAGGATGCAAGCGGGCGGGTTACTGTATGAGAATCGTACAACGGAACGGCAGCAGCGATATGTATGTATATGTGCGACGACGACAATCATTTTGGGGGGAACGACACCAACATCAACACCAACACCACGACCACGACCACGACACCATCTTCAACACACACCCGCGAGAGTTGGTATAGGAGGTTTAAGCACCCTCGGTGGCGGCGGCAGCGCCGGCGCCGGGGCAGTCACGAGAGATGTGTCTGTGTAAAGGTAAGGTTAGATCCAAAGCTACGACGGGGGGCGGTGGTGGACGATATGGACTTACCCCTCGGAACCGCAGGTGTAGCAAGCCCTCCTCTGGGGCTGCGGGCAGTCACGGCTGATGTGGCCCTACAAAAAAGAGAGAAAACCCGTCGCATCAGCATCGTTATCAAGTCGCACCCACCCCAGCACACAACACAAAGGTGTTCAAGAAAAAAACACTCACGACACCCGAGCAGTTGTAGCACTTGCTCCCCTGCACACAATCCCTGCTCAAATGTCCCACACCACCACACGTGTAACAGGTCCTCTGCTGTCCACCACCGAACCCAGCACCTCCGCCGTACCCACCGCGGAATCCCCCGCCAGCACCACCAAACCCTCCGGGAGCCTCGGGGCACGCACGGGCGATGTGGCCGACTTTGCCACAGCGGTAGCACTCAGCGCCGGAGGAAGCACCACCGGCGGAGGCACCGAAACCACCAGCACTGCCGCCGTAGCCGCCGGAGGCAGCACCAGCGTTTTCGGGGCAGTCGCGGGACTAGGTATGCAGAGGAAGGATGAAGAAAGGACGGAGGTTAGAGGGGGACGAAGACGGAGGAGGGAAGGAGGATGGACGTACGATGTGACCCTCCTGGCCACACTTGTAGCACGACTTTGCCTTTTGCTCCATCGTGCAGTCACGGGAGACGTGGCCCTCAAGACCACCTAGAATGTCGATGCAAACGAGACATCCAAGAAACACGTCAGAATAAACGAGTTGAGCGGAGAGCAAACCGAGGCGACGCACAGTTGTAGCTGTTGGATGAATCACGAAAGTATTAGAAATGAGCGATTGCCTGGGGCGGCCGAAGCCACATATCGACGGGGACTGACCAAGTAGGGGTACCAGCCTTGGGGCAGTTAGCTGCCTGGTGACCGACTGTGGTGTGATGCGGTGCGATTTTGCATGCACGACATGGTCAATAGCGCCACACATAATTTTACGTTGTATGATCGGCGACAACGATTACGTTCATTGGCGGTTGGCGACCATGACGGGTAGAACGAGGTGAACGAAAACAGCGCAGAACAACGACGACGCACCAACCCCACCCCCCAATCCACGCACGCGGAAGTATTGGGATAAAGGTGAATATATTTTGCAATTGTTTCGTGCACCGACGCACCCGACCCCGCACGAACGAACGACGACCGACGACGACGTACATCGCATCCCCGAGGAGGTATCGACGTATTGAACGCATGTAAAAGAAAAAGAAAGCAACGCGGCCCCGTCAGCACCGCACCACGCACAGAGAAGAAAGGGGTTATCGAGGGATAAATCGAGATAAAACACAGGCGTGACGATGTGGACGTGAAAGGGGTAGGGAATTTGGAGGATGGGGAGATAGATAAGCTCGTGCAGCGTAAGGCTGGTGAAGCGAATTGAAAAAAAAATGTAACGAGTACGATAAGTAGAAGCCAGTGATGACAGGCCATCACAGGCGCCCATGCCCTCGCCCTAACCACGCAACCGCCCTTCAGCACCTATGAGCACCGATAGCCGCGGGGCTTAGCAGTAAGGACCAAAGTCACCACCTATCGAAGGCCGACATCGAGGTGGGATCGACTGTCGGCCAGGCGCAGACAGTGTGGTTTTGCAAGTGGGTAAGGGAAAGGTGTAGAGGAACTGGCTGGAGGCGAACCAACCACAGGCAGTGGCAAAAGCGGGAAGATGGAGTGGAAAAACGACGACGACAGACAACACGGAGATTATTACGCACAGCCACCACAGTTGAAGCATCCACGAGCGCCGGCCATTGTAGATTGAGAGTTTTGAAGTCTTGAAAAACGAGGAAGAAAAGGGAGTTTGGAGTCAGAGAGGGGAGGAGATGATGGTGGTAAGAAGGAAAGAGAGGATGTGGTGATCACAAGGATGGAGATCCCGCTTTTATAAGGCGCGCAGAGCAGCAGACTCGGAGCTGATATCACCGCCACCCTCGATGAGAATCTAGGAATCAGACGTCGACGGCGAGGTCTGCCTGCAGGCGATCCACGCGACCATCTCGTGCTGATGCCGGGCACATTTAGAATAATTCACTCACAAAAGGGGACTGAAAGACGGACTTCTTGTCGATGAGGGAAACGTCGAGGACGGGATGGGTGATGGTGAGGTCGAGGATGGGAGAGAAGAAAAAAAAAGGACGTGCCGATGACTGATAAGTGCGCCACGTGCAGGCCCCATTCCGGCCATGTGTGCGGCTTTTGGACCCAATCTGCCCTCATTTGGGACAGATGGCCGTCGTGGCCGAGGGACGGGTGGCGGGGAAGTCGAAAAAGAATTTATGTGGCGTCCACAACGAATCACGATATATCCATTCAACCTAGCGTTCACCAGCCATTCATATATTCGACCACGATGTTGCCTCACCCGTAAGCTCAGAGACACACGAGTCGGATTGCATAAGAAGACGGCGGTGAGGTGACGAGATGATTATTGGCGGCATCCATATTAGCAGGGTGATAGACGCTAGTAAAGCTTATACGGATGTTCGTGTCTAAAGCGGTAACCAGCCTTGCGAGGAAGATTGGGTAAGGAAATGTGAAGGAAGGAAATCACAGAGGGGCCCACCCGCAGAAATATATATACGTTTTGTGTGACTGAAGCGGTCTTCGGGAGTACCTAGGCAGTCATTCAAAGGACCTCTCTTACACCCCTTCTCATTGTGGAGGTACATACCGCACAGTCACCCGAGGCAAAAGATGTCGGAATAGGACAGTTGTTGTTGTACCACGGAATCATGCCCTCCGACTCAAAAGTACTCACTCAGACAGATTTCTTCACTGATATCGTTAGACGCTTGCGTGGGCACTCCAGAGTCAAAACTTGAGGGTAGATCTGTCGAGAAAGTGTGCCGCCCATAGAGGAGGAAGGATTGTCGAATTTTATGTCGCGATCTAGGTATTAACCTCCCAGTCTACGCTCCCATCCACCAGCTCAACTACTCTCAAACTGCGGCCGACTTCTTAGGGGCCTCGTCCTCTACAGGGTTCAACACGACCTAGAATGAAACACAGTCTCCAAAGTCAGTAAACACGTCTAGTATGAAAGGGATGAAGACGTACCTGCTCGCCACCCTTCCCATCCTCCCAGTGTTGGTAACGAAGAGCGGTCAAGCCACGCTTCTCGGCGACGACGCGCTCTGACTCATTGAGGGAGTTGCGCACAGCGCGAGCGGAGATCTGGGAGTATTTGTTGAAGCTTTTTTTCGTATTTCATTTGATTGCATGCACGAAGATGTATTCCAGTAGTTTTGTGGTGGTTGTGCAGAGATATGTTGAAATTAGTGGATGGACCGGCGAGCGAGGAAAGTTCGAAGGGAGAAGTTGAGAGGATGTTAGGGGATGGAAAACGTCAGTATTCCATTTCACTTTCCTTATTTATTCGGAAACACAAAGAAACCAGACATACGTGAAAAATTGACGCCAAGTAGCAGCAGACATGGTGAATACAGTGAAGGTATCGTTGCCTTTGACTTGGACAGCGAGAACAGCGTAGGGATGAAGCCGGGACGAGGTCCGCCGGTGTTCGGCAAAGGCCGACCGGCCGAGGCTGGCGTCCCCGGGGAGGTCCGCGCGACGTCACCGGGTGAGTCGTCGGTGGCGCACGCTGCAACACCTTGCAACACGGCCTGTTCGTTTCCATCACTGCAACAAGGCTTCTCACTTGCTTCTCACTCTCTAACTATTACCTCGTTTGACTCGAAATTCTGCTGTATAAACTACAACACATCCTCTAGATTGCTGTCGAAGATAACTTGACGATAGAGTATAAGCATCCTCGAGACCATCTAGACATGTCTGGCATAACTTGGCACTACGTTCTCAAGTTCATCATCACAGGTGCGTTGCTCTCTCATTCTCATCTCCTCTCAGCTCACTGACCTTTCCAATCTGCACCACTTCCAAACGTTCACAGGCGATGCAGCAGTTGGCAAATCGTCTCTACTTGTTCGTCTCACAGATCAACGTTTCCTGGCCAATCCAGACCCCACAGTACGTCCCTCCGCTTCTACATATCTCTCCATTTCCACCACAGCTATTCCAGGCATCATAAACGAACTGACGGAAGATTGGTTGCCTCTTGTGTGGACATGGCGTATACAGTTAGGTGTCGAATTTGGGTCTAAGCTTATTACGATACCAGAAGAGAATAAGGTCGTGAAACTGCAATGTGCGTCGTGAGCATATCCCTCTTTCCCGGTCTTCATGGCAGGAAGTGTCTGATTCTGATCGAATCTTTAAATCATTTGCGTATCCCGGACATCTGCGTTTAACCTCTCCCACAAATATCTACAACCTACCCTCTCGATGCATAACTACTCATGACGGACGAACCACGACCGCTCACCGTCTACAGGCTGGGACACAGCAGGGACCGAATCCTTCCGTTCAATAACACGCTCATACTACCGGGGAGCTGCAGGCTGCTTACTCGTTTACGACATCACATCACGGCAAAGTAAGTTCTCAGTTGACTTTCTCCTTCCCCTCCTTCTTCATTATCCTGTTCACCTCTTACGCATGATCGGATATGTTGACACTTACGCTCCCTGTGTTGTGCTATGCTGTAGGCTTCCTGAATGCACGAACGTGGCTCGAAGACGTCCGGAAACATGCAGATCCACATCTTACCTGTATCCTCGTCGGGAACAAATCTGATCTCTGTCCACCATCTTCATCCTCGTCGCCGTCCCAATCCTCATCATCCCCGCAAACACAAACGTCATCACAACCCTCCTCAACAACAACACCGACACCCACGACAGCTCCATCAAGATCAATAACCCCAACATCTTCGAGGCGACAAGTTAGCGTAGAGGAGGCCCAGCTCTGGGCGCAAGAAGAGGGCCTTTTGTTCGTCGAGGCGAGCGCGAAGAACGGGGAGAATGTGGAGAAGGCGTTCGAGGAGGCTTGTAGAGATATTTTGAGCAAGATTAGGAGGGGGGTGTTCGATGATGAGCGGGTACGTATTATTCCTCGCCTATCACCTCACCATCTCCCATATCCTCTGCTCTACTTCATTGATCTCATTGAACCTCGACTTGGTGTCATGGAACATGGAGACTGACGTGTGAATTTTTGCTGTGCGCAGAGTCCGGGTGTGAAGTTGTCGAAACCGAACGCGAGTGCCTCTGGAGGTGTCGCGTTAGACGGCCAGGCCAAAGGCTCGTGCTGTGGCACATAGTCTCCCGTTCCTATCTCCTATCTCCCATCTTCTTCACCCTTTCCCTCTATCCATATGGTGTTATACTGCTATTTTACTGGTTTGGTGGAGTTTCTTTTTAGTTGGGGGCTGTAAGTTATTTTAATTTCTCCTGGGAACACTCGGAGACCATCGTTGTCAACCATTCTTATTATTCGTCTTCGTCTACGCTTTTCTCTTTCTTTGAAGTATAGTTCATCGGTGGTGTTGCTTTGTTACGTGCTAACATGTACATGTGTGTTGGTGCTGTGTTGTAAGTGCGTACGATAATTAATAACGTGGAAGGCCGTGTTTACTGTATGTAATAAGGCTGTTGATGGGTGTCAATGGGTTTTGTCGATTTAGACCAGTGCGATTTTACATGTATTGATTCGAGGGGGGAGGGGTACAGAAGTACACAAGCTCAATAGTCTCTTTGCGGCGCGTTGGGTCGGTAAAGCGGTGAATAATCGACGCTGCCGAACGTTGACTCAAGGTGACCATTTGTTGAGTGCGGGATTGACTCGAATATTGGAGTTTTCGGTCCCGGAACCGTCTCTGGTGGTTGACGAGTCCTGGCACCAGTGTGGGCAATTATCAGTCGTTTTATTAGCAACCAGCTGGAAAGTCCATGAAAGGGTCTCAAAATTGGACATGAAGAAGTGGAGGATTCAAAGTCTACTGCTGTGGTCTACGTCTGTGCGTGGTTGAACGGAAGAACTTGAAAGAAGGAACGGAGCTTGGAACAGGAACGGAACGGACGGAGTTTGTATCTTCTCGGCAATCCCCGACAACAACGCGGATTGAAAAATTGCGGGTCGTTGGCTAGGTCAGACAGCTTTGCCTACTTACCCACCCGCTCACCGTCAGTCGGTCCACCCAGCTCGCTACCAGCAACAACCACACTTGTCCAAGCCCAGTCGACAATAACAGTCGACTCTTGGATATCGTACAAAACTCAAAAGAACCAATCATGTCTGCGTCAGTATACCTTCCTCCGCTTTACGCGCTCTTTTGTCCCATCTTTTCCGTGACCCTGACCTTGTGGGATTTTTCGTGAATTTAGTGAAGAAACCCTCCAGGATGTGCCAGAAGGCGAGATCGAGTCCAACTGGGACCAGATCGTCGACAAGTGAGTCTCTTGCTCGTTGTGCGAACTGGGATCAGGCGCGCTGATCAGTCGAACCCGCCAGCTTCGATAACATGGACCTGAAGCCTGACCTTCTCCGTGGTGTTTACGCCTACGGGTGAGTCCTTTTATTGATCGTTTTCACGGTCTTTCGTTCTCATCCATTATCCGAAAGTTTCGAGCGCCCCTCTGCCATCCAGCAGCGCGCCATCGTCCCCGTCGTGAAAGGTCACGATGTCATCGCCCAAGCCCAGTCCGGTACCGGCAAGACCGCCACCTTCTCCATTTCCATCCTTCAAAAGCTCGACCCGAACATCAAGGGCACTCAGGCGCTCATTCTCGCCCCCACCCGTGAGCTCGCCCAGCAGATCCAAAAAGTCGTCGTCGCCCTCGGTGACTACATGAACGTCGAATGCCACGCCTGCGTTGGTGGTACCAACGTCCGTGAGGACATGGCTAAGCTCCAGGAGGGCGTCCAGGTCGTCGTCGGCACGCCCGGCCGTGTCTTCGACATGATCAACCGTCGCGCTCTCAGGACCGACACCATCAAGATCTTCTGTCTCGATGAGGCCGATGAGATGTTGTCTCGCGGTTTCAAGGACCAGATCTACGAGGTCTTCCAGCTTTTGCCGCAGGACACTCAGGTCGTGCTTCTCTCTGCCACCATGCCCGCCGACGTATTGGAGGTCACGAAGAAGTTCATGCGTGAACCCGTCAGGATCTTGGTCAAGAGGGACGAGTTGACCCTTGAAGGTATCAAGCAGTTCTACATCGCCGTCGAGAAGGAGGAGTGGAAGTTGGACACGCTCTGCGATCTGTACGAGACCGTCACCATCACCCAGGCCGTCATCTTCTGCAACACCAGGCGGAAGGTCGACTGGCTCACCGAGAAGATGCACTCGAGAGAGTTCACCGTCTCTGCCATGGTGCGTTCACTTCCTTTCATGTTCCCCCACCTTATGTAAATTCGTGTGGCGATATGCTGACTAATGTTCTTATTTCTCCCTTTTTCTTGCGTCAACCAGCACGGCGACATGGAGCAGAAGCAGCGCGAGGTCCTCATGAAGGAGTTCCGCTCCGGATCTTCTCGTGTCCTCATCACCACCGATCTCCTCGCCCGTGGTATCGATGTCCAGCAAGTCTCGCTGGTCATCAACTACGACTTGCCCACCAACCGTGAGAACTACATTCACCGTATCGGTCGTGGTGGTCGTTTCGGTCGTAAGGGTGTTGCCATCAACTTTGTCACCACCGAGGACGTTAGGATGCTGAGGGATATCGAACGTGAGTGTCCTCGTCTTCTTCTTGGCCCATGGTGCCGTCGCTGATCAGATTTATTGCTATGCAGAATTTTATAACACCCAAATCGATGAAATGCCCCTTAACGTCGCCGACCTCATCTAGATATATCGCCACCGCCACGCTCACATACGCCACACACACTGGTTTCAAGTACTTCGTCGTTCTCGCCTCATCTGTACCACTCGTCTTCCTTCAAATCTGGTTACATCGTCTCCCATCATCCTGTACCCACTGCCCTGCCTTCCCTGCCGCCACCCAGTCGCTGAAATAGCCTTCTACACAAATATCAGCCACTGTCGATCCGATCATCCATCTATCCATCTCCTCCTCCATACCCGTGCAGCACGCCCAAAAACTTGATCGTACCGTGTAGGGCGTCGTCGTCATCGGTCCGGATATATCGTCCCCCTTTTCCTCGCCTGGTCTTTTTCTTTCTTTTCCGTTCAAGTCCGCTATTTCTCTTCTGTTTCCTTATGCGTTCCCTCGCTACGCTACGACCTCTCTCTCTCTGCCTCTCTCTCTGTCTCGCTGCTATGTGTCTGTGTTTGTGTGTTTGTGTGTGTGATACGATGATGACGACGTTGATTTCGTTGGCTGCTAGTAATAGTGAAGGACTTCGAGTCGACGGTAGTGGGCTAATACGAGCTCCGGTCTCGTCACGGTTATGTGCATATGCGTATGAGTCGAGTAGATTACGATCAACTATGACAATTCTTTTCTTCGCCATCCTTTCGTTAACAAGTTGAGTGGGTATCTGTACTCAGTCGTAGGATGATTGTGGCTAGGGTGCGTCTTTCGGTGGCAAGTTCGTGAGGAACCAGGAGGCCGCCTTGAATCCGAACTTTTGTGGCGCGCCACTATAGCTCTGTGGAAGAAAGCCACGTGATAGCAAACATTGACTCGAACTCGGACTCGGACTTGGAGTCATCATATTTCCTAACTTTTCCCCACTCACGATAGAATCGACGGACCTTGAGTAGACCGCCTCAATGGAGACCTCTGAACCCGGCTCAGCGCAACCTTCAGCGATGTCAGTAGTTTTTTTTCATCAGCTCCCGGTCTTGACGCTGATCACGACATGCCATGGATAGTGATGTGTTTTGGAAGAATGTGGAGATTGAGAGGCTCATGTCCTGCACAGATGTTGCGGTCAGACAGGGAATCACTAGCGCTGACGTTGTTCACGCTCGCCGATACATCAGCGAAGAGTTCGAGGCGGTTCAAAGATATCTCTCGGTCATCGACAACCCCTCACACAGCCGCACGAAAGGTACTCCGATGTATCCAGTCCCCATGCAGACTATTAACCTACGAAGGTGAGAGCACAAACTAAAGGATCCGGCACCGCCATTTCTAACCTATAATCTAGCGATGAATTCTGGTCCCACATCACAATGTCGCGGACTCGTTCCCTAGATCCTAGCATCCATCTCGACCCCGTTGGTGAAGATTCACGAATTGCTGAAGTACGCTCAGCTGATTTGAATGACGAGGTCGAAGCCGTTGTGCACTACGCATGCGCTGCCTTGTCCCACTGGAATCGATTGGCATCCGTATCTCGACTACCTGCAGAGATCCTTACCATTGTCTTCCGCCACCTGACTCCTACTATCGTATGGGGTCCGCTTCATTCATCTGTTAATCGACGAGTTCACGCCGCTAGAGCGCGCTATTGGTCCGAAATGCAGTGTCTGATCGATGTCACCCATGTTTGTCGAATCTGGAGGGATGTTGCGCTCAACGACCCAGCACTTTGGTCGAATATCTGGATAGAAGATGCGGAATGGAGTGCAGAGATGTTACGTCGCACTCGAAACGGTCCTTTAACGATCGTACAAACCGACTCGGAGTACATCGATTCTCTTTGGCCGTTTTTGTCACTTCCCCATCGCACCCGTCGCTTATGTCTTCATCACATCGATTCGGACGATCAGGATGACCTCGAAACGATTTTACAGGAATACCTCCGACAGCCAGCACCATCCCTTGAAGATCTGCAGATTCAGCTTCCCTACCACTCTTGTCCTATTCCGTACGACTTGTTCTCACAGGTCGCTCCTCGCTTGAACTCGTTGTGCATCGACGGTACACCCGATTGCGATGCATTCTTTCGCTCTCCTATTATTCGCGGCCTCACGACCTTAGAGCTGGGTCGATCATGGACCAAGATGGAGCACTCCGCCATTCTCTCGGACGTAGTTTCTGTGTTGATGAACAACCCCGACCTCGAGACGCTCGTTCTGCACGGATTCTTCAGCGCTACAGCTGACGCAAGGCTCTGGAGACCAATAACCTCAGAGGATGCCATCCATCTACCAGCACTGTCTTTCCTCGACTTGGACGGTGACGTGGTTGCATGTACCGACCTCGTACGTCGGTTATATGTTGCCAGGGTACGCATGTTATTTTACCGCCTATCCTACCCTTCGGGACTGGATCGTTCCACCGATTGGATGTCATCCACAGCTATTCCTTTACTTCTCCACCCATTACAGTCAGCACTGGCCACTCCCATACAGACAGTCGAAGTAATCTGTATAATTGGGCTATCTTGGTCGGTCCATCTGCTTGACAGGCACCTTCAAAGCTTGGATGAGCACCCAGAGAAAAGGGACAGCAATACGATCCTGGATCTAGAGATTCAGAGTGAGTTGCCTTGGTCTAGGCATACAACTGCCACGGCCATGAGCGCTCTCACCCCGTGGCACCTAGACGATGTTCGAGACCTTGTCGTAAATACGAACGATGTCCTGGGACCCACATGGGATTTATGGGCGAACTTGGTTCGACGTTTGCCGTCACTCGAAAGACTGCTCATAGACTGCGGCGTGTACGATCTGACCGATGTCGAAATGATCGTCGAACCACTTTTACGACTTGTCGGCCCTCCAGAACATACGACAATCTCTTCAGATAGTGCAGCCCATGCAGACGTTGCCGAAACTCAGTGCCCCCGCCTCCACACGATATGCATACGAAGTTGTCTGTTCGACGGGGATATCCCTTCGTCTTTACTCGACTCTCTTCGTTCTCTGTGTTCACAACGAGATGGCGCTTTACGAGAGCTTCATCTCATATACAGCGATATAGACGATTCTCAGAAGGCTAGCCTTTCCGAAGTAGTGAAAGTGGTGGTCTGGGAGCGCGATGCGGATGGCACGGCGAGAGCTCCGTCGGAGAGTTGATACTGCTGACCGGTTTTTGTGGTATCATAATGTAGCGACGAATGGTGGGGAACTTGAATGACAGCGTAGGAGTACTTCATGGTTGGCGGCGTGGTTGATGTACGATACGTACTTCTTCGTCTGATGAGGATGCTGGAGAGCTGGACTGAAAGGGCTAACTCTTTGTATAACCCGTCAACGTCGGCTGACTTCTAGTCATATCAAGCAACTGTTTGATTCCAGAGCTTGAGCCACAGTGTTTCACAACGACGGGCAATTGGCAACATTGATTTTACAACACTGGGAACATTCAATGATTTGGTGTACGTAGCTGTCAGTACCACACAAAATCCAATCCAATCACAGAAATAAGCACTACCAGCTCATTCGTCTCTTGGAGAAGAACGTGTATATATACATGAGCCGGACCACGCCCGAGTCGAACAGGCTCTTGTCCACGGCTCTGAAATATGGGGGGTAGTGCTCTTCCCGAGACAGGTTGTGAGAGTCACATCCGTGTCTCCACGAAAATTGGACATTATCTCCGGATGATTCATAGTCAGAGAATCTGCGATAGTACAAAGATAAGCTACCGGGGATACTATACATTATCGGGAGAGAGACACTACTCACGCGATCGCATTGGGGCAGACCTTACGGTATAATCCAGTACTGGGACCCAGACCCTCGTTGCTCACGCATCCGCCACTTTGCAGCGCACCGTTCTCGCAATCCGCGGCGGAAGTGCAACATGGACTGTAGCAAGAGATGTGGTTTGGGCCCTGGGGACCTGTTACATGAGGCTTCAAGCAGCATAGACGGTCAGGCTGAAGAGGCATGTTTGAAAGTAGCTGTAGAATGAAGAGGACCTGTGGGCAAGCAGACTGGGTCAACTCTAAAGGTCTGAGGCGAAGTGTATATATACGTTTCTTGAGAGTGAGGGATAAGAAGTAAATGTGTGTTCAAGCCTAACCCCCCCGGCACAATGACTGGTCAAAAGTGCAAGAAAGGTTTCCAAACAATTGAACCACGCTTGGTAGATGTCGGAGAAAAATATTCCAAGCACAGTTGAGTGACGCTCCGATACCTGGGGAAACAACATCATGCGCGTGATCACATAGAATCTGTGTTTAAGCAGTGGTAGCAGGAAGTCGAAACTCCCGCAACTAAAGAAGAGAACCCCGTCAAGCATTGAAGCTCTTTTATGGATAAAATCGGTGGTATAGAAGTTTATGTCGCGGCTTCCATAGTTTACAGCAGTCGGGGGCCACTAAATTTGTGCCATTCTTCTCGGCGGAACAGAAGAGGCGCATAGTACGATGCGTAGCAGAGGGGCAACAGCAGTTTCAGCTTCATTAACACGAGAATGTACAGTACCAGGAATAAGGCGGGGTGTAACGACAGATTTCCAGTATGCCTCAGGTATACTGTTCGAATGAACCAAACCGGGGCACATAGTCGGATGGAGGCGAGCTCGAGAGTAAGGAGAACTCAGCCGATTGGACATCCGAGAGACAAGCTGGCGTTTCAAGAATAGTACGGTTGTTAGCTGTTGGATGCGGCTAGAATTTACAAGCCCCTGCACAGATTCACCAACGACCAGAAAGACGATGGACGTTTCCATTGACGATGCTTTACTCGAGCGACGAGCAGGAGGGCCTCTTGAGCCAGATCATCGGGTCATTGGAGTACAGAAAGATAAGATAAGATAAGATGACTGACACGGAAGAAGTTGGCCAATCAGAACAAGGCACGACTCGGTTCTGTTGAACTTGAACTTGCCCTCGACGCGAACGTCTGAACGAATGCCTCTCCCCCCCTCTCTCGTGATTTCATGGACCGCTTTTATGTAATGATCTGTACTGAGGCTGGCATTTCGCTCGACCCGCTTTGGTTAATTTTCATGGTCTCAAATCGCTAGGAACACTAGCTCTCCGCAGACTGACTACTCGAACTCTTCCAGTTGACTCCACATCAGGCGCGTATTCCCTCCGAGTTATCCTTGTCTTTGGATCTATTTTGTGTCCTATTACTATGGTTCAAAATCTCAAGCGCAGATTCTCCGTTTACTAGTGACTCTCATACTTCCGTCTTGGACAGCTACCGATTCAGACTGTCCGTGCGACGTTCCATGTGAACAATCCTAAGGGTTGTGGACAGGCCTCAGCAAGCCCATTCTAAGCATCACCCGAGAGCACATGGAATCTATACTCCCCGACGAACAGAACACTATGTACTTTCGGGCTCACAGGTTTGTGCAACCTACGCATGTCATGACCATCCGATTCTCGAGTCTTATACATACCCCGAAACCTGGACCACTTGGGGAAACCTTTGGGTGTGCACTGAGAGCTGTCTATAGCTGGCGATTGCTCGCGGCACTCAGTGCGAGCTGGCCTTGCGCATGATGGGAAAAATATGAGGTGGCGAAACGAACCGCCGAAGTTATTCGTCGTATTTCTCCGAGCTCGCCCCGGATGGCCTTGGCTGCTCTATTAGACGACATCAAGATGTTTTCGGCTGATCTCTCTCTATTGACGCACTCATAGTTCTTTCTGCTTGAGTTGCTGCTCTATCTGATGCTAATCTGGCTGACCATCTGCTTCACAGATCTTCTCCACAAGGCCCACTATCTCAGCACATTGAGCTCCGGATCTTCTTGCGCTCGTATGCCTATACCTTCACATCGATTTTCGCAGCATGTTGAAGATACAAGTGAGTCCCAGCAGATGATGGATCTCCAGATGTGACCAACGTAGACTTAAACCAACACGAACGAGCCCGGGTGACGGTCTTTGGCTCGAGAGTCACGATGTTGTGTCTCGCGCGGCCTGTTCGTCGGACGGTAGAGTGATCCTTGAACAAGACCTGTCTTTCAGTCTCAGTTTGTCACACCGTGGAGCCTATCCTGTGATAAAGAGTGGGCCACAACGTGGGGAGTGCTGGCGCCAGAGGACCAGAAACACTCGTTCTAAGACGATTAACTAGGCTCTGAGTGCGCGTTTTTCATTTTTTCGGACTATGTCCTCCTTATTGTGGTCGTTTTCTTCTCATTGAACACGCTTGTCACTGTCTTCAGCTCCACTACTCCGAAGATACCCGGCACACCCCTTTCTGGCATCTCTTTCTGGATACGAATATCCTCTCCGAGATGCCATCCTCTGCCTCGAGTGTCCTCGTTCCCGCCCCGTTATACGAGCCTTTCCTGCATGTCCTGCTACTCGCTATGTGGCGCAGCATGCGATAACTGGTTGTCTTAATCACTAACGAGGTTGCGCCCAGATATACACCAACTATCCCCGTACGATGATCTTTCTACACACGATGGGAACGGCGGAAGTCCTCGAGTTCGACCTCTCCGATGAACGTGACGAGCTGAAAGCCTCAACTCTTTCTTCCTTTACGAGCCTTCTCGTGGAAGTCCTTTCATAAAGGCCCTCTCCTTCTGGCATGCAGTAGGCACCCGTTTTGATCGCTAACAACACCACTTCCATAAATGCTAGACTTATCTCCGCTGAGCGGTCTTTCTACACATAAATGCTCCAACGGTCAAGTGTGTATGTATCAGGACGTATGCGACTAGTCGGTCACTGAGGTAGTTTTAGTCCCGATTGGTCTCCTCAAGTACAAAATGCGTACGCCCCACACTTTGAACCATCCCTTTGACATGCTGAAAGGACGGCATTCCTCCGAGAGCTGCGTATGGCCGTTGACATCATGGTGCTGCTTATGTTCGGGCTACTCCATACCCCACACCATGAGCAGACAATAGCCTTATACCGTTTATCTTCTTCGTCTGTCGTATACATGCACCTAATACGAGAGCGTGTACGAGATTACCGTCAAGCAGCCTGCACTGTCGCCTCGCGTTTTATCAGCTGAGAATTAGGTGCAAGTCGATGTCCAACCCTACGCCCATGCCACCCTCCTTGCCTTTCACTGGGTGTTCGATCTCCGCAGGCTATGCAGCCAACATCCTCGGAACGGTACCGCATTTGTAGGGTGCAATTTTGACTCATGGTCCCACAAGCCTGTCCCGCTCTTTCCTTGTACCAGTGATCTTCCATGGCCACGGACTTCTCCCGCGACATTTCCGACTTCGTGCCCTCCACCGCATCCGGCCAGTGCCAACCGATGCGTCTCTGCACCGCCCATTACCAAACGCGATCATCCTTGCGACCCTCGAGTTATACGTTTTTGGAAAATCCCGCTCAATACTCAAGATCACGCTCCGGCTGCCTATGCCGGAACATAAGGAAGAAGACATCGTGTTTTGCCTTGAGGTCTTTATCGCCTCGCTGCTTCTTTTGCTTTGCTCAAAGTCAGGGCTCTTACTTTGACCGCAAAGCGGATGACTTACTAATCGGGAAAGGAGAAGGAGGCCACTGCGTCCATACCTAGCCTCGTGGCGGAACGAGGCGGGATGTGGTAATGCAGCCCTGGAAGTTGCGAAGACTTGCGATACGGTTGGTAGTTAGGTGATGTCACATGTCTATGTTGACCTTCTTGCCTCGTCTGTAACCCGCGTTTTTCAGCATTCACGACATCTGTCGACGTCCTCCGGTGGATTTCTTCGGGATGCTATGCAGTCCTTATTCTTCACGTTGTGAGGACGCATCATGGCAAAGAACCATACTCGAGCATTCTTGAAGTGATCCACCATGACCATCTTATGTTTTGCCAGCTTGAAGTCATCACTTCTCCATGCGGGCTGATCGATGTTTTTTTTCTTCCTGTCCTCTCAACGCCGTAGCGCGGGTCAGGAAGAACCGGATTGCATGATATTGAGAAGGCACCTAATGATGCGTGGAATTAAATGTCCCTGTGGGACCTGGAGAGACGACGAGAACGGTGGATCTGCAGCCAATTCAATGCGTACCCGGTGTACAATGCTTGGTTGCCGAAATCGTATGTTCAACCACACTTCATCTCCTGATCTTCTCATGCTACCACGCTGAGGTCGTCACCTCGGTCTGTGATATCACGCACGTCTTCAGTACCTGGACGGTCTCGTACATTTCATCGCGTATTCCCTTTTCCATATGTCCAGAGCGCGGATCTCTCGTCACAATCTCGCCGTCCATCGAGTGGCACAGACACGCCAGGTCCTCGAGTTAGGCCTCCGCGGACGAGACCCTGTTTCCTGGATCAGAATTTGTGTGCGTGCCAAACGCACGGCCGATTGCATTCGAGCTTGTACCGATTCACAGGGTTATCGATGTCGTCGCTCATCAATACCACCTTGACCATAGGCAAATCAACATGGCATCGGATCCACGAGGTTCATACTCAAAGATTTGACAATGGAACACTACAATAGGATCGGATTGGACGAGTGGCGCGCAAACACAGTTTGCAGAGAATAAGTGGCTCAATTACCTGTACGCAGGTCGTGGCAGCATGAGTTCTTCCTCGCCCTATACACTATGATCGATAATCTGACGAGTGTCCTCTTTACTTCAATCTGCAGATTCGCAGTAGTAAGCAGCGCCACAGTAGCAAACTTGTGCATGTCTTCCTCGCCACCCTCGAGTTTGCGATCTGCATTATGCTCGCACTCCTCCTGGTGACCGGCGTTACTGCTACGGAGGTCCAGGCGTTCAAACGCCTGTCCTGATGTTCATATAGAATGAATAATTAATGACTGGACTGCTCCATCCTTGCTTTCTATGTGGCGCTGAACAGCAGCGTAACAGAACATGAGATGGCATTGCGGTAATGCAGGCTCTCACGAGTGGCGGTGGCTCGAGAGTTCCTATGTCTGAAATGAATCAAAGCAATCGCGGGAACGATCGTATGGAAGGTTTGGCCCATATACCTCGACAGAGCTACATGGGTATGTGTGTCGGCATGCAACCTAACCTATGAGCCACTCGAATTGACTGATCCTGCGAGCTGATACCACAGCAGACAGGAATGCACGAGTGAGCCACTGGATGATATCATCCCGCCATCCGGATCTACACACACTGCAGATCAGTGAGGATGTCGCCCGTAATCATACTGCCATCTCGAGGGAACGGAAATGAAAGAAGTAGACACGATCATTTAAACGCTCTTCGGACTCCCTTTGTTTATGACAACATCTCTCAGTATCCAGCCGCTATCTTACATCTATGCGATGCACGCTCCGCCGGCCTGCGATGTGCATCACGTATCAAAGCAGCTTTGAAGCACGATCATCTATAAAAGTATATGAAGTCGATGACGTCCCTTTCAAAGCGCAGGCAGATGAATCTACGTGTGTACTGACCGGATAGATGAGGTGTGAGATGCAACTCTAGATAACGAGTGGCCAGGGAACGTTCCTGTGAAGGCGTGTTTCTAGAGAACAATAGATGCGCGCCACTTCCACCAAAGACACAGGCAGCTGCTCTATTCTGTCCGTACAGATCTTGAACACCGGACCTACCTCGCGAAGAGCAGACGGAGACACGTAAGGTTCTGCACGGGTCCAACCGCGGGTGCCAGAGACGAACCCGTACCCGTACCCGCCAAACACCGCACCCGCACGGGTACGGGTACGGGTCACCCGCGGTGTGGCACGGGTTTGTCTCTTGCCACCGCGGTTGCTCAACCGCGGTTATTTTGTACGGTGTTGAGGTCTGTTGACTGGTATGAAGGCATTCTAAGCGTGCTTTATATGTACCAGACGGAGGTGTTAGAGCCCCCGGGCCCACAAATGATAATTGTCACTCAATGGGGCGAGTCGAAACAATTACAGCCGTTGTTCTTGCTGACCTATTTTGGCGACCGAAACGGTGCGGTATGGCACATCTTCACAAACGAGTCTTTGACGACCTGGAATTAGAGCGCAAGCTCAGACTGAACCATCAAGAGCATCCGACTTGGCTCACCAAGCCATGAAAGTGCTCCTTCGAGCACCTCTGATCTCCGAGACTCAAACCCGTCGCAAGAACCGCGGGTCTCGCGGTATTTCACGGTTCAAAAAACCTCAGACCCGTACCCGTTGTGGAGGAGCACACGGGCGTACTCGTGTACTCCCCCATATGAGAAGGAAACGGAGTTAGAGTCGCGACTTGGGAACGTACGAACGCTCGTTCCGTCGGACTTTCAATTCCCGGTTGACCCCGTTCTGCACCACTACTGGTTTTTATTCGCTTTTCTCTTCGTTTTTCCTTGGACTACTGAGCTGTCCCGTTTGAGCACTTCTAGAGAATCTCAGGCATCGCCTCCAGCGCTCGGAGCAATTGTTTTCAAGTAGTAGCGATCACGGTACGCTAAATCGACAAGCGCTAGTGGACGAAGGGCCGGAGCCATCCGCCCGGGACTAGGAACGGAACGCGCGGCCTCGGACTCCGCCACACTTCACCTCTCCCTCTACCTTGTCCGATTTATTGCTCTCACTTCCTC